CCACTAATGCTTTAGAAAACTCAGTTAAATGTATCTAACTAAGGCTATTAGTGCTGGTTACAAAATGTAGTATATGTAAACATTTAATTAACCAAAAATTGTGACCACATATTTTGTGGGCGTCATATTGGCTCCTTGTTCAATCTTTACAAATTACCTTACTAAAATATTGCTATTTAGCAGAAAGGCTGAAGAAACTGCTGAAACTTGTGCAGAGAAAGCCAAAAGCAGATGCTCTCACTAAGATGCTAAAATACTCCATGGAGCAGAGTGAAATGGAAAAGTTATAACTCAATAACCCTGTGCGTGTTTGCCATTCACAAATAGCCATGTGATCCCCTGTTAATGTAGAACCATTGACTGTTGGACTAACTAGCAAACTGCAAACCTTCTTTATGATAAAACTGTAAACATGAATTTAGCATGTCAAATCAATACCTCAATAAGGTAAAGGTCTATTCAGGCTCAGTATCGAACTTGCCATGCAATATCCCGGTAATGTCGATAGGTTTCATTATGCTTGTATTTGCTTTTAGTTCGTCTCAATGTAATGTTCACCAGCTCTGACACTGATGCTTTTTAAAGGTTTTTATATGCTTCACTCCACTGACAAATTTTGACCATGCTCTCATTTACACACACATAGACACACTTGCACAAACACGCGCACATATAGAACATTGTTATTGCTGGATTAATCAGTAAACCTTTCTTACAGTTAAAAGTATTTGCAGGAGGAACTATGGTGTACTGGTTTACACACAAACACACACATTCACACACACAGGCACACGCACACAAATGTGGAACATACATTAAGAAGCTGGCTTCTGTTTGTCTAGATCACAGTTAAGAGCTCATGTATGATTTGTTTGTATAGCTTTTATTACCTTCATGTGTGTTAAATTCAGGGGAAGAGAAGCAATAAAACAGCAAAATAGTTTCCAAATATGAAAAAAAAACACATAAACCATAAGAGAAGTTATTTGTATTTCCTTTTGTGTGATACAATTTATAAGGGCATGCTCAGATTGGATGTTCAAGCCATTCAGTAACAAGCTATATATATATTTTTTTCGATCTACGATGAAAGTTACTGTGAGGAGCTGTTGGTTAAGATTGGCATTGGCGCCCCCTGTGGACAAAAAGTAATACCTGTTACCTATCTGTATAAAAATACCCTCATCCTGTTGTCCATTAACAATGTTTCCATTACTCACTGTGAGTATTTGCTTTAAAAGGTAATAAATAGGCAGCAGTTTCCGCTTCAGTCTGTTTTTCAACCAGGTTAAAACCCTTTACAGTGACTTTAATTCACAAAAAAACTATTGATACCAGATTAAGTGCTCGTCTTCTCTGTTTATCTGATTTTGTGTATAACATTTACCTCAGTGAGCAAGTTATCTCCATTATGTATTCACATTTTCTTTCACTCTAGTTTAATAAAGTGGAAAAATCACATTAATATCAAAATATATCATCTCCATCATTTGTTAGGGTGAAACTGATACTCAGTAGTTTTTCACATTTGATCATTTTGCCGTATTAATACTGGAACAGAGCTGCACCAAATTAGTGCATCACATTATTGCATCAAGCTTGATATCAAATTTTACTCATCTGTGTGAGTTTGCTTTAGTGGTGTAAGGCTCTGAGCAAAGAGTAATGTGATCGAGAGATGATTACATCTGACATAACTTTTCAGTTGAGATTAATAAACTTTAGTTTGACATTACAAGCATGAGATATCTCAGTCCTATCATGTCATTTTGCTCATACTGAAAATCTATCCTTACTGTACCATCTCCTCTCAAAAGCTTCTTTTCACTCTGCATGTGGACAGCAGGACTTTGGATCATTCCCCGGCTTCCAATTAGGAGATGGCATAACAGCACACAAGAAAAAAACAATCCCCATTTTGGTAGGAATGCCATTTGGGGGTCTTTGGAAAGTCAACTTGTTTTATGAAAAAAATGTTCATGAAAATCTGAATAATGTTTGCGTCAATCAAATACCTCTGTGTGGTTTTATTTTCACATATGATATCAGGAGAGATTGTTGGCATTGGATGTTTGATATTAAACACAATGTTAAGCTAAGGCTTGAGGGACTTTTAATCTCTGACAATAAAAATGTAACCTCATTTTAACACTGGAGGGAAGTTACAAAGACAAGAAAGTTAACGCTCATGTTTTGTAAACTTAATTTTGGCTATGTGTGAAGTAAATGATGCAACCTGCCGCCAATTAAATCTGGAACTTTTGCTGTTTTTAATGAATGTAATATAGCTGGTATGAAAAGTTTTTATCCTTGATGATGTTTCTGTCTGCCCCCTGAACTTTTGCCAAGAAGGATGGGGATTGTGTGGAACATCCTTTGGATATGTCAATGAACCTTTCCATCAGTCAATGGATTTGAATTGCAATGTAGGGGAGACTGGGACTTGTTGTCACACGGGTAAGTTGTCACATTGCAATTATCTTTGCCACCAAAGGGCAAAACTAAAAAGTGGAATACTAGTTTTCTTCCTTTACATGGTCAGGGGTCATGTCCTGTCTGAGAAGAGAAGAGCACATTGTGAGCTGAGATGAGCGCCATTTAACCATTTCAACTTTATTTTTACAGAGATAGGAGTAGTTTAAAGGAGAGGAGAAAGCGAGAAGACATGGTCAGGGATTACAAAAGAAAAACAGAACATGGCAGTGCAGTATCTGACGTGATGCTGAGGGCAGTCAGGCAGGTGACCTTAGCTAATAAATCAATCTGGAGGACAATAAAGGACTTTAATCTCAACTACCATACCTTGGCTCGGTACTGCAAAAACATTCACCCCAGCTGAAATACAGAGTCAGACAGCCTTCCAAACTCCAGTGCATGGTGCATAATATTATCTGTTAACATTTGTTAAATGGCTATTTTCAATGATCTTTTTCTAGCTCAATGATAAACATTTTCTGTGCCTGATGTTCACTTTCAAGTAAAAACAATGATAACAATAATTTTGACCTTGTTTTATTAGCTGCAAAATCCACTGTGACATCTTACCCCATGTAGTGAGACAACTTACCTGAAGATGGGGCAACATGTCACATGTTCACACAGAACTCTGCACTGACACAAGATATGAAAACGACATGAATACGACATATACACTCACCGGCCACTTTATTAGGTACACCTGTCCAACTGCTCGTTAACACTTAATTTCTAATCAGCCAATCACATGGCGGCAACTTAGTGCATTTAGGCATGTAGACATGGTCAAGACAATCTCCTGCAGTTCAAACCGAGCATCAGTATGGGGAAGAAAGGTGATTTGAGTGACTTTGAACGTGGCATGGTTGTTGGTGCCAGAAGGGCTGGTCTGAGTATTTCAGAAACTGCTGATCTACTGGGATTTTCACGCACAACCATCTCTAGGGTTTACAGAGAATGGTCCGAAAAAGAAAAAATATCCAGTGAGCGGCATTTCTGTGGGCGGAAATGCCTTGTTGATGCCAGAGGTCAGAGGAGAATGGCCAGACTGGTTCGAGCTGATAGAAAGGCAACAGTGACTCAAATAACCACCCGTTACAACCAAGGTAGGCAGAAGAGCATCTCTGAACACACAGTACGTCGAACTTTGAGGCAGATGGGCTACAGCAGCAGAAGACCACACCGGGTGCCACTCCTTTCAGCTAAGAACAGGAAACTGAGGCTACAATTTGCACAAGCTCATCGAAATTGGACAATAGAAGATTGGAAAAACGTTGCCTGGTCTGATGAGTCTCGATTTCTGCTGCGACATTCGGATGGTAGGGTCAGAATTTGGCGTCAACAACATGAAAGCATGGATCCATCCTGCCTTGTATCAACGGTTCAGGCTGGTGGTGGTGGTGTCATGGTGTGGGGAATATTTTCTTGGCACTCTTTGGGCCCCTTGGTACCAATTGAGCATCGTTGCAACGCCACAGCCTACCTGAGTATTGTTGCTGACCATGTCCATCCCTTTATGACCACAATGTACCCAACTTCTGATGGCTACTTTCAGCAGGATAATGCGCCATGTCATAAAGCTGGAATCATCTCAGACTGGTTTCTTGAACATGACAATGAGTTCACTGTACTCAAATGGCCTCCACAGTCACCAGATCTCAATCCAATAGAGCATCTTTGGGATGTGGTGGAACGGGAGATTCGCATCATGGATGTGCAGCCGACAAATCTGCGGCAACTGTGTGATGCCATCATGTCAATATGGACCAAGCTCTCTGAGGAATGCTTTCAGCACCTTGTTGAATCTATGCCACGAAGAATTGAGGCAGTTCTGAAGGCAAAAAGGGGTCCAACCCGTTACTAGCATGGTGTACCTAATAAAGTGGCCGGTGAGTGTATACCTGAGACTTTGTGACAGCAAGCCCCGGTCTCCTCTATCTAAAACCAAAGGGTGAGATCAGAGTAAATGGAGAAGGATGGGAATTAGACTATATGAATGCATCCACACAACAGGCCCACTTGCATATTTGCATCAATGTTGAAGGCCCACAGAGCTCAGACGATATGTCATCACATCTCCTTGGTGACTAGACACAACTACTCTTTGGTGGGACACATTTCTGTCGGTCGGTCTGTCAGTCAGCCTGTCTGTCTGTCAAATCTGATGGAAAATAAAGAGGTGGTGGTAATTATCTGTTTGAACATACAGGCCAACTCAGCAAAGGTGGGGATTGCTCCGTGTCCGCTTGGCACACTGGTTTTGTTGACGAAACAGATGGAAATCTGTAGACATATTTTTTTTTCTTCTGTAGCTTCTGAGTGTCATGGAACAAAATGTCATCTGTCAACTTTATCAAAACACAGAATTGACGGCGCGACCGTTCCGTTAGTAATGTCTCCATCATCATCATCATCATCATCACCATCTGACGCATGCGGCCCCTTCACCCATCCCCTCGCTTAGCTCATACACGCGCGCACCAAAACGTGCACGCTCTGAGGTGTAAACCCTCCCTCCCCCTGCAGTGGTAAAGTATAAAAATCACCTCAGCCGGAGCTTAAAACCAACCAAAACCAGCAACCCGCAGAGAGAAAGACGGTCAAGGAGGGGAGCAGATCAAACAACCCTGTGAGAAACCAACGACCCTTACTTCCAACCAACATCCTTTCAAAGTAAGTCTTCTCTCCTTTATATTAAGTTTAAAAGCCTTACGAGTGTGTTTTTATATTATTTGTCAAAATCTCCAATTCACACCAAGTTCGTGTGGCTACTGTGTAAAGTGTCCATCGGTATGAACCAAGTCTATTCTGACACTTCGACTCGTTCACAGCGGGACTTAAGATCAGACCCTCAACCTGTTGATTGAGAAACGACCAGCTCCATCACTGAACAACCTTGAATTTTGCGCACATTCATGCAGTACAATGTTTTTGATGGTTCACGCAGAAACAGGTTATACTCTCAAGTCCTAAATGTAAGATTACTTGACTAGGATACTTTTTTCCTTTGTTTGTGTTTCTCTTTTCTTTTTTGGGGCAAACAATGCTGAGCGATTTTTTTTTCTTAAACTTTTGTACGTAAAAGAAAATAACCCAAGAATTTAACAGCTGATTGTTTGACACTCTCCTGCACATTTTGCAACTACAAACGTAATAGGGATTTAATGAAACGCCAGGAAAGACCCCAAAAACTAGACCATAAAGACTAAGAAACTTACTAAACATATAAACTACTACCTGTACTGACCAGCATCACTTACAAATGCTTTTCTGGCTTTAATCCTCGGGTCATGAAAGTTGTTTTCAGTTAGGCTGCTAGCCCGTAATGTTTTTGTTTTATTAGTAAATTCTCAGTACACAACCAAAGGACGCTGCAGGGATTGTTTTCAGCACCATGGACAGCAGCTCGGAGATTTTCACTATAACCAGAACCACAGCTTTTGTTTGATTTTGACTTTAAGGCGTGATTGAGTGCAACAGCTGTCTCACTGAGATGATTTCAAGTGAACAAACAAGGAGGCGTTCATTTTTTACATCAAAATAATAAAATTCATTATGTGGTACTTCCCTGAAACCACAGAGAATGCCTTTATTTAAATTTAAAATTTTTTTTTTAAATCGAATTAATCACAAAAACGGCCAAATAATTTAGCAGACCTGTCATTATTGGTGAATAAATCTTCAATAAAGCAGAAATTATTATTATTATCCAAAGATTCACAAACGGAAGCTTAAAACTCGTTATCTACCCCTTTATTGTTTCATTGCTCAACTCAGATGTGCAGCAAGTGTTTAAAGATAACACAATTTGGGCATTGAAGCAATATTTGCTTGAGAAAATATATAAATTTAGATATACTGGTAAATATATTTTTGCGTACATATGATGCAATAAATAATAAGGTGCACCTGGCTATTGACAGAGTGGAATAGGTGATCCCATTCATTATGGGCATTATGCAAAGACATGATGCGGGAAAAAAAAGGGATGGTTTTCTTTTTGCAGAGCTGATGAAATATTGTTGATAAAAGGTACATAACACAAAAATTTTTAGATGCAAGTTAATATAAAATATTTATTTGGACAATCTTTCTTTTCATCTTCAAATCTTCATTCATTTCATATTTTTCAACATCACGATTCCAACAGAGTACATTTAACAGGTCACGGAGTACTAATAGCTCTTAATTTCCTGCTGCTTTCACAGATGGCCATGATGCTGAAACCATGGACAGTGCTGGTAGCTGTGGTGCTGTGTGTCTTGGTGTGTCTGGGAACAATGGCCGATGCCTATCCCCCAAAACCGGAGAACCCTGGTGAGGATGCCCCACCTGAAGAACTGGCCAAGTACTACACAGCCCTGAGACACTACATCAATCTGATCACCAGGCAGAGGTATGTGCACACATGTTCAGGAAAATCCACTGGAATTGACAGGGATGTTATGTTAGACTATGTATTGAAGCTGAAAGTGTTAAATTAACATGTTAATTCTTATTATGATCTCCTTGGTAGCTTTGTAGAGATGGGAACTCTAGGCGTTTTATACCCTGTCACGGACTGAGGGAATGTTGCTGACCAAACACTATTAATAGTGTACATGGTGCTGCTCACACAATTATTGATTCATTTAGTTTAAGTCCATTCATCATAGAGCCTGCCAGCCATCTGTCAGGGCATAAATGAGCTCATTCCCTTACTATATTTCAGTTGACAAGGACATCAAAACGTAACAACAGCTGACCTGATTGAGTCTGTTGTGCATCTTTATTTAATCCTTTTGCGTTATTTAAGTCAACATAGTACTTAAGATCCATAAGATTCCTGTTTGCTCTCGAGCCTGGAGCTCTATGTCTGATGCTCTTCCCTGCTCTTCTACTCCAATAACCCTTTGCCAGCACACGACAGCTTCCCAGATTAGATTATGAGCCTCTCTCCAAAACCTCCAGGCCTTCACATCAACAGGATCAGAGCAATAAAATGGGCACAGATGGAACCAAGAATCCCAAATCCAGTTAGCAGGGCCTGAGCCTTTGCCGGTTACTGTCAGGTATAGAAATCACCGGGCAGTTTTTTGTTGTTTTTATTTAAAGCAGCTGGGCTCATGAGCAATCTGTTTTTATTCATGAAAGCCAAATAGGTCATTGATATTTAGATACTTGGTCTAAGGAAAATACTCATTCATAAAAAGTCAATTTGTTTTCATTTAAAACTTATTTCTTTCACTGGAGAGTAAATGATGAATACATAATTGATATAGTGGGTTATTGAGGTTATATAAAAGTTTTGCTTTACAAGATAAAGGCTTATAAAAAGGGAAGGCCATCAGCTCCGGATAAAATTGATAAATGTGTCAATGCTGCAGGAATTTGATAGCAATACACAAATAAATACTTTTCCAACTTACTTATTGTTCCAATTTCAGTTTTTTCAAAGTTTATAAAATAGGCTCTATATGACACATAGACCATTGATGGTTTTTATCTTGTAATTTTTGATGTCTGTAACCAGTGTGAGGTGGTATGGCACAGCCAGGCAGCTGTAGAAAGAGTCCTGTTTTTCCAGTTTCTAACATTAACAATAATAATACATTTTACTGTCAAAAGTCAGCAGGATGAGTTTTGAACGAAGATGCTACTCAAGTATGTGGAGGACAAGATTAACAAGATCTGTTTGGACAAAGTAGAAATGAAACAGAAGTTCCTGAGTGTGTTTTGTTGGAATAAAAAAAAAGAGTTAGGAAGTCAATCATTCAGATCATACCAGAAGTTAAAAGGTCTTAAAAGCTCTATGTTCAAAGATGACATGAGCTAAAATGAATACTCACTGACAAACTTTTTTTTTAAATCATTTTTTTCTAGAGTTTATACTTTCATAAACAACCTTTTCATTTGACTTCAAGACCTGAGGTTGATCTTATTTTGGTTGTTAACTAAATTTATCATTGTTTTGAAGGGAAAATGTTCCTCACCATTTGAATGACGAACTAGTAAATTTATTTAACCAAACAAATGTAGAAACTATTCATTTTTCCAAATACTTGAATCAAAATGAACTATTTCATTTGGCCTGTTGTACTTTGACACATTTGGTTATTGGACCTTTACATATATGAAGTTTTCAAGGAACCTTAACTTAAATATTTTGCCTAAAAGATGGATTTCGTGGGATTTCAAAACATCTGTTTTGGTATAACGAAGATTAGGCAAAAGAGAGGAAAGCCAGCGAGACTCATATGAAGAGCAGAATGAACTAAAGAGTCTAGTGAGCTATTATAACAGGGGAGACGTTCCACATCCTCATGTCTCACACTGAGTGAGAGCAGAAGCAGAGCGTCTAAGTTGCTTGTCTGCTTTCCTACAGGGCAAGAAAACAAAACACCCACACACACACACATGCATGTTCCTATAAGTGTGTAACGAGGCATAAGATTGGCTGCCGAGGAGGTGAACAGGTGGTTGATGGGAAAACAAAGATACAGAAGGTCGCGCCACAGGGTTTGTGCAAAATGTTGCCGTCGGTGTAATACCCACACATAACCAGACACCCATTACCAAGTAAACGCTCTGTTAAACGCTTCTGCGGTTTCATATTGCAGCTCTCATGGCGACCATGAATGCCTTATGAAAAGGATACGACTTATCATGACTCGGATATGACACTCTCTCAGACATGACAGGATTGATACACGCACATACATTCCACTATGTAGAGTCTGAATCTGACTGTGAGATAAAAGCATTATGGATAAAGGGAGGTGGGGTGACCCATTTTGTGTGTTGACAAGCATAAAGACAGAGGTCAAAGACAAAGACGTGAAAAAGGTTTCGTGGCTCAGAATACACATATGACGTAATCTTTATCTCACAGCCTCAATTTCTCATCTGAAAACAACAGCAGTCGGTTTTGAGAGAAACATAGTTACGTTTTTTTGTGACTAGTCCATCTGTTTCACCCTCAAGACTCATTTTTTTTAAGAGGAACTCGACAGTTTTTTACGGGCAGCCTGTAAAAAGTTAATGAAATAAAAACTGAAGGCATGGATAGAGACAGATGATAGCCATTTATGCAAATTTTAAAACCAAAAATATAACCACGTTGCACGGAGGGCTTGCAAATTGGTTAATCTAATAAGTTCAGACTAATACTCATGAGTTCTCCTCTGCTTTCTCTTTCAGGTATGGAAAGCGTTCAGCTCAGGAGGACGTGGTCGCAGAACTGTTATTTGGTGGCGATAGCAACAGAGGCCAGAGATCACGGTAAAAACCTTCACACGACCAGTCATGTGATCCCCGGTGAAGACATAAGAGTGTAACATGACCTTTCTTGTGTTCTTCTACAGATACGATGATTCCTACATGTGGTGACTCCACCATCCTTCACTCTTCTCATCGGGCCTTTCTTCGGGGTGACTCCCACTGTGCACCTTGAGGGGCCAAAATGTGCCTCACACCTTTAGCCCTTGAGCTCCGATCCCTACCAGTAACCTTTACTGACTAGAAATCAAGTCCTCTGTCTCTTTTGTCACTATCTCACATATCTTTCATTAAAACATGACTGCATATAGTTTATTATTCAAGTAAATTTATAAATATACATATATAAATCCAGAGCTCCTAATCAGAGGGAGTAACTGTCTTGGTTGTGTGACTACTAGTGTCCCATCATGGTCTGATGCCGTTCAAAAGAAGAAATTCTTGTTTTACTGTTGCTGCTGTAAAAAGCAACATCATAGGAAATCAATAAAACTTTTCTGTGTGATTAAGATTGTTTGGTGACTGTCTCTCTTTGGGGTTGTAGTTATACTGCGTAGTCTGTGTTTCTCTTGGCTCATGATTATACCAAATACTAGTATAAGGTAATGGGCTTTAGACAGAGCGTGACAAAAAGTTAAAAGGGATTGCAAATGCACTTTTACCCAAACTATCCATGATCAGATGAGGCTGCTTATCTTTTTTTAACACCTAAATCAGCCATTTGTTAGTCTATCACACATATTTTTCATCATTCTTACTCCACTTCTGTCGATCAGATGTAGGTTATTGGTTACAACATTACAGTCCAACTATATCTCTGAACATTTCACCAATATTGAGTGGTAGTTAAGCTAATTGGGATTGTTTACACTGAGTAGCACTGAGAGACAGGTATTACAAACTGGGTAGTTTGACAAGTGTAAGTTTTTTACTGTAACTTAATGAATCCAGTGCAAACAAATGTAATATCAAATCAAGGCAAAACAAAGTAAGCTTAGTTTCAACTACACATGGTTAATTATTGTGACAACCAGTTATGAATATCATTAAAAGGACTGGCACCCAACACTGATATTGACCTTTTATTTCACATCACGACTCCTGCAGTTGCATCTATGAAAGCAACTGCTTTGTCATTTCACAGCATGTGAAGGGAAAGGGACTCTCATATAATGGAGAAACCCCGTGAAAGGCTGTAAGGGTTTTAGGCCAAGACAGAAGGAAGAGAGAAAAGCAGTTCCAGTACATTTAGCCTCTTCAGGGAGGAAGAGCCATTTGGAATAATGAGAAATCAGAAACGCCAGCACATTACTACTACTGGGAGACATACGTAGGTTGAACTTCAAATGCCCCGATGATCCAGTTTACCGTGTCAAACTGTTTTTCCAGGATTTATATTTTGCACTCTGAAAACGAGGATGTGATTGCAACCTCATGAAAACTAACAGTTTATGCAGAATTATGTTAAAAAAAACTCATTTACAACAAAACACTGAATAGTCCATCTGTATATGACACAATCAATTTCTTAAAGGCCCATATAAGACACGCAGTTCCCTTTTCGCAGTAATTGTTTTTTAAATTATTATCTTTATTTTATGCACCATAACTCCACAATTGCACAAACTCTCTCAACTCAAGTATCAAAATCGAGTCTCTGCACTGCATGCTGCTTTACATTTTTTCTAGCATAGATGGGATCCTTTCATTTAAAGACCAGCAAGGGAGCTTTGAACAGTCACGCACATTTATTGATCAACAGGCAACATTTAGATTTCACAGCAGTCTCCTAAAAAAGTTTTCACATGATGATGGTACTCGAGGTGTTACCACACACAGGCAGTTATGTAACTAAAATGCACACTTGTCTGCTCATAGGGTCCTCTTAACAGTTGTGGGGATTTTAAACTGATGATAACACCGTTTTATCTCTGCTATGGTAATAAAATGACTCCTAAAGGAGACCTCATGCCTTATAACTTCTCACAGTGATACTGTTAAATGTTTGTGATAGCTATTTTGGGGCAGATACACCAAAACTTCTCACTAACCTGCAGGACAACTAAAGTCATATGTGTTGTCGTATCATCTTAGACACAGCACAAACCTGAAAGCAGATCTCAAATTCCTGACAGCCCTGACTAATGACAGGGAAGACTGATAGCGGACTTAGACAATGTCAATTAACTTCTATCAAGGAGGGCTCATACACCAGAAAACGATAATGTTACAATTTAATTTAGCAGACGTTTTTGTCCAAAGCGATGTGCATTTGAGAGCAAATGCAACATAAGCATGATCTCGACAGAGGGTAACAACACAAGAAAGCTTTAAAAACTGCATAAAAAAAGGCAATTGTTCATATAGTGCTATCACTATATGAAATGTATAACCCCCATTAACCAAAGTAAATCACAATCCAAATATTACTGTTGTTGTTGTTGTTAATAATAATGATAATATTAATAATAATAATAATAATAATAATAATAATAATAATAATAATAATAATAATAATAATAACAATGAGGATATTATTATTATTATTATTATTATTATCATTGTTTGGGTTGTTTTTGAAATTAATAGCAACTGACATGAAATATCTATTTTCAGTTTTTTATTGACAATCAATTCTCTCGTTTTTTTTTTTCTCATTGATTTTAACTACTCATCCCACAGATCACCCACTCAACATCATCCACTCTTAATGGCCTGTTCCGGTTAAGCTGTTAAGCAAAAATATCGATTAATTATCTTAATTGTGAAGTGCACCCTGACCCTGTACAAACAATAACAAGGCACTGGCCCTTTAATCCTCCTCCAGTAGCTGGACCAGCGTTGTCTGTCTAAATAGCAAAGTTAAATGAGAACTCAAACCGGAAACACATTTTATCTACCTTCAAAATAATGTACATCTTACTCTACAGCTTAATCCACAGTTCGTTACATATGGTAAGAATAGTAAAACGCGTGTGTTTTTTATAAACGGTCTTGGTTAGAAGTATATTGTGACTTTAAAGTTGAGCAAAAGTCGTCTATAGACGTGAACTTAGCTTTAGTTAATCATTATTTCCGGAAGTTGCATGTTCTTACCTGCGTGATTGAAACACTTGACGATAAAATAGAAAAAAACGCACGAGACATCAGAGTCGGTGGGACGCTTGTCTCGTGGTGCAGAAGATATTTAAAGATTCTCGCCTTTTTTATAATTATTTTACCTTCAGTAATATAACCTTCAATTTGCGCGTGTTTTTTCTTCCTCCGCTGAAGCTCGTGTGCTGATGAAGGCAGCTACCGTTTCACTGGACTGGTGTATCAAAGGTGCGTGTGCCCGACTGTGTTTGTAATAGAGTGCTCGTTTAAAAACAAAAATCATTATTTTCGACCGTAATTAGCCGCTTATGCCACAGCAGCAATACTGTATTACTCATCGACGAGCGCGCGCGCGTGTGTGTTTGCGCGAGCGTGTGTTTGTGTGTGTTGCGATCGTTCGCCATAATGCTTTGTTAGTCAAAAGCATAATAAGAAGACCCCCCCCCTGCGAATTTATGGGTGCATTTGTGAGTGCAAGCTTATGGTTGAGTCATGGTATTTTACAAACATAGGGTATCACAGATTTAAAAAAAGATTACAACCCATTAAAAAAAAAAAGCTCGCGGGTGCTTCAGGTGACGTCAAAAAATTTTACATTTTTTTTTTACAAAACGTGACAACGCACTTCACATCCCACCAAACCAGACCCTCTCTCAGACAGTTTTATATTCATGAATATTAATATTACAGCGTACACCACTGGAAAGATAATCACACAAATCTATTCCTCAATTTAAAAAATACTAATAATTATAATCTAAACAGGAGAAATATGAGGAGAAAGAAAACAAATTTTGTTTTAAAGCTCAAGGAAAACTTCTGGAAACAAGTTAAAATTGGCACCTTTGCTACAGATAGGTTTGCAACATCATGACCACATTTGTGGGCGTGTGTGCACCTGGCAAGTGGCGACAATTTCTTTCCATACATGCAGCAGAACAGATGGATGATGGTGGGTGTCAGAGGGAGGAGGGGTGAGATGAGGGAGGGGCAGAATAAATAAGGGAGTAAAAGAGGGGGTCAGGAAGAAGAAAGGGAAAGGAAGAAGGAGGGGACATCGAGATCCCTGATGACTAAGAGGAAAAAAAGAGGAGAGTGTGAAAATAGTGAGGAAAGATGAATGAGAGGGAATTAATAGATAGAGGTAAGAAAGGGACATGGAGGGCACAGCTGGAGTCTAGAGCTTATTAATGTCTGTCCTATTGTTCTGTATACGTTTTCATTTAGCTTACTAGCAGCTTGGACTGGTAGAGTTGTGTGTTTGTGTGTGTGTGTGTACAAGTCTGACAAAAGGGCCAGTTTTCATGGCAGCCATTAATTGTTGTAGCAGCACAGATAGATAGATAGATAGATAGATAGATAGATAGATAGATAGATTTCATTACAGCTCAAACTGCCTATGGTGTTGTGCTTATTGTCATGGAAATGTATACATTAGTCATGCCCACATTCCCCCACACCCTCTCTCACCTCCTTTTTAATTTTCTTTATCCCCTCCCTCCACTTTTGGATAATTATTTCTATAACTATCACTGGAGCTCAGCCCCTCCATACTGCACCTGTGTTATTGTATGTGTGAGTGTCTTTGTTGTGCTGCGTTTTGGTGGAAAACTAAGGCGGTTATAAGTGATTGCTGCTGTCGGATCAAGAAGATTAAAACAGTCCAGGCATGAGAGTGGGATTCATTCTCTCATCTAACCCTAGGCTAAAGCTAATTATATCATTTCTGTGCTGGCTGGAGTTTCCCCCTCCACAGTGGAGAAAGTGCTTTGCAGCCACAGCCAGTGTTTCACTGCACAGCTGCAGTCGCATAGTGTAAAAGGTTAAGTATCTTGTTTAAGTGAACTTTAGCTGTTCAGTATCTTCATTTCTCTCTGCGAGAAAGCAAACACATTTTCTCTATAGGTCAAAGAGGTACTTAAATTTCAAAAGTGTAGACTCATAACCCTCTTAATATTTTTTCACTCACTGTAACAATGGACTTTGTACTTAACTTAAAACCCACTCTATCTTTCCCTCATCTTTCTCTCTCAGATTGACTGAAACTTTACCATGCCTGTGGCCTCAACTAAGACAGAGCCTGGTGAGACCAGACATCTTCCTCTTCATAAGAGCTTTATTGATACCCTCTATCATGTTGGCTTTAACAAAAAAGCTCCTCACTGAATACTAAAACAAGAATTTCTCACTGAACTTGTTTCAGTAATGTTTCAGCCATGTAACACTTGAGTGATGTGGAATCTCCATTCTGAGCTGCCTGTGAAACAGCTGCAGATGTAGCGTTTAGATGATGACTGTTATACAAGAGCTTCAGTGTAAAAATCATGCTGTTTTCAAAAATCAGTGTGAGGCTCAAACCCTCTTCAGATTTCACTTGGACATGGAAAGGCAGTAAAACACATGAGTTATTCTTTTTTTTTTAGCAATAAACACTCTAAATGTTACCTACTATAAAGTTAAAATGTCAAAGAAGGGCAGGAAGCGATGCACACTGGCGCACTTAGCTTCCTCCCCATGAAATGCTTCATTCTGCAGGAACACTGAGAATGACATTCAAGCCTTATACAAATGCAGGGTTGCTGTTATTGACTGTTTCAGGTCTACTCTAACAATAATTATAAAAACTGAAATCACTCTAATAAAAGAGTACTGCTGTAGAAAATAAAAAAAGACATTTGCCGTGTGATAGTGTATTAGATTTTTAAAATTATAGAAACATAGTAAACTATATTCCCAATTTGAGGAGTTAATTTAATTATATTGGGGACAAAATACAGCAATGTATAAACATGATTCTACAATGGGCAGAAATTGCACTCTAGAGAGGCTTAAACCAACACATATGTTGTGTGAATTTACATGTGGAGTGTTTTGGTCCTCAGGCAAATTATACTATAAATATATATGTATACTTTATTGTAAATTCCAGCTTATAATTAGGGGTTAAGAGGCTGAACAGCCACATAAAAAACTGCAGATAAGTAAATATAGTTGACTCATACAATTACAGGTACCCATTACAAGCTTGTATTGCCAGAAAGGTGCTGTTGTTGTATTCTGTCATTTTCCTAGCTTCTTACTCATATGGTCTCTTTGTGTGTGGGTATGTGTTATAGGGCCCCAGGCCTTGGACGTGATGAGTGACAGCACAACCAGCTCCACCACAGCCAATGACCTGGACCTCATCTATCTCAAAGGCATCATGGAGAGCCCTCTGGTGGGATACACAAACAAAGTCACACTTTGATCGTCTGTTTATGAATGACTCATCATCTCTAACATGATGTTGTGTGTATATGTGTGTAAGGAACAAGAGGAGAGCCTAAAAGAGGTGCGACTGTCCCCGGTGAGAGAGAACAATGTGGAGCTCCTGCAGGAGATCCTCAGAGATCTCGACCCCTTCACGAACCGCTCCGACACTGCTGCTGAACTAGCCCACATACTCACACAGCCTCATTTCCAGGTGCAGAAAATGTAGCCCGCATTATAAAAGTATAGAGGACGAATTTAACACCAGCTGAAATTCCTTCAGTTTGGATGATATTTTAAAACTATGGATTAATGGTCAGTGTGTGCAGTGCTCACCTGTGTTCAACTTTGTTGGTGCAGTGACGTAGGGAGGTATGCATCCTCTGTAGAGCTGTTAGAGAAGCAGAGAGCATAAGAGACAGTGCGTTAGCACATAAGCAGGGACCACTGTGTCCAACTCGCAGAGTGTTTTTTCAGTGTTTGTTCAGCTGCTCAGGCCACTACTACGAAATCATTTCGAACTCTTCAGCAAGATGTGAGTGGCTCCTCCAACCAACTGTAGATGAGATGGGACTGGTTACCAGGGTACCCAGGTGCTCGACAGGTGACCATAGAAATAGAGAAGCCCATTTACTGGACAGGAGGAAAGTCACTGATATTTAATCAAAGAAGTTGAACACAGCTTTATATTGGGGGAACATTTGCATTATGTTTGTTTGTTTTCTTGAACCTGACGTCCAAATTTTGCTCAAAATACCACAGATATCAAACGCACCAAATAAAAGGCAGATAGTTCTGTATTTTCAGATTTTTTTATGCTTTACAGTAATTTATCTTCTTTCTTTTTCCTGGTCAGTCTCTTCTTGAGACTCATGATTCAGTGGCATCCCAAGCATGTGATAGCCCACCTCCCAGCCCGTGCGATTGCGTGGATCATGAGCTTGAGGACGGCCACAAACACAACACACACCCGCCACCTGATGCAGTACGCATGGTCGGCATACGCAAAGTGGCGGGGGAGCATCTGGTGAGTAAATGAAGGCAGAAAAACTAATTTAGCACAACCTCATTCTTCAGTGCTGTGATTTTTTTTGTTAATAATAGAACAATAAACTACAAATGACTGTGCTCTAGGGAGTGACATTTAAGATGGAGGGAGGTGAGCTGATTATCGCCCGTATCCTCCATGGAGGGATGATAGATCAGCAAGGACTGCTGCATGTTGGAGATATAATCAAAGAGGTAAGGAAGTGTTTTCTTTTCTGAGCTGTCGTCCATTAAAGGTCCTCCAAATGTGGACATCAATATGTCTCTTCAGAAAAGTTATTTTATCTTATGTGTTGGCAGGTGAATGGACGAGAGGTGGGCCAGGACCCGAGGGTGCTGCAGGAGGAGCTGCAAGCAGCCAGTGGAAGTGTAGTACTGAAAATACTGCCCAGCTACCATGAAGCTATTCCACCAAGACAGGTACAAACACCACATGGAAAACTAGACAATATTGTTTTAATGCCACTGCAACACAGACCCATGTCTATGTGTTCTCTTCTCAGGTTTTCTTTAAGTGTCACTATGACTATGATCCTGCAAATGACAACCTGATTCCCTGTAAGGAAGCAGGCCTAAGGTTTGAGACAGGAGACATCCTGCAGATAGTCAACCAGGACGACGTCAACTGGTGGCAGGTGGGTGTAAAAATCCTATGATCTTGAGTGCATATAAAAGTCGTATGTGATGATATGACTGAAATCTGTGTGTTTTTAATCAATGCTTGTATGCTGTCGATGTCTGTGTTTGAAACAGGCCCGTCATGTGGAGGGAGGAAGCACAGGGCTCATTCCCAGTCAGGTGTTAGAGGAGAAGAGGAAAGCATTTGTCAAAACAAATATTGAGCTCCCACCGGCAGGTAATCGTCAAATGAGAAATTGACCAAGACAGAGGGCATGTCAGTTACTCCTTTAAGACGCTCAGCTGTTTCTACCTGTTAGACCAACAGAGGCTTAGCACCACTGTAAGTGACGCTATACTCTGTTTTTGTCACAGGAAATCTTTGCACTGGTGTTGGAGGGAAGAAGAAGAAGAAAATGATGTATGTGACGACCAAAAATGCAGGTGATAAAGCTCGACTTTTAAACCATGCTGTACTTTGTTGGACCCTGTGAATAATTGATGTCTGTTTTTTTAAATGCAGTTCTTACTTCTCGCTCTTCTTTTTGTTTTCCATTACTATTTTCATTAACTCTGCAGTCTTCCTCCTCTTCCTTTCCTAGAATTTGACAGACATGAAATATTGCTCTACGAGGAGGTGGCCAAAGTCCCACCATTCAAGAGGAAAACTCTGATTTTGATTGGCGCCCAGGGTGTCGGGCGGCGGAGACTCAAGAACAAACTTCTACTGAGAGATCCTTTACTTTTCGGCACCACCATTCCATGTATGAAGTCTATTCGGCAAGATATTTAAGAGCTATAACACCAGAGATTTGTTTAAATGTCACTTATCAATTCCTAAACTATAGCATTCACAAGACTAAATGAAAAGCTGATGGAAAGGAATTTTAAAAGGACAAAGCAAATTAAGCAAATTGGGTTATCAAAGGCCCGTGGCTGAGGAATAAATCTCTGGGGCATCAAAATGAGACTGCACAACTTCATCCCCACCCCGAGAGACTTTACTAACACATGGTTAACACCCCCAAACATCTGGATACCTTCATGCTAGAGTTAGTAAAAGCTAAGCCCAACTACTTTAACAGCTCCAGTAACAGATGTATTGAAACAGTTATTGGGCACAATGTCTTCTTGTTCTTTTACTTTATCTGTTGCTTTTGGGTCTTTGTGGGAAAAAAAAAGAAACCATCCTCACATGCAGCCGCTAGGCGTTAGCTAAAGAGGATCCCAACCCTCACACCAAGACTTGACATGGTGTCATTGCCACATGGTCGTGACCAATTTCAGGGAGCAACAGTCATTTTTAGGCATCTATCAAACGCTGATTTCAATTCATCCTCTGAAATTGTTTAAATACAGATACAAAGGAACAATGATAGGATGGAGATAAGTTTAGATAAAAAGAGAGAGAGAGTATATGAGGCAGAGGCATGGTCAGGAGAGAAGTGGGGTTGTATAACAGAGAGAAATATCTAAACTCTCGTCCCTGATGTTGATCTGCTGAAGAGGTGATGAACTCAGTGTGGTAAATCGAGTCTCTTTGATACACGCGGCATGGAAACAAGTGCCCTCTGTCAACATCTAGAAGACAGACTTTCATACTGTAGTCAGGGCTGTTTCGCAGCGGTAGGCTACGCCGTACCGGAAAGACTTAAACAGCAGTTTATAGCCGGTACGAAGCGTTAAGCAAACTTTCCCCCCTGCAATGTATGTAGGCTACATTAGCTTACCGTGTTGCGGCACGTCAGTCTGCACTCTGCATTGTAACCGTAGTAATCCAGTAGGACCGTGCTGCTCGCGAGTGAGTCGTACTTGTTTCCGCAAACAAACAAATTCCGAGAGAGCGCTCAATGCGCACTTTTGATTGGACGCTGGTTGCCTTGGCGCTGGAGACCGTCTTCCGCCTTTTGCGGAAGGAGGGAACTTTTAAAGAGACCGCTACTTCAACTTTTAAGGCAGAAATAAAACAAAATGCTGAGAAATTTTGATTTTATGTTCAAGAAAAAGAGAGATGCAGCAGATGATGATACTGTGGAATCAGAGTTGCCACCTTGTTAAAGGGATATGAGATGAATGTTGCCGACCGCTGCGTCTCTAGCTATACCAACTTTAGTAATGACCGCAGATAGCAATACAGAGTGCCACACGCTCAACCAAAACGCCACTCTATAGCCACAAATAATGCTCAGAACAGCACCTAACTTCATCAACAGTACATATAGGGTCCCAGCCACAGCACTAGCCACCAAACATCTTTTTAACTTTGCCTGATTTCTTTAGCAAAGAGACTAAACACAACACACCTAACCCAACACCCCAACAGCTGCACTCCCCCGCTGAAACAGTTGTACTCTAAGATGGAATAGTCGTCCATCAAAGTTTGTAAATACCACAAAAATGTAAAAGGTCTTGATTGTTTTTTATTGGGCCTGCATGCAGAAATAATGGATCTGTTATCGATCCCACAGACACCTCAAGAAAGCCCAAGAAGGAGGATCGTGAGAGCCGGATGTATGCCTTCACCAGTCGCAGCAAAATGGAAGCCGATATCAAGAACGGATGTTATCTCGAGCACGGGGAGTACGATGGCAGCTTGTATGGTATCAAGATTGACTCCATACATGAGGTGGTGGAGGCTGGACGCGTCTGCATATTGGATGCTAACCCTCAGGTACGCACACAAGAAGCAACTGAAAATTAAATCAAACTTTTGAGCTGTTGTGGGTTCAAACACTTAGTACAATTTACTCTTAATTATTCTACTTTATTGCATGTTTTTAAGCATATATATTATGTGTTAAACCTTTGTGAGTGTGGTTTGAACTGTCAGTGGATCACCAAGAATAGCCTCAAAAGTGTGTAACCCAACTTGAGACTCATGTGCTCTGCTTAAAGGCAACTTTGATAAGCAGATCCTAGTTTTAAAACTTTTCATCGTTATCTGCTTCTTATGTTCATTTTGTTCCAGTCTCTCAAAGTGTTGAGAACCTCAGAGTTCTTGCCCTATGTGGTGTTCCTTCAGTCTCCTGACTTCGAAGTGCTCAAGGCAATGAACCAGTCAGCTGCAGAGGCAGGAGTGGTTACCAAGACCCTGACAGTAAGAATCACTCAAGTTTCTTTCAGGAACATGAAGAGAGAGTGAAACCCTCGTGTTCAGGAATCGGCGTGAAAATGTAAACGAATTAATAATGTCGTGTGATTTTCATCTTAGGACGGGGAACTGCAGAGGACCTGCGATGAGAGCGCCAAACTCCAGGCGGCCTACGGTCACTACTTTGACCTCAGCATAATCAATGACAACCTGGATGAGACCTACCGAACAGTCAAGGCTGCCTTGGAGACGGTTTCTAAAAACCCCCAGTGGGTTCCTGTCACATGGGTTTTCTAGAGAGCAAAGGAGAGAGAGAATATACTGCTGTGTAAAAAGTGGATTTTGTAAAGATGTCTTTGTCTTCAGACTCATAATTTGATCTTATCTGATCAAAAGCCAAGCATTCAAAATCTTTTTAGCTTAGCAATACATGCCGGAGAGATATCCTCTATTTAAACAAGAACATATTTTTCCATACGGGATGAACTTGAAGGAGGAAGAGAGAGGAAAAGTTTAGATGAAGAAGGCCAAAATGTCACAGATTTTACGTATTGATACTTAGTGTGTGTGCGCGTGCGTGAGAGTGTGTTTGGGTATCTTTCAGCGTATGGATTTTAAAGCAGACACTTTTGTAGTTTAAATTATTTGTGCCATTACTGAAGATCATCAGCAGATTTCGTCACTGTTTACATTCAATGATCAGAGAGTTACATCTGATCTGAGGGCTAGCCGATATAACCAGCAAAACCTGATCATTTGATCCAAAATTTAACCTCGAACATTGAGGAAAGATTGAAGAAGCAAATTTAGTGCTATCAGGTGCCAATGATAAAGGCAAGCCTTATAGTCCATCTGTGTTCTCAGTTGTCTTAATTATCTTTATTTTAAGTTGCACATCGGAGCTGCACAGTTCAGTATTAATAGAGTACAGTGCACATGTGTCATAGTCAAATAGCAGGAGATGTGATGTGGCACAAAGGGATAGATTAGACACAGAGGTTAGAGTTCAACAAGTTGCTTACCTGCACTCTTGCGCTGGTCTTTGTCAAACAGAGAGTTAAGAAGGGTGTAGTAGGTTAGACTAACGTGGCAGCTGGATACAAACATTATAACCTCTGTATAGAAACTTTCAACCTTTATTCCAATGGACTTGTTTGCTTTTGCAGGTCATACAGCAGCATCCGTGTTCATTTCAGTCTGTTTTATAAGCCTGTCTTCAACCATGCAAACCTCATAGTGTTTTCAAAAAGTCATGGAGCGTACATTAAAAGTTTCTCATGTGGTAAAACATTTTCCACTTCATGCACTGAGCCAATGACAGTGCTATCTTGATTTATGTGAAGCAGATAATGAAAACATTCAACCAAAAACACCTCTCTGGGGCAGGGAACCCGAATTGAATTTCCCACTGGGGATCAATAAAGTTCTTTTTATCTTATCTTATGTGGATAGCATGTGATATAATACAGTAGATACTGTTTAAAATGAGTGTGATGTGACATTATCGCCGAGTATGAACAGTATATGACACTTTGAGTGTTGACTCATTATATCAGCATAGGCATGTAAATTGTCGCAGCATAACACAAACTGAAAAAGAGGACAGGTCGTGTCTGCCCTTTGGGCCACTGTGCATGTGATACTGCTTATAGTGCCAACTGATGAATGCTCTTTGAGCAGCTTGTTTTTACTCTGATATTGTGGCAGCTACTGAATGCTTTTTAATGCACAATGAATTGTTCAGCTATAAGGGGAGAAAAAGTGATGCTAGAGGAGGCCTTTTAGGTGCTCTTTGTTTTGTAAAATTTTTATTCCTGCTCTAGTTTTTAAAAGTGGCTTGTACGTAGCAGATATTGTCCGACAGCTATATTTACATCTCTGTAGTCTTGGTGTTGTGACACACCACATTCGTTAGTCTCTTGAGGACATTCCTAAACCCTGCTGTGTCCCTTGTTGATGAAATTTCACTGATGCCATAAAAACCTTTATTTGCTGTAACTTTAATAATGTACATTTAGGTACAACCATGATTACAGTAGTTAAAGTTTCTTAGTTTTTTTAATGCAGTTCCTATAAATTAAGGATTGTTGGCCTTGTGTTACTACATTAGGAGGCTGATTCAAGTTGAGTCCAAATTACTGGATATTTTTTCTGTTTATGTGCTGAAATTTTAGTATTGAAGGGCGTTATGCAAAATGCTGCATACCAAGAGGATTTGATCTTTGAAGAAAGAAACTCACTCTAAGTCATCAGTGTTATAGACTTGATGTACGGTATAGACAGCCCCTTTAAACTCTGTTGTCTGAATTTTGCATAAAACCCTTCAACTCTGGCTCTGCGTTCAAACATGGCTCTCAAATAGTCACACAATCGAACCTGAACCTTTGTAATTTTGTTGTAGAGCTTCTGGGTGTATAGTTAGACATTGTTCATAATTCTGTCTGTACTGAATAAATATTTAATTTGATCATAATTGTGATTTAATTTTCTAAATGTAAATAAATCATTTTCACAGACAACAGACACAGTCTTCTTCTCAATTTCAATGCACTAACGCTTTGCTGATTTAGTTTTCCTTGATGCGAGGCTGCTTTTGCCTTTATCATAAATACATAGTTAATTTTAGAAAAGTAAAGTTTATTTACTAAAATAAGTGTAATTGGATAAGTGGGAGCTGAGCCGACTATTTTCTCTCATTATGTCAATATCTTGCATTTAAATCTGACTGTAAGTCTGATCCTGCTCAAGGTTTCTGCCTGTTGAAAGAAAGTCTTTCATTTCCACTGTAGCTAGTGGAAGTACTGATAGTGAAGCTTCCTAACTTAAAATATACATATATAAATATATATACCATTTAAAGTACATTAAGCATCACAAAGTTATTTAGGTATGGAGGATGAGAACGGCCGTGGATTTTTCTTTTTTTATGCATTGTTATTCGTGATAACGACTTATTATCTCGTTATCTTGACGTAACAAAGATCATTTTCTCATGATAACAAATTAATAATGTGTCTATCATTGTTAATGTTAATGTTTGATTCACATATGGCAGTTAAATGCTCCCATGTTGTGTAATGCGCATGCGCAAAGTGGAACATCAAGTCAGCATTTTCACTGAAAAACCCGGCTTGCTGTTGACGTTGGCTACGGTATTTCAGAGACATCCTACTCTGACGGGCAATTTTAGCGTTTTTTTTTTTTTTTTTTTACTGTTTTCAATCGGCTAAAACGTCATATCCGTTATTACAAGAAAACGATCATTGTTATGTCGAGATACCGAAAAATAATAATTCATTATTATTTTTCGAAAAAAAAATTTTGTTATATTGAGAAAGCGGGGAAATAGTTATGAGATAACAGTGCATAAAAAAAAGAAAAATCCCTGACCATTCTTGTCTTAAGTATCTAGGGCATGTTACATCAATATCAACATCATCTCACATAATAAAGTTAATTTGTTTTAATTTCTTCTCACAAAAAGTCTTAGTTCCTTCATTCGCAGAATCATTTTTGAAAATGCAAATGAATGGCCTCTTCAAAGTGCAGTTTAGGTGATCGTGAACTTTAACTGGTAAATTCATGTTCTTTAGCCCATCATGAAATTCCACTGCCCCAAAAAAATTCCATCTCAGTTCTAAAAGCATCTTTGTTCAGTATCATACAGAGGAACCTAGATAATGTCAGCCACGGTTATACATCTATAAAATACAGTAACCTGAGGGCTTTTTTCTAATCAGCAAAAAAATCAATGTTTGATGGGAACACCACTCTGAAAGTGAAACAGCCATCTCTCTCTTCTCAGTCAGTCACATGTCTTAAGTATGGAGAATGTATTATCTGCTCTATGAGACGTTGGAATTACCAAAACGTCATGTGTTATGTCCACTGACGTGCTGCCTTTATCTTAATAAGCACTTTTTCTCCTTCTCCCTCCCTCCACCCCTTACTTTTATTCTCTCCTCCCCTGCAGTTTTGTCTTCTTTTTAAAGGAAAGACATTTTTAGAAGTTACCTTTTCATCTTCCCTCTCACTCCACTTTGGATTTCATCTTTTGGTCCTACCTTATCCTCCTATTCTCTGATTTTTTGACTACTCTCCCTGTATTTCTTTTGCTTTCATTTCTACTGCTCGTTCATTTTCATACTCTTGTCAGTGTTGTACTGTAGGCAGACTATGTGGTGGTGGCTGCTAGGTTTACTGAGCTGCGTGTTGCTGGCAGCAGTTGTCATCTTCTTTCTGATCAGTGGGAAACGCTACAAGGTGTTCAGTGAGAAGTGCCTGAGGCCCCCAGGACCCTTGGTCACTGATACCAAAGAGAGAGATGAGAGGCTGAAGAAAGGTAAGAAAGGTTGTTCCTGATGCACAGTGTGTCCGCACGATCACTACTGTGAATATGTTGAGTGTCGATGTTATATCGGAGAAGATTGTCTGCATTTGTCCTTAAATACAACAGAGAACAGAGAAACAAGCATGGGTCTGGTACAGTAAGGGTTGTTATCAGGCTCAATTAATTTCTATCTTGCCTTTTCGGGCAGCTTTTTGTGAGTCTTTTTCCACTTAAAGCTCCTGTGAGAAGCTTTCAGTTTATGTCAATCTGGCGCCCCCTGTGGACAAAGGAGTCTTTGCATACATGCTTAAGTAGGGCCCTCTGACAAAAATCTAAACCCGCTGCCTTTTGAAAGGTAAATTTATCACTTATTGTGAATTATTGTGAATTATTTATGTAGACGTCTTTAATTAGGGCTGTTTCTTTGGTTGCTTGGCTACGACCTACCTCCTTGCACCAATTTGAGGCCTTAAAAACTGATGTTTAAAATTTGTTAATCTTGTCACAAACTGTCTTGTTAGCATTTGTTTATCATAAACAAGGTTAGATATGAGCTTCAGCCTATTTCATAAACATCCAAAAACTCCTCACAGGAGCTTTAAACCTGTCAACAAAGTTGCAACAGGCTTAACCATGGAGAAGAGGATTTGGCTCTCAATGACAATCAGATTTAAGGTTTTTCTTTCTGCAAAAAGGGTTAATTTATGATGCTCTACGTGGATGTGAATAACATACTTAACTCCTGATAGACTTTTAAGGTGCAGATCTTTTTCTGTTCCCTCGACACAGAGGTTAATTTTTTGGGCAGCTACAGCATGTAATTGTTGTAGCTGCTCTGTAACTTGTAAATACTTTTAAAATGACTGCTGGGATTGTCTGATAAGTACAAGAGAGGCCTTCGATGTGCAATTTGACCATTCTTCCATGCTCATAAAAGAAACTTCAGTGAACACTTCATGCCACTATCCCTTGTGCCTCTCTTGAATGTAATACAATACAACCATATTGTTCATTCATGTTTGATTTGGCTCTGTAGATTTTTTGTCAAGTAAACATTTTTTAAGAAAAATCTTTTAACATTTCATTGAAGACTAAGATGTGTGATATCCCGCAGGATTTCGAGTCGACAGCGTTCCCCCCGCTTTGGATGCTGTGGTTATTGGGAGTGGTGTGGGAGGTTTAACAGCAGCAGCACTTTTGTCCAAAGCCGGTAAAAGGGTCGTCGTTCTGGAGCAACACGATCAGGCTGGAGGCTGCACACACACTTTTCAGAATAAAGGATTTGAGTTTGATGTCGGTAAGGCTGAAAGTAAACGCACATCAACACACACAAAGTATTTTTTTATGTACCCTTGGAGCATCAGATTTTCTTCTGAATAAAACTTTAACATTGTTATTTAAGGAGTAATATGTTTAAGGAGTAGGAGGAGAAATCATAGCAGACACTTACTGTACTCCAGTTTCTTTCAACACTCTCCTACCATCACTTCAGGTATCCATTACCTGGGCCAGCTACATGAGAACAGCTTACTGAGGGTCGCCCTGGATCAGATCACAGATGGGCAGCTGCAATTCAGACGACTGGAGAAACATTTTGACACACTGATTCTGGGTCAGCAAGACCAACGCAGGTAGTAACTTCATAGACAAAGCCTGACAATGAAATATTATTCATTTGTTTTTTGTTTGTATTTCATGAGGCAACTAAAAGGCCCAGAATCCCACCCTTTAGGGGTCTTTACACAACATGGATTAGTAATAAATCTCACAAATCTAACCTCACTTCTCGTATTTGCAGAGAGTATCATATCCATGCTGGGAAGACAGAGATGGCAGATAGCTTGAAGAAGCAGTTCCCTGGAGAAGAGGACGCGATTAATGAGTTTATGAGACTGATGAAGGTAAATGAAACTGGAGGCATAATTTGCTAGTAGACAAGCAGGGAGACTGTAGAGAAAAGGCAGAGTTAAATATGCAAAAGGACAGCTGCATTATTACAATGTCCACCTGAAAGTGTCCCTTAAAGATTCAAATTCAGATCAATAACAAGCAAGATTTTATTTTCGACCGATCTAAAATGAATCGCAGTCGACTGTTGAAATAGAAACCAGAAACCAGCTGCTCAGAGAAGAACAGATACATTATTTTCAAGAAAGCAGTTGTTCAATAACACAGCTCCTCTGTTGGTCATCCTGGCACAAGCAGCATAGTGTGTGTACGGAGAGCAACATGATCCTGAAACCTCTCAGGGGTTGACAGAGAAGATCCAGATTCAAGCTTTGGTTTTTGTTTCACTTTTTGTATAAGGGGCAGTCATGTTTCTCTTTGATTGCATCTAGAGAAAAGACATCCCTGTATTATTTGGTTTTAAGCAAAAATAAACCCTGACAGTGATATGTGTATATTCACTGACATAATACCAGCTTTACGGTACTCTGGAATCCCAGGTAGGAACCATTCAAGAGTCTTAGACACTAGTAAAGTCATTGTCCAATCAGTTCCCATCAGGGTTTCTTCTGCTACACTTCATTAAGTTTGTTATTCAGGTGTTTTGCCTGTTCATATCACTTAACCTGCAGGTTTGTTTCTTCTTTTACAGCTTGCCTCACGGCGTACACCCCTTATCGCCATTTTGAAAATCTTACCGTACTGGCTGGTCAACTTTCTGATCAGGACAGGCTTATTACATTACATATCATCAGTGTTCCACCTGGCAGAGACCAACCATTCAGAAGTCGTTTCCCGCCTGACACAGAACAAGGACCTGCAAGCACTGTCTGCCTACCTCTTCTATGGTAACAGAAACACACACTCACATGCATCTTCTATCATACACTCTGAATTACCTCCTCAAGGGTCTGTAATGTGTGATTTCAGGTGTCCCACCAAAAGAGTCCAGCTTTCTCATCAATGCCCTTCTCCTTCACCACTACAAACGTGGTGCGTACTACCCACGAGGGGGCGCCAGTGAATTTGCGTTCCACATCATCCCTGTCATTCAACAGGCAGGTGGAGCTGTGCTTGTCAGGGCCCCTGTACAGCGCATCCTGCTCAACCAGCAAGGGAAGGTGTACGGTGAGGAGAGTAGTTGTAACAATACGGGATACTTAAAAATGTCCATCTTTGTAACTTACTTCTATTGACAAATATGAAATCCTTTGAATAATCCATTTTTGTTTATGGGGGTAAGGTGTGACGGTGCGTAAAGGGCAAGAAGAGATTGAGGTCCATGCCCCTGTTGTAATTTCCAATGCTGGGATCTTTAACACCTTTCAGAAATTTCTGCCTCAGCACATACAAGACAAACCAGGTAACTTTTAGGATGTGCTAGAGTCGTTTTGTGTTAAATGTGAATTTCTTTAACTTGTATCTATCTGCATTTTGAGCAGTTTTGAGAAATTGAGCTCAAAGTTTTGATGAATAATATATCCTAATATGATCTACCTTTCTTGTCCGTGATGTTCATGTGAAGCTGCTAAAGGGTTTGTGCATTTTTTCCCCACCTTTTTTCATGTGTGCATAGAGATAAAGTCGCTGCTAGGAATGGTGCGACATGGGATGGGTTCTTTCCTGGTCTTTGTGGGTCTTGATGGAACCAAAGAGGAGCTTGGGATTGTTTCCACCAACTTCTGGATGTATAAGGACAATGATTTGGATGTTTTGTAAGTTTTTTGGATAACATTAAATTCCCATTTTCTCACTTTCAACAACAATTGAATCAGTCTAAAGAGGTTTTTAATGATTCTGCTAAATTAATATGAGTCCTGTAAACACATCCACATACGATGATCAACTTCACTGATTGTTTTAGAAAGGTGGTTTTGCATCTGTTTGTCACTTTCTAACTACATGTTTGTGAATGTGTTTGTTTACACACGATAATATATTTAGAATGGAGCGCTACTCTTCGCTAGGCAGAGACGAGGTAGTGGGCAACATTCCCATGATGTTCATCACCTTCCCATCTGCCAAAGATCCTACATCGAATATCAGGCATCCAGGTAACTTACACGATACAAGAGTAAGTTCACTTCTTCAGGTCAGAGAACTCTTGTTATTTTTTTATGACGGCAAAGTTAAAAGAAAGTTGTGCAGCTTACAGGAGTTTCTCTTGGCAGAACTGCATCTCATCTCTCTTAGGATAAGACGTGCCTGTCTCAGACGGTAGGGGGACAGTGGCCAGCTCACATCTCGCCACATAAACACACTTGAGCCCCTGACAGTGTAGAAAGTAACCAAGTCCTTTCTGGTTTTGATTCAGCACCACAGAGCACCACAGTGTCCTTAGGCACCGCTCGCTTAACTTCTAGAAAAGAGGGTTTTGAACTCTTTAGCATCCTTTGATGACTGTTGCACTCAAATTGCGGGGTTTTGATGCCAGAAATATATTTTGCATGCATGGATTTTTATTTATGATCTAACTAGCATTCCTGGGAGGTGCTGTGTTGAGGCTTTTTTCACACGTGCATCCCTAAAAATAAGCTATAACTATTCATAGTTCTTCTTTTGAAGGTCACAAAGTTTGCAAGTGTTGCTATGGTTACTCACATCAAATACTGGCTGCAGCTTATACATTTGAAACAGTGAGTGGATTGTTTAATTGGAACTATATGAGAAGTTTTGTCGATGTCCATCTATCAAAAGTTGAAACCCAGCAGCCAATCCAAATTGAATATTCATGTAGTGGATGCTTAAAAGTTGATCTAACTGAAACTGCTCTATCTCACTTTATTTTGTTTTCATCTCTTTGCAGGTAAGTCTTGTATGACGTTACTCACCATGGCTCGATATGAGTGGTTTGAGGAATGGGAGGGAACAAAGCTCGGCAAGAGGGGAGAGGACTACACGAGTCTGAAAAACAGCATGGCCCAGGAGCTCCTGGACTGGGCACTTGTTATCTTCCCTCAGTTAAGAGACAAGGTACAGTCCATATAGTTATAATAGTTGTTCTGCAGCTAACATATTGGCAGGAGAGACATAAACCACAGTTTAAACCAGCATTATCAGATTTAATGAATGTTTACAGCATTTAGATTTAAAAAACTTACCTTGGTTCAATTTTTCAATTATATTTGATAATTATAAATTATTCATCCTACTTTGAAGAAATGTTTGCATGGATTAGATCATGAGAATTCACATCTAAACTACAAAAACTATATAAATGTGTCTTTCCAGGTGGTGATGGTTGATGCAGCCACTCCTCTAACTAATGTCCATTACTTGGGTGCTCCAAGAGGAGAGATGTACGGCGCTGAACACAACTTGGAGCGTTTCACCCCAGAAACGATTGCAAGGACACGACCGCAGACACCCGTCGATGGACTTTACCTGACAGGTGACCACATAAGATGGATTCTACAAAGACTGACTCTGAAACGCCTTCTAATATCTCTGTGTTTGTTTGTGCGCAGGTCAAGACGTATTCTGCAACGGCATGGCGGGGGCTCTGCATGGCGGACTACTCTGTGCTTCTGCTGTCCTCGATCAGATTCTGTACATTGACCTCCTGGCTCTAAAGAGGCGCCTCAAACACACACAGTTCAACTCTAAGCTGTTCTAGGAGCTGTGTTTGAGAATCTTGTTTGCACGCACCTTTTACATTTCTTGTCAATCTTGACCTTTTGGTTTTAGTTACAGTAAGACAAAGCCCTTTTGAGAATAGAGGCATGTGTGGGGAAGTAAATGGAAGCAATGAAAAACTCAAGTAAATAAAGGCGACTGATTCAAGAGTGAAAGAGAGGATGGAGGAAAACATTTTTAAAAATTACCCAAAATAAAGTGACATAAAGTTGATCAGTTCGAACATTCAATACTTTGTCTTTGTTGTGTATTCAGTTTTTATTCTCATTTCATTTCAATTTGATTTAAATTGGGGTTGTAAATTGTGTGCATATGTGAAATAAAGTGTGATTTATTGCTTCTTATAAAATAAGAATCAATATTTGTGTTGAATTATAACCAAAAACAAAGAATACTAACATGTCGTGGCAGCAGGTTGGACAATTTTTGGGGCTAAACTTGATTTGCTGCTTATTTTGTTCAAAACTGCACTTTGAAAGCTCAAAAACTCATCAAAGAGAGAGATTTACATATCTCAGACAGGATCTAAAGTAATTTGTCATACTGTATATACTTTCTTTTTGTGGTGCTGATGCATATCTACATGATTACAGTCATTCTAAGGAGCCCAATGGCATGCCTTGCAGTAAATGGACCACAGGCTGGACTGTGGTGAGCCTGGAGATGAGGTGTGACTGTTTTCTTGGATGATAGACGCGCTGTCAAACACAGCAAATTAGCAGCCTCTGCCATCAGTGTGTGAATGAGGTTTGAATGGGTGAATGTGAAATGTAAGGTTAAAGTGCTTTGAGTGATCAGAGGACCTGAAAAAACTCTGTATTAACAGAGTCTGCTTCCCATGTCCTCCGTGTCGTTATCAACTGTACATCGCTTCTCGTGAACTGACATGATAACAGAAATCCATGAGTGTGTCTTATGACGTAAGTACAAGAGAAAATCGTGCCTAGGCCTGTTCGAGCCTGGAGCAATGTGAGTGCAGGCTAGTGGGGGGCTGAGGGGGGGCACTCATACTTCAGCACTATAGGGCCGAGTCTGCATTCTATAAATCACTTTTACACTTTGAACTGAGCTTTTTCACATGCTTTTTACTTCAGCTATACACTATGCAACGAAGGCAGATAGTTTTACACCTCATGCATTTGCTTTACAAATCTAATACATGTGTAGATCAGCTGTTTACAGGGAATAACCTCAGCATGGATATAAACCAGCAAATGAAGAACTAGCATGTTTTGAAAAAACTCTATTGGCTTTGATTTGCAATTCACAGTTTGGCACTTTACCCCTTCTGTAAACATGACCTCCTCTGCAACCAGCCAGCAGGGGGAGCTCTAAATCTCTTGGCCTTAAAGGGATATCCCAGTGTGAAATTAATTTAGGGTCAAACACACCATAACACCGAGTTAGACACCCCCTTGAAAGACGAATGTTGCCAACCGCTTGCTTCTCCAGTTATACCAACTTGAGTAACGACCGCATGATAGCAATACACTCAAAACTGCACCTAACTTCATCAACAGTACATATAAGGTCGCAGCCACAGTACGAACCACAAAACATCTTTTTAACTTTGCCTTATTTCTTTACCAAAGAGATTAAACAGAACTTTGTTTGTAGCGAGACCTCAGGCCAGTCCATTACGGACAACAGCGGGTTGACGCGGCTCAAGGAAGAACATTTATCATCATTTACAAGTAACAATGAAAATATTTTTCACAACTTCCAGTGTGAAAGCCGTCCAGTCAGACACCAGATGTCAAGTGAAGGAGACATTAAGTAACAAAAAATGAAGGATAAGAAAGTATTAACCCAAACGGACATAATCACATTATGACTTTGCTCTGCAATATTCTGTAAACGGGGTATTTGGAGTGGAAAGCATCTCACTACGACACCCTCCCTGAGGGCAAAACGAGCACGCTCAGTTTTATAGTCTTGTAAAATCATCTCGTATTTTTGACACATCAGTCACAGTCTGTAAAATCATTACGAGAGCTTTTCCAGAAATCTTTTAATGATGTTCTCTTGGGGCTGTACCAATAAAACAAATACATATTTAAGATCTGATGGATACATAAAAATGATTAGCTTATATTACCACATTATCAGTGTCCATCATCCGGCTTGTTTCATTTTATTTTCGTCTTTTAGAGCGAAAAAAAATCTGGTGAAATTTGATGAAATTTGAGCTTTAAGGCCTTTAATTGTCTACACTCAGTTTGACCTTTTCCCAAACTGCACTCAATTCACAACTTTACATCTCATTTTCAGTCAAACCTAGAAGCACACACCTTTTAACCTCTCCTTTCCTTCAGGTAAACTCAGGTTAGCTTGACAATAGCCGACCTTTTTAACCTTAGCCCTCAGCTGCCTGTGGGTTCAGCCTGGAGACAGGTATGTGTTGCGTCCTGACCTCTGACCTCCCGGAATCAAGCGACTGCCGACTGAAAAGACAGTAAAAATCACTTCCACAGAAATATGTGTATGGATGTACACACATGAAGAATTGGGATTCAGAGTTTGGAAAGTGGACCCTCAGAGGGAAAGACTAAACATTCCCCTTCACAGTAGCATCCGCAGCACCTTCTTGATTCATGTAAAGTGCTTGAAATACCTACAATCAAGTTCTTAAATGCAATTTTTCAATTATCCCCACTCTTTGAAGTCACTCTGATAAACAGGGTTTAAAAGAAATGTCTCACCGGTTATCAAAAATATTTCCATTCCAGTGTTTTCGACAAGACGGATGCTATATTTGAACAATAGATACTATGAAATTATAGGCAAAACAAAAAGAACAGTTTTAATTGGGTGGTTCTAACAAGATCAAACATGTGCGCTGCAAGCTTTGTGGAGATAGGACGTACATTTCAGGTGATTGTACAGACAGACATGCAAATATACAGCCATATTAAGACAGGAACCATATAATTAGAGGAGATTTTCGCAGTGGTAAATGTGTGTTTTGTCAAAGTTATGCATGCAACACTTAAAGGGATTGAACGCTTTCGTGTGTAAACAGTTTTGTGTCAGTGGTATTAGATAACAAAGATGACTCAGTTTCTACTCGAGCTGTTTTTAACAGGTACTGCCTTCAAAAACCACAAAGTTACAGCCTGAGGAGTACTTGTTTGAAGGTTTGAGTTCTTCAGAGCTAACAGGAGCAGACTTGGTAGGAGGTTATTTTTCTGTTGTTGATGAGATATCCAGAGAAAGAGAGGAAATGTGGGAAGTAGAGAGTAGGGGGATGACATGCAGCAAAGCATCATGGCAGGAACTAGCAACTTCTTCTTCCTAAAGCTTTTGTGCATGAGGTGGACACATCAACATCAGGCCTACTGCCATCCCAGACTTGTTTCTATTAAATGGTGTTAAATCATCATAAATTCACCTCATATTGTAAAGAGATAAATTAAAATGTCATTGTAGTGGAAAAAGGAAAAGTTCACACATCAAGTTTTTGTGCTGTGTGTGTGGTAAGGTATTTATTATCATCTTTTACAAGCCCCCTTTAACATCTGTTTATGCACTGTAAAGGTGCACCAAATCAAGCTCTGTAATCAGCTTCAATCACAAAAGTTCACTCAGCAATTACTGGACTGCTAAATATATATTTACTTATTTTCCAAAAGGCACTGGTACACAGGACATCAGAACATGTGGGGTCTTATTTACTGTAGGTACAAAGTTGTACAAAGAAGGTACAGTGAGGAGCACCTGTCACTGGTATTTTATGTAAAAGAACACCTTGTCTTTTTAAATATAAAAACATATTTATTATTTCTTCTTGCTGTGAAAGACGATGCAAAGAAATAAAAGTGTGCAAGGCCCAGATTATGCATTGTCATACTCTCAAAGTTGGCCACTTTTTGCACTAGTGCCATGCAAGGAAAAGCATAATAATAACGCTAAAAGCCATAGTAGTCATCACCATCATCATCTGTATTGTCATTTCAGATGTTGTTGTACTTTTGTTAGGTTGGATTTGCACTCTAAAAGTTAGTTATACTATATACCATACTCCCCCCAGATCTGCAGCAGAACTGTACTTGTAAAAAAACTAAGAAGTATTCAAAGTCATTCTCAAGTTATGGTATGTATCATATTCCATAATGTCTACGGGCCTTTCCATCTGAATTGCTTTGGTATGTGGTGCCTGAATCTGTCGGCCGTGAGAATTCGGGACAGACATCAAGCTCTGTGTAAGAAGATATCTCTGGGCAAGTTGAAGCACGAGCGAAAACACACACACGCATACACACACACATGCACTTGCAGTCATCCACACACTAGTATTTACACATAGATTCACTGTCTGGAACTATCGAGCATTTCACAGGAAGTAGCCCAATTAAGCAGTCTCTGGGAGAGGGAGCGAGAACGACAGGAGGCGAACGCATGTGACTAAATTCCCACAGCTCCCAATGTGCCCCCCCATAACACACAGTTAACCAACCCAAGTCTAAAAGCCATGCATGTGAATCTGTGCTTTTAATACCTCTTACTCAAATAAACATGCTTCCAGGCTTATATCTGTAAAGGTACACCTTATAATTCTCCCAGGTTCAAGTTTGTTCATCTCTTGAGGTCTGTTTTTCCCCTCTTTCTCCCCGTCGTACATGCATCGTACATCCCCCCGTGGTTAGGAACGGTGGCTGAAGGAAGCTCATTAGCCCTGTGGCTCTGAACCAGAGAAGATTAATGTCACAGTGGCTTTTCATGATCCATACTGAGGCTGGAATGTGTGTTTGTTTGGGGGGGGGGGGAGTGGCAGTGGGAGTGGGCTACCTGACAGCAAACACTCTGCCACTACACTACTGCCTCTATAGAAGCAAATGGAAAGCTTCTTTAATGGTCATGTTTGGAAGTTTTCAGACACTGTTTGAAACTGAACCAAAGAACCAAGTTTGTTAGAGATTATGTTGATAGTAGAAATAGTGATAACAATAATAAGAGAAACTGAAATAACAAAAATGACATTAAGATATACAGTATTTGGTAAAGAAACAAGGCAATGTTTGTGGAAAGGCACTGTGAAAACTGACAACATATAGAAGTAAATATGTGCCATCTGATTTTGACTTTGAATGTCTAAAGCTGAGTTTTTTTGCATCAAAATCAGACTTTGAATTTCAAAACTATTGAATTTCAAGCATGCATTTTTATTCCTGACACTTTTTTTTTTCACAATGGTGAAATAAATTAAGTGTAAAAAAATTGGTCTCATAAAATATTTGTTTAGTAAAAGTTCAACTTAAAAAAAAATGTGTAAAAAAAAAATTCAGTGTCAAATAACTTAGTGTAAAAGAGATCGACTCAACATCCGGGTAATCTGGGAGAAGCAAACGATTCCTCAATCTTCCACTGGGGTCATTGTCACATGACCAATCCAGCATTATTTGATTGGCTGGACGATCAACGATTGAGCCAGGAATCGATTGTTTCTCCCGGGTTACCCGGATGTGGAGTCGGTCTGTTTTACACTGAATTTTTGGGCTGTTTTTTACACTTTTTTTTAAAGTTGTATCTTTACAAAACAAACCTTGTGAGAGATCAATCTTTTTTGCACTGGATTTATTTCATCATTGTGAAAAAATAAGTCTCAGAAATAAAAATGCGTGCCTGAAATTTGATGATTTTGAAATTCAAAGTCTGATTTTGATGAAAAAAAATCACCTTTAGAAATTTAAAATCAGATGGCACAGATCTACTTCCATAACTACACTTTATTTGGTTGTTTTTGTCAATTAAAGAAACTTTCCAAGGGCCAATTGATTACTCTGTTGATAGCATCTGTGATAACCATATTAGAAGTTGTAATTAAAAACTGTTTTTCAACAGTGTCCTCGTCTGACCCTGACTTTACTCCTAATCATCTCTAAATGTCAGAAAAAAAGAAAGCATATTTCTCTGTAGGTTACAATAAGTTTGAAATAGAGTCTGGGGGAACTGTACTTTCTGCCTTCACTTGTAGCCTCTGGTTAAAACTCCAGAGAAGCAGAAAATCCTCTATGGCCAGAGGGTAGCCAGCGGTGTGTGTATTAGGGGGGCAGAATTTCTATGGGGATTTTTTCCAGGTGTTCCGATGCGTCACCGCCCACCAGCCATCCCTCCTTCGCCACCTGTCCCCTCAGGGACCAGTGAGCCAGCGGCCGGGGGGCTGGGCTTCGGACACGCAGACTCTCCAGACTAGTCTACCTCGCTGGGACAGTAAGAAGACTCGCAGTACCGACGGAACAGCAAAGTCACGGTTCATCCTCACAGCAGGCTCCGAGCCTGTACATCATCGCCTGCGCTCTTTTCTCTGGATAGAGAGCTCCTCTCTGAAGTACAGTGCGTTTTTGTCTGACTTGGAGCGGCGTCGCTGCGCTTTGTGCATCGAGACAGGATGTCGGAACTTTCCGTGAATGACCACCTCGAAGGGATTTTATCAGATTTTGAAGGTATGTGGGTTAAAAGATCAAATGACCTTTCTGGTTTCGGCTGTAGTTTACTGATTGAAGTTGTCGTTTTCATTTTCTACCTTGTTCCCACTGTCCCTGAATCTTTTCTTTTTCTTCAATGGTTGCAAAAAAAAGTTTTTTTTTTTTTTTTTTTTTTTTTTTTTGTGTAGCCTACAGCTGTGTGAGAATATGCCTGATGTAAAACCCCTTAAGTGTTTTAGAGAGCTGCACTTAAAACGCACTTCAGGCAAAATCATGAACTGCCTTTTTGTGTGGCTCATGTGTTTGTATGTGAGAGAGAGAAGAAATAAACGTGAAAAAAGGTAAGAGATGGGTGAGTTTGTGAAATTAGCCCCTTAAAAGACGATAAAATCAGTCACTTCTTACACAAGTGTCTCACATCAAAGTGTGGCCTGATCTCTCATTTTCACATTGCACAAAAGTTGTGGTCTTTACTGCCCTCCTCCAAGCCCAAGGGTGTGATGGACTCATGATATGGTGTAGTCAGGGACAATGGTGGTGTCTTGCTACCTTAGGCGACAGGAATTTACCTTTTCTCTAACCAGTAAAAATCATAGTTGAATTAACAGACATGAGGCTGCTCTGTACAGTCGGAGTCTGCAGTCTCACTCTGCTTGTTTGGAGACATGCAGTCAAACAGAGTTGTTTTGGGCACAAAGGATTGAGAGAGAGAGGAATTTCCCCTTTTTTTTCCAGGGGATCTTTCTGTATTGTGCTGCTGTTTGGTGATACCAAGTCAAGGACTCTACACTAACCCCCTCCCACACTTTACCTCAGGAAATCCTGCTGGAGTCCTCCATGGGGCCCAACCAGAGAGAAAACACTAGTTATTACTGTAGAAGCTGCAAATTTCCTCCTTTTAAAAGTTAACAGCTGTGATTATTTCCTCTGAAAAAAAGCTGCCAGCCCATCATGATATTTACACACACCTACATTGGTTATTTATCAGTGGATCTTAGTCAGCCTGATTAATCTGGGTTACCAATTTGGTCTTTCTGGATCTAATAGATGTAATTGACTGCAAAATTGATGTTTAAAAGATGTGCTCAGCCATAGATAACTCTGCTTCATATCAAATCAAGCTCTGCCTCAACTCCCTCAGGGTGAAATCAGGATTTGTAAAAAGCAGGAGTTATCGAGGATGGATACCTCTGTGTATGTTGTCCAGCAGCAAAAATGGATGAATGACAGCCTATCTTTGTTTGGTTGAAAGTGCATGAGATGTTTGTCATTATTTGATCTTGTCCAACACTGTCAACATGTCCAGAGTCCAAAATAATCAGTGAAGTTATACTTTTTTAAATCTAAAATGATAACTTCTTCATTCAGGAACTTTATCTACTCTGTTGGCTACCATTTGATACATCCAAATTTCACAGGCTGACCAGTCTGTTATCGGAAGAGCATCTCTCGTAAGGATAAGATAAAAACAAAACAAAACAAGGATGTACAGTAGACATCCTTCCTTCTTTAGAAATGTGATCAACCTAAATATATCCAAAAAAAAAAAACACCCCACACGTCAGTGTCATTCTGGTCATCCTAGCACTGTAAGGGCAAAAATGTTTATCACAGCAGCAAAATATTATTTATGTTGGCGTCTCAAAGATTTATTTTACATACAGAAAATCAAGGGGTGAGAAGACAATATCATGAACCTGTTGTTGGAGCTTGAGTTACCTGCCTGAACTAGTTCCCAGGTGTCACTCCATGCAAAGTAAATGCAGAACTTTGCTGTCACTATGCATGATTTCTTCAAAGTCTTTTTGAGACAGTGTTGTCAGCATTTATAAGTCAGTCCGACTTATAATAACGATCTCACATTTAACCATTCACACCATGTTCACACCCTGATGGCAGAGACTCTTATGTTTAGAGTCCATGAGTAGGGGATGGTGTGGTCAAGTATCTTACCTCAGCATGTGGACAGTGGGATCAAAATCACAACCTTTCAATCGGAAGATGACCAATCCTGCCCTGCATCCTAATAAACGCGAGAGGACAATTGCCCAACACTGCAACAATGAGGGGCAGTGATTTAGGGACAGCAATCTGGACTCAGATGCTGTCCTATCTGGACCTGCACCAGGTTTTCTAACTTGTGCAGCTTTTCTTGCATTTGATGCTACTCAGTTTATACAAAGATTTACTCAGAATTGCTGCTGGACTGAACTGTATGAGAATAATAAAGAAACGCTGAGGAGTCGGCTGATAGCAAAATAAGAGATGGCAAAATCGAGCACTTGGGCTTTGGGTGTGATAGAAATTCTGGTTTCATTTCCAGCCGACTTATAAAACCAACCCATACCCTGCACAGGATTGGTATTATACTTTTTGTTCCATTTATTTAAAGCTGACGCATGACTTCAAAATACACATAATTAACATACTCAGGAGATGATGCAAAAGTTTGCTTCATCATGACCAACTAATAGAGTTCTTAGGAAAGCATAGCAAGGCCCTCCAATGAGTCCAAGCCATGGGTCAGTAAGATAGGAACCAGTGCGCTCTGGAGGGGCGGGCTGCAGTCATGTGGACACTCAACAAGTGGATTGTAAGTCTGGGCATGTCCACGTTCAACCCCCTAGCCTTCTCTGCACATTCCACACAGGTGAAACTCGCCAACAGACAAGTGAGCATGTCTATTGACATGTGCAGACACACGTGTGTACGTACACATGCTTTGAAGCCGCAGACCAGTGCAGACACTCTGAAACTCTCTCTCAGCCGCATACACAGACACACAAAGCGCACACACAAACAAACACATTGAAAGAACTTCCACTTAGTAGGAGCACATCTGGAAGACACATTCCTAGGATGTGTTTCCAATGTCGTAACTCTGAAAATAACAGTGCCCGGGGACCAAAAGACATACACACGTGTGTGTGTGCATGTATATTTAATTTAACATGTCTGTTCTGTGTTGTACACACACGTTTAGGTTGATTTTTTTAATCAATTTCATTTGTGAAGATTTAGAAAAAGACTTGGATGATTGACCTCTGGAGCTAATCTACATCCCCTGTAGATGATACACCATTGAGATATATCTCATAAAATCCCCTCCAGTAAAGATCCAACCCTTTAACCAGTTTTTTCTTTAATGATTTATTTCACCCTTTACATGACAGCTTCTTGTCTGATCTTTAGTGGCTGCTATCTAAGACATGAATCTACTCACCTCATGACTAATAGGAGACAAAGTCTTATTGAAGAACCTCAGATCACAATTAAACTGTTTTTTTTATATCAAATATGCAGTTGGTCATATGTTGAATTTAGTTACCAGCTAATCGCAGTGGCCTAAATTCTTGGAAAACAGGTTAACTAGAAGAATATTTTAATATAGTACCTGTCTGCGTTAAATAGTTCGAGTCTTAAAAACAAAGATCACAAGCTGAAAATTGTACATTTTGAATAAGCATCTTAATCCATCGCCTACAGTAATGTTTTTTCTCTGTGCTCTCTCATTGGATCATTAGAACTTATCCAGTGAGCCTCAAGGGCTTGACAACTGAAGACAAGTCTGAGCAAAAAGCTGCCTACACTTATGTCTTGCCAAATTCTTAACCATTAAGGAAGAATGGCTTGGCAGCTAGCCACATCAAGTGTTACCTGCGTGTGTGTAAAGGGGGTGGGGGTTGGCGTGTGTGTTTGTGAAAGAGATTCTTCACCTAGTGTAAAATCAGTGTCCATGTTCAACAGGAACATCAGTTGCTGTAAATTCCAACTTGAAAAGCCGTCCCGTATTTGAGTTTAATACTCATGACCAGCCTCTAATGTGTCCTTTCAACAGTGAATCCCCCCTTTAGACTGACTGATGTTTCCCAGACTGTTGTGCTTCACTGCATTAATGCAGGTTGGAATGTCGAAGGGGAACATATACTTTCCTATTGATAGAGTACTGCTCTTCATGACCAAAAATAACAGGCTTTGTGCGTAAATGTGTGTGGTCACTGGGTCAATAAGTCATGGGACCCTCTCTGATCTTTGCGGGGATACCGCCCTGCCGAAGTGCAGTACCGGGACGTGACAGGACTGGGAGGGGCGGCTCTTAGCCTCCCTGACCTCCCCTAATCCCCTTTGTCAGCTGAAGGTCCTAATGCTTTTTGGTCTGTCCCTCAAATCAAGTGCATACCTTCCATGTAATTCTTCTGATTCACAGAGAGGGGACTTTTATGTTTGTCTTTACACTAACAACGTTGATCTTACAGGACAGATTTGTATATCAGTTGGTACCAATAATTGAGAGCCACCCTGACTAGGATACTTTTTAAATGTCCAAGCCTTGACCGGCAGGAGAGTAAATCAGAGCATAACATGCTTAAAGATTTTCCCAACCTCAACAACTGTGTAATTTAAGCTTTGAAGTTGAATCTGTATGTATGTTAGGAGCATGGAAAGAATCACGACTCAGCTGTGTATTCTAAGGTGTAACAGCTGCAATATCCCAGTCATCAGCTCCAACAACCTCCTCCCTTCCCCCGGATTTCAGGCCTTTTACTAAGTTACCTTTGGTTGCAAAGGATTTGGACCTTTTAGTCTAAAGTGATGCAGGAGAGCGTTCAATCTTGGTCTTATGGATCTTAGCTCAGGATTTGATACACTGGGCCATCGTATTATTGTTGAAAGGGCGTCAGGAGGGTACTGGTGGTGCTGCTTTGGACTGGCTATCTTCTTATTTGTCTTACAGAACTTACTCAGTGGCAGTGGATAATTTCGTCCCCTCAAATACCTCCCTGGTCTGTGGAGTTCCCCAAGGTTCTGTTCTGGGCCTGATTTTGTTTACCCTTTACCTGCTTCCATTTTGCCACTTAATCAACAGCTTTGAAGGTGTTTCTTAACACTGATAGACAGATGACATCCATTATAAAAAATGTCTCTATCTTGTCCAAACTTCTTAACTGCATTATCGCAGTGAAAGACTGGATTGCAGATAGCTGCCTTCTACTGAACACCAACACCTCTGCCTTGGATCACTTTGTGCCAACTGTTTTGCAAATCCTTGTTTGTCTGTCTTTATCTGCTTCTGTCAAGCGTCCCTGGATCAGTTAACAGCCTAGTTCATTCTTGTTTTTATCAGTTAAGAAGCTTTATAAACTCAGGCCCAGATGGAAATGATCATTCATGCATTCATTTCATCCTGCTTATAGACTCCTGTAATTCACTTTTCGCTGGTCTTTGGAAAACATCTCTGTCAGTTACATAACGTTGCTGCTTGACTTCTCACAAAATCCTCCATAAGAGCCCATATAACACCAAGGTAGCCATGTTTGCAATGGCTACCTGTAAAATCCAGTTACTCACCTACAAAGCCCTGCATGGACAGACACCCATCTATATTAAACTCTTACAGCTTAACATTCCCAACAGGACTCTAAGGTCCTCTGATCAGGGTTTATAAGCTGTTCTCCACTCCAGGTGTAAAGTTAAAAGAGGCTGTGCATTTCGGTTGTTGCACCAACAACTCCCAACAGCTTGTTTTTCTCCTCATCAGAAGATTGGGGCTTTGGTCTCAGGTCCCGCTGTCCACATGCCAAGGTGTCCTTGGGTAAGACACTTACCAGCCCCTGCTGGCTGCACCCACTGGTGTGTGAAGGGGATTTGTCAAAACTGACATGGCAGCATCTACCATCAGTATGTGAATGTGGAGCAATGTGACATGTAATGTAGTAAGTGGTCAGAGGACTGGAGAAATCCCTTTGGTGCTTAGTCCATGGCTATTTACCATCGATTGATTGATTAATTGAATGTATTATTAATCGGGGTAAAACACGCGCTCACTCACTCATTGGAGGAAATGCTGCTCCTGAACTGGAGACTGGTTGTTCCATGTTTTCCGTTTTTTTTTGGCAGCTCTGGCTCTCTGCCAAAAGCTGTAACAAGAAGAAACACTGGCTCTTTTCAGACATTTGCGTCATTTCATAAATGAGATTTCAAACACTGACAACACATGCACAAGCTGTACAGAGCTGAGACAGCATGCTATTCCACCACCGTGATTATTTCCTCAGTGTTTGACAGGGTAACAGCAATTACCTGATACCAGACTCCTTATCTTTGCAAGTAGGGCAGGTTCACACATGCAGCCCGAGTGAACTCAGGCGGGACCATACATACAACTCCCCCCGATCACACACAGTCACACACACACACACACACACAAGAGTCTTCTCCTGGCCTGTGTGGATCCTTGTGAGACTGTAAGTCCTTTTTTGGTCAGGCCAGTAAAATAACTAAGATGATATAAAGGAGATTAATGATTAAAAAAACACACATTATTTAACACTTTTACTCCATGAGCTTTTTTGCAAATATGTAATAGTTAACCAATCACCATCATCACTCCAAATCTCAGCAACTCTCTTCGAAGATTAGATTTATAGTCTGAGCTAAGGCAGCCCGGCCTGCAGACTGGTGAGGTCTGTTGGAAATTTGGTGAAGTGCAAAACTACTGAGATACATGGCTCTTCTACCCTGTGTAGATAAATATAATAAAGACTATTCAAGACAAGTCTTTACCAATAAATGATAACCACATCACGTCTTTTTGAAACTTTGCGTATTGTGATGAGCTGGTATCAGAGATAATTTGGTGCGAATTTGATGCCGGTTGTCCTTGTTGGTAAGATTTATAATTTTCAGTTTAATCTTTAAAGATATGGGTTTTTTTTACTATAAATTCCACCTGCTCACACACTCCTTTTCATGGTGTGTCACACTGCATTGGTTGGCTTCTGTAACACAAAACCGCACTGGATACCCTAACTCCAGGTCTGACCTCAATCCAGCCTTTGTATTTACAGCTTGAAATATATGAATTGGGTGTGTGTGTGTTTGTGTGTGTTTGTGTGTGTGTAGGGAAACTGTTCCCATGGCTTAGATGATTCAACCCAAGACCATAAGAGACAGATGAAATCTTGCAGGCAGAGACAAAGCTTCATTCACAAAGTGAAGAGGGTTTAACACAAACACTCCTCAGAGCACTCTGTGTTAACCGTGTTGTTTCTCACTTTGGCTTCATAACCGATCTAATCGGTAGAAACTAAGATCATTCCTGTTCGGAAAATAGTTAACAGAGAGCAAACTAGCACAAAAAGAAGGTTAAGTTTTTATTTAATTTTCTATTTCTTGTGTGCCAGTTGTAGACATCAGATTGTAAACAAACCCGCAGGGCAGTTTAGCTTTATTTTTAGAAAGGCAGCAAATACAACATTGGTACATTGTAGACCGTAAATATTCATGACAGCTTACAGGTCATGTTCCAACAAAGAATACATTATAATTTGTCTTGGTTGTGTGCATAAGGTATTTGGTAACCATCTTCGTCAAATCTTATTAAAACAAAACTCTGGTAATATGAGAAACCACATTCTGCTGAATACTTTGGCGGGTCATAAAAGAGTGTTTTCCAGAGAGTAGAAGAATGCTAGATGAGATGGAAACAGTAGACGACTGTAGATGCTAATCATTTGTCTAACTGGCAAAACATATCCACAAGTTGTCGGTCAGAGAAAGTATTTTATTGACAACTCTGTCTCTTTTTTCTTTTTCTCTCTACAGCGCTGAAAAGATCCTTTGACGTTGATGATGTGGAGGCTCTGCCATCCTTCTCTACTGACTCCACTCCTGTTTCTCCCTCCTCCCCACGTTTCTTCCACATCAACAACAAGTCCAATGAAGGGCAGGGAGGAGGTAGCCTGTCTCCTGTATTAGCTGGCAGCAACAGCCTGGGGTCTACAGCCCACCACACCCATATCAGCCTGAGCTCTAAACCCGGTCAAGGGCTCAAGTCCCGTCCTATAGGCAGCAGCCTATCTTTCAACCGGGGGACCATGATTAAGCCATCCATCCACAACAATGGCTCCTCTGTGACCAGAGCTGCATCCTTCCAGAGTAGGTTAAACCCTAATGGTTACTCAATGTTCTCTGGTCCAGGCAGTGACAATGATAGCCTTCACAGCTCCACATCCAGCCTGGAATACTCTGGTGGGGGTGGGAATGTCCCTCCGTTTACTAAACTTGGGTCATATCGAACTCCTCCACCTCAGGGAGAATACCAGCAAACCTATCAGCACCAGCCACCACAACAACACCTAGAGGAAGGTGCAAACTTGAGGAGCAACCCAAACCTAAAGAAGTTTTCCTCCCACAGTAATGTATTCCACTCTGAGATGGATCGGGGGCCAGGGGTGCAGCTGGGTGCTCCCGAGCCGCGGGGGGTCAACCATGGTTCAATGCCCAGCCTAGACATTCAGAATTGTGACGGAGGAGGAGGAATGTTGGGTATGCAAAGAGGTGGAGGTGGAGGTGGCACCATGATGTCTCCTGGAATGAGATATGCAAATTCAAATGCCAGCTGGAACGGTTGTCTTCACAATAACACTTTCTTTGGGGAGGAGGGCTCAAAAAACAACGGCCAGCAGGGACCCCAAGTTTTTAGGACGCCTCAGTCTAAAGCCAAAGAATCCCCACGTCTGAACAAGTTTCCCTTGGATCTGGACAACTTTGTAACAAGCACCTCAACTTTTTCACCCATTAAGACTCAAGTAGGATACACAAACCCTCCAAAGCCCACTCCAAGGAACACAGGAGGCCTCCAACACCCCACCAGCCCACCATCTACAACAGCCAGCTGCTCAGCATCTCTGAGCAGCTTGGACAGCTCTTCTGACACCCCACCCCTTTCTGTCCACCACTCCTTTGAGCCTTTCCATCCTACTATCTTGCAAGCGCCTATACCTGCCCCAGAGATGAGTTGTTCAGTGGGTCCTCTTTCTCCAGTTTCTCAAAGTCCCCGGCTGGAGGTTCACTCAGAGCTCAGAGTAGTACCGGAGGTTTCAAACCTGCCTAGCCCTTACAGCTCGTCCAGCCCATCCAGCCCGAAGGCCATTCAGTATATAGAAGAGGACATAGGGTGTGACCAAGATAGTGTTGGTTCAATCTTACAGAGGATCGCGTCTTTCTCTCAGCATACTGCAACCAACACCAGCCAAGCAGCTGAGGCCCGGACCACTACAGTCCAAAGCAATGGTGTTGTGTCATCCTCAACCAGGTATCCTGATGAGATCGCTCCAACACCTGCTTGTCAGCGGGGGCAGAAGAACCAGGAAGGTAAGATTTTGTAGTAATTTCACGATATTTTAACTCCGAATGATAAAGCGGGGAAATCAATCCAATTTCATTAAGTACACATGATTACTGTGCTGCCAGATGTGGGATCTTGACAATGATAAAACTCGGCACAGCTGAAGAAGCAAAACAGCCACTTAGTTTGGAGTTTTTCACTTACGCTCTCATTCTCCAGGATGATGCATTGTTTGAGCAGAAATTTGAATGTTTACAACGAAAGAAAAATGAAGAGAGAAACACAGGGACAGAGAGAAAGAACTTCTTAACCACGAGTGTAGCATCTTAAAGTCACAATGGAGAGGGAAGACTTCCTTTTAACAGGCAGAGACCCTGAGCAGATCCAGACTCATGTAAAACAGTCATGTGCTGCTACAGCATTGGGTTTAGAGAGGGGATAGAGGGAGATGCAGAAAGAGAGAGTAGAGACTAATGCATGTAGTTGAAGCTCATGTCTATGTCAGTTAAACATTGACTGTCTAACAGCTATCATGATAGATATAAAGTATCTAGATGCCCCCAGTCTGCACTTTCATTCTTTATGACAAACTCATTATGTCCCTCAGTTTTCTTTTGCGACCTCCATTTCCTCGACTATCATGTCTGTGCTTGTCTGAAATACCCCACTCAATCCGTCCCTCTTTCCGATTTAAGCTCTAATGACAGTGATTCGGGGCATAAATTCCCCTTCAGTAGATGTCTAAACTATTGTTTCTCCTCACCTTTTTCCCTCTGCCACTGAAAGTTCTTTTTATATGCAAGAGAAGGTGAAACTAATAGTGTAGGAACAGATGTATCAGCAATATTAAATACAAGTTTGAAAACACAAGGCAAAAAGTAATTTATTATTATTTAAGTCCAAATACTTGTGTTTCTGTGTATATCCTCGTTACAAATACACTGCTATGTTGCACTTATAGCTCTATTAGTAGTTGTATACTATAGTTATACAATTGGCAGTCACTGTATACTTTCAAGATAAAAGGAAACAGCAGAACTCCTGACATTGGGGAAAACCTTCCTGCTTTTCGTTGTTTTTTCGACCCACTGGGTTGTCCTTTCCATCAGCTCAGCTTAGAAAACCATTTCCTGTTCAGTTGTTTAGGTCAAGGCCCTGAAATGTGTTTCCTGCAACAGATAAGATTATCTCAGCTCGGCAGTTTGGGTTTTTTTAAAAACCTCACACACGCCAACACACGACATGAAAGCGGTAACCTACTGGCAACTTTGAAGAAAGTTAAGATGCTAAATTGTGACCAAAAACTGACCAGTAGAGAAATTTAGGGTTAGCAAAGATGAGAAAGGTTGTGTGCACATTTAATAGTTTTAATGATGTGATATTAAACAAATCTGCATGTCATAGCTGATTTAGATAAATGTCTTATATATTGAATTTTGGGGTTATCTTTAAGTTACATGTTTAGGTGTGGCTGTGGCGGCTTGTGAAATTTGATTTCTAGGCATTTAATTGGAAATAGCTGTAACCTTAACATACAGGAATCCCTTTCACTACAAATAAGATCAGAATATCCTCATTAAAGCTTTTTAAAGTAGTGCCACCTACTGGCAAGTGATAGGAAGCCTTGTGATATGATTAACTAGATTTACATGGACTTTATACTGAGTGCTGTCACATTAAAAAGAGAAAAAATACTTATTTTCTGAGACATTAGGGCTGTCCTTTCACTAAAAAACTGCAATGTGAAGCTGCAGCACACCATGACTTTTCCAAAATTACAACATGCACCGCACCCACATGTGTGTAGATGTGCAAGGGCTTGTTCAGATCCTGTTTGGGTCAGAGGAAAAGGATAGACTTCCTTGAAACAGGCAGAAACCTTGAGCAGAACCAGACTCGTGATAGGCATTAGATTGGGTTTAGAGAGGGGACAGAGGGAGATGCAGAAAGAGAGAGATGGACAGAGTGGAGACTGATGCTTTTAGTTGAAGCAGCTGGAAAGCAGACAGGTCTGCGGCAGCAAAACATCTGCTGCAGCGATCCAGAGGAATTGACGGCGTGATGGAGCTCAGGGACTTACAGAAAAGACTGTGTGTTAGTGATTCGAATGAGATTTTACCCCTGAAAGGCAATTAAAAGGCCATAGAGGTACCAGATAAAAAAAAACAGCAGCACAAAAAACGTAAGTATAGTTAAAAATACAAACAACAGTAAGGAAATAAATACAGAGCAGTGAGAGCAATAACTACACTCCCACAGAGGCAGTCGAAATTCCAATAAAAAACTTAAAATATGATAAAAATGTAAAGTGAACAAAAGGGAATGTTGATCAAACTACTAAGTCAGTATTTTCTGCTGCTCCTACATGATCACAAAGGCATCCTACTTAAATGTCAATGCATTCAATTCCTGCTCATTCTGTTAAACCTCCTAATGGCAGCATGCGGTTATAAATCAGAATATCTAACCAGGAAACACGGTACTGCACATGTCAGGAAATGCATCACACTCCGACACTCACTCACCATACACACACCGAGGGCTGCACTCTTACACACTAAAACAGAAAAAAGGACATTTTGCCAATAGAGAGATGGTTGATGCTGTCTACTGTACTCCTGTGATCTACACAAGGTAAAATACTCTGTCCTGGTTAAGCTGGACTAATATATTCAGTCTAAGGGACTTGACATACCCATTCATGACATTAATGCACATTTGTGTGTATTGAAACTTTTTACTGAAACTCATGTTATACTTAGTTTCCTGTTTGGAGTGTAGTCAGCTCAGTTTGTGAGAGTTGAAGTAGGAATAGATGTGTTGCAACCTTAGAAATGGTGGCTGTATTTCATTAGCATTAACTATAAAACACAAGAACTTTATTTATCCCCACAAGGAAATTTATTAGTGGAGGTAAAATTATAAATTCTTATTCTTCTATAACCTCGTTTTATTTTAGTTATTTCATATTTCTTTAATTTTTATGTCATATACCAGTACCACATACAAAAGCATTGAATAGCCTGTAATTGTTTGGATGCTTTTACTCATTACAATGCATGTAACTCAATGACTAAAATGACAACTTAGAAATACCAACTAATCACAAAATGAATTTAAGTATTTGACTAAATTTCCCTTCATGGTATAATTATGGCGTTCTTATTAATTTTTTGATGATCCATTATTTTCATGTGCGCTAGTGACAGCCTAATGGCGAGGCAAGTCTAATGTCAGTCAAACTGTGCCAACACATAGCCATCTTTTGTCATTGATCAAAAGCTAAAATACTGAGCTGTGATCATTGCTCTGTGGTTTGACAGTTTAACCCTTTCTTATTTGGGGTTTTTAGGATAATCACATATAAAATCATGCTGTTTTCTAACATCTCCAAACAGTTTTATGCATAAAGACAGAGTCTGGTGGTTTTTGCTGCAACTTATCAGAAATTCACTGAAGCGCTTTTTCATAATACAGTCACACTTCCCCAATTTAGTTCCCTTGCACAACACCTTTTACACATTTGTCGCCCTTTCTCTTCCTGTTTTTTAAAGATGAGGATGTAGCCTTTGGGTTTCAAAATGAGTCAGTCAGTGAAGCTTCTACAACTGGCACTCTGCAGGGGAAAACCTCCACTTAAATGTGTAATAAAAAAGAAACATATTCATTCATATAGATGGAGAGATAGTTAACGCTCCTACAAGAGAAAAAGTCACTTATTTCCACTACAAACATGCACACCAACAGACACAGCAACCAGCTTTGGGCACTAACAACGTTGGCGCCGGGACACCTGCAGAGTATGTGGCACAGTGAAAATTCTTCAGTGTTCGATTTGTTGTAATTGGTCAGTTACAACGCCACATGGGACGGCACCCCTGGGGAAGCACACAGCTCAGCCACTGTAGAGAAAATGATTGTGAAGGGGAGGGAGTGAGGGCAAGAGCGAGGAGGCGTAGTCCTTCTCCTCTCAGGGATTAGTGGAAGCTTCTTCGTCCATTTGCATGTGAATGGATCCCCGAGCTGCTTTTAGCCACCAACATCACCCTCCCTCTCCCTCTGTCCATCTCTCTCACTTCTTCTGTGCTCCTAACACTGCTTAAGAACCAGTGAGAAAGAAAGGGAGAGAGGTGGTCAGAGAGGGGCCAAATTTAGCTAAAAAAAAACAAAACACCAGAGTTCTTCAAACTCAGTCAGTGCAGAGCGCCTCACTTCGAACCGAGGAGTTACACAGCTCGCTTTTGTGAATGAGAGAAGGTAGGATTATTTTTGTTTCTCTCATCCCCCCATGTGTGATGGTGGTGTATGCTCGGTCTACTGAGCTAACAATGAAAGCTGACAGGAATGATCCACTTTGGTACTTTGGGTGGGGGATGATGCTTGGAAACGCCTGTGTGTGGGGGGGAATGTGGAGGGGGTCTGCATTTAAGGGGAGGGGATATGCACCAACTGCCTTCTTAGAAATCCATGTAATCATATCCTTGCTACCATAATGCATATTTTCCCATATTCTACCATAGATTAAATATGGATTTCAATCTTGTTTATTTAAGTATATCTTTATCTTTGTACACAAAGTACCTTCATTGAAAAAATAGATGGTAACTCTGCGTCACAGTGTCTCTATCCCATTTTCCGTCAGGCTTAACAAACTATTGGTCTGGTTGCACTAGCTAACTCACATTAAGCGTCAGAGAAAGGATGTCAGGGCCTCATAGTGTGCATTTGGTGATGTATTTCTGGTGTTACTCTGAATTTGAAGAGACGCTGTAAAATGGTGAGGACAGCAAATGGCATTGGCAGCTGGAAAAAAAACAAACCTGTTACGCCAAGGGGTTGAATTCAAAAGGTGCGTACTTTAGCATATCGTGCTACTTGAAATCTTATCACTTCAACTATGATCCACAGAAATTGTGCACACCATTTACTGCTGTATTGTAGAAACATGCAGTTGTGCTAACCAAACCTAAAACAGCACATGATTTGAAGAGTATTCAGGTAATGGACATGACATAGTCAATCTACATGCAGTTATATCACAGTAACAGAGTTTGGATCAGACAGATCCAGACTTTCAGATGCAGCTCTCTAAGTGAGGAGAACTTTTCACAGTGGAAGAGAAAGTGCATCTCGGTGTCCACTTCCTCTGATGAAAAGTGAGAACAGTCTCATTCGTCTCCAGGCAGCCCTGTTTGTTAGAGTCGGCCTCTTTCTGTGGACAGTCTGTAGTCACTGAGCCTATTTGGTCAGGATCAGACTCTGTTTGACTTTGTCTCTGACAGATTGAGATACTTCGACGTCTTTTTATCCTTTTTTGGTGGATAAATAAAAGTTTGGTCAACTTTGAGGTTTGGTTTCTTATGCTCAGTGAATCAGTCAATATTTTAAATTAGTTAACATTTGTTAGACTCTGTTCTGTTTTTTGTCAGTGCTGACGGGAGCCTGGTACATTTCTTCATTTGCTGTCTGAGTGGGCTGTTTCCAGGGTTTTATTCTATCACTTTGTTCTTAAATGGGTCTGTAGGTTTCAGATTTAGGTGCAGCCAAAAGGTAAATGCCCATTTAAGTATTTTGGTTTTAATGAGTACATGCTTTCTGTGTCTTTTCTTTCACTGTATTTGTTGCCACATTGAAACTTCATGATGCAAACATAGTTAGACCAAAGTAAGTGAAGGACCTTGTGTGATCAATAAGGGTGTTATTTAAAGAAAACTGGAACTTGTTTTCACAACATTTTGGTTTAATTAGAGAGTCGATCATTTGTAGTCTTTTAAATTAAGCTCTAGAGCCCAGGTTTGGCAGAATTGTTGCAGGATGTTCGTGTTATATTGGAGACCATCTCTGCTTGTTGATGAAAGGATCAGATCATCTGCATAATACTTGAATCTGACCTCAGTGTCTGACAGGAGTGGAGCTGCTGAACTCTCCGGCGGCTTCACCTGGTCATTGATGTAAAAGTTGAAAAAGTCGGGGCTTAAACAGTGACCCCGCCTCACACCGTGTTCCTGAGTGAAATACTCTGTTCGCAGGTTGTTTATTTTTACTGTACACTGGTTCCTCTCATACATTTAATGGGGTCATGCATCTTTGGGACTTTTCTCTTTGGAGGATTTTGAATCAAAGTCCTTCATGCCAGACAGAATTAAAAGCTTAATTTTTAATTATAGAAACAAGCATGTACTGTATCTCTCTCACACTTACACACATACACTCACGCTAGGGCATGGGATTTGTGCCAGGGTACACACACAACGCACATATGCACTCTTGTTTGATTATTTCATTATAGTTCCACGTGTACCTGAGTACGTTTTTCTCTCTTCAAACTTACTTAAAATGAGGTGTGTTTGTTGTCTTTTTCTTTGATGCGTTTCCCCAGGTTTTTGTAGCGCTTATAGCTCAACTCTGTAACTGTTGATTATGAAGAAGATGGAGGTTCAAATCCCCCGTCAACAAAGACATAGGAGCGATACCACCGCAGGTTGAGAGCTCATTTTGATTCAAACCCTGATCTCTTCAGAATCAAAAGGGAACAAGCAGAGTTATAAGCTCTACGAAAAACTGAGAGGTCGTTCGAGTCCAAAATCAGGTCAGAATGGGCTTTAAGTTGCACATTGTACCCTTGTCTTAAGCCTCGAGGTGTCTACAGTACTAAGTGAACTTTTTCAGTCAGTGGTGCATTCAGCAGTGTGACTCTATTTGTTGTTGCACATGCTCACCAAAATTTCTAACATACCAAAGTCCTTAATCTTCCCTTTCTCTTACTGACTAGATTATTGTTTGTAATCAGTCCCATCACAGCAAAGCAAGTTTGATGACTGTTTTGAAGTTATATAAATAACTACATGATGAGAGTGAAGCATAAAGCCTGTAATGCAGCCACAATGAAGCCTAGTGTTAAGATGTGGGTGCAGGATGTGTCCATGCACAGGTTCCCATGCAGTTCTTAACTTCCACCTTAATTTTATAGATGTTGTATCATATCTCTGAAATTACCTTCCTTTGTGTTGTACTTCCACCTCCATATTCCACTTTTGAGCCTTTTCACTGTCTGGTTATTGTACACGCAGACAGACTCTGTCACAGTGTGAGCATGATTATTTATCATCAGTCAGTGGATTAGTTAGTTAAATGCTTTTACTCCAACTTTTAATTAGACTTGACTTATTATTAAAGGCTGAATGTTGGGTCAAGATGAGGAGGTCCACAAGTGCTAGTATCAGTTCTGTGAGCCTGCAGGTTAATTTATCCAGTCCAAGTTTACGGAGATCTTTCATACACAGACAGTTGATTACCTAAATTTACCATTAAAATGTGTTTTACTTGAAATATTCTTAGATCAGGTGTGTTCTTTAACCAGCTAAATTTCTTTCTCCACATAATCGGTCGTGAGGTTAGTACACTGTTTGCTTTTCACGTACATCTCCAATCATCAAAATGTCTTTGTCTATAGTGCACAAGGTCTTGATTGAGATTTTAATCTACATACTGGATCATTTGCCATGCAGTTACCTACAAATCAGGCAAAAATACAATAATTAAAATATCGTCTCATCTCTTGTTTTTTTTAAGATGCTTTTGATATATTAAAGAATAAACAACTGTAAATTATATAAGCAAACACCTACCTTTATCTAGATCTGATAAGGGTTAAGATGTTGGTGCAGGAAGTGTCCATGCACAGTTCAACGCCTTTATTAAGTTGACTCAAAAAAGCCGCAATAACCAGATTTTTATCTGCGAGAGTGTAGCTCTAGAAATATCTAATCCTGCAGTTTCTACAGTGCAGCTAACTTTATTTTTATTGTCCTTCTCACCTGGTTAAAACAGTTTTAATTTTTCAAATTAATTTTCAACACATGTAACTATGCTGTGTTTATTCTGGGGAGTCAAACACCTCCTGCTTTTCTAATGTGGGTTTAAAGATATTATAATCACTGAAGTAGAAAATAACTCTTGACTGTGTCTGTCTCTCTGCCCTTTTCTGTCCTGACTCACGAGGATTAGTTCTACACCAGTGGTTGTACGGGTGGATATTTATAGCTGATTAAATTATGTAGACAGACACACCCCTTGTGTGTGTGTTAATGTGTGTGCGCGCGTGTGTGTAAGTACTGTCAGATAGAGGCCCAGAGAGAGTGAAATGTTGCAGCTCGTTGAGTCATAAAGATCTGCACCATCATGTAAACAAACAAATGAATGAGTCATTCAGAGAGTATTTATAAGTCTATCTAATGCACAGACAGACACACAGAGGAACTCACAGGTTCAAGTTCCCGTAAGGATTGACGGTGCCATCAAATCCTATTACAGCTCAGGACAGACCACATACACTCAAGCTCACAAAGATAGGAGGAGAGCTCATCAACATGCTTGTTGAACCGCGTTGAGCTCCTCATCAAGTCCTGTTAAGTGTGTGCGCATGATTATCAGATCTCAATCAAATAAAACCTGTTTATTTCTGATTTTCTGTCCTATTAATTCTCTTCTATATCCTTTTAGACTCAAGTAAACCAGAACAGGATACTAAATATCAAAACTCTTTTTGAAAGACAGCAATTGAACTATACTTATACAACTGGTGAACAAATATCCAAGAAAACTTATGCTGCGTTTGAGTTACATTGGAAGTCAGAAGTCAGAGTTACCAGCGTTTCAGTTACCAAGTTGGTAAAAAGTAAAATCGGAGGTGGAAACACGATGGCTGCACCTACGAAAGTTATTTTAGCGCTTGCCTTGTCCGAATATAAGCCAAGCGCTAAAATAACTTTCATAGATGTAGCCATCTTGTTTCCACCTCCGATTTGTTTTTTTCCGACTTGGTAGCTGAAACGCTGTTAACACGGGTGTGACGTCATTTTCAGCTCGGACTTTTGACCTCTGAGGTAACTCAAACGCGCCATTAGGCTAGCCTGGCTGGGCCATCCAGTTGCGTGAATCACTTGCCGTTCCTTCCCACAACAGTCTGGACTTCAGCCAATTGAGAGCCCTAAAAGTGGGCGGGAGTACACTCCTTGATAGACAGACTACTGTAACCAATCACTGTAACCAAACATTTGATGTCATCACAGTGTGCAACTGTGTTCCCTGCTGGGCTCTCAAGGATCAAGTAAAGGTTTGGTAATATTTCAAGTGTGCGAGCAAACAATGTCTTTTACGTCTTCTTCTGCGGATATAAACGATTTCTGCCGACTTTGAGAAGTCAACAGCAGAATTATCGGCGTTCGGAATGAACGACGCTTTGAAAAGTCCCGCAGCATGTGTTAGACGTCACAGCTACACATGGACCAATCAGGGGCTGCCTTTCCCTGTTGTATGGGGAACAGTGGAAACACAGTCACTGATTGGCCCGGTTATTTTCTGATTTCTAATACTCGCTCCCAATTGGCCGAAGTCCAGATTGTTATGGGAAGGAACGGCAAGTGATTCACGCAACTGGATGGCCCAGCCAGGCTACCATTAGGCCTCTACCTCTATTTTTAATAACTCAAATGCTTTTATTGAACAAAAACATTATTTTTAAATTCTATTTTTTAAAATCAAGTTGAGAATATTGTTTACTCTGAAAATAAAGACATTTATTTACTGTCTGAGATTCTTCTGGTTATGAAAAAGTGGATCAGTCAAACATTTATTCAAGCCAATTTAAGTTAATCGGAGCTCTCTCTCTTTTGTTTTTACACCCAGAAGCAGCTGGAGAGTTGGAGACAGGCTTTCCCAACCCAATGGAGAGGAGACAGGAGAAGGAGAGTGACATTATAGCCCAAGAGCAAGGAGGTGAGGGCAAGAACCAAGGACAAGCAGCAGGCATGGACACCCAGGAGTCCGTAACAGAAAGAGGAGAAAACGGTGTGGGGATTTCTAAAGAGTTTGAGAAGACGGAGAAGGAGAAGGGAATGGAGGAAGGAGAGATGAAGAAAGAAACTGAGCTGGAGGCACAGGTGAAGGTGGAGCTGTGTCAGTCTGTCCCAGGCCTGCAGATGAGCTTTATCCGGGGCAATGACCTGTTTGGCTATGTGGGCATAGAGGCAGTGCTGGACCAGATGAGAAGAAAGACCATGAAGGCGGGCTTTGAGTTTAACATCATGGTGGTTGGTGAGTCTTGAACACATAAACACCGACACAGTGAGAAGTTACTGCATCAGTTTCACCAAAATAAGAGGCCTTTGTTCTTGACTCTTTGGTTTAACAAATAAAGAGGCATATTTTATGGCTTACATTTTAAGAGGAAGTATGATTCTGTAAGATGAAAGAGGTTTTGAGAGTCGAGACTTCACCTCTTTCCTCTTTCGTGTCCTACACACACTGATAGACACACAGAGAAACACCTTTGAATAAAAAAGGACAAATCCACCTTGAACATATTTAATCTTTAAATGAAGCCATTTATATGCGCTTTAAAATGAACGTATATCAGTGTGAGCAAACACAAACTTTGGGTCAAATGCTCAAATATTTGTTTGGTGTTTGTCATCATCACCAATTAGTTTACTTATAGATTTAATCAGGAATCTGCCATGTACAAGATATATTAAAGTTATTGTTTTCATAATGCTCTGCTTATGGTGCTCCTCTTAGATTTAGTTGTGTCAACCTTTTTGACTAAATGATTATCTTGTATTCCTCAGTAATGCATATCTAAAAAATATCAACGTTCCTGAAGATTAACTCTTAATCTTCAGGAAGTCTTCAAACATGCCCAAAAATGGTCTCAATTTACTGAATGTTTGCTAAAGGTAGCATGTTATATTTGATTATCGTGCTTCTAAGACTGATAGTAAAACTCTTGTACGGTGGCCAGCTGTTGAAGTGTTTGTTGAAGTGTTAGTTTCATGTGTCTTCAGGTCAGAGTGGTTTGGGGAAATCCACGCTGGTCAACACTTTATTCAAGTCCAAAGTGAGCCGCAAGTCCTGCACGCCCAACTTTGAAGAAAAGATCTCCAAAACAGTAAAACTGCATTCAGTGAGCCATGGTGAGTTCTTCAGTCGTTTCAGAGCTTTCTCTGGTCCTCTTTTTTTTCCTACCACTGATGATGTAGATGTCATGACTAGAAAGTATCGGCATCCTACTTCCATAAAATACCCTCTTTCTCTTCTCTATTGAAACTACCTGTAGACTATGATCCAGAGTACATTTCCAAGTGCATCTGCAGCACTTTTGACACTATGTGAGTCATTTAAGGTGTTTTTGTAATAATGGGATAAACAGAAGAATAAATCAAGAGATAAAAATTGTTTTAGGACCACGGATTACAGCATTATAGTAGGTGAGTCCAGTTATATGAAAAAGAAAGTGGTCACTTCACTGGGCTGTGCAGTGACCACGAGGACCACGAGGTAGCTGTAAACCAAGGGTCTAAAGTGTGGCCTTCGTAACTCTTGGTTCTTCTCTGTCTCTCCTGTCTAGTAATTGAGGAGAAGGGAGTGAAAATGAAGCTGACTGTGATCGACACTCCAGGATTTGGAGACAATATCAACAATGAAAACTGGTGAGTATTAGAGCAGTAGAGACATGCCGAGACAAATAGATGGAGACAAATTGTAGATGCCAGTCTTCGCAATCCAATCCTAATTCCCCCTCAGTTTTAATCAAGACACAACGTAAAAAAAAAACAATCAGTAGTCCAAAACAAATGCAACTGTGGAAGAGTATTGCAAATGCAAAAACACACAAAAGCCCTAATCAACCATATGGAGAAATAGTTCATGGTGGAAAGAAGATGTAAATGTAGCTTTGGTCATCTATGAATCTCAGTCAGCCGTGTAGCTTGTACTGCTATTAGCTACCTGGTGTCAAGCTGGGAGCGCAGGGGTGTATTGGTGTAACCCCAGTCTCCAAGCAGTCCAGAGGTTGTTAGAGAAATAATCAGTTACGAATCAGAGGTGTCTGCAGAGACAGTGGATTAGTTTAACAACAGGGAGTGATGTCAAAGTTACAGAAACATTTTAAAATCAGTCAGTCGAAGAGAGTAGTGTGTTTTTTATTAGTTCAAAGAATATCATGAACAATGGCGACCTTATCCTCGTTCCTTATCGAGAGAAATCGAATGTGTTTTTCTTTTAACATATTCAATCTTCTCTGCTGCAGTTGGGAGCCTGTAGTGAAGTACGTCAACGATCAGTATGAGAAATACTTGGTAGAGGAGCTGACTGTCAACCGTAAAAGGAGAATACCAGACAGCAGAGTCCACTGCTGTATCTACTTCCTCCCCGCCACAGGACACAGGTCAGTATCTGTTCACAGCTGAGCACCAAAACAAAGGAAAACCCTCTTCTGTAACAGATCTTGTAGATATTTCTAATGTCAAATAATGTTTTAGTATTTGTACAAAAAGGTCCAGCAGTGTGTAGACTGGGCTGACGTTTCCCTGACTTCACCCACATATTTAAGGGTTACACTGAAAATATCTCAAGCAACTTTAATCATGTAGCCATAAAAAACAAACAGGAAAAAACATAAATACTGAAAGTTAATAAAAAAATAGAAAATTGAACCATGCATCCATTCATGAGTATTGCTGCGTTTGAGTTACCTCGGAAGTCAGAGGTCCGAGCTGGGAATGACGTCCCACCCCAGTTACCAGCGCCAAGTCAGAATAAAGGAAAATCTGAGGCGGAAACAAGATGGCTACATCTATGAAGGTTATTTTAGTGCTTGCCTTGTTCATAGATGTAGCCATCTTGTTTCTGTCTTCAATTTTGCTTTCTTCTGACTTGGTAACTGAAATGCTGGGAACTCAGGTGTGACGTCATTCCCAGCTCGGACATCTGACTTCCGAGGAAACTCGAACGTAGCACAAGTATTAAGACAACTATAATAATTTACTGACAAAAAAAGTGTGAATTTGTTTCCAGGTTACGCCCCATTGACATTGAATTCATGAAGAGGTTGGGGAATATCGTGAGCATTGTACCAGTTATTGCCAAAGCCGACACACTCACCATCGATGAGAGACAGGACTTCAAAGAGAGGGTAAGAAACCGCAAATACACAACCACATTTTCTATTTGTAGAACACTTTTCTTTCCTCGAGGTGATGCTCTGATCGCAGTTATGGAAAATGTACAATATGTTCATGAAATATTCTGTCACAGTGTAGATGAACCAGTCCTAACTTTTAATCTTTTAACAGATAAGACAAGACTTGGCAGCCAATGGGATTTGTGTTTACCCCCTGAAAGAGTATGATGAGGATCCAGAGGAGCGCATCCTCAATGACAGGATCAGGGTAACATCTCCGATGATGCTATTAGTCACGGCAAAAACAGCTTTTATTTTTAGTACTCAGCAGACGAGCGAGAATCACATTTTACTAACCCTTCACCCTCTGTGTGTATACTGTAAATATTATAGATTAATCAGACTAGACTCACTGAGAAATGTTCTGTGTCCAGGATAGTATTCCGTTCGCTGTGGTGGGAACTGACAAGGAGCATCAGGTGAATGGGAACAAAGTGTTGGGCCGTAAAACAAAGTGGGGAATAATTGAAGGTAAGGAAAAGCCGTCCTGGAAAGCTTTGTCACACTGTGATTGTTTACGGTGACTAATCCACTTCAGTGCCGTGTTGTTCCTGGCTCTGCCCCTGATTTCATATTAGGTTTCCCAAAGTTTGTTACCATGAATTTCATTTTGATAATATGCTTTTCGTTTTTCGTAACCTTCTTCAAGGTTTTTAGTTCCCTTGGAGGCAATAGCAACTTTTTAGCTCATCTCTAACATAAACCCTCCCTCAGGTCTTTATCAGTTCGTGATGCTTTTTTCATTATTATCAAGATGTAATTTAAAATAAAAGGGTGTTACGCTGTCAAAAAAGTATGACCACAATGTCAAGGTAGTTTCTGAATATGTTTGTTTGACTAAATCTGATCATAAAATTGATCTTTTTTCTCTTTCCACAGTTGAAAATGTTGCACATTGTGAGTTTGCCAACCTGAGAGATCTACTCATCCGGTACGTTTTTAACTTCATATGAAATGATTTATATGAACAATAAAAATCATAATAAGATAAGTTGTATTGGCTTTTGGGTAGAAGAACAGAAGCCTGAGAGTCTCCTCCAAACACGAGCAACAGTTCAGTGTCCAGGTCTGACCAGTTCAGACGTTTATTATTATGAAAACTTGTTTGTTGAAGATCATTTTGTGATATCGGTGAAATATGTCGCTTCCATATGTCAGGATGAGGGCAAGAGTCCAGTTCTTGTCTGCACTCATGAAAAATGGAGCAAATAATGTCCTTGTGAATGCCAAAGGCAACGACAGATTCACCAACTGAGTTATCTCTTACCAGTCTGAGGTCCCAAAACGTAGTTATGTTGGTGTTTTTCTTTTTTTCCATTGGACACTGTATGAACACACTCAGGGTACTGGCCCTCCAGTGTTTTTGATTTTAGGAGAGGGGAGATGTTTGCACCAAAAGGAACATGACGCCATGAGAGGAGAGAGACCAGAGGCCGTGTTTGCTGGGGCTAGATTAATATGTTGTAGCTGGAGTTGCTGAAGACTGATAGGGATGTCTAAAGCTTGTAGAAACAGACTTGTTTTTACCAGGAGACGCTGAGTGATTAGATATCTTGGTCCAATCAGGAGCACTAGAAGGGTCTGGGTTCAAAGGGGGGCTCTGTGGGAGTGTCAGAAATCACTTCATTGAAGCGTGAGTGGGCTGAAACCACAGAGCTGGGTTCATGCTTGAGCTGTCAGCAGCGTAGAAACTGATTCGATTAGATCTGAATCCCAGTCTAACATCATCAGAAGTGACTGTCTCTTGATTTCATTCAGTGTTTTCTGTCATTGTTCATGACTTCGACCCAGTGCAGTACTGTCAGTTAAAATGAAAATCACTTCTTAATCTTAAGTACCATTGCATCTATCCTTTCTCTGTGGTGTCACTGAATGTGGTGATCAGGTAGAAATGTTTTTGATAATCGCCGATGGACCGATAGCAAAATGAACAGTGCTCCTCTCTGTTTCTGAAAAGGTCTCACCTACAGGACCTGAAAGATGTGACCCACAACATACACTATGAGACCTACCGTGTGCAGCGGCTGAACCTGAGCAACATGAACTTCAGTGAGCAGGGACTGTCCGCCTGGCTGCTGGACAACGGAACTGGAGAAAAATACGAATCGGACAGCCACCTCTGATTTTCCCGTCAGTCGATTTCATGCACTGAACAGAGTCGCTGAAGCTCCTCGTCCGTTTAAAATACATTTTTAAGAGAATAAAACATTTTCTTTTGGCTTTCCTTGTTTGATTACCGGGAAACACTCGCTTATTTTCCCCTGAGTGCAAAAATATAAATGAGATTTTACAGCAAGATGTAAGAAATGCAGTTAACGCGGAGATATTTTTTTAATTTTAGCACATTAACAATTACTAAGTGGACAATTTGAAGATGTAAAGACGTGGCATCAGATTGTGTCAAAATATTTTGGTATTTGCGATATAACTTGTACTTTATACGGCCAAGAGTATGCAGACAATTCACCCAATTTCAGCAATGAACTCCTCATTAAAAGAACAGCAACTGTTATAGTTACTCATTAGTGCCTCATCCCTCTTTCAGCTGTAAATGAGGACAGAAAATATTGGTACCTTTTGTCTTTATACCGTGCATATATGAGTGTCTGTCTGTTTGATTTGTCATGTATCATTGTGCTTCATGTAAATCGGCTTCTGTTACTTTAATCTGTGGATAGCATCTGAATTTATTCGCTGTTGGGAGAAACAAAGAACTCAGTTGTTTCGACTGAGACGTCACAGTAAGAGAAGAAATCGTAACACCTAACTTTTTCATTCACTTTAACTGTTTTAACTGAGTGACTGACACTTATCAGATTGTATAAAAAGTCAGATTTCATCAGCTCATCTCTAAACTTGTGTGAAAGTATATGCCACATCTTGCCTGGAACTCTGACCAATAGATAAAATGTGTAGAGGTGTTTAGAGTAGGTAAGATGTTCGAGGGACCAGATGGACTACAAGCCACAGTGACATGGGGGACATTTCTTCAAGACAGTTGAACTTGAAAGATTTTGGCTCTCACCTAAAAGTGCTTCCTCACTTCGAGCTAATTCTGTCCAGTCGGTTTAGTACGCCCCCATTTAGTTCGACCAAGTCCAGCTATTTTCATTTAACCTTGGATTGTAAATTACGTCCTCAGAAATGCAGCCTTGGTGGCCCTTTGTTTTTAGTTTTTCTGTTTTGTTTGCGTCATTTAACCAAAAGACTAAAAGGAAGAATGATTGTATTTCAACAGGTCTTATGGTGAACATTGAAATGAGCTGATTTAACTCCAGAGACTGATGTATAAACTACTGTAAATCAGCATAAACACAATCACTGTTGTTCTTTTATGATTTTGCAAACAACTAAAAAAAAAAAAAATAGGCGAACTATGTATGTAGCAATTGCCATATAGCAGCACAAGTAGGGTTTTCAGCTGGGGTGTACTTTTCTGAAATATGTTTTTAAAAACCAATCCGTGTGTAATGAATGGTCTGCCAAGTGTCTGCGCAGAAGGCCTTGTGAATAAAAGTATTTGTTTTTATCAGATCTTTCCAGATGATCACTAATGGTTCGGTTATATTTACACTGTCTGTTAATCACTCAGCTGTCACTGCGGTTACTGCACTTATGATGTTTGATTTATTTAAGCCACATCATTTCTGCATGCCAGTTTACAAAGAATCTGAGGCTCTTCCTTCCTCTACTCTGCTTACTATTTTCACTGTGTTTTTTAGTGATTAAAACAACTAACTGCAAAGTTTATTTAGTTTTAGATGCATTTTTTACATGTCTTTCTCTTAGACGTGCTATACGAAAATACCATCTCTTTTGAATGTTGAATAACCACCAGTTCTCTCCTATTGGGCTCAGCGAAATTGATTAAAAGTGTTATTTATATATATGTATAAATAGAAGTAGATCGATTTGTTAGACGTTATACAAAAACAATCGCTATCTTGTAGGTGAGGATTAGTGTAACGTTAAGTCAGGAAGGTTTAGACAATCAGTTTGACAGATTTAAATTTCATTCAAACTCTTTCTGCCTCTACTTGAATATAATTTTGCATAAGTAAGAGTGAGCAACATGTGAACATATAAGCAATCATATTTCAACACGGCTGTAAGGAATCCTCAGCAGAACTTGATTAGTTGAATCATCTTGCATACGGAAAACTAGTTGTCATCTGCGTGTACCTTTCATTCACAATTATAAAAATATAATTATAGTCACATTTCACTTTGATTCTGATATCATCTCAGACATGTAGCATTACTGTCCTCTTACCTCTCAGCTCTTCAACACATCCTTAACCCTCATGGTGACACTTTATCACTGTGGCACGTGGTCACAATGTTATGTCTCTGCTTATATAATGTTATTGTTTATATAGCATTAATATTAACCCCTGCTATCACTGTTGATATGAGATTAAATGCTTGTCCCCCTAACAATCCTGCGTGGAGTAATTTAACAAATCTACTTACAAAAGGTTCTAGCTTCGTCTGATATGTTGGAATCGTTAATATGTTTCTAAGGGTTGAATCTAACATGTGCAGAGAGTTTGATGTGTGAATACTCTTCACAGGTGGTATTATATGAATGATATCTTTACCTGATTATAAAAACACAGAGACAAAGAAATATGACATATAGAGGATTGCATTTTCAATTACACATATCTTTCACTTGTTTCCACAGTCAAGCTTCGAATCAGTCTTTTCTGGGTGGGCCTGTAACAGTGCTATGATGGTCTGTCATTAATAACTGAAAACCCTTATGGAAGAAAGACTTGTTACTGACAGGTCACTGCTCAAATGTGGGCTCTCCCTTTTTTAAGGATGCTGAGATGTAAATATTTGGGTCATTATTATGATTGTTGCTAAACTTCACCTCATCCTGTCCTCATGTTGAATTTGTCGTTGTGCTGGCTTCTTAATCCCCTTCCACACACGCACTAAACTCCTGAAAGTATACCAAAGTAGTTCCAGTGTGGCGCAGGTGTAAAAGCATAAAGAGTAAAACTTTAACACTCTTTTGATAAATGCATACTTTGTAGAAAGTATGTTGTGTTATGCAAAACCTCCTATCTACATGCTGTAGTGGTATTAACCCGGAAATAGTCACCCTTTGCGGGACTACCTGGGCTCTCTTCTTGCATTCTTTGTTCAAATAACCTTTACAGAAGTTGTAAGAGCCTGTCTAATGTTCACAATCTCCTGCTGTGCGTTTTAGTTCACTGTCAAGTCCTGATGTGTTTGTAACAGAAAATGCTGATGTGGTTGAGGACCACAGAAAAAGCTTTTGCAGTAAATGAACCTTGAGCGAAGAATATTTTAATACACATGTCAGATATTTTGTAACATATTTTATCCCTATCAGACTTGTAGGAAAACTTGCAATGCATATTTTACTTTTTCATCACTTTGCAGTAGAAATACTGTTTTATGTATTTGTGACAGCAGCTGTACATATAATCATTTTCATTATCCCTTCAAAAAATTCAAACCTCTAACCGACCGCATCTTGTTCGGGCCCTTTTTCTTGTTCACAGACTTGTTTGTGTGGGATGTTGGTATAAGTTTATCCTTTATTTAAATGATCTAAAACATCTGCAGGTACCAAAGCACAAAAGCTGCTGGTCATCAGTGCTAAGATGGTCTTCAATCAAAGTCAGATGATTACAGGCACAGGAGAGCTAAAAACACTGAAACTGAAACAGCACAAAAATTCTGCAATTTTCAACATTATCAGTAAGCGGTCAGTATTTATTTTACTGCTTACTTAAAGTTGTGCTGTACAAGGATTGTAACAAAATGGTGACAAAAAAGACCGAAGACTGTAATGATAGAAGTGACAGGAATGATTCTCTTTAGAAAAAAAGTACACTAGATCATGTTCATCAGAAAGGTTTGCTCTTAGTTTGTCATTCACTGAGAAATCCATGACAGTGCATGCCCCAGTTCAAAATATGTAAACTTAGACTTGAATCCTTTGGAAGCTTATTGAGAGCAAAAATGCTGAGAGAGTAGGGAACATCAGTAAGACTAGTTTGTGCAGTACGCATTTTGAAATACATCTTTGAGGCAAAACTGGGATCTTTTTAAAGTAAATCACCTGATTATTCACATTCAAATGGTGTAAAACATTCTGATATTTGTACCCGACATGGATGAAAGTATTTCAAATTCAATCAGAGCAGCCGTTTTATAACTGAAATCCACGTTTTCGGCTTTTTAATTAAGATGTTACGTTTCACTTAAGAGGGTTTTAACCATAGACTGTATTTAGAATGGACAGAGTCTGGCTCCTCGCTGGGTGAAGCCACTCCGAGAACAGCACCCTCTGATGGTGGGCTGCAGTACAGGTCCCTTTTTTTTCTGTGAAGCTCCGTTTTTAAAAGTTATTAGGGGGTTTACGTTCTCTATGATTGACACCTGGTACAGCCTATTGGCGTTCAGGGATTGCGTAGCTCACCCGGGGGGATACGCTGTTTGAGACGAGCGTTATCACAGCGACTCTCGGCGACTGCGCGGCCGAATACGCGCATCGCTACTGCGCAGCTCAGGTTTCAAAAAGTGGAGAAAAACCCGGAATTACCGAGAGCTTTTTTGGCTTCAAATCCGTATACAGGCGGAAGGCGGAACCAGGTTGTCCATCTTATATACAGTCTATGATTTTAACAGGTTACTTCCATCTCAAATCTCAGGGGGTTTTGGATACCTTTGAATACCTTTTAAATCTACTCAATTATCTGTTTACTTTTCAGCAGCTTTGCCGATCGTAAGCTTCCACTGAATTCTCATCTTCTGCAGCAACAACTCTAAGATGTAACCCTTTGTCATCTTAGCAGATAGTGTAAACATTGCTTATCCATCACAGCAGTCAATCTTTGACTTCAACTGCTTTTATATATAGCATACTCTGTTTTACCACACTCAAGACAATGACAGTAAATATAACTTGTCACCCTAATTTATGCCCTTATTCTTAATAATGGACCCAACAGCAATACAAAGATGACACACACTTGCACAGAAGAAAATATACTTTGAGCATTATGAAGATTTAAAAATTTTTAGTCAGTCTCAATGATGTTATCGGTCACTGATGTCTAAAAGAGTGTACTTTTAATGTTAATAGGTGGGTTGACACATCAAAAAATAATGAGTATAAATCAAACCAGTACTCAAGCCATCGCTGGCCAAAATTTGAAGCAAGTTCCATTTAACAAAACCCTTTGAAAGAAGGCTTCTCAATAAATAAATCATGTAAATAAGCAAGAAAGCAATTAAATAAATACACAGATAAATAATTAAATACAGTTATGTACAATGAAGAGATTCAGAACCTCCAAAATGAGCCTTCCTGAAACAAAAACGCAGACCAACCTAACACATGCACGGTCTGCCGTATCGTGAAGTTCACTCTCAGTTAACTTCTGTGTAGTCAGCAATCATATAGAGGCAAGCAGCCACATTTAATGTGCTGCTCCATATGCATTTGGCACAGTCTTATACTGGCTGACACGTTTCCAAGACCCTCTGTTGGCAGTCAGCACATCTGAGGACACACAAGAAGCAAAAAGCAGCACAGTGGCTCATTGTTGGGCTCATTCTAAAGAAAGAAGATAGCAGGTAAGGAAAACAACCACCAACCTTAAAGTTTGTTATTTTTTCAACTTTGTTACATCAATAACTTATCTCCATGTCAAATAAAGTCCTATATGGGAAACTTCAAATCTTTCCATGTTGCCCACAGTCAAAAACTTAATCAGATGCCTGTCTTTATCAGTAGTCTGCATGAGAATCTATGGCTTTCGAAAATACGTGAGTGTTTGCATTCACTGTCAACAACTTTTAAAAGAAGCCTGGGTAGTGTATTAGTCTTCCTACAACTCGCCTGATCATCAGATGGCAGCATTCCCTGAGCTCAGCTCAAGATTAGCTCTCAAATTAACTTTCCTGTAACAGCCCATCATGAATTTCCTCAGAAAAGCTACAGAAATAAGATCCAAGCTCAAAGAAAACCTTTGAGACTCTGGGTTTAACCATTCAGGGATAACCGTCTTGGTGACTGAAATTCTCAAACTTTGTTTAGGGTTTGTTAAAAAATATTTCAAAGGATGGGCTAAGCTAGGCTGAACAAAATTTATAAAAAAGGATAAAGGAATAAAAAAGGCCATGCACACAATAAGGAAACTTTAAATACTTTCATACCAGCTCGTACCAAACCAGATTCTCAAACCTGCCACATTACAGGGGCCCTGAGCTCCTGTTATTGTCCCACTCTGACCCCTAGTGGACATTTTAAATACTGTTAGTAATTCAAATACTGAAATCCCTTTTCGCAATTCACACAGCATCCCTTTACCTCTGATTTATCTTATATAGCAGTTAAAACATGGAATGAATAGGATCAAGCATTTAGCTCTGGTACCAGATGACCCTGAAAAAGTCATGTTTCACCCCACAACGGCCTCGTTTCTCAGTTGGATTGATAATTTGAGGAAAAAGCAAAAAACGGACAGATTAATTTCTCTGCTCTCTCACTTAATATTGAACTGCTTTGCCATTTTCCCTTTAGAGGCCCAACACTTGTGTTATCCTGTAATTGTAAACTAAGGAATTAAAAAAAATAAGATTTAAAGTAAAACAATAAGCTGATTACTTCAACACTGTAAACTGTTCAAAGTTTGTCCCTTTTTTAAAGTTTTTTTTTCTTAAATTGATGGTGTTGGGGAGGTTAAGACGCATGAGAGGAGAAACATGTCCCAAAAACTTGTCAGTCCATGACACACAAAGAAGTGAAAGGGAGGAAGAGAGGGAGGAAGGGGAGGTGATAGGAGGAGAGGGGGGTCCATCTGTATTAACTGTATCTTTAGTTCTCTTTAGTTCCTGTTTCTCCAGCTGTCATCTGAAATCTCTCTTAAAGCAAGAGAAAACGTAACCTTTAATACCTTCTGAAAAAAAAAGAATAACGGTATCTATATTACACAGAGTGTTGGAAAATAGAAACATCAGCACTCATGGTTTTGACATTTGTTTCACTTACCATATACATTTGTGTGAGTGTGTTTACAGTTTATGAGGCAATGTATGAGATTGCCATCCTAGCTCAAACCCTTTAGTCCTCGTTTTCCTTTTTTTTCCGATTCCTCTTACTCGTATCCTTAACTGTTTCCACACATGTCATCCTCTTTAGTCTCCATTGAGCTCAAAAATGATTATTATCCTTAGAAATGCACCCCAAAAAAGCCTTTGTATGGTTTTTGAAAAAGAAAACTCGCTTTCAAAACAAAGATATCACACCAAAGTTCTTCCCTCCAGTGTCTTCTTAAACGAAGCTCAAACGCTATCCCACCATCCTGGGTCTGGCATGTACCATCACTTGCCTGACTGCCTCTCTATCCACCTGTGGGTCAGTCTACTCAGAGGGGTATGGAAGAAGATGGGACGGGTATTGAGGAACGACATGGTACAGTTGAAGCAGTTCAGTCTCTTTGCTAGCTTTCGAGAAAAGAGTGAGGAAAAGTAAGGAAGAAGAAGGTGGAAATAAGGTGAACCACTGGTTGGTTGTTGAGGGGGTTAGTGGTGTTATTCGATGACCATGCAGTGTGGCAGATGCTGAGAGTAGTATTTGAAGAGCTCGGCAGTGGCTCCAGGGCAGTTGGTCAGTTCCAGCTCCTCAAGCTCCTGCAGCTGAATGAGGCCTGACAGACCAGTGGTGGTCAGCAGGGGACAGCCTGAGAGACATAGCAGGGAGGGAAATGTTCAGCTGTAGGCTGAATTACAAGTAAGAGAGGTACTAATGCAGCCAAAAGGTTATGAAATGCTTCACTACAACTAGCAATGGATTATCATTCACCAGACAGGGTAATGTTAGTATTAGTGATAGTATAATAACTCCTGTACGGTGTTTCTCTTACGTTCACAGACTGACAGTGACAGTGTGAAAGCGCTATATGAACAATTTCTGAATCAGATATCCTGATTTATCCTCATCCCCAACACGCCATTATAACATGTCTTAAAGGGATATTCCGGTGTAAAATTAAGTTAGGGTCAAACACACCGTAACACCAAGTTAGTCAACCCTCCTTCGAGAGATGAATGTTGCCGACTACTTGCTTCTCTAGTTAAACCAACTTTAGTATCTTTTTAGCTTTGCCTGACTCACCCACTCTCTTCCAGCAGCCGCTTGTTTGTACAGAGACCTCGGGTGAGTCCACTACAGACCGTTGCGGGGTGACGCAGCTCAAGGAACAACATTTATGATCATTACTTTATCATTTCCTTGAAGTAGTAATCATCATATTAATTATTTTGCACTGCAAACGCGGTAGTTCCTCTGCTTTAGCGTCTCAGTCTGATTGCATTTCCGTGAGTAATAATCAAAAATGTTCTTCCTTGAGCTGCGTCCCCCAACTGCAGGCAGTTTGGACTTTTCTAGGTCTCCGTACAAACAAGCGGCTGCTGGAAGAGAGTAGGTGAGTTGTGTTTAGTCTCTTTGCTAAAAAAATTAGGCAAAGCTAAAAAGATGTTTGGTGGCTAGTACTATGGCTGGGACCCTATATGTGCTGTTGATGAAGTTAGGTGCTGTTCTGAGCATTATTTGTGGCTATAGAGTGGTGTTTTGGTTGAGTGCGTGGCTTCTCAGACCATTGTGTATTGCTATTGTGCGGTCGTTACTAAAGTTGGTATAACTAGAGAAGCAAGCGGTCGGCAACATTCATCAGTCAATGGGGTGTCTAACTCGGTGTTACAGTGTGTTTGACCCTAAATTAATTTTACACTGGAATATCCCTTTAATGGGACTCATAGAAAATGTTTGTAGATGCTTAAAATGGACCAAATTTCGGGGAATAAATATCAAGCATGTGTTATTCAAATCACGCAGCATAGGTAGTAGATAGTAGAGAAAAAGCCGTCAAGCAAGTGACATCCAAAGGGTTAATTTAGTCAGTTCTGTCAAAATCTACTCATAACACATGGTTCCTATACACAACTGGAATTTCCATATTTTTCCATACCCTACTTTTTAGAATTATTCCTGAAAATACCTACTTTTCTATTTTAGAAAACAGTATAACTGTGGTAATATAGTCTGTTAACATAAATATTTTTCATATTTTATTTTTCATTTACCATACTTTTTAAGACCTGGAAATTGATCAAATTACTTCCATACTTTTCCATACTTTTCCATACTTGCGACATGTCATGTGACGTCTGTGCAAAGTTCACATGATTTTAAAAAGTTTTTTAAAGTTGCTGTTTTTATCGTCCATGTTAGCTTTTATATTTTAGGAGCTGACAGCGATCATTGATGTTACTTTTACACAGCAATGCATCAGGTGGTTATCATAAACAGACACTGTGCAGCATTATTCAGACAATTATTGACTCCTGTTTTAGAAAGTGGGGTGAAGAAAAGGAGTAAAAGCGTCATTTATAAGAGTCTCTTTATTTCTTTCCCTGCACCACACCTCTATACTGCCCTATTTTGCTATCCCCTATGCTTTAAGTTCTCTCCCCTTGTGTTAGCTGTTTTTTTAAATCAAGTTGCAATATTTCATTCATTGAATTTTTACCAACACATGTTAGAGTTTTGATGTTAGTAATGTAACAAGACTTTTTTGACCAGAGAGGCCAAACTGGGGCACTGACTTGAACACGGGTGGCATGTAGCCTCTACATATATTTGCCCTTTTATTTTGATTAATCATATCTATTTTGAGTGCTAACATCAAAGTATCAAAAGGATGTTAATATTCTAGCACATAATTTTTAACCTTTAAAAGTAATAAAAGAGAAAGGCAACATTGAAATCTTCAAAGATGTAGTCTTTAAGAGCTTAAATTGATGTTTGTCCAAAGTTTCCTGCAGGAATGTGATTGTTTATTAAAACAGTGCATGGAGAAAATATATAAACAATACCAATATGAATATTCTTAAATATTTACATGTCAAGACAGACCTCAAAGCAGACATTTATGACAAGCACCGTCCTGTTTCTGTATTCGCCCCTGAGGTTATTCAGTAGAGGGACATACACAGCCTATTCATGCAGTTTCTTATCAGTCTTAATGTGGTTGTTAAATCAATGGATAAACAAATCATACCTGCAAGGGACAGTAAACGAAGACTCCTCATCCCAAACAAATGTTGCAGTCCAAAATCTTGCACCTGCAATCAAATAAACACACACAGACGCACATACACACACACACACACACACACACAGAAGTAATCAAAAACCACCGCTTCACAAAAATCTGGTAATTGTGACTGTGTGTAAAGTAAATCCTCAGTGTGTGACATTCAGCTGTGTTACCTGACAGCACCAGCGCAGGTAGAGGCTCCTTAATGAAGACATGGTTGACAAATAACCCAAGCCAGTGTCTGTGATTCGCACACACCTGCGAGAAGACACATTAATTCACCTGAATAAATTCACCAGTAGTTGAGTCAATCGTGCCCCAAGGTGACCACTTGACAACATCAGCCCCCACTAGCTGCAAGATAGTCCATTTAGCATTGAGTCAGTTTTCGAATAAGATTATTTTTTCTTTTTTTATTGACAAAATAATAATAATAATTCCAAAAAATCACTCTTTTTACGAGTCAAACATAGACGAACACAGATTTACATTGCAAGGGCGTCAGTATAACCCCCATAGACCCATTGTATCACCACATGCCCCAGATGCCCAATATACACTGTGTCTGCAAGGCCACTCATTAGTACAGCCTCATAGAAGGAAAAAAAAGACTGACCTGTCCAGCACCAGTTCCTCCAGTTTATGCAGGTCACAAGCGATGTACTCCAGGGCCATGTCAGTGATCCGAGGGCACCAAGATAAGTCCAGGCTGCGGAGCTTACGCAGGTTCTCTGCAACCAGCTCTACCCCGTCGTCAGTGATCTTGGAACAGCCGGACAGGCTAAGGGCAGTCAAGTTAGGAAGACTGTGCACCATATTTACCACACCATGATTGGTGATCTCCCAGCAGGAGTGAAGCCGCAGAGTGTGGGTGGTGTAGCCCTGTTGGTTACAAATAATTTTGAATATTTAATAACCAGTCACTCTGACAGGGAGGGTTAAGGATGAGGTTCATATAGTAAAATCAAACAAGCCTTAACCATTTCAGGATTTGGATCAAAACTACATCATAGATATGAATTAATTAACTTTGACAAAGCGGTCTGTAAAGTATGAAGTTGTTTCCTCTTGTTTTCAAAGCCTACCTGTTTGGCCGTGAAATATGCCATGGCTGTGTCAGTAACATGGTAGGCCTGCAGGCTCAACTCGGAGAGGTTGGGCAGGAGCTGGGAAATAGCAGCAATGGCATCATCTGCCACATTAATGCAGTCACTGACACTCAGGGAAGTCAGCCGGGCGTTCAGACTAGACCACAGACCAGCCTCGGTAAAGTCATTGCAGCCTGAAAGTTCAAGGTGCATCAGGCCTTGCATCTGCTCCAACATCACCTGCAAAGATAAAGACCGGGGGTTTGACTCAGTTAATGAATATAAATGTAGTTAAAGACCTACCATCATGACCCAAAACCAAACCCAGAGTGAGAAATGTGACAAAAGCCCAGTGATATGATCACAGAGTCCTACAACAAAAGCGATAAGGGCTTTGCATTTTAATTTCAAAGATGTACTCGTGTAAACCAACACTTAAATTAGACCCGTTCTGCTGATTCAAACTCTCATACATGCATATGTTGGTAAATTGCCTGAGGTACACAAGTTTTAGCCTAAACCCTGGATGCGTTTTCTGGCTTCTCTGAACAGCTCGATTTGAGAACTTCATGAGATTTGGCTCTGCTGTCCTCCGACTTTTCCTCCTTTTCTTGCTGTTGTGGCAGCAAGTCATGGCTGATTTCTCTTCTCCGATGTAGGCACCAGAAAACAGTAGGACTCCTTCGAAAGCAAAAGCCAGTGCAGGCTGGATATGCATCTAAACTGTTACTAACAAGTGGGGCTTCTCTCAAGTCTCAGAACCACAAGCTTTACGCAGCATTATGACAGCAGGTAATGCAAGAATAACCAGAGTTTAAGGCTTTAAGAATTTGCCTTTTTGAGGTATAAAAGTAATTCTACTTTATTGTTACTTTATTTCACCAGCCTTAACCATCAGAGACCACATTCAACACCAGTATCTGGATCTGGCTCAGATAAGTCTTACCCATGAGAAGTGAAAGCCTCAATTACATCCATAAAAAACTATCTTTTACATTACATATAACAGGGAAAACACCAGTAATATTTTGAAGCCTTGTTCATAAATACCAATATCACAACTCAGCCACTTGCAAGGTCACGGAAACCTGTATCTAAAAATCTCTGTCAAGTCCTGACTCACCTCCAACCCAGCATCCGTGATGGTGGACCTCTTAAGGCTGACTGAGCGAACCCCTTTCTTGGACAGCGGGTAATTGTCGATAAACTCACAAATGTCCAGGTCTGACACACCCACAAGGCAAAAAGACTGGAAGCCACGCAGGGCAAAGGCCTGCAGACTGACAAATTCCTTTTCCCCGTTAGGCAAAAGAGTATATAGCTCCTTGGCGTGCAAGATGGGTACTACGCCTTCCCAAAACTTGGGCTGGTACAGCACCTTGCGCCATGTCTTGCACACCTGCGCCAGCACACACTTTTCAGCTGTAGTGAAGTACCATAGCAATCTGTTGAGCAGCTTCTCATCCAAAACAAGCTGGCGCTCCAGCAGCATAGGTTTTGGTAGAGTGAGAGGGGGAAGCTGACGAAGGGATGGCTTCAAGCCCACGAGAGGCTTTCCAGGCTCCAGATCAGAGCCAAGGAGAGAGGCTGCTGAGTTGGGAATCCCAGGGCCATCCAGGTGATGGTGGTGAAATGGAAGGGATGATGATGGAGGGGGCAGAATGGAGGGTACAGAGGAGGACTGGCAGAGGCGGTTCTTGGCAGCAGGTGTCCCCTTTGTGATACTTGCACTGCCCAGACCGTTGGGCTGGCTGGGGGGCAACTTCACCATACCGTTGCGAGTCACGCAGGGAGACTTCAGCTCACTGGGGGTGGACATGTTCAACATTGGGAACCTATGAAAGAGAAAATACTTTGTTACACTTCTTTTTAAAGTATGAGGGGACCAAAATAATTCAAGTAGCTCATTCCTTCAGAACCTGGAGTTTCTAACTTCTAACTAATCTTACAGTAAACCATGACATCTGATTGAATCAAGATTTTCACTATAACTTTTATCTCTACTAAAACTTGTCAGTGAGGCCTGACCTCCAGGGATGCAAACATGTAGACCCCAAACTCATTCAAGGTGACCCCATGGGGCTGATTGGACTGTTTCTATCCCCCACTGAGTGACGAGACATATATTCATTGTACAAGTTTGTTATTGATGACAAGAAATAAATCATGCAATATTTTCTCAAAGCTTAAAAGATAAAACAGGCTGTCTGATTATTTTCACAGTAAAACCTAAATTTAACCAAGTTATGGAGGATCTATCCCAGGTTGTGCAGTTAAAGAATAAACTATCAGCCACTGGAAAATAATGAATTATCTACTATACCTATGATACAAACATATTAAAGAGAGAGTTGAGGCAAAATCATGTTTAATAACGTATAGCCCGGCGCTCTGCACATGCACAGGACCCTGATCAATGAAAGCACTCGGCCCTTTAATTAATAAATCATATATAATATATACAGACATGTTTTTATGAGTAAAGTACTGAGTTGTAAACAAAAAGATGAATATTTAAATATTTCAAAGGTCAAATATTGTTATATTAAATGACAGACACACGTCATCACCTGATGATGATTAAAACCTCACTATGGTGGAGTTTGATGAGAGCAAATCAATCTGGGGTTTTTTAAATAATTTTATTTCCATCGGCTTTTTGATTCGATTTGACTTTAACATCTTTGTATCTGCAGTAAAATAAGTTGTCGATCATCACAGATGCTACTGAGGATGTGCACATCATTTTCATAATGAGATTTGCTGATAATCATTACAGCTTTTTGATCATTTCTGCATTTATCTGCATTTATAGTGCATACCCCACTGCTTTATTAGAATGGCATGCTGTTACCAAGAACACAGGATATCCCCTTTTATCTGGGGGTTCATGAAGTGCAAACTGTGAGCTTATGCCCACAAACCAGGAAAGTCATGAGTGGGATTTGGTAAGAACAGTATTTCAGCACCTTTCTGAATCAGCTCAAACTAGCGCCTTACACAAGACTTCAATCTGCATCATTCTCCATTAAGAGCCCCCCACTTGTTACATTTATCCACCTTTATCTTATTTTGTAAGCAGTCCATTTAAAACTTACAAAATTTTATTTTTTACATTTTAGTTTTGCTATGCAGCCTTTCAAACTGATAAGAAATCCTGTGTTAGTTTTAGCACATTCAGTTTCTTCAATAAATTGTTGGGATCAAAAAGTCCTGTTTCAAAGTTGTTAGGGTTAATGACAGGTAAGAGTGCGCAACAATCAATATTAATTAACTGAATTAACTGATATTAACTGATCAAGCCTAAAGATTTTCTCAATTTTTCTATTTTCTCTATGTACCACCACCAAGAGTGGCTGTCTTGTAATAGTGACAGAATTATTTGTTTCATATCAGGGTACAGCTTAGCACATTCAACAGACTTCTATACAATATATAAGAACGAATGAAAGCAACATCCAGCAAGTTAAAATGCCTCATCTACCCCATCAAGCCGTGATGATAAGCAGCCCCGACTTTTGCATTGTTGCAAAATTTCTTGTGAGCGGTTTCTTAACATAGTCCAATTTTGTAAAGAAGGTTTTTATTATTCTCACTTTTTTACACTTTACGAACATTTTTAAATGAAACTGTCACATATAAATGGAATTACATATGTTGTTCATGATTCAAATAACCTGCAGTCTTATTGGACGGATGACCGGTCATATACTCATATTCTAACAGAGTCTCTTTGTGCTTGCCAAATTTACAACCAGAAACATCATATATTTTCTTTTTTGAATGTCTGCAAAAGGACATCATAACTCTGCCTCAGTTGTCTGGTAACTTGTCCTACTTTCGTGCCTCTTTGTTACAGTCACCAGTCTCTTTGTTTTATCCTCCTGGCCCTGAAGTGGTCATTGACTGCTGGCCTCAGCCATGAGGAGTACAGTCACTTTTCTAGATAAATGATGCCACCATCCACTGTTGTAATAAACATTGCCATTCAATTAGTAAAAACAAACTTTCTTGGGCATAAACCTCTCTATTGAACATGTCTTGTGAGCAGTAACATTTATGGCTTCAACATGGCTAATGCTACGAGCAATTCAGATGTAGTTCATGGCTCTGATGAAGCCAGCTCTTGAGAAAATCTGAGGGGGTTTTAAGAACTAATCAGGACAGATTCAAGTGGTAGGGCTACTGTAACCTTTTGCTTCCCTGCTACATGACTAAAGTAGCCACACTACTTCATCTTAGGCAAAATGAGAGCCAGGACAGCACTAAGGAGCTAAAATTTTAGTGTTGGTACAATGTTTCTGAGCAGACCAGCAACGAGAACACTTTGAATGAGCCACTCACAAGCCAGAAAGTCTTGGTCTGAGCCAGAGCTCTCTGTTTGTGCCAATACTGTCAAACAGAGTTAGAACACTGTGTCTAAGCCAATCATTAACCAGTTCTGCTGAGTCCATAAAGAGCAAAGGAAACCCTGTCAGAGCCGGCAATACTTTGTTTGGGCATAAGGAACCAGGACCTTATCTAAACCGGTTCAACAGTTCCAGCATACTGGTCATTTTGAGTTTAATTCATTGCACCGCTCATACTGTGTGAGCCAAGTTAGACAAAATAATCTGTCAGAGCCAGTCAGTTTCAGAAAGGCAGCAGGAGTCAATCAACGGCCTCATAACTTTACTTCTTTGAGCACCAAAGAAAGAAATACGTTACTAACTTGAGAGTAGATATGTTTTAATCTAATCTAAAGATACTCCTTCAAGGCACTGTGTTGTCCCAACCTGAATAGAAGCACCAAAGGGACAATATGGACAGTAGATCAAGGGAGATGTTAGTTAAGACATTTACCATCTGCAGTACCAGCTTTGATGTGACCATGACAGAGACTGGGTTTGTAGTGCTAACAACCACAACCTGACTATTGGGAGATGTCAAGAAACTGTCAAAGTCCATATGAAAATCCAAGAGGGGTTATCAAAGACTGCACAGCTAAGCTAGCAGAGGAAGTTAGCATAATATTTACTCTGTGAACATGAACGATCATATGACTACAAACGATGGCCAGCACACGGAACAAGGAAGTTTAGGCCAGATAACTTTTAACCTTTACAGCTGCCTGTGTTCTCAACCTAAGACAGTAAAGTCATCAGACAACAGCCAACAAGTATCTGAAGGCCGTGCTCTTTGGCACAGCAATATAATGTCTTTCATTGTCAAAATCTACCAAGCGCCCACAGTATTGGACAGTAATTGTTACTTAAAGACCTCCAGTGGAATCAGGCGTGGTAGCGTCCAGCTGTCAATTCTGAAGAGCTTTGGAGTTTCCTGATATTGGTGTTTTTGGGTTCCTCACATTATTGAAAGTACGTATATGTGATTCAAGCTTGGGGAAACATGCTCAATGAACACTAACACAGCATTGCAGTACCTTGCTCATGCTCAGATAGTGTTAGCCAAACTGAGGCTAACTCTCCAGCCAATGGTAGCTCCAAAGAGGTTCCTCCAGGCTATAAGACAGAACTGATTAACCGTATAAGATCTGATGTGTCATCTAAGCTCCAACAGATTATGGTCTGACTGGAAAGTAGTCCTTTTTCTAGTACTAGCAAGTTTTTTAATATTTAGTGATACCGACCTCTAGTATGGGATCCCTGAACTAGTGATATCCTAAACAGTTCAATCAGTAGAGCAGGACTTAAAACTAGAGAAATTTGGCTTTACTGTTTATACTATATATACTCCAGTGTATTGCTCTGCAGGTGTCTCTCTGCGCAGCTGAGACGATTCATGTTTACATTAATAGAAGAAGAAGACAGAGGTGCCCCCTCTCTCTCTAATACTTTGCAGTTCATCATCAAACTGCTTTCTATTTCGTTGTGACACTGCCAAACATTTGAGGGGGATAGCCTGAAGGACTTTGTACTCAAAGCAGCGCTATACTCAGATGACCTTCTGTTTGTCAGTGACACCATCTTCCCTGTCCAAATGAGATCATTCTGGAAGACTATCAAGTTACAAACGGCATCTGGAATAGAATAAATTAAACCCGGTAAACTCTGCTTCTCAAAAGATATCTTCCTCTGCATTTCCTTCAATATCTTGTCACAGATCTTCCTGGATGTCTTCTTAATGATTTCTTCAATTTAACCTTACACATATGGAGGATAAATGTAAACAATGCAAGGAATTAAGAGAAAAAAATACAGATTAATATTTAAAATTGTATATTAAAAATCATTTATAAATACATTAACTCCGTAATAAATAGTTAAATTAAAACATACATTCAAAAAAAGATTTTTATAATTCTTCTGCAAATAGTGTCCATCCTTTTCCCTGGATTACTGGCACTGTTAAGTCTGAATGAGCTGCTGTTGTTGTTGTAAAGGGTCATGATATCAGTAATGATTGATTAGTTGAATATTTCCATGGTGTCCTACATAAGCTATCCTGTTCATGGCTCATCTGTTTGTAGATAAATGTTTAAAAAATTGAAACTTGACAACCAAAACTGAAATCCTGTCTTTGCTTTATGCTCTAGGATTATCTATATTGTATTTATTTTTATATTTAACTGTGCATCCACATGTGCATGTGACAGGGTAGAACTGCATATACCAATCTTTCAAATACACCTTCTATATAAATATTCCTTCAATATTCTGCCATTATTGACTTGGGACCAGGTTTGAGTTAGTCTTCAGGGGTGTGATGTCAATCCCGCTCCACCAGCCAGATCACTACTGTGCATGCCTTATGCCTTTATTATTGCCATTGCATGTGACTGTCAAGCTCTACCTTGCTGTATGTCTTACCCTCCTAAGATCTGAAGTGATCAGAAAATATAGATATCTATGAATGTTTGGTACCTGAAGATAAACATTTATTATTAAAGTGTACGATGTGTGATCACTCTGCAGCATGTATCTCCTGAATGTCCAGCCATACTGTGTATTAAACGAAATCGCTCTGTGAAGGAGTTTAATGGTTGTAACTGACTTCTCCCTTCTCTCCTCAGGCCATGAATGACTCACTCTCTCACTGTAGATTCACATAAACCAAGTTCTTACACTTGAGACATAATGTGAAGCAAAGGTATAAATGTTGTTGGGAACAACAGTAACCAAGCCAGAACACCTGTCGGCGATACTATCCGTACAAACTGAAGGTCGTATTTTTTAGCTCTTGACAATATGTCTTTTGTTGTTTCATCAACAGGCATTGATAAATCAACAATCAAGAGGCATTTATGCTGCATTCATGTGGTGTCAGAGAAGCTCGTTGTGATGATGCACTTGAAAACCTGCTATAGTCAGAACAACAACCCAGTGACTCAGGCACTGATTTTATCACTGACTTATCAACTTGATGTCATATTCATCATCAATGTGGCGAGCAAACAACATTTTGTAAATATTGATGAAGTTTTCATTCATTCACAGATTGCACATCAACTTTTGGGTCAAATTTGATTTGTAATTGACCATAAAGTGTGTTGCAGAAACATGTTGACCTTGCCTCATGACAAAAGTTTCCAAAGACTACTAATTGTTTTTGGTGATTCAGTAGACAGGTGGCTTATTTAGTCCTGATTCATACAAATATACTTGCTTTTTTTTTTTTTGGATAATGATAACATTAAATCAGCCAGGCAGACTTTGTAATGTGGTCTGCTGTTATTTTTCCCAGTTTAATGCCTGTTTGTTATGAGTGAAAGCACTGATTCAACCAATTTCCAGAGAGTTACTCGTAGCTTGCCCCCATGGTTGGACCCCACCCAGAAACACTCCATCAGTGAGCTCCCTTCCCTGGTGGAGAGCAGGGAGCTAATCAGCCCGGATTACTGTGTCTGGTTACTCTTGTTATGTTAGTATAGTGTCCACATTGTACTGTGGTATACAGTAGCTGCTGGTGATAATGATAAATGAACAGTAAAAAGGCTGCTATTTTGGAGGCCTCAACATGCATGAAAACTCACAATTTTTCGACAAGCATTAGACGTGTGTGAAATCTTTGTATTTTAATGGTTTTATAAAACAAGATCTGAGAAAGTTGTGCTCAATAGTGCCCACTAAAATCCCCTGTAGGGGTTATTTCCATTCACTTGTATGACCTTCACAGTGAATGTTTGTCGCATCAAGTCCTACAAAAAAGTCTCTTGCACCCATCAACTAAACCCAACAGGAAGTCTGCAAATTTCAGTTCAAAGTCATTTTAGCCTTATTTTTAGTGATTTTCAGGGTGTCTACTTGAACAAACTCATCCAAGGGGTTTTACAAACTCAATTCGAAGTTTGCACAGCATGTCATGGATGGATTGATGATTAAAAGCTGCTCCGTACAGCCATGTGGAGCCCTCAAAGGCAGGTGTTTTGACAAGACAGAGGAAGTAGCTTTTGTCTCTGCCATGCAAGCTCCAATCTGACTCAAATAAATCCCTGACACACATGAATTTGGTACATGAGTCAAGTAGAGAATTGACATGTTGGATATGAGTTTAGTAGATAGGCGTGGTTTAATGGTTCATGAAGCCGTGCACATCTTTGAGGCCATAGAAAAATCCACCCCCAAAATCACATATAACCGGGAAATTCGTGTTTTTTTGGTTTTGGGTCTCAAATCTATATCCATAAAAACACATATTGTAACACTAACTGGAAGTTTTCTATATTAACATTTATTTTAACATGTCTAGTAAGAACAGGCTAATGCTTTTAGGGTTCCTTTAAGGATGATAGAAAATAGAAAAGAAGACTGTGGTCAAAGCAGGTTTTTATAGTCTAAAATCTCAGAAACAAAGATTTTCCTTCTTGCTATTTTCTGAATCCAGTTCCTTATTGGGGTAAATCCAATCAACTGCATGTATTTATTTATTTTTGTATTTTGTACAGCCAAAAGGCAAATATTTTCTGGAGTCTTAAAACTCAGGACAGCTTGTCAAAGTGTGATGTTCTGCAATGAAACCCAGAGCCAGGATAGCTCAGTCGCACTGAGTCCCAACTACCTTTAATGTGACAGATAAGATAACAGTCCTTTCTGCAGAAATCAATTTGCCATTGCTGCATTTTCGTCAAAGAGCCACCAAACCCAAAGAGGAGAGAGGCCTTGCTTGGCATAATTCAGGCTGATAACAAAGGATTCACATTAGTTCCTCACACATTATGTTATATTCCTAACTCACTATAACTCAGAGCAGTTTAGACTGTTTTACCTGTCAGATAAAGAAACTACACTGGGAATAATCTGAGACTACTTTGCATCCTGATTATAACTTTTTAACTGTCATGAAGATGATACTGAATTATACTAATCAATGAAACCAGAAGAAATCAACCAGCTCAGTAAAATAGAAGCACACCTTGAAGACATAAAAACTTTGACATTTTTTGCAGCTCATCTCAGACAAAACTGAATCTACCGTGCATGTGTTAGCTCCAGGTTGGATCACTGTAATTCCCTTTTATCCGTCTGTTCTTAAAAGTCCTTAAAGATTCTTTCAGCTGGTCTAAAACACTGACACTCCAGTACTGACAGTGTTGAAGAGCTCATGGTTCTCTGTTTGCTCTCTGAAACATCAACTATCTCTAAAAGCAGTATGGGAATGAGACCCTTCAGCTTTCAGGCCCCTCTCCAGTGGAATCATCTAAAAGTCAGTCTCTGCGAAGAAGACAACCTCTCTTTTTGTAAGCAGACTGAATGTGTATTTGGTTTGGGCCAGCTCAGGCCTGAACCAGCTCTCAACAATCTTGCTATCGTCTTTTACTGCTGAAGTAACAGGTACAAAGAGCTGCTGTCTTTCCCCCACTCTCCTCTATCTGTCTGCATGTCGATAACTTCAATGTACATGTCCTGGTAAAGTCACTAACCATCATGGAGTCTCTGAGATCTTTTGTCTCTCAGGACTCTTGCTGCTACATCTTTTCCATTATTATCCCCGTCACAAAGCTTAAGTTCATGTCTAAAACATTTGCACATACTTTATCCACTGTTATTAGGACTGTAACCATAAGTCTGTGTGTGCTGCTTCTGTTTCTTTTGGTGTTGAGATTGTTTTGGTCAGTTGTCTCTATCCATCTCTCTTTTTTCTGCATCTCCTGCTATTCCCTTTCCAACCCCTACAGAGTTACAGGCAGATGGCTGTTCGGCATGAGTCTGGTTCTGCTCAAAGTTTCTGCTTGTTTACAGAAAGTGTTTCATTACCACTTTTATTTATAGTGCAAAGTACTCTGTTCATATTGGGTTGAGATAAGATTGAATCTTATTTTCTCTTGTTGAGAGGTCTGAAAGGATTGTTTATGAATGCGTTTGTAGCCCCCGATGTAAACGTCTGTTATGAAACAGTTTCTTCTCACCATGGCTAAGCTTTATCATAGTATCAATAACTGATTTACCATGTTTTGCTTTAACCAGAGGCACTTCAACAACACTTGGACTTTGGCAGGCCAATATTTTGAGGCAAAGTTTGTCACACTCATCCGCATGATATGTGAGTTTTATCAGCTGATTAGTACCTGAAGCATCTTTACCTGTACTTTCTGTACCTTTGCAACCAATGCAATTCTGAAAACAACACAGCATTCAATAGCATAGATGTTCATTCAATAATGCACCATGTGGGGGCCTATCTTTTTCAAAGGGTCTTGCACCTGGCCGACCACTTTAATCAGGGCAATCTGGACTGAACTGCACACAGAAGGATGCACTCTAGTTATGATTAGTCTATGATGTGATTACAGAGGTTAGGCGTTAGTAAGTTAACTTTAAGAATACATACACATATTGTTTTTCCATCTAGAAATCGCCTCAGTTGTTAAAATACGCTACAATCACAATGGCTCTCAGGAGGTCACTCAAACTTTACCTTCATTGGTTTGTTTTGGGTTGTTTACAGTTTAGTTTTGAAGAAATGATGTGCACTCTAAAATCAGGGAGTTGCAGCATCAGAAAATTAAAGTAATGCTTTGGCTAAGTCTTTCGTTCTAATCTATCCAATAACCAGAGTATTGCCAAGAATTACAGCGTTTGGCAGACTTTGGTAAGAGCTTTCAGAGGGATGGCTCCCTCTTGTGTAAATTCCAAATGCTATCAGTTCAGAGTTTTGTCCCCTGGTGGAAAGTGGATGCCCTTTTTTATCTTCAATGTACAGACAACTAGATATCCTGCTTGACGCTCCAATTATCAAACTTGAGCTAGTAATTGTTAAAACAGACATAATTGAAATGTCTACATAGAGAAAGCACAGTAGTCTGTCCATCTACTCACAAACTATTCAGTTATTCATAGTTATGTTCTGGTCATAACAAGTAGTCTCAGAGCTCACTACAGAGCAACTCCACTCATCACCACCTGAAGACAAACTTTATGGAAAAGTTTTACCCTGCTGAGAGAGTGTTTACCCCTTAAACCAGCAGGAACTTTATTGCATACTATTTTCCAGTTGTCAAAACAGCCACTTCATGACATTTAAGCTTGGATGGACAAACATATGAATATAAAAGACAAACATTACATGAAGTAGTGTTCCTCTTGGTCTTTAGTAGGATTATGTTCCATGTTGATCTAGAAGCAACACATGAAAAATGTGTCATTGACACAGGCATCAGTGTAAAGTGGGTAATTTATATTCAGCTCTTGTATACTAACATACTAAAAATGGAACAATTTATCAATAAAATGTCATGCATTGGTTATCAACAGAAAAGAGCCCTCTTTAACTCACAGGACTCATGCAATAGACAGACAATATAGGGGAGAGTGGGGTAAGATGAGCCATTTTTCATATTTCAGATCACTACATCAAGGCGATCGTAGTTTTGTCTCTAACTAGTGTATCTGCATATATTTCAAGGTGTTGTGCATCCCTGCAAACCAACAGATTGAGTGTAAACATAACTGTCTTGATAATATAGCATGCCAAAAAAAGTGGTCTCCTATGGTCAACTTACCCCGTGTATGGGGTAAGTTGACCATAGGAGCGGGGTAAGTTGAGCCGTATCCCTACTACCCCCCCCACTCTCCACCCCAGCCCTCCCTCACCTTCTCTCTCCCTAAATAACAGTCACTTCTTCACATTCATGTGTTTTTTTAAATCAATTGTACGCTATTCGATTGGTGCAATAATTGTTTTTATTATTATTGCATATAACTACCAGAAAGCCATTTTAACATGAGAATGTCTTTAAGTGATTCAGAACATTCACAGCTGTATTTATGAAAAGAAAAAGTAACATTTCAACAATCTGAACTGAAACTCTGATCCTCTTATCAGACTCCTTTACTCTAAAACTTTACCTCTAAACTAAAATGGTGGACTTTTATGCTATGAGTTTTTGACCTCATGTTGTAGCTCATAGATACCACAATTGATGCATTTAAAACAAATTTAAAATGATATTTTTTGGTCTGAACACCATTCTGATAAAACTTATGACAGACTAAATTCACTTTTAAGAGTGAATTTTTTTTTTTTTGTAAATAAATGTCTAACCCCTTCACTCATGTACTTCTAACCTTCACAGACTCCATGAATTGATGCCCATCTCCTAAATATTTGGTCACATGATCATTTTCTTTTACCATTTCCAAGCAACAGGGGGTGGCTCAACTTACCCTTTGGCTCAACTTACCCCACTCTCCCCTACAATCTTGCATGAGCAAATCCAAAACACTCAACAGCCCCGATAATAACCTTCATAATAACAAGAACTTTACACTGCCCATATATGCAGGTCACAAAGTTTCCTGAGATACAGTCAGAGGTTTCCCATGACTGAAGCTGGAAAAAGCTGTGTGTTTGAGGAGTTAGGGTTAAAATCATCATCATCATCATCATCATCATCATCACCCATCATCCTTTACTTTAGGACTTAGACCCATGACATGGAGCTGAGAGAGCACCTGACACAGTTAGGCCACAACACAGCAACACACCTGATACACCTGGTTGCAAAAAGAGACGGAAATTGCACTACTGCATAATTGTGAACCCAAAGGTTACGTCACTGACAGACACTGACGTCATTATGTTTGTGAATAATACGCAGCTCGATGCGGCTGATCAGTGTTTGTCTCAATAAAGGCCCCGTTGTGCACACAAAGAGCTGGAATTCCCAGCGCCATTCACCCACATCACCCCTTAAAAAAAACCCTCCGCCTTATCTGCGCGGAGGAGCCGCAGTGTGGATGCTGCTGCTGCTGCTGCTGCCATAACCCGACATCCTATGACTGAGCCTATCAAAAGCACAGGCATGCAACACACAATCCGCACCCATTGCCACATCCTCCTCGGCCTGTTGTTTTTTGCACATATCTTACCTTTCAGATGGAGATTCGCTCGAGCATTAATCCATGATAGGACACTGTTATCGCTTCCTCACGTTTCTCTTGACGTTGCGGCACAGAGAGCGATATAAATAATTATTACGAGGTAGCCCTGCCCGCTATGTCCTACTGGGAGGCGAGGGATGCGCCTACCGAGCCCATGGATACAAGAGAAGCGAACGGATCCGAAATCGGTCAAATGAAGGGAAGAGCCCAAGAGTAGCCCCCCTCAATTCGTCCAAATCTTTGAAAAATATCGTCTCTTCCGTATTTTTTTTATCACCCAGTCCTCCTCCACAACAGAGGGGCCCTCACTATCTCGCAATTTCTCCTCCACAAACACACACACGCACAGACACACACAGAAGCAGGCACACACACGCAGAGCAGCTCTGTCTCATTTAAAGAGACAGGATAGGGCAGCTGGCGCAGCGTTGAGTACAGAGCCACTCTGTCTGCATCTTATGTAACACCGTCAGATCCTGATTGTTCTGCAGTATATTCGGGCTCAAACGCAAAAATTACCATCAAAAAACTGTTTCATCTGTAAAAAAAAAAAGATATAATTTAAATATCTCATGAACGTTATCGACCACAGAGAGCTTCTTGTCAGGAAACACCTCTGAGGATGATCTGAGTTTTTAAAGTCACCTGCCTGTTTAAGACTGGATCATCAGACACGTCATTCATCAGTGTCATTAGACAGAAATTAATTGAGTTTGTGTTATTCCCTTTTTTCTCTAATCAGAAAAGCATGTATTGAAAGTGAGTAGGGAAGACCGGGGATGGTCGTAACATGGGTCAATTGTAACAATTCCAATTTTTCCATTTAGGAACGAGTAATGAATCACCTGACTCAAGGTCCTTACCATAGACTGTATATAGAATAGACAGAGTCTGCCTCCTCGCTGGGTGAAGCCGCTCCGAGAGCAGCACCCTCTGTTGACAGGCTGCAGTACAGGTCATAAATCCCGCCTCCTCCAGCAAAGCTTATGGAGCTGTGGACAAACTTTAGAAATTTATTACACAGAACATAAATTTTTCTCCCTCCTGCTTGTGATGTTGACATGTAGTTATTGTAAGACTGGTTTGTGCTCAAGTCCTCTTTTTTCTGTGAAGATCTGTTTCTAAAGGTTATTAGGGGGTTCAATTCAAGATAAGGAAACACCGAAGGTTAGTTTAAAATCGAAAAACAAAGTAACATAAAATGAAATTTAAAAAATAATAAATAAAATGAAAAAAAAAAAAAAAACAACAACAACGACAGTAAAAGATACTAAAATAAGAGCACCAAAACAACTCAATAAAAGACAATCCTGTCATTAAAACTTGAAGAGATAAATGCTTAAACACTTAAAGTTAATGATATATTTAGTTAAAATTTAGTTAAAAGCAAGACTAAAAAGGTATGTTTTTGGTTTGCTTTTAAAATCATTAAGAAAATCACGTCTCTTATGTATCCATATGGATTTTGCTTGTTACCCCTGCTTTCTTTTTTTTACAGCTGAGTAAAAATCTGAAGGGACATGTCATTTTGATCATTTTTACCAGTGCAGCACATGCTGTATGTTTACCTCTGCCTCACTGATCAGCTGTTAAATCTTTAGAAGAAAAAAAAAAAAGTACTACCACGCTGAAAAAGTGTGACTTTGACAGCAGTGATTAAGCTGTTTACCGCTGACTCAGAAGGCCATCTTTATGGCCTGGAGAGAAGACAGGGAAAACAAAACCGTGGGGAGATGACAGCAGTTAGACACAGAAAGGCGCCTGGTATTTCCAACACATCAAGCCCTTAAGTCACCAGCTCGACTGATCTGACCTTCGTTGGAAAGGCTGATCCAACTGCTTGCAGGTGGTTTTACAGCATTTTCAGTAAATCTACGCACACACATTTCAATTATTTTGGCAGCAAATGTAACTGTGCACTCACACATTGGCTTTTTTAAGTGCCCTTTCATTTAGTTATACATTTAATTCAGAGGTAGTTGAGAAGTCTTTTAAAAACTGCATTTTACGCTCAGTAGGTCAAGCAGCTGATCAAGTTCAGAGGTTACAGTCTTAGAAACACTAGCCATGTGATTTATACTTGATCCCAGAAGTATTTGATGCATTTCATTCCCAACTTTCTCCCCACAAATGCCCAAAAAGTAGGTAGGAAAAAGAACATACTCCTGGAAATCCTCATTGCACATTCCTTTCTCTGCAAACCTGAAAAAATTAGTGTTTTTGAGAAATAGAAATACACACAAAAAAACAGACTCTTGAGTCATACCCTTATTTCAACAGAAAGGAAACCATTTTACCTGCACTCTTCAATAGAAATATCGAGAGGATAGAAGTGTGTGTTACACTACCGGGCTGAGTGCAAGTGTGCTACATTATGAGCATGAAGAGAGTGGGACTGTAGCAAGAACTAGCCAAAAATCTTAGTGACCTACACTGACGACTGATAAGTATCATTAATAGGCCGAGGCTTCCTCTCTTAAAGTTGCAAGACAAAACTGTTAAAGATGCTGTTAAAGCTTTACTACAGCATTAAAATACTCTAATTCAGGCAAAAGTCCTGTTTTAATGACTGAGTAATTTAAAGCTATATCTGTATTTTCATCACTATGAATTTAAAGTGCTTTAAGGAGTGTCTCGCCCCTCTCTTTCTGTCCACCAAGTCTCAAACTTCCTCTGTGTCGTCTGACTCCTGAGGGTATCCTCTTGTTCCCACATTAAACATGATGTTATCACCTTTGTCAGGATTTGATGCCCGCAAGACATTCCTAAAAAGCTGCGACAGGCTCATGTTTACCTCTGTGTCACATCACCTTTCCTTTTAAGGACACACAACTTCTGCACAACTGTTGAAGTTTTAGAGGTGAAATTCTGTCCTATTCTTGTTTGATGTATAACTGCAAATGCTCAACAGTCTGGGGTCTCCGTTGTGGTATTTTGTGCTTCTTAATACACCACACAGGTCTGGATTGCAGACAGGCCAGTCTAGTACCCACACTACGTTACGCTGAAGCTGTAACACGCGCTGAATGTGTCTTGGTGTTGTCTTTCTGAAATAAACAGGGACGTAACTGAAAAAGACAAGGCGTGGATGGCAGCATACGTTGCTCTAAAACCTGTATGGACCATACACTGTATATAGAATGGACAGCGTTGAGCACAGCGCCCTCTGGTGACGGGTTGCAGTATAGGTCATAAATCCTGCCTCCGCCAGCAAAGCTTATGGGGCTGTGGACAAACTTTAGAAATTTATTACACAGAACATACATTTTTCTCCCCCCTGCTTGCGGTGTTGACATGTAGTTACTGTAAGACTGGTTTGTGCTCAAGTCCTCTTTTTTCTGTTAAGCTCCGTTTTTAAAAGTTATTGAGGGGTTCATGTTTTCTTTGATTGACACCTGATATTGGCATTCAGGGATTGCGTAGCTCACCCGGGGATACGCTGTTTGAGCTGATTGTCATCACAGTGTCACCTAATTTTTTTGGAACTTGTTGCAGCATCAAATTCAAAACGAGTGAAAATAAAAAAAACATCAACAACAAAGTTCATCAGTTTGAATATCAAATATCTTGTCTTTGCAGTGTATTTAATTGAAGATAGATAGAAAAGGATCTTCAAAAATTGAATCCTGTTTTTATTTTTCATTTAAACAATGTCCATACATCATTGGAAGACAACCTTAATTTATACAGTACATATATCTAACACTAACACTGAAAGTAATGCTTGGACTGAACTAAGGGTAATACACTGAATAACGACAATGACAAAAACCTCAGAAAAATCCCATCCCTGTCTTAGAAATGACATTGCAGTGAAACGTTCCCTGTTTGAAATTGTTTTACATTTTTATCATCACACCTGCACTGATATGCTGCATTTTATTGCTGTAAATATTTAAGGTTATGCATCTGATAATCACACTATCCATGCCCGTTCTGGATAAATACAGTCTATAATTTGTGGCAAAATGACAGTGAGCCAAACAAAATCTGAAAAACACATAAAATATGTGTCGTATTAAAGGACAAGATTGACTGTCAAAATGTCCTGTTATAGACATCACCCTGATGAGGAAGTGACGCCATGTGTCACTGCTTCTCCTCCTTTTCTCCTCTCTATTTTCCAGGCAGACTCAGCAGCAGTCCCTTCTTACACTCTTCATTTCTTTCTTTTTGTGTGTGCCTCTCTCTCTCTCCCTCTCCCTCTCCCTCTCTCTCTCTCTCTCTCTCTCTCCAAAGAGGCCGGGAGCTGGAGAGCTTTCTATTTTTAGCATCATACCCGCCTGTTCAGCCTCACACCCCCTTCAGCACAAAGAGTTACACCCACAGACACACACAAGGAGTCCATGGATGGTACACATGCAAGCGCATACACAGTGTTGCACAATCATGCACAAAACACCCCCCTACCCAACACCACACACGCACACACGCACACACATTTACAGATTAAAAAAATACACACATTTGTTTAATGAAAAAAAATTATGCACCTACAATTTCTAGAAAAACCGAGAATTAAATGATATGCAGAAATTATCCAATGCAAATCAAGGATAAAACCCAAACACATACAATGGCATAAATAATTCAGAGATCTTGAGTAGAAAACAGAAAACCACATTAGCTGAGGGGAAAAGGGCTTCTATGATGTAGCATGAAAATTACCCATTATCTTCTCTTTGTGTGTGTGCGCGCGTGCATGTGTGCATGTGTCTGTGAGAGAGAGAGAGAGAGAGCGTGCACGTGTGTTCTTGTCTTTGGAGCCCCCTGGCCTTAGGATAATCTGCTATATACATAAACACTTATATTGAAAAAAAAAAGCCATTTTAATGCAGCTACAAAATTCTGATTTCTTTTTATGCGTCCTCTGATTTGTGACTGGGGTTGATTTAAAAAGTCAAATGTCCATGAATAGATCAATAATAAGGTCAAACCCCTGAAATATCTGAGGCATTAATGAGTCAAATAAAAGAAGAAGCAAAGCTTGACACAGAAGGCTCGGTCACCCTTTGGTTGTACAGTATTTAAACAGTCCTTTTCAAAGATTTTTCTCATTTTTGTCCAAACAATAAGAAAAGTGAGACTTTATTAGAGTAAATTTGAACTCTAATAACAGTGAAGTTTGATCACCTAGATTTTAAATATATCTAATATATATTATACGCACATATGAATGGCAAAGCAAAGCCAACACCAGAGCTTAAAGCAGAGATATGAAGGTTACAACAACAGAAGCTCACTAGTGTCTAAGCAAACACTGGAGCTGCCAGGATTAAACAATGTTGTGTGTCTGGGCGTCTCATGTCAAACTTATGTTTTTTTATTTGCACATAATGCCACACGCAGACATGTAGCTCCGTGCAAGAGCACCAAAGTGACACACAGGTGAACAGTCCTTACAGATGCTGTTTAAAGGGCTAGGAGGACCACCATATGTCCACTGGCAGAGGATCCTTGTTGCGTAACAGTGTATTTGGGTAAGTAATACACGCCTTTCCGCAACAGCAAGCTTGAAAAAAATCAGTCATCCGATCCCTGCAGGCAGGTGTGGGGCTGCTGTGCTGTGTCACATCACACATGTATTTTTAAACTTTTTTATTTTTACCTTATTTGTATTTTAAGAAGTGCTGTTCTCTTTTTTTTATAGCTATGTGAACACAGATAAAAGAACTCCAACCTAATACACAAAAACCCATGCTCTGATATAGGAGCACGCTCTGCAGTGAACATGACTCAGCCAATAGTGCTGATGCCATGGAAACACTACCTTTTTCCTATCAGTCTCTTAGTAACTGTGGTTACTCTGAAAAAAAAGAAAAAAAACTTGAGGGATGGGGTGTGAGCTTTTGTAATTGTGTTTGTGTGTGTTGTGCTTACATGTGTATGTGGGTGTATGTGTGTATTTGTGTGTCACTGCATGAGTGTGTGCGTTTTTGTGTATCTTGTAAACTGTGGAATAAACCGGATTGCCTTCAGGTGTAAGTTGGTGTATTTTGCCAAAGGATCATTGTTAAGAACTAAAAACCAAGCATGGTGATTGTGGCTGTTTGACCCCATGTAGTGACCTGTCCAGGGTGTACCCTGACTTTAGACGATAGCACCCAGGGACCCCGTGAGGGTTAAGTTGTAAAGGTCATGAGTGGATGGATGGGTGGAATTAAGTAACACCGCTGTGCATTGTTCTTAATATGCACTGCACCTCTTCACGATGCACTGACTTTTTCTACTGCAGGGGAATCACTGTTTGTGTCTGATTAAATGTACTGCAACTGACTATTACCAGCAGCAGAATTTTATTTTGATCAAGCATCTTGTAGAATTCAGCTTACAATCACTTTTTCCAGTGCAGTGCATCACGTATAGAATATATATATATAGTATTTTACATAAGTATTTTATTGAGATTTTTGTCATAGACCAACACAAAGCAGCACATAATTGTGACTGTAATGAAAATGATACATGGTTTTCAAAGATTTAAACAAATAAAAATCTGAAAAGTGTGGTGTGCATTTATATTCAGCCCCCTGTACTCTGATACCCCTAAATAAAATGCAGTGCAATCAATTGCCTTCAGAAGTCCCCTAATTGGTTAATAGAGTCCACCTGTGTGTAATTTTGTCAGCATAAATACAACGGTTCTGTGAAGGCCTCAGTGCTTTGTTAGAGAACACTAGTCAACAAAGATATATATATAATATATATGGATATATTCATTCATATATATAGAGAATATTTATATACGGATTCTGGTGACAGTCTGACACACAGCCAAGAAACAGGAAATAGGCTAACTAGCCTGTCCCTCAGAAGTACTGTGCTCAGTCCATATGCCCTGTCTTGCAAAAGTGAAAGTAGGTTGAGGATCTGCTCCAAAATTTAACAAGTGTTACTTCTTGGCCCATTCTATGGCCCTTCTCCAAGTTTCATCATGATCAGCATAGTTATTTTTGCTGCCTAAAATTATTAATCAGTAGGGATGGGAATTGAGAACCGGTTCTTATTGAGAACCGGTCCCAAATGGTTAAGTCCATAGGCATCGTTTACATTTCATTGATTCTCTTAACGATCCCTTTCTTCCGAGTGCTTTGGAAAACGGTCCTGTGAGAGGCAGTCTACGCTAACGAGAACAGAGAGTTTGAGGAAAAAAACATGGCGGATGGTACGAAAAGTAGGCAGAAACGATCTAAAGTGTGGCTTCGTTTTATTAAGAAAGACGACAACAAGTTTTGTATAGAAGTTTTGAGTTTGTGTGGCATGGAGTAACTGAATTAGAAGCACAAAAAAACACTCTACCTGACAAGAAAAGCCCCCCAAATGTTTAATTTCGCTTAAGTGAAACAATAACATTTCCACTTACTTCTTTGCTTGTCTTCTCGCCGTCGTCTTTTGTGCCGAGATCGTAAAACAGCGATGCATCTTCATTATTAGCCTCTGTCAGCTCACTTCTGTTGTGGCTTTTTTTAGTTGCATACTTTTATTTTCGCTGTAAGTAATTTTTTTACCATGACCACTTTATGTTGCGCCATTAACCATTTCTTTTTTTATTTGCAGCGGGCTTCGTTTTTTTTTCATCAGTAACTTCCGTTGTCACTTCTTTTTATATATATATAAAAAAAAAAAAAAAAAAAACGTTAAAATAATAAAACGTTAAAAAAAAACTTTTAACCGACGTTCTTCCGCACCCCATGAGGTGGCGGTAGTGCGCTTTCCAGTTGGCCACCAACCGCCATGAAAACCAAAAGAAGAAGAGGGCGAAGCAGCTGTACCTTAAGCTAGCTCTGTGAGGAATTTCCATTTGTTAGCCGAATTGTTAGGCTCTAAAAACGTATTACAGTGAAAAGAAACACGGGAGGAGAGATACTGTTACCGCTGCCAGCGGGTCATGCAGCTCTCTAAAAGGTAATGAGCCGTAAAGCCTCGGGGTCTCGGCTCAGCGGCGCCCACAAACTGCAGCCACACTGGAATGACTGGCAGTCCAGGTTGGTGTTTCTGTTTCGGAGGAGGGTGCTGGATGGTACTCGGGGATTCTTTGGGCCTATAATGTGCTGCTCCTACATGTTTTGTGTACAATACTTTCTCTCTCAAGACTAAAACATTAATCATCGTTGTCAAAATGTTCTACTCTCCCCTAGAAGTGAGTGTTTTTCGGAGCTTTTCACACCGCGCAGGAAGCTGAGGCGTTTTAGCCCGGGGTTTAGTGCTCACAAGCCCGCCTGACGAACTGGTGAGCCCGGCGCTAACTTTAGCTCCAAATGTTGGAGGATAACTGACAAACTAGTCTACGCCTTGTCTTGAGATTGGACAGTAAAGGCGCATCGTGTGAAACGGAGATGATCCCGCAGTGAAACAGATCCTCAATGAGGGCTGCTTCTGGAGCTGGTTAGCGCCGCCGCCGCCGTGCTGGTCGCGCTGGCTAACCATAGCACAGCTAACACGGGAATGACGCCACCCAACTACAACTTTATCAACTCCAGCAGACACTCAACTTCCTTATTTGTCTCTTTTAGTGTCAAGCTTGTCCCGCTGCATGGCTTTATTGCACGTTTCAGAGCTGACAGGTCAAAAATAACAATACTTTACACCCCTGAAACAGAACATGTGCCAACGTGCGTACATTCAGAGCGTACGTAACAGGTGTGAAGGGTCCCTGTTAGCTGGGTAACAGACTCTGAGCTCCCCCAGAGACTTCATGAATTAGTTTTATAGTACTTTGACTTTGAACCCTTTGTGCACAATGCATTACAGCCTTAAAGTTCCCCCATACACCTCAGCCAACCCAGCCATAATCCAGATTGATTATTCATCTGAAGATACTCCTGAGGTCTGCATGTTTCCAAACAAGCTGTTGTGAATGTACATGTGGCCGCAACTAAAACAGTAGACAATGGGCACAGGAAGCTTAGTTAATGTTTGGCATTGAGTCCTTTTTTTAGTCTGTTTTTCCTGTGTCGAGGAAATAGGGGCATCTATGGAGTACTCTGCCACTGTAGCTGACCTGGCAATGGCCTCATCAACATACAATGTTGCTTTTAAAGGGATATTCCGGCGTAAAATTAAGTAAGGTCAAACTCACAGTAACACTGAGTTAGACACCCCCTGGAGAGATGAGTGTTGCAGACCACTTGCTTCTCTAGTTATACCAACTTTAGTAATGACCGCAGATAGCAATACAGAGAGCCACGCGCTCAACCAAAAAGCTACTCTATAGCCACAAATAATGCTCAGAACAGCACCTAACTTCATCAGCAGTACATATAGGGTCCCAGCCATAGTACTGGCCACCAAACAGCTTTTTAGCAGAGAGACTAAACACAACTCACCTACTCTCTTCCAGCAGCCGCTTGTTTGTACAGAGACCTCCATGCGAGTCCATTGACTGCAGCGGGGTGTCACAGCTCAAGGAAGAACATTTATGATCATTTCCTCGTGGAAATGCAATTAGACTGAGATGCTAAGGCAGAAGAAATACCGCATCTGCAGTTAAATATGATTAAAATTATGAATATTACTTCAAGGAAATGATAAAGTAATGATCATAAATGTTCTTCCTTGAGCTGCATCACCCCGCTGTAGTCAGTTTGGACTGGCCTGAGGTTTCCGTACAAACAAGCAGCTGCTCGAAGAGAGTAGGTGAGTTGTGTTTAGTCTCTTTTCTAAAGAAATTAGTCAAAGCTAAAAAAATTCAGCGGCTAGTGCTGTGGCTGGGACCCTATATGTACTGTTGATGAAGTTAGGTGCTGTTCTAAGCATTATTTGCGTTTTGGTTGAGCGCGTGGCTCTCTGTATTGCTATCTGCGGTTGTTACTAAAGTTGGTATAACTAGAGAAGCAAGCAGTCGGCTACATTCATCTCTGGACGGGGTGTCTAACTCGGTGTTACAGTGTGTTTGACCCTAACTTTAATTTTACGCTGGAATATCCCATTTAAGTTACACGGTGGCAGTCTCATAAGGGTCGCAGTGCTGTAGGCTTGTGCATCTGTCTTTGTTTTATAATGTTCTCACTGATGTGGTTGTTTCACGAATGTCAATCATTGCCCACTGCAGTGAAGCTCCATCCTCAACAGTCCACAGGTTTGGCCCTATGAAAAACATAAAGTAAATTTGATGTGACGGTCTTCAGCTTCAAGATATCCATATGTATCGTTTAAATGCCTCATTATGCAGTTCTCAGCCAATATGTTTCTCAATTACAGTGAGCTGCTTTTTGAAAAACTAATAATGGCTTTATGTAGCTAGCTTTATCCTGTGAATTTTGGAGGCAGAGCAGAGACTGAGCCCTCATCTGAGAGGAAATGAGACAGTTTAGGGTACTCCTGAAACACCTGAAAACACTGGTAAAAGCAACGTGATCCCTGCACAGTAAGCACTTAAAAGTTTCCCAATAGACACAAACAGTTATGGGCTGATTTAATGAAACTATGTAATGAATTAGGCCGACATTTATATACCCATTACATCAGTTTAACCTTGGTTGAAACACTGTTTTTAAGTCTCAAGGCACACACTGTATTGGGAGTGAATATTTTTATAATGTGTTCATTTCAAAGACTCAAATGTTACGCAATTGGCAAATCAAAAGCACAGCTGACTTGACTGACAGGCAGGCAGTCTGTAGCTGTTTGTGAAGCGGCTGAAGGCCCGCCTCCAGTGAGTCGACTAAAGGTTAAGTTGATTTAGCATTTCCAATAGGGCGACCTCCACCAGTCAGCATCGAAAACTCAAACCAATAGTTCAAGTCACTAAGACTTTGTCAGTGTATTATACAGTCTCAGTTTGTTGCCTACAGTGAGCATTTTTTTTAGTCTATATGCTCATATGTTCTCTCCCTGGTACTGACGTGCTGCAAGACGCATCACAGGGCCCATTACAGACTTTTATTTTAATATTAATTAGATTATTGATGAGTGTCTGTATCGTTGAGCATCCACAATGCCACAAGACAGGACAGCGTAGCACTTCTAAACACTCACACCTGTACCCCAAAACAACAAATGGGGATATCAAATAACAACTTAAATGCAGCCTATACAAACATAAATGTGCCGTTAATAAAAGTAAAATAGTTATTTGTGATGTGAAGTTTAACCTGTATTTGTTATCAGCTATCACATTAAAGATTTGAATGTATTGATCATATTAATTGGCTACAAGAGTAAATTCCCCCGACAGCCCCCAGTATGAAACACAGAATTCATGGTTATTTTGAGATTTCTAAAGTTAGTTACAAATTCTCATATTTCTCATCAGTCACAGTCACATGAGATTAGCGGGCATCAAGACTTTATTACTACTTAAGATTTTAAGGAAGTTTTTTGTCTCTTAGAGAAGTGATCAACAAAAAGATTGTATTTCAAAAGATAGATTTGTCTTTGATTGTTTTACGCAGTTTTTGCCAGTAAACAATGTTCTTGTAAGTCAGTTTAGTCAATATCGATCCAAACTGAATCATGCTGAGGTGAATCACGCTGTATTTTACAGATGGATTAAATTGAACTGGCTTTTTTATTTGTTTCCCCCTTGATTTATTTAATAGTTCAAAGAAAGATAAAAATATTTATGATCAGTGGGATGAACCTGACTAATATGATGAGTGGGTAGCAGGAATGGTGAGATCCAGGTTTTTATGTCCTGATACTGATACCCATATCTGGGCTTTAGTTTATGCTCATACAGCTATCGAGTCTGATGTCAATGTTAAATTAATAACCAGAATTCTCTGATGTGAGAATGAGATGAGAAATCATGATCAAGAAAAATCTGGATTCTTGAGTTTATAAGCAAAAGTAAAATGAACGTGTTAAATCTGTTTCACTGGCTGAAGATGCCTCTAGTGAAGCATTTCCTTGTTAGCAGTCTGGTGCGTGATCTGTGGAGGTTTGTAGCTTATGGCACTGTGCACTGGTGAGAAACTGGTGTCTAACCAACTCCAGATATTTTAGGCGAAGCTCATCATCTTTTCATCTCTCAGTTTGTTAGAGGAATTTCTAGCCGTACTGAGATTTTTTATATTCTCTGTTGGACTTTATTTCATTAATTCTGCCGAAAGTCATTTTTAATGGAGGAAAGGCAACACAAAAGGCAATATGTACTGAGTTGTAAAGAATCAAGAGATAACTTTGATTCAGGAGGTTCTTCTGTATTATAAGCGATAGATAAATGGTGAAATTGTGCAGTAACGTTACTCATGTGTCTGTCTATTTATCCAGATTTGACAGTCTGTCATCCAGTCAGGACGAAGTGAACTCCAGAGAGCTTGATTCAGCAGCGTTGTACGACGTGTTGCCTTCCAGCTGCCCTGACCAGCCAGTGGTGCCCAGCGATGCTTACGCTGCTGAAGACACACACCAGGAAGAGGGTGAGGTCTCTCTCAGCTCACTGTAGTCATTTTATCTTGTACAGTTTCTCTTATAGCTTAGAGGATTCAAGTCTGGTTTTAGTTCACCATAATTTCTCCTCTTGCTCCCTGTCTTATGTTGCTGTCTGTGTTTCCATCTAACATGCTTTTTGTTCCTCAGGTGGATATGAAGCTGGTCAAGGTGTCTGCGATAATACATTTGGTTGGAAGTCGATGGGGCAAGAGTTGAGACCCAATGACGTGACTACGGATTTGACTCCTATTCAGCATGGAAACCGTGCTTTAACTTCCAAGGACATGAAGAAACTGCAGGGTAATCTGCCGCGAACGGCCAGTGTTCACATTCAGAAACAAGCCCAATCGAAGGTTCCATAAAATGGCATTTTTAGCTGTTTACAAAGTAGCCCATTAGCCCTTTTTGAGAAAGGTTTTGAACTCTGCTACAAAAGGAAAAATCAACAGCTCAGACTGCGACCTTTTTGTTCTCACCTCATTATCCACGAAGTGATCCGAGTCAGCAGAGGTGCTATGAAAATGAGGAGGGTTCAGGGAATAAATGAGAGCTCTTATTGTCTGACGTTACGCTCCCAATATGTTTCAAATACAAAAACATTGTTAGAGTAAGATAGCTAATGAGTTAACACTGATGTGCGCTGATTTTTGTTACAGACAGAGGAATGGCTCACTCAGAGGAGTCTCGGCTAGCCAACCTCCTGCGCCGAGTCTCCAGGGAAGACGATCGTGACCGAAGGCTTGCCACGCTCAAGCAGCTAAAAGAATTCATCAGCCATGGAGAGAGCAAAGTGGTGAGAAGACGCTGTTGGCATTTTATTAATTTACCGACCTGACCTGATATCACCTGGTTTCATTTAGATCTCAAAATACAAAACTTAAAATCTAATGAAAACAAAGGATGATGTATTATTCCCACTATATGAACACATTTACATAAGATGAGAGTGTATTGATTTAAAATTTAATCTAACTTCCTAATACTGAAACTTCTCTCACACAGACACTGGTCAAACAGATGGACAACATCCTCAGCACCTTGAATGACATCTTGAACGAGAGGTAAGTGGAAGTCGGACTTTAGCTTCATTTTTGACCCAATTGAAGAAGTGTTTTCTCAGTTTATATGAGAAACAAGACAGCGAAACAAACTGAGAATAAGAAAGAAGAAAGTGCTAAGTTTTCTATTCTTTTGATGTAAGGTTTGCTTTGTAAAACTTTGACACCCATTAACAGAGCACTAATCTTTTTTTTTTGTTTGTGTGGCCTGCAACGTTGGTCAACAGTGCTTGGTCTTTGCTGTGTCTTATTTTGAAAGGCACTTATTTCTGATTTCCCATCCATTGCCAGGCATTTCATTTAGTGAAATGAAGGATGTTAGCCTGATCCTTTGTAGTGCTATTACATGATTCTTGAATTGATCGTAAAAGACAGCATGCTTTGGTAGCTTGGTAATAAGATGGTGTGAAATCAAGAGGTATTCATTGCTTTGATTTGTGCATTTGCCAAAGCGGTCCCTAACGTAGTCTTCTTGATTATGTTTCGACTCTGCAGCAGCAAGCTACTGTGGGAGTTGCGTCAGGACGCGGCAGCCTGCCTGGGTCTCCTCTGCACGGTGCTCAGCTATGAGGCCGAGCGCATCTTCAAGTGGCTCTTCCTGAAGTTCACTACGTGCAGCCGTGACGAGGTGAAACTCTTGTACCTGGTGGCAACACAGCGCGCTTTGGAGGCTGCCGGAGAAAGGAAGGCTTTCTCTCACGTCATGCAGGTAAGCACATACAGAGGCCTCAGTTCGATTCAGCACCATGAGACCACCCGTGATTGTGAGCAAACCTCCAGTTAATTAACCTTTTAAATTACCATATTAATTGCTTCAGTATTCCCTAGCAACCACACAAACTGCGGCTCATGCAGAAAAAAAGAGTATGCTTGGCTCCTGCTACACACTCACGAACATTTCCATATTATTATACACTCATTCCAACACAAATACTCAATTACTACTGCTAAATTCCACCAAAAATCACATACTGTCCCTTTAAGGTTTTAGTAGTTATACGCTGTTCTGAACATCTTGTTTTGTGTGTGTTTCAGCTGGTGATGAGCAACCTGCAGTCCATCCTGGAGAACGTGGACACTCCAGAGCTGCTCTGCCAAAGTGTGAAGTGCATTCTTCAGGTGGCTCGCTGCTACCCGCATGTCTTCAGTACAAACTTCAGGGTGGGTGTTTCACTATGTGATCGGTGTATTTGCTATGCGTGCACATCAGTCAGTATGTTTACATGCATTGTGAAACTGCTGCAGATGTGGCTCTATAAGAGAATTTAACCAGACTACTGTTCTTCTGGATCATTCTGGTCTGGGCTGTGTCAGTAAATAGGTCCATAAAGGAGATGGTTTGATGTGACATCCACTAGGGGGACACCACCCCAGGAAGTAGTGCTTGATTGAAGTTTAGGCAGCCTTGGCTCTTGAATGCTTGAGATGGCAGCACCACAGCTGGGGTGTAACAGACTGGAAGGGCAACAGAGGGTACCTCCTCAGCAGACACAGCCGCAGAGCCTTTATGTCTTTGTTCCCACTTCTTCTGCATGAATGTCTCTGCCACAAAGAGACCCTGTAGTGTCACAGGAGTGTCAAGGAAGTCCTTGACAGGATGTGGGATTCAGCCTTTAGGCTCTCTCCTACAAGATTATCAAGCCATTGATCTGCCTTGAGACTCAGAGTCGCAAGGTGGCTCGGGTGTGTTTGGAGGTTAAAGTCAGATCCTCTCCACTGTGTCAGGCACACTGGTGGACACCATGGCCACACTAGCTGTGCAGCGGAAGAAATGTTCTCTTGTGCCGCTTGTAACCTCCAAGAAAGATGCAGCAGGAGTTGGTGTTAGTAAACATCAGTGGGGGAAAAGTAATGATTCTTTAATAGGTATTGATAACAGGGAATTTTGCAACTTGATTGATCCAGCTGTTTTAAGTATTTCTACTTTAATGTTGTATTGCTATTTGGGAATTTTGGCAACCTTGATGTACATTTCATGCTCAGACGTTTTATGTTTTGCCACAGGACACAGTCGACATCTTGGTTGGCTGGCACATTGACCACACACAGAAGCAGTCGGTGACTCAACAAGTCTCAGGTAGATCAGGATTTTGTTTCTAAAAATCTTGTTTTGTTGAAGACTTAATTGCATGATTTCATAACATTTGAAGCTTTTTGTCATTTTTTACTAGAAGTAAAACTGATGAAAATTTGTGTGAACCACATCATTTGAAATCACCAAATTATTGGATTAAGAAGATTCTTGATGGGGGAGACATTCAAATCATATTTTTAATTAGCTGCTGCTTTGTTGACATGCTGCTATAATCACACTGCCTGTTAAGACAATATGAAAAATCATCATGACAGCCAAGTGATTTTCCCCATCCGCTCTGTTTTCCCTTGTTTTGTTTTGTTTTTAGCCTGGTTACAGAGTTTGGAACAGTTCTGGGTGGCAGATCTGACTTTCTCCACCACTCTGCTGGGACAGTTCTTAGAGGATATGGAGGCCTATGCAGAGGTAAAGTTATTTCAGAGACTGTGAACCCCTTTATGCCAGAATAGCTCTGAATTTCTCCATGGTCATGCTCTGACACCAGTTATGACTCAACATGTAGCGTGAACCAGTGTTTTAAGAAAAGACATAAACAGTAATCGTAAATTTAGATAATGTTCTGTACTCTGAATGGTGAATTATAGCAGTTAATGTTTTGTTTTTTTAGTTAATTAGTGTGTGTTTTTAAAAACCGTGTCTGTGATTTGTCCAGGATCTGAACCATGTTGGATCTGGTGACGTGCTCGATGAAGACATCCCCCCACCTTCTGTGTCCTTACCCAAGCTGGCAGCTCTGTTGAGGGTTTTCAGCACAGTGGTTCGCAGCATCGGGGAGCGATTCAACCCGTTCAGAGGACCACCCATTACAGAAGTCTATGTCAACGATGTAAGAGCAGTGTTAACATAATAATCAACTCTTCAGTAATGTTATTGAATGCTTCTCCTTTAATGCTTTTTTCACATGTTTGTGCAGGTTCTGAGCCGGGTTCTGGCTTGTGTTACCACAGCGAAGCAGGTTCAGTTCTCTGAGGCTGTTCTGACTGCAGGAAACGAATGTGTCGGTGTGTTGCTGGCTAGTGTCGAGCCCTGTGGTCAGCTGCTGGAGGCTGTCCTAGTCTATGGCCTGGACCAACTGGACTGCTGCCGGGCTTCCGGCTCTGACTACAGCCTGGCAGTGCTTAGCCTTCTTACTCTGGTACCTCCATTTTTACTGACTTAACCTTTTACAAAGTCTGTTTGTGAAGGTTTAGTCTTGATTGTCATTGTTGTCGTCAAACAAATCTTATTTTATCTGCTCAGTTTTCACAGTAGTTTCCCATATCTGACATAAGAGTTAAACATCTTTTGTAAAGGTTATTCTTGTGTTCTTATGTTTGGGGATGAACCAACGCTGTTCCTTACTACTTTGTTTTTACTTTCAGATTGTTGATCGGATCAACACAAAGCTGCCTGTGTCCTTTGTTGAGAAACTGTTGGCGCCAGACTCCCAGCTGCTGAAGCTGCGTTTCCATCGGGACAAAGAGGTGTGTGTTTGTGTGCAGGTTTTTATTTGAGTGTTAATTTCAGGTACAACATATAAAACCCAACAAAGACTTCACCCCTAAGAGAAACTCTTTTGAAGTCTTTGTGGATTAAGCTAAAGAGGTTTTCACTCAGAACAGTAACTCAGAGTTTAAATACAGGGTTATGATGGTGTAGTTGATTTTCTTTGATGTGAGGCACTCTAACTGTAAGGTCTGAGGTGTCCCCTTAAAGCTGTATCTCTGTGTTTCCACATTGATTTTAAATAATCAAATGAAAATTGTCTGTGTGTGTGTCTGTGTGTGTGTTCATGATGCTTCAATCCACAGGTGATGTCCGCCGTTCATGGCGTGTACCAGGCGCTACTAAGCCTAAAAAACATTCCAACACTAGAGGCCGCTTATAAAATGGTATTGGGTGAGATGACATGTGCCTTATCCAGCCTGATGAAAACCCTGGAACCGACTGACAGGGCCAAGGGATCCGAGGGCACCTTCCCCGGTATTGAGCATCCTGCTTTTGCCCCTCTTACCCTTCCCCCGGAGACTGCCCAATTCATCCTGATCTTCAACCTCAGCACCCTCACCACAATTGGGAACACCAAGAATTCTCTCATCGGGGTGAGATTTCTTATCACTCACAATGAAATATGAGATTCTGAGTCGTGTGTGTGTGTGTTCATGTAGAAATTTGATCTGTGTGTCTAGATGTGGGCATTGTCTCCAACGGTGTTCGCTCTGCTCAGTCACAATCTGATGCTGGTCCACTCTGAGATTGCAGTCCACTACCCTGCCATCCAGTATGCTGTGCTCTACTCCCTGTACTCCCACTGTACCAGGTAAGACACACGGCTATACTGTGAGCGACAAAACACCGTTCACTGCCGAAGAAATGACCTCACTTTTTTTCTGTCTTCACAACATGATACGATCACAGGGTCACGTGAACTCGGCAGTGTTGAGCTGTTCAGTTTCTTCCTAAAACGAGTCTCCTTTTTTTTCTAGACACGATCACTTCATCTCATCCAGTCTGTCATCGTCTTCTCCCTCCTTGTTCGATGGCGCTGTCATCAGCACTGTGACCACAGCAACTAAGAAACATTTCAGCACGCTCCTGAGCCTTCTGGGAACTCTTCTGGTGAAGGAGCACCTGTACCATGAGGCCAGGTTCTCCTCCCCTTTTTGTCTCCAACACACAGATACACAGTAGTTACTTAGACGTAGACGTTTATGTCAGTTGTTTAGAACCTTTAATTGCATTGTAGTTTGTGAAATTGAGAGTGTTATGCTGCCCCTAGTGGATGCTGTGCAGCGCCTCAGTGTTTTAAAAAATGTCGGCCAGTGCAAGAAAATTAGTTAGTTAGTTAGAAAATTAGAAAGACTCAGTTTACGCTGATGTCAGGAGTTAATTTAAGATTTACCAGAACTCTTTATATAAAACTAATCCCGTGCTCAAGTTTTTCCACTGCTTGGGCTCAAGTTGAATTATGCTGCTAGCTGTTGGCTGTTTTGTTTGCTTTACATCAGTAGATTCTGAGACACTCAGAAAAAGCTGTTTTCGACAACTTGCTTTGAGGAGTTATTGTCATACAGTCTTAAGATGGTTGGAATTTCACGGTCCAGCATGTTTTGAGATGATTTATTTAAAGGTTAAGGGCAAGCTTAAAAATAATAACTATGAATGAAAAAAAAACATTGTAAGATGAATGAAATTGAACTAAAATTGGTGTGTTTTCATATCAGGAGGCTTCTGCTGACTTGGGCTCAAGAAATCTCAGTGCTGATGAAGAAGTCAGACACCTATGGACCGCTCTTCTCGCTGCCCTCCTTTCACAAGTTCTGCAGAGGCCTGCTGGCCAATGGTGAGTCAAACGTATCCAGTATATCTAGCATAGGGAGGTTTATCTTGTTTGTTCTACAGGCTTCTTCATTGTTCTTTCTGCAGAAATCAGTGCTGTTGGTTTTAATTTTTTCCCCTTGTTCTCTCTGGGTAGCTCTGAATGAGGATCAAAGTATCTGCCTTCAAACCAGCCACAGCTTACAGGTCCTTTCTTCATCATTATCGACTGAGCTGCTTCAAAGGTGAACACAAAAACATCAACTTATGCACTTGTGAAGGAAATGTCATCAGTCAGGTGCACATTTTCCTCTCTGTTCTGAACTGTGCTAATGAGCTCTGTGTGTGTTGGGGCTGTCCAACAGGTGTGTGGATGTGTGCAGGGTCCAGCTGGTCCACTCTACAGTGAGGGTCAGGCAGGCCTATGGCAAGCTGCTCAGGACAATTCCACTTGATGTGGCTTTGAGGTGAGACTTCTTTTACCCCAGGAGAGCATCTCCAACAAAATCAATTTTTGTTTTATGGTTAACCAAATCATTTTTTCATATTGTGTGTACTTTATATGACACAATATGGAGAATACATCTGAACTATCTTCATACATATTCAAAACTTCTATGTCATGGAGAAAACAACTGAGTTGAAACTTCCCTGACAGTGTGGATGCTGTCACATGTTGCTCCTCGTTGACTTCATTTGTCTGTCTTTATGTGTCACCAGTTATCACAGCCACCCCAAGATGAGAGAGATCTCATTGGCCATTCGCCACCACATGAGTCGAGCACCCGGCAGCACGTTCCACCCCCAGGATTTCAGCGACCTCATCAGCTTTATCTTATATGGAGTCCTGCACCGAGGAGGGTATTTATCACTGCATGAATTTTTGATTTTTATCAGTGTCTGAATGGCTTCTGTGTCCCCTTCTAAGCTCCACCGTTCTGTCCCCACAGCAAGGAGCCCTGGCTGGAGCGTCTGTACCACAGCTGCCAACGTCTGGAGAAACGCAACGGCAAAGGAGTTGTTGAGGGCAGCAGGCTGGACGTAGTACCCCATGCATTGTTGAAAACGGAGACGGTGCTGTGGCAGTGGGCCGTGTGGGAGGCTGCACAGTTCACTGTGATGTCCAAACTCAGAACCCCGCTCGGCCGAGCTCAAGATACATTCCAGACTATTGAGGGTAAAGAAACTCGGTCTAGTCCTGCTACAAGGGGGCCTCCTGTTTGACTCAGATCAGCTACATAATCTACATTGTGTTCCAGGTATGATCCGGAGCCTTGCTGCCCACAGTCTGAACCCAGAGCAGGATGTTGGAGCTTGGGCAGGTGCTGGAGGTGATGGAGACAGTCACCACTCAAATCAGCTCCGTCTTGCTCTGCTTCTTCAGTATCTGGAGAACCTGGAGAAACTCATGTACAACGCTTATGAGGGCTGTGCAAATGCTCTCACTGCTCCACCTAAAGTGAGCAAAATCAACCTGGTTTTTGGTTCATCTATCTAAATCCACGGTTTCATCTATGTCCATGGTGTGTGAAATGTTTGATTTCTTCCTTGTGTCTCAGGGCATCAGGACATTCTTCTACACCAACCGGCAAACATGCCAAGACTGGCTGACTAGGATCCGCCTCGCACTGATGAGGGTCGGTCTCCTTTCCGGCCAACCTGCCGTAACCATTCGCCACGGCTTCGACCTGCTGTCAGAGATAAAGAACAGCAGCCCCCAGGTCAGTGCAGATGAAGTTTTTCTCATGAGTAGTCCAGATGTTTATACAGCAGATTTGACTGCGAACATTTTGAGGAACAACCGTTTCATCCTGGAGCATAAAAACAGGATAAGAGCTCTATGTTGGCTGAGAAGAGTTTTACATGTGTTGGTTGGATTCACGGTCTGTTTCTTGGATTTTGTCAGGGACCAGAGCTGGAGGTTCCTCTGACACTTCTGGTGGAGGCTCTTTGTGAACTCCACTGTCCTGAAGCCATCCAGGGCCTGGCATCCTGGAGTCTCCTCACAACTGGAAAGAGTCTAAGTTGGCTGTCATCAGTTGCATTGCAAGCAGAGGGACGGTGAGTAGCACAGCCTTTTCCAGATGTCATCACAATTCACAGGAATAGTAAATAAAACTCACCTGCTCTGTTTGTTTGGTTGTATTTCACTAAATAGTTGGTGTTTGTTTTTGCAGGTTTGAGAAGGCATCTCTGGAGTATCAAGACCAGCTGTCTGCAGTTACAGGGATGGACTGCAGCATCAAAAACTCTGAATGCTGTCTGCTGAAAATCTCCAGCAACACATGTAGCCCCAAACACACCAGCAACGGTAACTAGCAAATATCTCTATATGGTACTTTCTGCGTTTGCACACTCTTGTCATTACATCCAAGTTTGATTTTCTGTCTTGCATCTGTTCAACTTTTCAAATAGGTGATATCAAGAAGACAGTGCTGCTAAAATCCTCAGAGTGTTCTCCCGAGGTGATCAACTTCCTGGCCAACAAAGCATGTCAGTGTTATGTGGCGCTCTCTGATTGGGCATCCGTGAAGGAGTGGCAGACTACAATCCACATCATCAAACAGAACTCCACCAACCCGGTCAGCACCAACCTGAGGACAGATTTTAACTACATCCAGGCTCTGAACTGCTTTGAGGACGGAGATATGGCCGAGTGTGGCGTTCAGCTGGAGCTGCTACCTGGAGAGGACTACAGCTCACTGTCCAACACCAAGGACAAGCTCGGTAAGAACGTGACAGGATAGAAATGTCTAGATTACTTCATAAACGGGGGCAAAGTAGAAGTTTTGTAGTTGGATGTTGAGGGTGCTGCAGATAAACTCCCTCAGGCTGCTGTCAAAAACAGCCTTGGTCTGACTGTAATGAATCAAAAAAAGCTCTTCAAAAATTCATATTTTATTGTCTTTTCTTTCTCTATCAGATCTGAAGAAGCTTCTGCCTTTCATAAGTCCGGATCCAACTGAGCTGCAGAGAGCCGTCGAGGTGCAACTTCTTCGCAGCGCCGTCAGTGCCATGGCGAAGGCCGGTGAACAACAGCAAAAGACTGCAGTCAGTCCAGAGTAAGTTTTTCTGTACAAACAAGGATCTGCCAGACCGATATGTGAAATTTCATTGTTAGTGCACAGAAGAAATAATTAGATTTTTGTTGATTTCATGTTACATTTTTGAAATTCTGTAGACATTTTCAGGATCTTGTATAACTTGCCTAAGTCGGCCAGTCTCAGTAATTCTTGTCATGTGACGTTGCAGTATATTGGTGCGCTGTCTGAAACAGACCGGGCGGATCTGTTTGGGTCCCCTTCGTCTGTCTACCCTCACTTTGTCTGATGCCTTGCCCAGCCTGCCCACCCTGCAGCTCCACTGCACGGCCACCCTGGAGAACACTTTCATGGGACAAGAAGTATGTACACCAGCACTTTCAGTCCGACTGTATGTAATGTGTGTTTGCACCTGCGATCTGAATTATATTTTTAGATAGACCATCGTCATCAATATTGGATTCTTAAATAGTTTTCAATTCTACATTTTTTTTAACAACACAATGCCGTCTATCTGAGGCAGCGTATTGAGAAAAAAAAAACAAAACTAGAGTATCATGACAAACCTGCTTCTATTCCTTGCAGGACTGTGTAATTCCTCTGTCCAGTGAGGCTCTCAGCTCTTGTAAACAACAGGATGTCCAGCCTTTTCTTCAGGCCCTCAGATACACCATGTTCCAGCGGCAGCTCCTTCATAAACTTAAAGGTAACTATCAGTGAAGTTCATTCAGGACGTTAATCAGTATGAATAATCTTCATTCAGGGTTTGGAATACTGTGTTGATCAAACTGCAGTGATTTTTCTAAAGAGCTTATCTGGCAAAATCTGTGATTGTTATAAATAATTTTGCAAATCAGTTAGTCATAGTACCCTACATGTAATTCTGCTGTTTTATGGGACATGATGCTTTAATTTAAAAGAGGATGATGAGACCTCTGAGATCTCTGTTCTCTTTTCCAGGTTACTCTTCCTCCATTGACGGCCACGCAGTAGAGCTTTGTCTGACTGCCATCAAATTTGCCCGCAAAAAAGGCAATATTGCCCTGGCGTCCCGTCTGCTCAGCCAGTGCGATGATGGGACAAAGAAGGACGAACAACAGGACGATTTATGTCAGGCCTTCAGGCATCTCACCCTGGAGGGCACTGTTGGGGAGAAATGGGGACCAGAGCTTCTGATAGAGAAAGCCAAAGTCCTAAGAACTGCAGGTAAGCTGAGGAGGGGTTGTCAGGCTGGGAACTACTTTTGAGGTTTGGTAGCCATAGAATAACAGTACTCAAATACTGATGAAAGGTAAATGTACACATTCTACTCTTGAAGTTGATATTTCTCAAATGACTTCATAGAGAAATAGCCTATGTAATCCCAGCACACTTCTTTACAGCGTATTGTCTCTGTCCGTAGGTCAGTCTGTGGCAGCCATGGAGATGCTGAGCAGAACTGCTCTGTCCTATTGCCATGTGGGGAAGAACGAAAGTGCCGCCTGTCGGTCCCTGCTGACGCTCTGCAAATGGCTGTTGGCTGACTGGAAGGACATGACACCGCAGCTTAAACAGGCACGCTCATTTGTACAATTCTGTCAGAAAGTTGTAAGAAACTGCAGCATTCAGAACGACAGTGGACCGTGGACCCAGGCTGCTGCGGGTCAGAAAAGTAGTCCAGACCATTCAATGAGGATGCACTACACAGGAAAATGAAAAAGCAGTTTACACTTCAGATATTGTTTATGTTAAACGTTGGAAAGTCTCTTTCACATTGAGTGGACTTTTTGACCTTGTACAGCTCTTTATCTGGACACAAAATTCATCTTGAAAAGAGAGAAATATTGCCCATGTCATAACTTTGACATTATCTAGCATCGATTCTCCTTTAGAGGGTCCTCCAAATTGCTTAAATATGTAGGTACATTGGTCGACAAGGACCTTACCTACAATCTCAGTTTCCTTCCAGTCAATTTTCTCTCTTGAACACACTCTTTGTTCAGCTTCTTGACTATGAGTGCTGTAGATATCCATGACATGTTTTCTCAGTATGATGTGGTCCTCCTGAAGACCATCTTTGCCATGAAACGTGGTTAAGAATTTTGTCAAAACCATCCAAATTGAAACACCGATGTTTTGGTTTAGGTGTTGAAGAAGACAGGAGCAGTAAACTCTTCAAATACAGTGAGCAGCATGTCGCCTCTGAGCCAGGTTATATCTGCTCTGTTGGAGATTCCCCTTGAGGGGCGGGGCCTTCCCCACATCATCGCTGAGACTTCAGGTACTCCTGTCTTCATTGACTAGCTTCTTGTTTCATTGCTTGTGAGTTTCTGTTGTAGTGGAGAAGTCAGTTTAGAGTAATCTGGTGGTTTTCCCGGTGCAGTGAGTGTGGGAGTTGGGGAACCAGACTTCGTGTTGGGTCAGCTCTACCAGCTCTCCGTCAGCCTGGCCCCAGAGATGGCCAAGGCCTGGGCAGCCCTCGCCAGCTGGGCTTATCGCTGGGGCAGGAAGGTGGTGGATAATGCAAGGTTAGTGCATCACCTGGTTGACCGCATACAGTATTATATTCGCTTTCCTCGATGATGTGGATAAACGCTCAATTATATTTTGTGTATCAGCCTCTCAGAGAATACTTGAAGGTAATTCCCTCCAATTTATTTTCTCTCAAGCCAAGGGGAGGGATTGCCTCTTCTTCCTGGAGAAAAGAAGGAGATAGAGGAGCTGCTGCCAGCAACCACCAGCGAGAAAGACAAAGACAACATCTTCAGCATTCTTGGAAAGGCGATGTGCAGACCTGCTGGCATTCAGGTTAGCTCTCCTTCTTTTTTCATCTTGGACCCTTTCTGAGCGAGCTGAAGTGAACAGCTGTGAAATATTTTGAGTCTGTGTGTTGTCAGCGGTGCAGATTGTGTCTTTGATTCTGCAGATTGTCCTGATTGTTCAGGTCTTCTGTGTTTCAGGATGAAGACATGGCTCTACAGCAGGAGGACGATGAAGACGACATGGTAGACCTGATCTGGCGACACCTCATTGGCTCGTGTCCTTGGCTGGGGGAAGCAGGCCAGTCTGTTACAGACGGTCTGATTCGGGTTTGGAGACGAGTGGTGGACCGCATCTTTGGTCTCTACCGGGTGTCCTGTCAGGCGTATTTTACCTTCCTGAAGCTCAATGCTGGACAGGTGAGACCCACTAAGTGAAAACTTGAGTGTTACTGTTGATGAGACCCTTTCGCCTCTTATCCAAAATCAAATTTGTGTTTTTCAGGTCCATATAGATGAAGATGACCCTAAACTCCTGCTGTCATATCACTGCGGCAAGCAGAGCAATGATGATGTTATCGTCATGGCAACTCTACGTCTTCTTCGTCTACTGGTGAAGCATGCTGGCGAACTAAGGGAGAGCCTTGAGCTGGGCTTAGCCTCCACTCCAACGGCTCCCTGGAGGGGTATGTGGTTTTACAGAATAAGTCTACAAAGGGTTTTTGTTGTTGACCTAAATATTTCTAACCTTACTCACTGCCCTTTTGTGTCTCTTGATCAGGTATCATCCCCCAGCTTTTTTCCCGCCTCAACCATCCAGAGGCGTACATAAGACAGAGCATTTGCAGCCTGCTGTGCCGAGTGGCCCAGGACTCCCCACACCTCATCCTCTACCCCGCGATTGTGGGCTCGCTCTCTCTGGGAGGGGAGGCTCAGAATGCAGGTATGCTCATAACGTTTAACCTCAATTTGTGAAGTTTTTCAAGATCTCTATGCTGCTTTTAACATTTTTTTATTCATCGGATAAAAAAAAGGGATTTATCCACATTGTCAACCAGATTTCAAGTGTAGCTACAGCTTATATTGACCTGCAATAGTCAGGCAGACAGCATCAATGGGAATAATAAGAACCATAGAAACGAGTAGAAAACATATTTACTCATTTTGTGTTGATTTAATATCTTCACAGGGGGTAAACTGCCGTCAGCTCTGCCGACCTTCTTGGGCAGCATGCAGGGAGATGGTCTTGGTGGAGACGGGGAGGAGCAGCTTGATAACTGTGGACAAGGAGGCGCTTCAGAGGAGCTCGCTTCCCTTTGCTTCAGTCAGGACCAAGCCATGATGCAGGACTGCTACAGCAAGATTGTGGAGAAACTATCCCTTGCCAACCCAACTATGGTGCTTCAGGTGGGTTTCACACATATGCTTGTACACAACAAGACGCCTCTATAACACCAGAGGGGGCCCTTGCTGCATATATGATAAACTAGCCATCAAGTTTTTCATCACACCCAGCCTCAAGCAAGAGTTTTCGAGCATGTTAGAGGCAGGAAATTTGCAATAAGTCTTAGGTCTTTTGATAATCTCAGATAGCCTTTCAGATTCTGCTAACCCGTCCTCTATGATGATCAGGTCCAGCAACTGGTTGGTGAGCTGCGCAGAGTGACCCTACTGTGGGATGAACTGTGGCTGGGTGTTTTACAACAGCAACACATGCATGTCCTGCGTAGAATCCAACAGCTGGAGGATGAGGTGAAGAGGGTCCAGAACAACAACACACTCCGCAGGTGAGTTTCAATGTTTGTTTTTTTTTGCTGGTTTCTTGCCAATTGCATAAGATACATTAACCTCTATTGTTGTGCTTGCAGGGATGAAAAGATCGCCATCATGCGTGAGAAGCACTCTGCCCTGATGCGTCCAGTGGTTTTTGCGCTTGAACACGTCTGCAGCATTACAGCGGCTCCAGCAGAGACGCCACATGAAACGTGGTTCCAGCAGACCTTTGGTGATGCCATCTCATCCGCCCTAGAGAAGCTGAGGAACCCCTCAAACCCTGCAAACCCTTCCAGCAGTTGGCTGCCTTTCAAGCAGGTGACCCTGTGTTTGCCTTTACTGCCTTTGTGTGTGTGTTTGATTGGAGTAAAAAGTAAACATTTATCCAGAACATGTTGAAAAGTAAAAGTAGATGTTGTCAAAACTGCCAACTCTTCTCTACAACCTCTACTTTTTTTTTTTTTCAAAGTGTTGCTTTTATTGATTGATATAATAACTTTTTGTACAGATCATGATGAGCCTGCAGCAGCGTGCCCAGAAGCGAGCCAGCTATCTGCTTCATCTGGATGAAATCAGCCCTCGCCTGGCGTCCATGACCACCACAGAGATGGCTCTGCCAGGTGAAGTGTCGGCGTCAGATGCCGTCACCATACAGAGTGTAGGCAACACCATCACCATCCTGCCCACCAAGACAAAGCCAAAGAAGCTCTTCTTCCTGGGCTCTGATGGACACAACTACCCATACCTGTTTAAAGGTAAGATGATACAGAGGCACCATGTAGCTTATATAGAGCGCTCTTATTTCTTATCTCTACATTATCTCCTTTACTGATGCACCGTTTGCAGTTTCTCTTTTCCAATTCCAGTTTCCACTATTTCAGATCTGACCTGCCAAAATTATTACTGGCCAACCTCCAGAAATTTTGCTTTCCTCTGATGAAGATTCAGTTTTTACCTTTTATAAAACAACGCTGGCTGTTCTCCTCTAGAAAGATTTGTGTGCCAACCCCTTTTGATTTTTTTTTTTTCTTGGGTATTTTTAACTTGTACTTCGTACATATTTGTATGTTAACATGACCTTCTTAGATTGGGTGTGTATTTTGCTTTTAGGACTTTTGGAACCAGCCTCTAGTTTTTAAAACTCTTGTATCCACCTCATATTTCAACACTTGCTCAATTCATTTCAGTTGCATTTTACCTCACTCCTGAAGAAATTATGAATGAAGTTGGCTTAAATCAGAATCATGTCAACTTCACTCTTTAGGAGCCATTTTGCTCTTGCCTTGTACCATTGATAAATCTTAATTCTTCATGTTTGGAAACAAATAAAGTCACATTTTAATCTGAAACTCAGATTTTAAACTCTACCTGTTGTTTTCTTTTACACCATCTACTTTAGGTAATTCTTCTAAAACATGAAAGAAGGCTGACGTCTCTATAATATCAGACTTGTACATTAATGGCACATTTGCCTCCTTCTCTCAAATACAAAACAAGATAAAACAAGTAAAGGCAACTTCTTTGAATATCTGCAGATAAGAGATAATTTAAAAGAAAAAAAAATCTGCAAATTTTATCCTTAAGATTGAACTTCCAGAGTTGAACGTGTCAGCAGCTTAACTGTTCTGTTTGCATCTTGTTCCTCATTTTTAGGTCTGGAGGATTTGCATTTGGATGAGCGCATCATGCAGTTTTTGTCTATCGTCAACACCATGTTCACCAAGATCAACCAGCAGGAGCAGCCACGCTTCCATGCTCGACACTACTCCGTCACCCCCCTCGGGACCCGATCGGGACTTATTCAGTGGGTGGATGGAGCCACACCTCTTTTTGGCCTGTACAAGCGCTGGCAGCAGAGGGAGGCTGTGCTGCAGGTTCAGAAGGTACGGTTACTGTAAAAGAAAACAAAGATGCATGTAATTGAAACAGCACAATATAATATTCTGTGATTTTATCGTCCCAACCAGGTCCAAGACTCGTTCCAACAACAGCCAGTCCCTCCAGTACCCCGCCCTAGCGAGCTCTACTACAGCCGCATCGGGCCAGCTCTGAAGGCAGTGGGACTCAGTCTAGATGTGACACGCAGAGACTGGCCTCTCAGTGTCATGAAGGAGGTCCTGAAAGAGTTGATGGAGACCACTCCTTCAAACCTGCTCGCCAAGGAGCTGTGGTGTTCCTGCACCACACCCAGTGAGTGGTGGGGAGTAACTCAGGTAAGAGCGGTTCGAACTATTTTTAAAGTCTTAACGATGGCAGCGATTTCACTTCCTGTTTCTTATTTTTGAATAACAGCAGAGTAGGAATTGAAGTGAAGACTGTGATTGTACTTTAAAGTTGACATTCCCTTTCTATTTCTGTTCAAGTCTTACGCCAGATCCACTGCTGTCATGTCGATGGTGGGATATATCATCGGCCTTGGTGACCGTCACCTGGACAATGTGTTGATTGACATGACCACTGGAGAGGTTGTGCACATTGATTACAATGTTTGCTTTGAAAAAGGTCAGTTTGCACTTGTTTCCTCGACCACGATAAAAACCTTTTTGTTCTAAAACTCAAACACTCACAAGTTTTTCTGATTTCTACTGTCGATTAAAACGATGTGTGTGGCGTGTTGTTACAGCTGTCTTGATCCTAGAAAAGTAGGCTTCAGTGCTCTGTTGATCTTGTCTGGTTCTGATTAAATAGACGTCTGTGTGTGTCCGTGTCTCCCTAGGAAAAAGCCTGCGGGTGCCGGAGAAGGTCCCATTCAGGATGACCCACAACATTGAGACCGCTCTGGGAGTAACTGGGGTGGAGGGCATCTTCAGACTCTCCTGTGAACAGGTTCATTATCATAAAGTATTCCCCAGCTTTGTGATGTGGATCACATCCGTTGTTGATGGTTTGAAAGCTCATTCAGGTGTGTCATTACAGGTGGTTCAGATGATGCGCAGAGGCAGAGAGACCCTTCTGACCCTCCTTGAAGCCTTTGTCTATGATCCCCTGGTAGACTGGACTGCTGGGGGGGAGGTGGGCTTCGCCGGTGCGGTGTACGGAGGAGGAGGCCAACAGGCTGACAGTAAGCAGAGCAAGAGAGAGATGGAGAGGGATATCACACACTCTCTCTTCTCCTCCAGGGTGGCAGAGATTAAGGTGAGTTTGAGACGTGAGAAGAGTGAGGATTTGCCCTCCTAACAGTGTCGTCTGAACCAGTGTTTTCTTCCTCCCTCTGTCTGTGGTGATTGTTTATTTGAGCTCAGTCTACATATCAATATTTACCTGTGTTTTTAGCTGTGTAGTGCAGTCATTTATGTCCATTAAGTAGCTCTGGAAAAATAAAGGATTTAAGGGACAACTGAACCGGACAAAAATGATCCCTAAAGTAAACGAATGAATAATTCAGAGAGTGTTTTTTCAACTGTGTGCAGGTGAACTGGTTCAAGAATCGAGACGATATGCTGGCAGTGTTGCCACAAGTGGAAGAGGCCGTCGAGGAGTACTTGGTCCTGCAGGAGTTGCTCTGCCAGGGGGAAAAACTACAAGCCAAGCTCAAGGAGGAAATCTGCTTCCTGGACGGGGCAGAAAACCATCCTGACCATCTCATTCTCACCCTCGAGCAAAGGTCTGAGACCGCACAGCTCAGCAGTACTTCTTCCTGATCAGTAACTTGAACTTAAAACTTTTTGAGATGTAGTTTCTCGCTTTTGGCAGACGGTTGATATATAAAAAACTGTATAACAATATACAATGTTATTAACCAGCCCTTCATTTTTCAGGTACTCTGAACACACCCAGCTGCAATCCCAACAGCTGACTGTGCGAGAGGCCATTGAGAGCAAGTTGGCGGACCTGGACCAGTGGATCTCTCAGTACCAGACAGCATTCTCAAACCTTGAGGCCACCCATCTCGCCAGCCTGCTGCAGGACATCAGCAGCTCCATAGATCTTGGTTAGTAACGTTCAGATGTTATTTGTTCTTATCTCCTCAAGTTTCATTTTTTAACACTTTGTATGTTTGCTTTATATGTGTGAAAGAGACTGTGAATTAGATAATATCATAAATACCCCAAAAACAGGCCGTCCTCCTTAATGACAAACTTTTTATTTGGTTATCAAAAGTGGAACTCGACGCTGTGGTATGACTACTTAAGTAGAAGAGTGTTTTATCTTTTCTTCACTTTCTTTCTTCCAGGTCCTCCCAGTTATGTACCAGCTACAGCTTTCCTTCAGAATGCAGGCCAGGCCCACATCATAAGCCAGTGTGAGAGCTTGGAGGCAGAGATGAGCTCCCTGCTGCAACAGCGCCGCGGGGCCCTGCGCAGTTGCCTAGAGCAGCTGCACAGCTATGCCACAGTGGCTTTGCTGTACCCACAGTCTACCCTGCTTCTCCACCGAACCCACCAGTGGAAGGCGTGGCTCGAGGAACTCCTGAGAGACATGACAGTAGAGCACTGCCAGCACATCTACAGACAGTAAGAGCCTGAAGCCGTCTTTCCGTTATAGAGCACAAATCTTTTTCTGTCATGGCCTTTAGTTGGCTTTAAAAGCCGAAGAGAGACAGGAAATGTGGAAGTAGAATAAGTATTCACCGCAACATAGACTGAACACTCTATAATCTTATATCAGGCAGAAACCTTGAGCAGACACAGACTCACTTCAGATAGTTACAGTGCCAGAGATATTGGAACAAGTAGGTGTACTACTTTAAAGGAACAGCCTGATAATGATAATAACCGGATCTTAGTTTGAGTTGCAGCAAATTAAAGTCAACAGCTTTTGTAATTTATATGAAGGACTGTTTCTAATCAGAGCGCAGCTGTTTTATGGGGGTGAATTTCCTTTGTAAGCACAGCTGTTGTGTAGTGTCTTAGGGCGTTAGGTCAGGTGTTGTTGGGCTACAGTATAAAAGTCTGTCTTCTATAGTTCATAGAGAGCACAGAGACTTGATTTATCACTTATTCAGCAGATTAATTAAGTATCTTTGTAACAGTGATAAAAATCGAAAAACTGGTGCTGATAAATTAATATTGGCTCTGTAACAGTAATATGAAAGGAGAGATTGCTGCTAATAAACAAACATTAGATTTATAACAGTGATAAAAGTGGAAAAACTGGTGTTTATAAATTAGCATTGGCTTTGTGACAATGACAGAAAATGGAGGAGAAGCACGAGACTGTGGTCGTTAAGTTTAATGGTTGACAATCTTCCTGCAACTAAATTACCTTGAATAAATAATATAATTATTTGTTGTTAACACTGACATTACTGTCCCACTCAGTGCATGCACTTCATAGATGTTGGATAAACAAAATTCTTTTATCTGGAGGTCTCTATAACTTTTAGTTGCTGAATAATCACCATCATTAAAACATTATAACAGCGTCAATCTACTCAGGATTCTCAACAGGCTACAAATGTATTCACACTTCAACAGGATGACTCCGGCATGTTTGTTTCAGTGTCTTTGTACATCCACTTTAACTCGCATCACTTATTTCTTTTACAGATACGAGGTGCTGTTCGCTCCCCAGCCTCCCGCGACCTCATGCCAGTTCCTGTCCACCGTGGAGTTGACTCTGCAGCATCAGCTAGCAGAGACCAATGATCGTGTGCTCCAACAGACAGATCTCCTCAAGGCCGACGGTGCGAACGTAGCGGCCTGCGAAGAGCAGCTGCACGAGATCGAGCACTGCATCACAGTGTTCCTCCGAGAGAACGCGGAGTTGGGCTCGCTCAGTATGGCGTGCATCATCACCACTGCCCTCTGCACACTCTGCAGGTTCAACATGATCTTCTTCTCTACCCTTACTATAGACATTTGAGATTTGGCAGCTTGACTGTGGCTTTTGTTCTCCCTAAGTCTTACCCTCAGCGAGTGAGTGATGTCAGTTGAACTTTACTCATTAACCCGAGTGCTATCTGAGCGATGAGGAAAATACTCACAGAGGTTACATCCACCTCACAGGGTGCTAGTTTTATGCATGAGCAATAGGAAAGAAGAAGAAGGTCATTTTGTATTTTTTCTGTGTGTCCAGGCGGAACTTAGTAATGGAGGGAGCTGCAGCTAGCGCCGGAGAGCAGCTGGTAGACTTGACGTCTCGGGATGGGACCTGGTTCCTGGAGGAGCTTTGTAGTTTGACTGGAAATGTCAGTGCCTTAGCAACCCTGTTACAGCGCTGCCCACACCTGGCCCATGACCTGGAGCTGCCTGCCCCCTCAGTTACCATCCAGGCTGTGTACCTGGCCAATGCTGTGTACACCAGCTTGCAGGTAGATACGTCCCCAAAACTTACAGTCCAATCCAGCAACAACTGTGGGCATCATTTTCTGTGTTAGAGCAGAAATCTCTAACGCATGTGTGTCTCTCTCTGTTCAATACAGGAGCTGAACTCCAACTTCCGTCAGATCATCTTCCCAGAGGCTCTGCGCTGTATGATCAAGGGAGAGCCAACTTTGGACTCCATGTTGGCAGAGCTGGAGCAGCTTGTGGAGCAGAGCTCTGATGGACTCGGCCTCCAGGGTTTGGCTGATAGTCTGCAGACCACCACAGGCCTTGATCCTGGCAGTCAGAGCCACTCCCTCCACATAACCAGGTTAGGCGCACCACTCATCATCTTATGCTTGAAGTAAAAATAAAAAAATAAAAAGATGTTGATAAATAAAAACTTGGCTTTTGTGCTCAGGATGCTGCGAACTCAGTACTCTGAGCTGATCCAGCCCCGCAGCATGGATGGATCGAGCCAGGAAACGCCAAAGATGTCTGCGGGTCAAATGTTGTTGGTGGCCTTTGATGGCATGTTCACCCAGCTGGAGACTGCCTTTGCACAGCTCACAGAGAAGGTAACAAACAAACTGAAACAAACAGCCTGAAAAAACGTGATTGTGTTGATTAATCAGCCCCAGAGTTAGAAAGTTGGAAAACAAAATTCTTCTCCACCGTATCCTGATGCTCGTAGGAAAGACGTTTCTCTTCTGTTTCTCTTTACACCCAGCTGAGCTCTCTGGAGATGCCCTCAGCCTGGAGTAGAGTAGATGTTCTGAGGGAGGCTCGAGCCACGCAGCTCCACGTCTTCGATTGCCTGAGTCAGCGGCAGTTGATGGAGGATGTGTTTTTCCTCAAGAGGCTGCAGACCGTCAGGGACTTTTTCAGGCTTTGTTCTTCCTTTGCTCAATCCCTGTCTGGTAAGAGCTTCTTACTGCCGCACAAACAAACACACGTTTCCATGACAGTCATGTTCCTTTTGCTGTAAGTATTTGTGACCCTGCCTGGCATAATCCTCACTGCTTATCAGTATATCATCATGAAAGGATTAAAGCGTCTCCCCTTCTCTATCTGCCTTCAGGTACCTGTCCACCGGCTGAAGATCTCTTACCTATAAACGGACCGGTTGGTTTGGGGAAGCCGTTATACCGACGCCCCAGTGCAACCGGATCGGGTGTGAAAGTGCCAAGCGAAGAACAGATGATCCGCCCCATCAAGGCCTTCACGGCAGAGTTTGTCCGGCAGATGCTCATGGGTCTGCCGAGCCAAGCTCTTGGTCTGGCTCTCTGCAGCACCCTGTCTGCCCTCAGCCTGGACATCGTTGCCCAGGTGGAGGCTAAAGACTTTGGCGCAGAAAGCAAGGTATAACAGCTGAGTGCGTGAGAGTGATAACTGACAGGGTTGTTCTTCTCAACAATATTTTTATACAGATTATTGTAGTACAGTGAGCTCTTGAAAGAGCACAAGATACAAAGGAAACATTAATCACAGACACCCCCTTTCCCTCAAGACCGTGTTGACTACTGGACTTTCCTATTACTGTGCTTAAATAACAAATTCTGGAGCAAGTTAGTGCTGGAATTCATGTTTTATAGAAGAGAAATAAGGAGCAAAAAGAAAATAAGTTAAATGGACTAAAGTATGTCAAGAGAAATACAAATGTGGACAAGTCGCTGAAAACTGAAAAAGTCTGTAAAGATAAGAATTTAAATTGTTTGATTATAAAACATCACAGGTATATATTTCAAAAAGAAAACAGCTAGAGGAGGAGAGTGCTGATTCAAAATAATGAGAGTTTCTGAATGTGGTCCTGAAAAGGTCCCCAAACCTTTTTGAATTTTTCATCATTACCTGCGACCGAGTAACAAATGTTCGCGAGGTCTAAACAAGTCATAAGGTCTTTCAGCCACTGACTATGAGATCCCTGACAGTGTTGTTTTAAATTAAAACCTTCTTTATGACAATGATGCCAGTTGTTTTTAAGTCCTCATCTTGGTCATGTCCCTTTTCAGAGTCAGTAGTTCCCTCCACTTTCTGCTTGCACTGCAAATCCACGAGTCACATAAATCTGTTTCACCCAGAATGATGATAAAACTCTAAATACTCGCTAACTTTTTCGCTGCTTTCAAAATGTCCAAAAAGTTCACAGTCAGCGCCAGCCCAGTTATCTCGACTTAAACTCATGTGTTGGTTCTGAAGGTGTCTCTGGATGAACTGTGTAAAAAGGCGGTGGAGCAGTGTCTGGCAGCAGGCCATATCTCCCAGCTGCTGCTGAACAGAGCCACGGTGCTGGCCTCCTCCTACGACACAGCCTGGAAGAAAGTTGATCTTCTGAGAAGGATGGATTCCAACCTGGAGGCCGCCAAAGCCAGCATGCAGAGGACCCAGCTGCATATTGCTATGTTTCAGGTAAAGGAAATGATGTATTCTGTATCATGTTCATGTGAAGAGAGAAAATTATAGTCATAATACATTTTGACACTTTTTCGTTACCTTGTCTAGTGGCAGCATGAGGATGTTCTGGGCGCCAGCAGTCAGCCTCTGGGTGTTAGCGTTCCTCCTCGCTCTGTCATCCTGAGCAACATGAAGAAGAAGCTGTTCAAGCTGAGCCAGGATGAGGGCGCTATAGTCGCTGTTCAGGTTGGTGTCACTGCTAATTAATCTTAAGACAAACATACATGTTACTTGAGTTTTTGGACCTTTCAGGAACTGCCATATTTCATTTATTTGAGCATGTTTTGGAGATTTATCTTGTGGACAATGTAAAACAGAGCTGTAGATATAACCACTCAAAGGTCAACCTTATGCTGTACCTTCCACAGGAGAAGCTGGCGTCACTAGAGGCTAGCATCGAGCAGCGTCTGAAGTGGGCCGGTGGAGCCAACCCAGCTCTGGCCCCTGTCCTGCAGGATTTTGAAATGACTATTAGAGACAGGCGTGCCATGGTCGCTCGAGAAAACCAACGTACCAGCCAGGTAACACCACGACCTCCATCACAATCCAACGGTCTTCTGAAAAAACGACATTTTTCTTACCTGTCACAAAGCTTGAAGGAGGACCAGCTCAAAAATGGGAACAAGATGCTTATACTTTGTGTTTTTCAGGTCACCTTCTTGTGCTCCACCATCCTGAACTTTGAAAGTCTTCGGACCCGATCACCCGAGGCACTGAACATGGATGCAGCGCTGTTTGATCTGCTAAAACGCTGCCAGCAGACCTGCTCCTATGCTGCCCAGTTTAACACCACAGTGTCACCCCTGGAGCTCCAGTTACTTCACAGACTGGTGGGTCATGGGCTGGACCTCAACATTAAATTAGAGGCAGAGCCCAGTCAGTCGTAAATATCTAATTTATATGCTGTGTAATAGTGCAAAACAAATACTTTTACTTTGTGAGGAAATAGTCGAGGGATTTTAGATTTATGTTCCTAAGTTTGTTGTTTTTCACTCCAGGCTCCAGCGCTGGACCTGCCCATAGGAAGCCCTGATTGGCTGTGCTGCGCCCAGAGGAAACTGGAGGAAGAGCTCGGTGTTGAGCAAAGGAGTCAGGAGGAGAGGGAGCAGCAGCTGGAGTCTTGCGGAGAGACGCTGCAGCTTCTCGTCGACTCGATTAAAACCATCCTTTCCAACCACAACCGCCAGCTGGCTGACGTCAAACACCTGCTGAGGGCCATGGCAAAGGTACGTTTGAAGTCCGGTAACTTCACACACGAGATTTTCAAATTTACACAGAGCTGAATGTTTTTCTGTTCTTGTGTCACACAGGATGAGGAGGTCGCTCTGGCAGATGGCGAAGAGATGGCGTATGAAGGCAGCGTGCGTCAGTTCCTGTTGGAGTACAAAGCGTGGCAGGATAATATTCAGCTGGTTTTATTCACCGTGGTCCAAGCCAGCGGGCAGCCTCGCAACCACGAGCACCTGGAGCTGCTGGAGGAGATCCCCACGACCCTCAAAGAACTGCAGCGCCAGAGCCAGAGGTGACCACATAACCAGGAGAGATGAAATGCACCAAAATAAGAGTAAATGTTTATGTTTAACACCTTTTTTGTTTGTTTATGCAACACCAGTGTGTACAATGGCCTGGTGAGCTTTGCGTCTCCGCTGGTGACAGACAGGGAGAGTGAATGTGCCAGTCCTGTTTCTGCGACACAGACGAGCTTTGCAGCAGGTACGGGAACACGATTTTTCTCCACACTTCATGCTTGTGATCATGAATAGCAGCAGTAAAGAAGGGTATATTGATTTTGATAGTTCAATTCCTGCAGCTTTTTAATAAAATGGGCTTTTACTGCCTAAATTGGCTCAAGCTTCCTCTTTACTAACTTTACAGCCCATCTTTATGTGCTCAAGACATTTTACTCACATTGTTGTTTGTCTTAAGCTGTTCGATGCAGTGGAGTGAAGACCCAGCCCGACTCAATGTCCCAAAACGCCCGTAAGACTCTGCAACGTAACCTGGGAACCCCAAATGACACCCCACCCAGCACCCTGCTGATGAACAGCAAGGGCCTCAACCCGAGCCCAAAGAGGGCTGTGCGAGACCCCAAAACAGGGCGAGGTACTTCTTTTAACCATCTCATTTTGCAGTTTCATGATTAGGGACCTAATGCGTTTAAATAAACCTGTGACTTTGTTACAGCTGTCCAAGAGAGGAACTCATACGCTGTGAGTGTGTGGAAGAGAGTGAAAGCCAAGTTGGAGGGCAGAGACATCGATCCGAACAGGAGGATGAGCGTAACTGAGCAGGTATCACCAGCATGCCTAAAGTCAATACGTAATCATTTGCATGTTCCCCCAATCAAATGTGAATGAATCTGTTTCTGTTTTGATCTGAGCTGGATCAGGGTTTTTTACTGTTATTCTTTATTTATACAACCATTTCAGTGAACCAAAGTGCTTTACAATACATAGAAAATAAAAATGAATAAATAAAAACAATAAGAAAAAGAATAAAATACAATGCAATAAATTAAGTATCACCACGCTACTGGGTATTAAAAGCCAGTATAAATATGTATGTTTTCAATTGGTTTTCATCTCAGTGCTTTTGATTTGACCTGGGCACCTCCAGCAGGAGTTGATTTGACAGCCTCAGAGCTCTACCCGGCTCCTGAACCGTTAAAAGCTCAGTTAAATAGATGGGGGGGCGAGGCCGTTAAGAGCTTTAAAAACAAACATCAAAGGTTTAAAATCAGTCCTAAAAGAGCTTAGGGTTAAGGTCCTTACACACCGGGGCCGACACGAATATAGGACGTGAAAGTACGAAATATCCGGAGGTGAATTTTGACTCGCCTGACTATACACATCAAGCCCGATGTGATTTTGCGACTTTCCGGGGGGGAAAAAGACGCATCCCGAGGAAGAATTTTGCCAGGGAAAGTCCTGCCTCCGTCGCCTCTGATTGGCTAGAAACACTGGAAACGTCATCACACGCTCAAGCCAAACGGTCAGCACTTATAGCCAATCAGAGGCGATAAGATAAGCACGTGAAACTATGGTAACAACCGCTAGCATACGTTAGCACAGATGAAAGTTAAAACAAAGACGTTTAGCAAACTGTTATAGCGTCGGATTTCTCATATGACGATGGTTTGTGTGCTTTGACTCTCCACAAGTTGTCCTTTAGGTCGTTATCTTTGTAATGTTCGTATTTTTTATCAAAAAGCACTCTCTCCGACATGTAAACAATCAGCCGGTCGGCCATGTTGGATATACCGGTGAATCAGACCTCGCAACAACACGAAATTTGATTGGTCAGAAGTGGACACACAGTATGCAAAACTTTAAAATTATCGACCATGATCCGAAAAAATAAATGCCGCAATTCGAAGAACGGGAAAACGTCACTGATGTGAACGCTTGTACTGACAGGATACGGGTTCGAAAAAAATATTGACGTCTGAAATAATTGCATGAAAAAAACGGTCCCGGTGTGAAAGGACCTTTAGGGTTCGTTTCAACTAGTAGGTAGTAAGGATTGTTGCACATTGTTGGTCCAAGCCGGTTCTGTGCAAGTGTCTCACTAAATGTCTGAACTCTTATTTGTGTTTCCTTTAAGGTGGACTTTGTCATCAGGGAGGCCACCAACATGGACAATCTGGCCCAATTGTATGAAGGTTGGACTGCCTGGGTGTGAACTCTATGCTGGTTCATGATTATGATCCAAAGAAGGCTTGGAGATCCACCAGAGGTCCAGTGGGTCTGGGGTGTCGCAACAGCAGCACCAGGTTACACTGGGGGAAGAAAATGGGAAGCGGATGCTAAGTACGCCCTGGCAATCTCCGGGGGCAGTGACCTTGTGGCACCGTTACAACCACACTCCCCCAACCATCGGCGATTGGGCTAAACAGCGCTTAGTGGGCCTGCTGCCATGCATTCCTTTTACAGGGTTTGATTAGGCAAAGCAGCGCTGAATGGGAGAAAGGGGGCTAACGCCTTCTTACCCTTGACTTGGAAATACCCTCTCCCCCTCGCCTGCATAGCTCTCTTCCAAGTTGAACCCACAAACACCACTTCATCCTTCTGAGCCAATCAAACTCCACCTTAGGGCGAGATGAAGCAGGAAGTGAGCAGTTTCCCCACTGAAGCATAAAGCATGTGCTGTGGGTAGGACTTCAGTGGGACCAAAGCTTAGATGGATGAGGCACGGGCAAAGCCACATTCATTTTTTCTCGTCTTTTCCTTAACGGTCTCGTGGTTCTGATTGGCTTGTAGGTCGCTCAGTTGGGCAGGAGGAAGAAGAAGAAGAAGAAGAAAAGTTTGACAGGATGTTTCAGGCGACACGGACACCCTTCTGAAACCGAAACAAAAATAACTGAGCTGAAAGTAAAAAAAAAAAAAAAAGTCAAACTGTAATTTGATTCTCATGCCTTACAGCGACGAGTCCGACAGTTCACTGTTGTGTCTGTTTTCCAAGAAAAAGAGCTGATGCTTTTGCAGAGGGGGAAAAAAAAAGAGTCCTGTTGTACGAAATAGTTTTGGATTGCTCGTTTTTGAGCCATGAACAGACAAACAAAAGTGAGGCCACTTTGGGACAAGAAAGAACACCTTTCTGCTTCTTTTTCTTCTGTGTGTTTCTTAAGTCTGTGTTGTGATTCGTTCCTATCTCCCGTCTTTTGTTGGATAGAGCTGTAGAAATAGATTTCCGCCTTTTTTGCCTTGCCTGTCAGAAGTTGTTGCTTGCCGCATATGTATTCACTCCACAGCCCCAACCCTTGCATTTTATTATTCTTGACCTTCTAGTTTTACATTTTTAGTAGGAGAAATTAATTTTTTGGTGATGGTAAGAAATGTTAATTCTTAATGCTTTTATTGAATTTTGTTGTATGCTGAATAAAAAATGAAAATGTCAAGTTCTGTGTGCTGTATTTGAGAGGAATTTCAGGGCTGGATGAATTTTAAGTTTAGGAGTGTTCCCCAGAGACAACTGTTTTTACTGGACAGGAGCTTGTAGCAGGGGACGAGGACAGAAAAACCAAGGAATTATGTTAGTTAAAGTTAAGTTATTAATGCCTCGTAGACCTCACACCTACAGGTCTACAAGTAAAATACAGCAGCAGTGTAGCCCACACAGCCTCCAGCCTTTATAACCTGCTTTGATGTAGCAGAAAACACTTCTACCCAAATTCCCAAGTTGTAACACTTTCACTTGAGTTCACATACATCTAACCAAACTTAATTTAATATTGAAAAAAATCCACTTTTAACCCTGTTCTTAATTATAATCTACACTGTGGGGTTTCTTTATCCTGGAGAAAACACACGTAGCTCTCACAATTGGATGACCTGAGTCTTGAGTTTTTGGTTGTAGTGGTTAAAAAAAATACTAACAAAGCTAGATGATGGAATAAATAAATACACAAACATAGAGCTATTAGATTTACATGTATACATTATAGTAGTAAAGAAATGTAACTAAGCTGAAAGTGTCTACAAAAGCAGATAATCACTAACACTTGAAGCTGGTTTTAACTCTTAAACTCTGACTTTATTGCTTCTTCCTTATTAGAAAATTACACAGTAACTCATAACCATGTCAACAGCTGTACTTTAGTTTCTCATGGTCCAAAGGTCATAGTCAGCCTTCACTGTCCTTAAACTTGCGTTAGTTGAAAGTAAGAAATGATGATTTAGAAATGGGATTTAGACACAACCAAAAACGATAACAATCCTCTTTATTTATACGGGGTTCACAATTTCAAAGAAAAAAAAATCCTGTTTGAACCCAGCAGAGCTGAAAAGATCTCCAAACATGTTATCACCCAGCGTGTTAATGATTACAGCGTTTCTTATCGCAGCATTGTCCGAGTAACCCAAACTGAGCTCACCTGGTGTCTTCGCATTAGAGTGGACACAATGTCAGGGCAGCGTGTGTGTGTTTCAGATTTCGAGAAGGAGGCCAAGAAAGTTCTTCCAAAAGCTGTGTATGATTACTACCGCTCAGGAGCCGATGAACAGCATACTCTGGGTCACAATGTTGCTGCCTTTAACAGGTACGGTGCACACACGCATTCATTTAGTGGCTCTGTTGAAGTCTGTTGAAGCTGCAAACGGCAATATCTAACTATTGAACAGAAAACACTGATGACTCGTGCATTAAAGAGGTCACTTCAGTTCATACACATGCATGTTTGTACTTTAAATGCTTATTTGCTTGGATTCTCTTTATGTCATAATTCCTCAATAATTTTACCTTTTAGTCAAATTTGGACCTGTATCTGCCAAACACATCAAAGCAGTATAAGAATCAAAATACAGACTCAGACATTTCTGTTTTTACTTTGCAAATTTCTGTTTCTGTAGTTTCATAATTCCTGATATCTCCACTGATCATATGTGATGCATTTAACTTAAAAATATGCAAATGCAATAAGTATTAAAATGTTAGCCTCTTGAAACAGCCTATAGTTAAAATCTGCATTATTGAATCTGTTTTTCTAAAATATATGTTAGTTAGTTTGTTAATTTTATTGGAAAAAAAAAAAACAGCAACAAGAAAATGTCTGAAAAGTATGGCTCTCTCTGCAATTTGAAGATGTGCTTACTATAAATATAGGTACTAGAGAATTTAAATGCATCATAATTTTAATTAATACATTAAAATTAAGAATGCTTTTGAGTATCTTAAGATTTTTATTTATTTATTTTATTAAAAAAAAAAAAACATTACTGTGAAAAAAAAAGAGAGAAAGACTGTTAAAAATACAAATGCCGAACCATACTTAATGCTGCCGTCTCACAACAAAATAAACAAGCACTGCCGTGAAAGCTGGAAGCACATGGGTGTATTTGGGATAAAAATACCGCCTGAACAAGTCAGAACTTCTCTAAAAATGGCAAAAACAACAGTCTGATCAGCCGTCAGCAACAACAGGTAGGCATGCTACACAAAAGCAGGCCTTCTGTGCGCAAAGAATTTCTGTAAAAATCTGCTGATAATGATGGAGAAAGGCAAAAAGGCCGGGCAGAAGCAGCAGCTGTGTACAGAGTAGGGTAGCATTTAAAGCTCCCCTAAGGAACTTTAGACGTGTCAGTTTTGACGCCCCCTGTGGACAAAGCAGTCTTCACTTTTCTCGTCCTCTTAATGCCCAAGAAGTGTCATCTGACAAAAAATCTCAACTTGCTGTTTTGATGTCGTGTAGCTTTTATTGTGAATTTTTAATAATGCAAAAATAGTCTTTACAAAAAGGTTTGTGTTTGTCTACATGTGTGTTGTTCTAGGTGGTATCTTATCCCTCGGGTGCTGAGAGATGTGTCTGCGGTGGATCTGTCTGTCTCTGTGCTGGGACAGAAGCTCAGCATGCCTCTCTGTGTTGCAGCTACGGCCATGCAAAGGATGGCTCATCCTGAGGGAGAAACAGCCACAGCAAGAGGTAAACTGAGCTGCAGCTGTCACAAAGAAATATATGTGGGATGGACCTTTAAGAAATCAGAATGGGAATTTGTTCTCAAAAACCCACTTAGCTGAGAAGATCCTGATGTTAACCAATTTTTTCTCCTCTGTAATTTGATTTTACCTCATAAAAATAATCTTAGAACTAGAGTCTGTAGGATAGTTCTTAATTTAAGCATTCAGATTTATCTCCTCTCCCTTTGCTTGACTTCACAATGACAAAAAAAGGAGTCATGTTTATAGATCTAAAGCAACTTTCAATGCTTAATGTGAGTCTTCTTTATGCTATTTTAACACCTGTAGTAACTGTCCTTTTAGCATGCAAAGCAGTGGGAACAGCGATGATGCTGAGCTCCTGGGCCACCTCCACCATAGAGGAAGTGATGTCAGCAACGACAACCTCTGAGGGCGGTAGAGGGGTTATGTGGCTGCAGCTTTATATCTACAAAGACAGAGAGCTGACACTGTCTTTGGTTCGAAGGGCAGAGGCAGCTGGTTATACAGGCATCTTTGTCACTGTGGATACGCCGTATCTGGGGAGAAGATGGGACGATATCCGCAATCATTTTAAACTGCCCTCACATCTGAGGTGAGACCCAAACACAACAGTAAGAGCATCATGGATGGACAACATAAAGTGTATGATACCACCTCCCTTAAACTCTTAACTCTGTGTGTTTCCAGCATGTCGAACTTCTCAACAGCCTCTCTGGCGTTCTCTGAGGACAGCTACGGCAACGACAGCGGTTTGGCTGTTTATGTGTCAAAAGCAATCGACCCCAGTCTCTGTTGGGATGATATCAGCTGGCTGAGAAAACAAACACATCTGCCTGTGATCGTGAAAGGAGTGCTGAATGGTACATTTAAACACACACATACACAGACAACTTTTTTTTTGCTCCATCAACAGTTTTTTTTTTATGACATATTTTTAACAAGTTCCAACATTTGGATTTATTTTGACCTCGTATTTCTTGGACGAGGCTTCAGCAGGGTCCTTTATACCAACACTGACCTTATTTTAAGTGATTCAACAAACGGAGAGGATCTATGCGCAGACTAAACTGTGATTTATTTGTTTATTTGAACAGGGGAAGATGCAGCCCAGGCGCTGAACTATGGTGTCGATGGCATCCTGGTATCCAATCATGGTGCAAGACAACTGGATGGTGTACCCGGCACGGTCTGTCTGTGTGATAAGTTTGAGTTGAAGTTCATGTCACAGGCCCAGTTTGAAGACCTAACCTCGAGCTTGACGACTGCTCTTCAGTTGTGGCCAGTTTTTTTAATATAGAATAAAAAAGTTGCATCCTCTTCCTTGTTTAAAGAATTCTGTTCTCTATTTTTCCATTTTTATTCGGTTTTCATTCTTTGAGTGTTTTGGAGTTGGTATCGTGTTTTTAACAGTCTAATCAAGGTCGGTTTGTTTGTGTTTACAGATGGATGTTTTGGAGGAGGTGGTGAAGGCAGTTCAGGGTCGTTGTGATGTCTACCTGGATGGAGGAGTGAGGAAGGGGTCGGATGTCCTAAAGGCAATCGCTCTTGGAGCCAAGGCTGTCTTTATTGGCCGACCAGTGCTGTGGGGCCTTGCCTGTCAGGTATCTATGACCTGACATGCCTACAATAATCTCTTCTGTACCTTTTTTTAGATAATTGATATATCTTTTCTTGATTGGACTCATTCTAATTGTCTTCATTGTTTGTGTACTGTCTTTTGGCTACAAAAAACAAACAAACATGTATTTGTGATTCCAGGGGGAACAAGGAGTGATTGAACTTCTAGAGCTGCTTAAAGAGGAGCTGCGACTGGCTATGGCTCTGTCAGGTAGCAACCACACACTAAGAATCTACAGCCTGTATATTCATGTCAGTCAAACGCTTTTGTCGGGCTCCTGAATGTGTGTGTGTTTGTGCGCTCTTAGGTTGCCGCTCCATATCTGAGGTGAGCAGGTCCCTGGTCAGGAGAGCGGAGTTAACCTCCAGGATATGAGAGACGAACCTGCTGCAGGACGCAACCCATCTTTACTCCCTGATAGGCTAATTAGCTGTTTTTGTCAAAATGAAAAAATAATAAAGATATTTAAGTGAACAGATTTGAAGTGACCAAACAAACTTCTTTTACCAATTTGAACTTGAAGATCAGTTTACTGTTATTGTCTTTTAATGTGTGTTTAAAATTTTTTTCAAGCACTTATTTTAGCAGCTTTAACAGCTTCACCAAATGTAAAAACTACAAGGAATATAATTAATTATAAAGATATAGTAAATTCATGTGTGTCTGATGCAGAAGAATAATAACAGATATTGTAATAAAACAGATGATATGACCAAAGAATTCACTCCTTTTTTAAAACATATTTTTATTGTTTTTTTCCCCTTCATTCAAAAAAAAAACAAAACAGGACATTTAAACAATATTACAAACACAAATCAAGATTTCAAAGCAGCAGTAAAAAAAGAACAAATAAATAATTATCATAGTAAGGAAGCTAAGCTTCATTTAAAGTGTCAGATTACAGTGGCAATGCATGATGGATTAAACATAGAAATGATTTAATCTTTGTAGAATTAGATTAAGATTAACTTCAGTATAGTCCTGGGAGAGTTTTTGTTTGTTTGTTTGTTTTCTCAAACTTATCTGACGTATCACATTTTTTGAGTTTGTGTCACGATGGCGTTGTAGGCAACCAGCGTCCCTTATTTTGATTCTCTTTTTGTCCCAAATGACACTTGAAATCAATTTGTCTTGAGATCTAAAAAAGATTCCCCACTACTGTATAAGCATCCTGACAGGGTCGTGTTTTAGAGGGGTAGTTATGAGCTCTTTTGAATGAAGATTAAGAGCTTCGTAGGTGTGGACAGATGTGATCTCTTCTGCGTTCTTGTCAAAAGTCAGTGTTTGAGCTGCAGCATTTTGTGCCAGTTTATTAGTCCCGGTGGATTTATTATACCAACCTAATAAAAAGGAATTCAAACAATCTAAACTAGGAGCTACCAAATGGATGGATTCGTTGTGCTGCAACATTTTGCGATACGATGCCTCTTTAAATATTTGGAAGACAAAAAAGACTATATGGGGTGTATATGGGGGTTGAAGAACAAACCTGATCAAATGTCTTCTGGCTTCATTGATAAGTAAAACTGATTGTCATCTGCATAACAGTGAAAATTCATGGAATATTTTTTCATGGTATTACTTAAATAAAGCTTATATGGCGTGAAAAGCATCAGTCTGAATACCTTGTGGAACTCCATAACTAACATTATTATGCACTGTTTTTTGCCTTGTGTCAATATGTGTGCAAACCTTTAAATGTGTTCTTATGTATCGTTTTTCCTGAGAGCCCACAATAACAATAATTTCAAAATAGTATTTTGTGAAACATGCACACCGATATGACATTACATCTCTTGAAATAGATGTGCTCTTGTTTCTTTATTCGAAAATAGATGCAGAAAAAAATCAAGAAAACAAATTTTGTCCTTGTTGAAATTAAATTCTTCTGATTTTATCATATTTGGAGAGTTTCTATACTCCCTTAAAAATGTATATAGAACACTAGTAGATACACTGTTTGGCAACAATTCCTACCAATCTTCTATTTTGTCGATTTCGCTGTATATCAATGTTTTTGATCCATATTTGACCTGACAGTACACATGTTGCACAACTAACTGGCTCTGAGCACTTGGCGGTTTGTCAGGACAGATTTGATTCAAACAGGCTTTAAAAATCAATCATCCACAGATAAGACGGTGCTGATGACAAACTGTATAAGGGTAACAAACACAGGACTTTCTTTTAAGGATGAGGCTTTTGTATCTTCCTGTTATTATTTAACATTTAATGTGCAACAGTCAAAGAAATCAATGGCAATTACATTCAAGTCTTCTTTTCATGGCGTGTTTTAACCAATTATAAAGAAAATATATAAAATTTTAAGACAAAAAAATATTACAGAGAACGGAATAGAACAGAATAAACCAACCACACAGGCGACACAAAGGCACCAAATGAAACAAAAAGAAATTTGTAGTGTTATTGCTGTAATAGTGCAAATTCTAATTTTATGTTTATATTTTTTTTCTATTGGTATTCTTTTTTTTTTTCTTTTTTGCAAAAGTTTTTTTGGTATAACAAAGGACGGTTTTAAATGTGACACATACGCGCTCCTCCGCCTACAGTTCGGCTAATCAAGGGTATAATTCACATGTGTTATGAATATTACCCTAAAACAAGAAAAGTTCCACTCATGCATTACTAATGTTAAAGTCTGAACAGTGTACTTGTTGATCTGCTGTTAACAAAAAGATGATCATTTTAAACAATAAAAGCAGAGGAATAATTCAACCCTTGACTGTGGAGTTAAGATACTGCAATTGTGTCTCACTATGATTATTTCAGGGTATTGTGACCTATCTTTGATTTAGTAGTTATAGTTGTAACTAATTGTAACTGTATTATTATGATTATTATATGATTATTACCCCCTGTTTACTTTAATTAAATAGATAATGCAAACTGTAGTTTTGATTATACCTTGAATTACTACATTTAGTAAATCAATGGCTGGGTTTAAAACTAAATCAGATGAAAGTAAAACGTTTCTTTTTGGAGGTAGATAAATTATTTGGCATCAAAACCTTTTCTTTGCTCTCATAGCCAATAAAATATCTGGAAGACATTTTAAAGATCAGAGTCAAAATAAACCACTTCATCATACCTGTAAAACAAAATTCCCCCTTAAACTCCTTTTTGTGCATCCTTATTATCCCTGTCAATGCAGAGAAAAACCCTCCAACATGGATAAAACCATCAACAGAAGCACTTATGTCTTCAACAAGCCTGTCAAATATCAAAGTGTTATTTTGATGGAGTTAGAAGAGTCTCAGAGTGGATTAATGCACACAGAGGGATCACAAACCAGCTTCAGAGCTCAAATAAATCTGCAGACACGCTTCAAATAAATATTTTTAATGCTCATAAATATATATACATTTTTTATCTTAATGACAAAAAATCTACATATAAATAAAAAAAGGTTCACAAAGGAGTTTCTGATGTTCACAAAAATACCTTTTTTAGTGTTTGAAACTGAAATCCACACACATGAATAAAAAAAGTCGACAAAAAAACCAAAACTACAGCAGTCTGAGCAGCGTGAGTTAAACGGAAAGAGTCTGTCTGTCATTCAGACAGTTTAGTTAAAATATGAATACCTGCTCTGTAACAGATCTGGATAGAAAAGGAAAAGTAGTAGAAAAACCTGTGAACAGTTTAAAGTTATATTGAAGTTTATGAGTGGATGTAATTTAAACTAGCACCTCTTTTTACAGGGGATGGTATAAAAGTGGAACAGTTGAAACAGCACAAACTGTAAAGGCCATGAGAAGTGTCAAAATGTGAAAATATACAATAAAGTAAAACAATAATGATAAAGTTAGAGATTTAAATGCAAGCTAAAGCAAAATAAAAGGACATTAAATAGGCTTACAATCTGAAAGTTTGTCCAGTGTTTGTCCATAATGTTGTCTCATATGTAAAGATATTTTACTTTGAGTAAACAGCTATCAGTAACCGTTCTTTTACCACAAGATGTTCACTAATACAAGTCTTTTTTAATGTTAGACAGCTGACCACACAGTTAACTCATCAAAAACACCAAAAGGTTGGCTGGACTATCTCAACACAAAGACATTGCAAAGATCGATATTCTAACAGCTTTCTGTCATTAGTGTTCGGACTCCCAGCAGGACGCGAAATATTTATTGTAGGATGGTACTTCACCTCTTATTAGCTAGAAGTGCTGGGCTCCGATAGGTTATTCCTTATGTGCTGTGAAACGTCATTGTCTGTCAGGTTAAGTTTAGGATTAGGATTAGGATGAGGGTTAGGGTTAGGAGATTTAGAGGTGTGATAATGTTCTGTAATGTTCTGTTTGATGTACAGAGCCGACAGGCCGCGTTTGGCTTAAGCGTGTGATGACGTTTCCAGTTTTTCTAGCCAATCAGAGGCGAAGGAGGCGGGACTTTCCCCTACCATCCCACACATAAACATCGCCAGCAGGACCACACTAGGTTCCATGTGATTGGTTGAGGAGTGACTCCTCCCCCATGTGAAACAACACATTTGATTGGTGGAAAAGTAGGGAGCCAAATAACCGAAAGGGATCCATCTTTAAAACGAAATGAGCATTTGTGGTTTGCTGTGAGACAGAATTTACACACAAATACAGCGACGTTCCCCAAGAAAACACACAGTTTACTTTTTAACCAGTGTATTTGTGGTGTTCCACTTTAAACATTCAAAACATTTTTGTACGTTCATCAGAAACTGATTTGTGAACCTTATTAATTAATATGAAGATTTTTTTTACATAAATACATATATATCTTTATTTTTGTTACTTGTGGTTTATTAAAAGTACTTATCTGAAGCCTGTTATTTATAACCTAAAATATATTTCTGAATTCCTCTGTGCACATTTATCCATTCTGAGTCTGTTCCAACTTCATATAACCGTGTTGTTGATATCTGACTGAAAACAAAACAAGTGTGGTGTGTTAAAGGCAGTCCTAAGATGGAAGAGTCACATCTCCCAGAAAGCTGTAGCAACGACAAAAGGAGAAAAAAAAAAAATCACAGTTTAAAATTTATCTCTACATATTCGAAATCCAGTTAGCTGAAAGTTAAAAAGAGAACCCTGTGATGGATGTTTTAGTTGACTTTGACATCTTTTCTGTCTGTGGGACAAAGCAAACCCCCAACAAAGCTTGCCTCAACAACTGGCGAAGTTAGATTTAGAAAAACAGTTACACCTTCTCTTTACACGTGTTGGAAGACAGCTGCCTAACCTGCAAAACTTAGTCCGTCTGGACTTGATGATCCATTTCTTGACTCTCAGGCTGCCCCTCCGCCTCCTCGACCACATCAGGCTCCACCTGCGTATCCGTCTGCACGGGAGACTCTGAGATTGTCTGGAATGCAGCGTCACTTTCAGTGTGTGAGTCCTCCTCAGGTGGAGGTTGGGATGGAGTTTGTTCTGCGGAGTTTGGTTCACTTAAGGAGTCAGAGGCCGCGCTCGGGCGCTTAAATAACCCCTGACCTGTGAATAGAAAAGTGCAATAAGAAACAGACCCTCATCTTCCTCCTTCATCAGTCAGGGTTATTTTATATTGATGAATAATTAAAGCAGCTAATTGATTAAATACAGAAAAAATATATTTGTATTTTTTATCACTACATGTTTTAATGAAATAAGAAACACCCACAGAAACGATCCTACCTGGCAGTTTCATTGATGGGGAGGCGGTTGTATCTTGCAGAGGTGGCCTTCCTGTCTGAACCTTGGTGGAGTACGTCCCCTCTGTGGAGTCCAAGGAACCTGGAGATACAAAACATTAACATAAAAGCTTTGCTGAGTTGATAACCTACAAAAAAATGTACTATATGTTGAATACAGGTTTGTGACTTTCATGAAAGTTTATTGTGTTACATAGTCTAACCTCATCTTAAACTGGTGAAACAGGCAAATTCTACTTTGAGGTGACAAACAATACCTGCAGCCAGATTGAAGGTCCTGCCCTTTATGGAGCTCTGAACTGGAGAAAACCAGTTTAACACAGAACCAACCAGAGGAAGTTGTCTCATCATTCCCTAAATCACAGGGAGAAAAAGTTAGTCAAGCAAAGACCGAACTGTACAAACTACTTACATTTAGACATTCATGGACGCTCGGACCATGCTGGACAAACCACCTCACACCTCGTCTTATGAAAGTAAAGCTGTGTCACTCAGTGCCCCTACAACTCTGTGGCCACATCTTTATTTGCAGCTGCATTCTGTCTCTGTGCATTTTTGCCATGTGGTTGCTGTTCATGCGGTCGTTCTGGTTTTTGGCACCAACCACAAGCACATGTAAAGTCTGTTTACACTATAAGATTGAATCTATAATGCAAACATTAGCTATATGTACATGTTAACATAGAAGCAGACCGCAACAACTGTGTTTGAAGTGTGTAACACAAAAACTATGGCAGTGACTGCTCCCACAGCAGTTTCACCTCACCTCTACAGCCTGTTAGCTCTAACCTTGAGCCAAAGTTGACATTGCGATAGTAAGGTGCCTCCCTGGATCCTACAAACACGGAGACACACACACGGACACAAACAAACTTACCTCTTCCATGAGTTTCTCCTCGTTGTCCTTTTGCAGCTGCAGCTCTGCCTCAAGGATCCCCTTCCTCACCACCTCTGTCATGTTCTCCAAAAGCTACAAAAGGAAGAGTAAGGTTTTGTTTAAAGAAATGTAACATACAGACTATTTTTACTGATGTTCTCCTATCCATCTAAATCCAATTCACAATTAACCTGACAGTTACCCTTCCACTGTCCTCTATCTCCCTTCCGAAGGAAGCGATTATCTCCACCAGCTCTTGAACATTCACGTCCTCAGTGACCATGCCAACGAAGATACAATCCTTCTCTTTTCCAGAGTCTGGCCCTAGTTGGGGTGAAATAAATGATAAAAGACAGAGGGATGAAAAATATTATCAAGTACTTTTTCAAAACCTTCTCTGATATGGAGCGCTCTTTCACTGACCAGTAGAGAAGATGATTTCTGTGTCCAGATCTTGTAGTTTCTTGAGCAGCTCAGTGTTGATCTTCTCCACCTCCTGCTGTCTTCTGCTTTCATCCATTCCTACCGCCTGGAGCTCGTACCTAAATATGACAATTTCTGCTATAATCACTAACTCAGCACATTAGGTAATCTTCCCTTTAGGAACAAAAGCTAGAGTACTGACAAAAACCTCCACTATTTTCCATCAACTCAACTAAACGATGAGAAGTTATGACTGGAAACTGGAGAAACAACAAAGACTTCTGTCCAGTTTCAGCAGACTCACTGGGTAAATATTCATGTTTTTATTCGGAAATTACCATCTATATTCCCAGATAATACATCTGTGCAATTACAACATATAGTTAGACGCCTACTTTCCACCACAAGAGGGAGGATTTAATCTATCCTTACCGGACAGAGCCTAGGCCAGGCCATCCAAGATCCTCCACGTACGTGAGCGTAGGTGTGTGTTGTTGGATCTCTCTTCTGAAATCCATTCTCAAGGCTGTCGTGGAGCTCATCAAACGAACCAGCTCTGACAGCTTCTCCACCAGACTCTCGATGTCCTCCAGCTGAGTCCCGAGGTCTTAGGAGGGAGAAGGTCATGGTTTTGTTGGTTCACTGGTGGTGTTTTTACACTGAAAAAATCCAGGATTAGTCTGTGTTCTTGTTTGTCTTACCTGCAGCAGTCAGGAGGGGACTGAAGGACATACATGTTCCTTCGTCTTCAAGCTCAACCACATTTACACCAGTGTTAGGAACCTGCTGGAGGAGCTGTTCACCCAGCTACACCCATGAATATTAAGAAAGAGAAAAGTGAGTGTACACGCTTGGTGATCGGACAACTTTAGAACATTTAGACAAGAAATGACACATTTTCACACAATAAATGATTGTTTGCAGTAACATTAATATCTTCTGCCACCTTAGACTAGGATTAATTTTTTCATCCCAGTATACTCACCCATCTGTTCAGGGAGTCAAGCAACTCTTTCTCCACAAAGCTGTAATCTTCCGCTGAATCCCCCCAAAAACAAAGGACAGAAAGGTTACTAAAGTACGAAAGAAACACCGAGCCTCACACGGCAACATCTTCCCAATATTCTTCTTAAACTTGTTCCCCGAAATGTTCTGAGAGGAGTCTAAAAAGGATTCATGAACTGATGATTTTGATTATTTTAATGTATAAACAAGTGAACAAATCAGATTAGTAAAAACCTTTGTATGGAAAAAGCAACAGCTAACATACAGCTTAGTCTTGTCTGCTGGATCTGCAGTGTGGGATACTTACTTGGATTTGTCTCCTGGGAGAACATGAAGAGAACCACAGGAGAGTTTATTTCATCTTCCATCTGTTGGCGACACAAAGACACTGATTAGGTTTCAGGGATTAGTATCATTTAATTTAACAAATGATCTGATTTGTGGCAGCTATCACCACTTAAAGGTTGCAAAAGAGAACAACCAGAGTGATTTTGTTGTGGGAGAGAAAGAAAATAAAGTTAATAAAAAAAAGTTTAAATCGAAGGGTCACAGTTTTTGATTCGTAAGATTCACAAGTTTGTCTCCTGGCTTTGACCCTTTAAAGTACAGCTTTCCCACACTCTTATCTACACTGTAAGTAAAGGCAGAAAAATCCTGTTAATAAATAAATATATAAATACAATATGAAGACTAAAGAAGAAAGTAATAAAAGAACACAGAGGCTAATGGTAGGCTTACATTTACACACATTTCTCATGCTGGTGAGCTGGACTCAGTAATATCTGTGGCTAAGGTAAGAACACACACAACCCAATAACTTTGGCATAACAAGAGGATAACATTAAAATAATAAAAGATTTATCTCAAACAGCAGATAGGAGAAAGATGACACGGCCAAAAAGGTCAAGTTGTCTCAAGATGTGACGGCTTGGACAGGTTGAGAGGTAAGAACCAAAATCAACTTTCCTCCAGAACATTACCTTAATAATACAAACATATCTATAAAAAGAAACACCTACCAATGTTTTGATGGAGGCCAAAGTTTTGAGCTTCTCTCGGAGTAGCTGGCTCTAAAAAGGAGGGAGATAAAGACGAAGAATTCACTTTGTTGTCTCTTTTATTGACTTGCTGCCACAGTGACAATAAGACTCTAGAAAACGTAAACCTGGTGTGTATACAATCACCGATATGAAAACGTTGTTAGGTCAGAGGGGGGCTTACCAGTTCAGTGGCGAGTCGGATCTTTCGGACGATTTCATTATGGCCGAGATACTGCAGGGAGAGCCAGAGGGGCAGGGCTCGCAGCTTCAACATCGGACTGCTGGAGGTCAAACCTGCTGCCAAAGACTGACATACAAAACCTTTTTTTTTCTCTCTTTTACAACTTTTATTCTCACAAACATAATACAGGAAAAATGATAACACTTAAAGAGTGGTCGACATGATCTCAGAGGTTGTAATACTGGTAGCAAAGTAAGATAAGAAACTCCAACTTGCCCAAAAAGCAGGGCTTAAAACTAACCTAGATTATATTTCTGTGAAACAATAAAAAAGACAAAAAATGAAACTAAACACTTGCTAAGGTATGAAAAGTCACTGTACCATAGCTGGGTCTTCCTGTCTGTAAAGGGTGACCGCTGTGATTGCTGGCAGTCCCAGCCATTGACCTGGAGTAAGGGTCATGCTATCACTTTCGTTGGCTGCCTGGAGGAGAGAGACAAATTAAAACATCATACGTGTCACATACAAATTCAACATTTTTCAGGTAATTTCTGGATCTAAGTTAACAGGCTGTAGGTTACCATGGTAGCAGAGGTGACCTGACCCAGAGCCAGGGTTGCCAGGTTGACCCTGTTGAAGACAATTCACAATTATGATTAATTATGACTTCACTACAGTAAACCAGGGTTCCTCTGTTAGAATTAAAGTGGATGTATTTAAACTAAATGTCATAAAGGGTTTGAAAACTAACTTACCCTTCTACATGGAGCCACATGCTGTTCTGGTCACACAAGTTCCTCAGGCGACTCAACTTGTCAGTATGTCCTCCCCAAGGAGTTCCTGGGAAAAAGTGTAAAAAAAAAAAAGCTTATATAAACTCATGTAACAGATTTTTTCTCCACAGTTTCTTCACGCTGTGATTTTTCTGTACCTGCGTTTGCTATTAACAGCAGTGGAAGTTTGCCAGATTCGACGTCCTCTTTGATGAGTTTCTCCAACAAAGCAATGTCCTCAAAACACAAAAGGATTCAGATTTAGTCATTTTAAAGTAACTTACTGTGCTATTTATGTGTTTTTTAATTTAATTTGTGTTCGCCTACCATTTGGTGTTGGGATCCAAAGACGGTATTGCAAGGGACTGTGCACAGACTTGAGAGTGGGAGGCCGAGCTACTGACAGAAACGTCAAAATTAACATTTCTCTTTATTGTCTACATCCATTTTACGACTCAATCAACTTCTCTCTCTTCTCAAAAACCAGACAACTGTAGGTAATCTTTCATATATCCTCTATTCATTGAACATAAAGTGTGTTGTGAGATGTTGGTTAAACATTTACATTTTCATATTTGAATGTTGTAAAGATGCTTTTATGGTATCATTGTATTGAGGGGTGTACATGATAGACCACACCTGCTACCGTGGTGCATTTTAGCCTATTGGTATGCAGAGTTTACATATATTGGTGTCCTCAAGTATATAGTCTGCCAACCCCCATAAAAATAATACTGGAATCCTACCTGGCTGCATAGGTGTTGTCCAAGTCCAGGCCGTCCAGAGGCGCTTTGGTAAATAACTGGCTGTTTGTGGCTGAAGACTGCGTAGCCCTCAGAGGTATATTCTTCATAACGTGCATTTATGACCAGTCGACACACTTTAACCAGGCCCTCCCTCTCGTCCTCATGAAAGTATGCTGAACCGTTCTCATACCTGAGAGGCAGATAAGTTACAAAACCAAGCGCTGAAGTTGACCGTAACTCTGACAGTAACACTACCATCTCTACTTAAGACTGTAATAGAGGGATACTGTGCTCCTGATGATGCTGGATTGTCCATGTGTAACTATCATCACAGGCTTACCTGAACAGTCTGCAGAGCCACAGTGTGGTGTCAGACAGTATTCTTGTCGCCAGCTTTCGTAGTTGCTCGGTGTCCAACATTGCGGTAAATGCTGCCAGGCTGTGACCCAGCAGGGCTACGTGACCTTCTTCACCCATATTCTGGATTTTACTGAAAATCCCAAAACATGTAATTATGAGTAACTGCAAAACCAAGTAAAAAATAGTCCTTCCTAAAGAGTCTCTTCCTTTCTTCTTGCAGTAAAGCCTCTTTTAGTGCATTTTTAGACAGCCATAACATAAAATGACAGCTTTTCTAATATTTCTCTGCTTTGATTACTTTAGATTTGGGTTCAGCATGATTTATTGAAAATTATGGTTTACATTTATTCAAATAGAGGTGCAAAATTTTTTACCTCACAACAATTAATCTTTTTATTTTTAGTCACTAGCTCCACTTACTGTTGGCTGGGCCTGTCCTCTTCCTCCTCTTCATCGTGTATAAGGTTGTTGAAAAAGTGCAGAATTGTGGAAACATCCTGACCACTGCAGAGAAGATCATTGAGATTACATATAAACATATATGCTCGAAAAAACAAAGAAAACATACAATCATAACAGTGTAATTTTTTATGTGTGTGTGTGTGTGTGTCTTACTCTCCCTGCAGGGGGCCAGGCATGCTTGTTCTGGTTGAGGGATGACTCTCTGTTCTTATCTCCGACTCACTGTAAAAATGCATGGACCAAACACAGATATTTGAAGACGCATTTGAATTATTACATAATTGCATTAATTATCCACTTGTTCAGAAATCCAAACTACTGCAAATTAACAGATTCCTTTCTGACGTAATTAATGTTTTCCTGATTAAAAGTAGGTTGTATGGATTCTGAGTCTAATCGTACCTCTGTTCGTCTCTGAAGATTTTCATGGCTTCACTCAGATTCTTTTCCACTTGCACCAGCGAGGAGTCAACCATCTTCAGAGGAGTTTCTTTTATAAGTGTGCTTTGTGCGCTGGAAACAGATTTGTAAAAAAGAAAAAAAAACATAAATATTTCCCACACATGCAGAACAATGCTGACCGTTTCTTCCATTTCCTTATTAACTCCTTATAAGATCTCTCATAGCTCATAGTTTTGACAGAGACAGAAACTGGTCTTCTCTTTCTATCCCAAACTACAGTCCCTCAAGACAGAAATGACCTCTGAATCTAACCGCCACTGTGCTTCAACACTAAAATACTTGAATCCTAATGAATCCTTTCAAACTTTGCTATTTCAATTGTGTTATTTAAATTTCTGATTACATTTGTTAATGCAAATAGAACTGAACCTAAGGTCACAGCACTGCTGATCAGTCGTGTTTTTCCAGTCCAAGAAAGAAATAATTTGCGCCAAAAAAACCCCCAGCTCCCATCTCTTGTATTGAGAGGAGGGACTGTGCATGTGCAGCTTTATAACAGGAGTCAATGGAGGCCAGAGGGCACAAAGGATTGTACCCTGGACCAGAAATATGTGATCGATCAGTAAATAGAGACATGTAGAAAACTCTTAATCTGGATTTTTACCACAGTTAATTCTTTTTACTCAGCTGGTAAAAATATTAAACCTAAATCTGACTTTTTTTTAAACGTTTATAGTAAAATTCTGCCAATATCTGTAGACAGGGACAGGGCAGTGCTTTAGCAACTCTACTGACCAACTGCCACTGGTGACATTTGTAGATTTAGTGGCAATATTTGGAGAAGGTGTCTTTCAACTCTGAATCTGAGCCTCTTACTCTGAGACTTCCTGGTTAAATGAAGATTAAATAAAAGATAGATAAATAAATGTAAAAAAAGACACGAAGAAGAAAAACTTGCGCTGGTGAGATCAGTAACAGCTCAAATCTAAGGGGAGGTCCAATTTCCCTCTGCGCATATGCTTAAGCAGGTCCAACTGCGCACATGCTTACAGTAGTTTGCTGTGTCTGCACTGCAGCCAGTTACTCTTACAGCGACCAGATAAGCTGGTGCTCTTTTCTCTTCATGTTTGATGTCGGCAAGTCACAGCATTACACATATCAAAACAGGTAAACCTGCTCTGAGGTGTATTTTGAACCATGGCCCAGTTGTCTTAAGGGGCTGAAGTTGATAAAGACAAATAGGCTGCAGCTGTTGACCTACCCATGGTAAGAGTTCTGACTAAAACTCATGAGAATGATTTGATGATAAACATGTTTCCCGCACACTCTTCAAAATAAAAGTCTGCAGTTGTATTAATGCCGAAATGCCTTTATTCTGAAATATCCACCCCACTGGAAATGGCAGAAACTTAACACAACAAAGTACAAATGGGAGGGGAGGAGAAATGAAGGTGGCACAGTTGCACACTACAACCCTTTTTTCTCCTTTTCTTCTGCTGTCAGACATAACGATGAGCTGAGGAATTATAACAAGGGAACATACTGCATGTTTACGTATGCACGACCTCTTTACATTTGACTGAAGTATTAACACCGTCATCCTAACAGACTAAAAATAAAATCCTGAGATCAAAATTTTGACTTGTCTCGCTGAGGCATAGTTGCCACCCGCCTTTAAATGGAGGAACAATGTAACTAGCTAGCCAGCTCGCTGTCGTAGCTGTATGAAAGATGGACAGACAGTTGTAAAGCTGTGCTAGCGCATTTACCGTTTATACTTCTAACCTTTTGTTTTTGCTTTGCATATTCATTTCCACAACTTACTAGACATAAAGTAAACTTATTTTCCAAAATAAAAGCATGTTTTATATAATAAGGGACATAAAGAATACAGTATAAATGTCAAAATACAAAGGGTTGTTTCACACTATCCTCATATATTAGCCTTTACTGCAGTGTGTGTGGTTACTACAGCACAAATGATGTTGGAGGAGATGACAGAAAAAAATGAGGTTTCGTCCTTTCATCCTGAGGTCCTTACATCAGTTTGTACTCAGGCCCTGGTTATAAAATTCATCCTTAAAGCTCCTGTGAGCAACTTCTGTTTTGTGCCAGTTTTAGTGCCCCCATGTGGACAAAGAGCCCTTGCTTATCTTGCGTGCTACATGCTTCAGTATTGGTTTATGACAACAAATCTCATTCTGACTTTTGACAGTGAAATTTCTCATCCATTGTGAATATTTTGTGTGGAAACTAGGCTGTTTCTTAAGCTGCAAGACCTGGACCTACCCCTCTCGCACTGGTTTCAGAAAATAAAAACAGGGTTATAAAAATGTTCAGTCTTGTTTCTGCTGGTCTTGTTTGCTTTTGTATACCATTAGAGGGCATCAACATGAATTCTAGTCTGTTTCATCAATGTTAAAAACACCTCATAGGAGCTTTAAATTACCACTAAAGACTTCCCAGGATTAGCACTCGGGTCATTGTATGAGTAAAAAAATACCCTGAAGTGAAAACAGAGCCTTCAAACTACTCTGTGCTCTAAGAACAACCCTCAGAGGAGCATTTGGGTCAGAGAAGGTAAAGCTCTTTTTCATTTGTCCTGAGGCCTTAATTCAAAACCTTAACTACATACCAGCACCACCCAAACTGAACTAGTCTTTACACTTGAATAGATGCAATGTCAAGCCTTGAGAACAACAACACAGTTGCAGATTCAAACGGGTGTGGACGCATTATTTAAACATTTACTTTGTGCTTTCTTTGGATCGCTGCTGTAGAAAGCATCAACACACTTGTGTAAGAGGAAATCAAAACTGAACTGGTTGAACTGCTGGTTGACTGTCATTGAGCCAAAAAGAGTTACTCCTTGAAAGGTAAAGTTAAGAGAATATTCAGAAGTATGTTGACGATCCCCAGTTTAGTCCCTAAGTGCAAGGGACTTTTGAAACCACAGTGCAATGTCTTACATGCTTAGAACGGCAGGATTAGCTAAAGGGTTATCAGCTGGTTGAGATACGCAAACTCGTCATGAGATGCAATGGAGTCCTACATTCTGACTTGGGGCCTCATTTATGATACATTCATAAATCTGTGTGTAGATTTGCAAATAAAAGTCCTCCATACCAGAAACCCAAAATGAACGCAGTGATAAACTAGGGTTTGATGGTTGGTGCATGTGCAAGTTCATGGATGTGCAGATTGCATTTACTTGAGGAAAAAAAATTCAACTCTGTTTTTCTGTGTAAACCAGACAATTATCTCCAAATCATGAGACAATTTTTTTATAAATAAAAATTTTCTGTCTTGTTTTTCTGCATTAATGAGCAGCAAAAACAGCAGAATTCACCTACCATCCTTTTTAAAACGCACAAACGATAACCCATGACAAGATGCAGTGCCTGAAAACAAGTTTAACTTTAACTCTGATCAGAATATATGAATTTAAAACTTTTTTTGTCATTTCAAAGCTCTTTTCTTGATTTAACAATTTCCCTCTTGTTGTCAGACTTTTATTTTCTAACTTGATTCAGTAAAACCCACAAAACCCATTGTTTTCAGTATATGCCATAAATCTGCTTTGAATAATCACAATTCTTTTAGTAGAATATAAAACATGTTTCAAAGTGTGCTCATGTTTATCTGTAAATGACAATGCATAGGTATATTTCTTTTTATGTTTTATGCCATGTCTTTAGTTTTATAAAAGCCTCTGTGTTAAATATCAACCTCCCTTACTGTAATACTTCCCTGTTATTTAGGTGAGCAGCATGAAGCATGCCTAGTTATTTGTTGATCATTATGGTTGTGCCTCTGTAACTTCAGTGTAAGGTGCAGCAGCAGACTATTGCTTCAGTCAGGATCATGGAAGTGAATCAGAGGCTGTCAGATTGCCCTCAGTCTACCTCCGTCTCCTCCACTCAACAAATTTGCAAGCTGTCTTTCAGCGGACACATAAATAATAAAGAAAAAGCAGAAATCTGAGGCTGACAGTCTTGGAGTTTTATCACAGACATCATGTAACACAGCAGCAAGTGAACTATCAGTCACAGAGTGAGAGGAGGGAGCATCATACATACAAGCTTCGCCTACCTTCACTGATATGCAGAAAAACTTACTATTTATCCTGGTCTGCTGAGGGAAAAATCTCACCAATCCGTGTAGACTTTTAAGGACCTCCTCTATACATGTCCAGAAAAACCTTAAAAAATGAATATGACTCGGTTAATATGCTTCTTCTTACCTCTGTACTCCGCTGGTCGAGCCGGATATTTTACTTCCTGGAATGACGCTCCACTTGCGTTCCACGCTGGCAGCGTCTACGTCACGATATGAAAATGCTGAATTTCATTTGCGCCGACGCACGCACGCACACGGACGCACGCACTAATGCGCGCACACAAAAATTTTCATTTTCATGCTTTATTTCGTTCAGTTAATGTTTAAAACATTCAATTCAAACAAGGAAAAATCTCAAATATGTGAATAAAAAGGAGCAGAAAGACTCTTCTAGGGTCTGCCCCTCTTTCATAATATATTAATCAACTAAAAACATAATAAAAATAAACAAAAACCTCCTTTTATTTATAAAAACAACCCACAAAACCAACAGAAATAAACACGTTAATTCAGATTTTTCACAAACCGAACATACCAAGACTTAGATATTTTCCTATATTTACTCAACATACTGGCTTTGACACTTTTTTTGAAGATAAAATTTGATTTCACTTCTTTAGTTTCTTTGTTTAGATTGTATTCCTTTCACTGTAACAGCGCTCTTTCAGTTTAGTTCTGCATATAGGCTTTTTAAATATTTCAAATCCTTTTAAAGCATTGATGTGTTTGATAAAATCATTTTTTGATCAATTTTTCAGAGACAATGCGAAACAAACTTTAATATTTTCTTAGGCAATGTCTTTTTTGTGTGATCCAGGATACATCCAGGGTCATGAAAAGGCTTTGCTCCATCAGATCATTGTTCTCTCTTTGTTCAAGCTTTGTAATTTACACCCCATAATATTAAAACTCCCAACTATATGTCGAAATACAATAAGACTCTCTACATTTTCCTGCCACTTCATGTGGCTGTGGCGTAAGTCTCCCTGTGAATTTCCCCGTGGCCTGACCCGCCAGCCCGGCGTTACACAGGCAAGCATGCAAGTGCGCACAAACACAGACTCACAAGGCAATGAATGCCCAACAAGTGCGCACATGACATTTGACTAGGCGCGTGCAGACAGGTGGAGTGACTACCAGTCGGTGCAGTCCTGTGTGTTTTGGTGTCAATTTACAACCAGTTGAACAAAGTTTATTCATGACAATACTGGACTCTACACTTAAAGCAATTACATTTTGGGTTGACTGTGCTGATCAGCTGATAGTTCTGAAGTAGTTGTTCAGTAAAGGAGAAGAGTTGGTGAACATGGCATAAAAAGGTTGACTTAAGTCCCTTTTTATTTAAAGGTTTTAAATTTAACACGAATCAAACCAATAATCAACCTTGGTCCTCACAACTTCAAACGTGACACCAATCACTGAACCTGTGACCTCTCATTACACATTGATCCTTCAAACCACTACTTAGCTTGGGAGTATGCAATGAACAAATACCAGTGTCTACGTCATTATAATTATATATATATCTCATGCATAACTTTTTAACTATCTAGCACATAGGTCTGAAACTCAAGCCCTGTTCAATAGGCATAATATTATTTCTTTGTTAATTGGCCACACACACATCTTTTGCAACAAATCTCAGATTGCACTGCAAAAGTTGGCTTCCCCACTGGGATTTATACAGGACAAAATGACCATCTTTGAAAGTGAAAGTGATGTGTCAAAACTCTAAATTAGTTTATTTGGAGGGAATTTTTTTTGGTTTTATGATAAACACTCTTATTGTGTTTTTAAAACGTCAAAAACTAAGTTTTCAATTAGTATTATTGCAGAATTTGGCTTCAATTCCTCATTCTTCTTAGTAGAAATATCACAGAGATACTTCATGTTCATGAATACAGTTGCCAAAAGAACAATGTGAATCATTTCCAAACAATTTTAACCTGCCCTGTCCTGACTGATGACTGGGAAAATATGCAAAATTGCCAGTAATCATGATCCCTTTCAGATTTGATGTTTTATACTGATGCAAAACCATGCAATTAATAAACTGTAAGGAAAGAACTGTTATTACAATGCTTGTGGTTACAGGCCGTCGTTGTTTTCTTCCGCTTCATCCTGGTCCAGGGCGCAGGGGCAGCAGCTTCAGGGGGGAAGCCCAGACGGCCCTCACCCCAGCCACCTCCACCAGCTCCTCCGGGTGGATTCCCAGGCGCTCCCAGGCCAGTTAAGAGATATAATCCCTCCACCTGGTCCTGGGCTGGCCATGAGTTCTCCTCCCAGTGGGACATGTCTGGAACACCTCTAATGGGAGGCGTCCCCGAAGGCATCCTAACCAGATGCCCGAGCCACCTCAGCTGACTCCTCGGTTCTACTCTGAGCGCCTCTCAAGTGTCCAAGCTCCTTACCCTATCTCTATGGCTGAGCCCGGCCACTCTGCGAAGCAAACCCATCCCATCCCATAATTTAATCAGAAATGACTATTTCTGAATTCAAGGCACCAGTGGTAACGCTTTTACACCCAACTGAGTCACAGCTTTTAATGAAATTAGTTATTTCTTTCTTACTCTTGCTGTCTTTAAATGTGTCATACACTTCTTGTTTTTGGAGGTGCTTGATTAGCAGTAAAGGATTGGAAAGGAAAGGGTGATTTAAAAAAAGAGAGAAGTGATACTCAGTTTTTTTCCTACTTTATGAACTTGTAACTTGGTGATTCCTCATTTTAGAAAATACTGGCCACACATGAGGCTAATGTTTAAATACATAGACTGTGTACTCTTTATCTAGTCTATGGTTTAAATAAGTTGGTGCAAAAACTTTCTTAAAGGAAACAAGTAAATGTGTTGCACATTCCACAGTACTGTCGACAGTAAATGTAAAACGTAATGTACTGTTTCTGAGTACATTGTGTTTTCCTTTTAAACGAAAATCAAAACATAACATATCAGCGAATTCACTTATATTTTTATAGACAAAGTTTATTCGAACTTTCTCCGTAATCTACCGCTATTAAGTGTCGAATCTGCGGTTTCTTAAAAAAGGTTAGACACAGTTGACGTAAAACGTTATTTTCAAACAGTCTTCGGGTATTGTAGTTTTCTTGCCCCAACGAGTCCATGAATTCGACTGTTTTAGAGTTTGAAAAGACTTCATATCCCAGAGGTCATTGCGAGTGACTCGTCAGTTGATGGGACGTATCAGCTCACGCGGACTCTATCTGGGGTGTGCTGAGTAGGATCCCCGCTCTGGAACCGGCTGATCGTCTATTTTCACCTTAATCAGATTCAAGTACTTCACCTGTGTCGGGAGGGTCTCCTGGTATTCAAGGGGGAACACCAACATCGGGTTTTGTCGTGGGAGAGACTCGACTTAGATCAAGTAACTGCGTAACTTCGGTCTCAGTAGTGAAAATCTAAAGACCCACGATGGACCCGAGAGACACTGCCCCTGATTCGTGGGAACAAGAGGACGATGTGGAGGCCACGATCGACCCACAACTTGAAACAGCGTTCATGACCTTAAACGTGAATGCCAAGCCGTTTGTTCCTAACGTGAACGCCGCTGAATTTGTCCCGGCGTTTACCACAACAGCACACCCGGAGAAAATCAACTCGGCAGGTCAGTTCACTGTCACGTTGGTGGTGGGGGGATGTTAGCCACCAGCTAGCTCGGTGCTAACAGGAGCCGAGGTTCCTCTCAGACAACCTTTCCTCGAAGCGCCACAAAACTGGGCTTAAATTCAAGTGTTATACATAACTGTTGTGATATCCGAGACGGAGTGAAACTTAAACACATCTATCATGGCTTTATAATCTTAATAATCGGGTTTACAGTGTTAATAAAACTTGTCAGCTGTTGCCATGACAGCTTTAAAAGTTATCTAAACATACTAATCAATGGTTATCAGCTACTATTTAGATATCTAATGTTGATTTATGATTGAGGAAATGAGTGTATTTTAGTCTAGTGTTGATAGAGTCAAGCGTTGGTTCATGTCTAACTTGAGATCCACCATTTTTGGGGGGTGGTCGTAACTTTGTTGATGATGATCTTCATGGTGAGGAGGAGGAGTAGATATAAGCTCAGTCCGTCATTGAGTCATTTGTGAGAATGGGACTCTGACGTGGATGTTCTGACGCATAACTGGTCTAAAGTGGAGCAAAGTGTGCCATCTGGATCTGTGTCAGAGCAGGCAAGAACTCTAGACGAGTAGGCACACAACTGGAGGACAATAACTCCAGTTTTTTTGTAGTGAAACGTCTGGCAGATGCAAAAGTATTTTGTACTATATGATGCTTTAAAGGGATATTCCGGCGTAAAATTAATATAGGGTCAAACACGGTGTAACACTGAGTTAGACACCCTGTCGAGAGATGAATGTTGCAGACAGGTTGCTTCTCTAGTTATACCAACTTTAGTAACGACCGCACGATAGCAATACACAGCAGTCTGAGGAGCCATAAACAAACCACAAATAATACTCAGAACAGCACCTAACTTCATCAACAGTACATATAGGGTCCTAGCCATAGTACTAGCCACCAAACATCTTTTTAACTTTGCCTAATTTCTTTAGCAAAGAGACTAAACACAACTCACCTACTCTCTTCCAGCAGCCGCTTATTTTGTAGCGAGACCTTGGGCCAGGCCATTACAGACTACAGTGGGGTGACGCAGCTCAAGGAAGAACATTTATGATAATTTCTTCATAGAATTGCAATCAGACTGGAGACGCTAAGGCAGAAAAACTACCGTGTCTCAGTGCAAAATGATTAATATGGTGATTATTACTTCAAGGAAATGATAAAGTAATGTAGTAATGTCTGTCCATTACAGACTACAGCGGGGTGACACAGTTTAAGGAAGAACATTTATGATCATTACTTTATCATTTCCATGAAGTAATAAACACCATATTAATCATTTTGCACTGCAGGCGCGGTAGTTCTTCTGCTTTAGTGTCTCCATCTGCATTTCTATGAAGACATGATCATAAATGTTCTTCCTTGAGCTGCGTCACCCCGCTGTAGTACGTAATGGACTGGCCTGAGGTCTCGCTACAGCTGCTGGAAGAGAGTAGGTAGGCTGTGACCCTAAATGTACTGTTGATGAAGTTAGGTGCTCTTCTGAACATTATTTGTGGCTATAGAGTGGCGTTTTGGTTGAGGTTTGAGTATGGCTCCTCAGACCGTTGTGTATTGCTATCCTGCAGTCGTTACTAAAGTTGGTATAACTAGAACAAGCGATCAGCAACATTCATCTCTCGAGGGGGTGTCTAACTCTGTGTTACGGTGAATTGACCCTAGTCAAGTCTTTTTAAAGCACGAGAATGAAATTGTCTCTTTTTCCAGCTAAATTTGACCCGCAGTTTGTGGAAAGGATCAGACTTTATTTTTTAAACACACTTCTCATTTTCATCACTTTTTTTCTCTTGCAGCTGCTGAAAATAGATCCATCATGGAGGAGGCAGAAAGTAATGGTACGTATGGCCTTGGTATTTAACTATGACGTCAGAAACCCACAGGATGCGTGTGCACTGCGTTCTGGCCCACTGAAAGTGTGATTAGTGTGTAGTGCAGTATGAAGCAGCTGGTGTCTGTATACAGAAAACATATAGCTGGTTATTTTGCCTTCAGTGGTTGATTTCCTGCTAATTTGAATATTATCCTGTGACTGTGGTGCTCCTACCTTTTTTGGTGAGCAAGCAACATGATTATACAGTATAGATTTTTCCAAGTTTACTCATGTAAAGTTAAGTTTATACTCGAGTTCTTGTTAGCATCATTACTTAAGTATTGTAGCACTACTCAGACATATGTTCTTAGCTTAAGTAACGTTAGTGTACAGGTTCATGCACTATGTCTTCCATGACCAGGAACAGACATGAGTGGAAGAATTTTTCTCAAAAAAGGACAACAGTGACATGCTGTACAAGATATGCAGTTAAACTTGAATATCACAGCGTCATTAGTAACTAACAATAGTTAACCACATGTGGGAGAAAATGCAGACAGATGATTGGCTGTATTTCATCATAGCGTTCGGTAGCCCTGTTAGCAGACGGTACCAGATGGTACCAGAGTGGAGAAGATCAGTCTTCCAATAACGAAAATGGAGACTGGAGACATGCTCCCATTCAGTTCAGTGAAAGCCTTCTGGAGGCTGATGGTGTTTGTTGAGCGTATAAGCCTCCCTTATGATGACAACTACAAGAGTGGGGTAAAAATGTATGAGGAAGGTGCAGCAGCAGGGCTTTTCTGCAAAGTGTTGGAGTGACTGTTATAGACTCATGGACAAGTCTCACCACAGAATCATACGTTACCGTCATTTGTCATTTTATTCACAACTGGAACTGAAGGCCGCTGTCCTTCAGACAACTTTGTTTGATCCTTTCAGCATGTGTTACACAATTTCCATGCATGTTCTTTTTCACAACACGCTGTAACCTTGACATAAGGAGTGGAGTGTAGGGGATTAGAAGGCCAGTTGTAAAACTTGAGCAGAGACCATTAAGAGCTGTAAAAGGAATTAATAAAATCTTCTCATCAATCTTAAACGTAGTGGCAGCCAATGTAAAGGTGCTAATACAGGTGTAATGCGCGCAAATGTCTTGGTTCCTGAGAGAAGCCGAACAGCTGAGTGCTGCAAAAGTTTGATTCAGAGATGTAAAAAAAAGACTGTAACAATAATCCAGCTGTGAAGAAATCAAAGCCTGTAAAATCGGCTCTGTCTTTAGAACTTAAAAAGGATCCTAGCTCTGATGTTTCTGTGAATAAAAACATGACTGTACAGGTTTAGCGGTCTGATGTTCACAAATTGCTGTCAAACCAGATGCCAAGGTTCCCTGCAACAGGCTTAATGTGGTCCACTAGGAACCCAGCAGGAGGCAGGATTTGTGAAGCCATCTGCCGAGACCCGATAACAAGGATTTCAGTTTTACTGGAATTAAAGTGAAGAAATTTACAGTCATCAAGAACACGCTTCTCTATGCAGGCCTAACCCTGATGCTGGGTCGTTTCTCATTATTTGCCTGACTGTTTTGGCCAAAATGAAAGTAAAAATTAATCTTAATCTACTTCTCCCTCTAACTCTCTCTTTAAATCTCTTATAATCTCTCCCTCTGTCTTTTCTCTTACTCTTTCTTCCGCTGTCGTCCTTTCTCACTTTCTCTGGATTCATTTAAAAAGTGCTTTACTGGCACAAAAGTCACCACAATATTGTCCCAGCATAAAAAATATGACACAAACAATCATACAACACATCAATCCATATACAGTAAATAAATAATCAGATTAAACATTTCATTAGAGGACACAAAATCAAAAATAATGAAAAAATGAAAACCCAAAACTAAAATAGAAAATGAGGAAATAGTCAAAAAGTAAGCAAGTATGTGTCTGTGCATAGATATCCATTGTTATTGAGATCTTTATTAGATCAAAAGTGATTATCAGTCTATGTACAAATTTCACACAGGAGGATGTGAAGGAGAAATACATGAAATTGCAGAGTGTGAGGAGACAGGGTCACCTTTTAGCTTGTGACACAGATGGACATAATTGCTGTATCTCTGCTGCTCATTCTCCCAGGATGTGTTTCATTAAAGTGTGCCGAGCTAGAAAATGAAAATCCTTATTGGATCTCATCTTTGGTGAGAACTCTGTCCTGATTTCGTCATACCTGCTGCAGTGAAGGAGGAAGTGGGACTCTGTCTCAACCTGAATCTGAGTGGACAGAGCTCACACAGTCTGTCCCCTCAGTGATCACAGTCTATGTTCTGGTCACCGGGAATACTGTGCACATATGTTAATGTTTGTCTGAGCAGGAGCAGTTTGAGATTTTATGGCGCGACATCATGTCAAAATTGAACTTGGCCTAATTATGAGCATGTGCAGACCACGCCCTCTGACTAAAACTCTTTGCACACATCAAGATCAGCATCTTAAGGATATCTTGAGCAAAGAAAATGATGCAGATATAATCAACGGTTTGAGATTTAGCTCCTAAAGTGACAGCTACTGTTTCTACTGCCACCATCCTCTTTATTGCATGGACTCTGCTGCCTGACAGTATGTGTCAGAAATTAATCACAGTCTGAATCACAGTCCAGTTAATTTTTTTCCCATATAGGAAATACACTGTACTATACATTTACAAGAATGCAATGTACTCAACTATGGGAACATAAAAAGAAAAAGTATTTATTAACCATTATGAAGGTGAAATGTTTGATACATCGGCTCTAATGTGGGGGGTTTATGGCTTTGCAGCTCCGGTGGAAAACGGCGACACAGAGATGTGCACAGAGGAGCCGTGGGACCAGAAAGACTCGGAGCCAAATCAAGAGGAGCCCGGCGGGGACAGGGGACCAGCGGTGCAAGCGTCAACGGAGAAAGCTGCTCCTGAGATAGAGGAGGAGGAGGAAGTGCCAGTGCCCAAGGTTCAGCCAGTACAGCCAGACGCCCCCAGGAAGGAACACATCAATGTTGTGTTCATCGGGCACGTAGGTCAGTGCTGATTAGATCATACTTCATTTCACGGGAGTGTGATTTTAGTTTAAGTAAGGCTGTACAATTTTCAACAAGTCAGGATGGGAGTGAACTGTGTACGGCGCATGACTGAAGGTCACGGTTTATGTCCTTACACTATAAGATCTGGTTTGCTGCACACAGACACGCTCAAAGTGAACCACAGCAGCAGGAAAGGATAAGTAAACAAATATTTATACCCTTACTTCCAGTTAAATCCTATCTAACACTGAGTTATAAATGATTGATGAATCCATGGCAATGAGCGGCGTTGGTATAAGTTGATAAAACAACAATCTAAGCATCAATATCATCCACATACTGTGAAGAAGCGTTAACAGCTGACATCTGTATTTGTTTCATCGTGGTAGAGATAAGCTGGTTGTGTTCATTCGTGTGTATTCCAGCCACAGAGTGTGTTGCGCTCTGTTGAGCTTCCAGACCGCTGCCATTTCACACAGGTGCAGGCGGGGAGAAAAAAAAGCCCTTAGCTGGGAAAGTCCGCTAGCAGCCCTGATCTCACTGTGCGAAAGCATGCAGTCGGCAGACCAAATTTCTGACATGCCGTGCCTGTATTTAACTAAGTGGCACTTCTGATGTCAAACTGGAGCACAAGTGCAAATACTGTGTCCTTAATGCCTTTCTGCCTAATTATGAGCATGAAACAGCACAGAGAGGAGGGTGTGAAGCAGCGTGCTGCGTCAGCCTCTCTCAACTCAACTGTCATCAGCAATGTCAAGTCAGTTTTATACTCGGTCGGATTTCACAAAGACATTACGCCTAAGGCAGCTGCTAAGTGTGGAGAGCACAAATGAATCTGGTATCCTATCAGTTAACACGATGATGTGCAGATTTGAGCGTGGTTCCCACTGTGAAAACATGGCACGCTTGTCAGCGCTTTGCTTTTGTCCAGTCATGTGCTCTAACCGGCACGGACACCACTTGAGATTTAAGCTCGCAGAAACTAAGAGTGAAGATTAGAGCTGTCACTTTGTGTCCAGAATTTAAACCTTCATTTGATCTCTGGGGGAACACTTCATACTTCAGCTGTAAGGAGCCCGTAGAACTCAAAAGAAGCAGCACAGCAGGACGTGTGAAGCAGTGTGCTCGCATCTCAACCTGGCCAGGCCATGATCTCTTGATCTCAGTGAACTACAAAGATGGAGGACGCCAGGACTTAACTTTTTTTATTCATTTTATAATACGTTATAGATTCCAGGGCCCAACTGATATGGATTTTTTGGGGCAGATGCCGATTATAAGGGGGGGAATCCGATTACCGATTAATCGGCCGATTTTTAAGTTTTATTATGAAGTTATAAATTAAATATATATACTGTAGATATCTACTGTATACTGTAGATATATATTTACACATTTCCAGTCCGGTCTCATCTGGAGACATGCAGCTGCCTCACTAAGAGAAGTAGCTCGATCATGTAATGTGTACTGTTGTTTATTCTACCGTTACTGACACGGCTAACAGTGTAGCAAGGCTATTAGCAGGTGGCTAACTCTAACTTTAGCTTGCATATTACACGGTGCCTCACCGTTAACTCGGCGTGACCGAGACCAGCAAAGCGGGGAACATCGTGAAGTGGGTTGAACTGAAACTTGTTGACTTATTGAGTATTTCACAAACTGGTTTATTTACCGTTGAGGTGGACCACTCTCCTCCGTGCGTCCCTGAGCTGTCTGCTTCAGATCCGTCACTCTGCTGTGCTGTGAGGTAGTTAGTGGATGAAGATTGTCATGAGGTCGCTGCGCCATCTACTGGATAAGTCGTGAAACTTTTCAAATGGCGAGTGAAAAAAATGAAAATCGGCGAGTTTTTGCCGATTACCGATTAGTCTCAAATGGGCTAAAATGGGCCTTAATAGATTCCCAATGCTCCTCCTATAACATGACAATACCAGACGAGTCTGTCTGAAAATAAACGCATTAAGGAAGTGAGGCAGTGAGACTTAAATAGTGGTCTAATTCAGATTTTCTGAAGTTCGTTTTCAGGAGAAAATTTATCCAAAAAATAAGCTCAGAAAAACTTTTAGATTGTGTTCACTTTTGCAGTCCAGTTGTTGTTCTTACTTCCTTTTATTTATTTTGCTTAATCACTCAAAATGAGGCAACTCCCTGCTATTTGGGTCATTGAAATACAGCCCTGCACTAATGTCAATATTTTTTTTCCTTCAGATGCTGGCAAATCCACTATTGGCGGACAAATAATGTGAGTTGACGTCTCCTCATTTAGGTCGACTACCTTTTCTTCATAAAAAGTGAATAAATGAGTTTGATTCATTTCTTCTACTCTTCCTCTTTAACAGGTATCTAACAGGCATGGTAGATAAGAGAACATTGGAAAAGTATGAGAGGGAAGCCAAGGAGAAGAACCGGGAAACCTGGTGAGTAGAGACTCAGCTGCATTGAAGTGAACAGGCTCTAAGTAAAGTCTGAATGTTTTTAAAGCATGTTTGTGTTAGCTAAGGTAATTTCAAGAAGATTAACTATTAGATTTAAACATTTGAAGTAATGTCTGTCTTTAGTAAACATCCTATTTCTCACTTGTTTTCCAAAGGTACCTGTCATGGGCTTTAGACACCAACCAAGAAGAGAGGGACAAAGGAAAGACGGTGGAGGTGGGAAGAGCCTACTTTGAGACCGACAAGAAGCACTTTACCATCCTCGATGCTCCGGGTCACAAAAGCTTCGTGCCTAATATGATCGGAGGCGCATCACAAGCAGACCTGGCTGTTCTGGTGAGTCCTTGAAATGTTGAGTGCTCTTAACACAAGAAATCAAGATGTTAGCTCTCCTGTCAAAAGTGCTCACCTCGTTTACATCTTTCCCCTCAGGTGATCTCTGCCAGGAAAGGGGAGTTTGAAACTGGTTTTGAAAAGGGCGGGCAAACACGAGAGCACGCCATGTTGGCCAAAACAGCCGGTGTCAAACACCTGATAGTTCTGGTGAACAAAATGGATGATCCGACAGTCAACTGGAGCCTGGAAAGGTAGTTAGACGAATAAGTGACAGTAGATTAAATTCCACGAATGATTTAGATTGACTTTTTTGATGTTTACATACTAACTTTCATTGAAACCCTCAGGTATGAAGAGTGTAAGGAGAAACTAGTGCCATTTTTGAAGAAGGTGGGCTTCAACCCAAAGAAAGACATTCACTTCATGCCGTGTTCTGGACTGACAGGAGCCAACCTGAAAGAGCCCACTGACATGTGCTCCTGGTACACGTAAGTCCTCTAAGTGGTCCCCAAGATAAAAGTGTCTGTTCTTGTTTACTGATCACCGCTAACTATTGTCTGTGTTTGTGTGATCTTGTTTCAGAGGTTTACCTTTCATTCCACATTTGGACAGTTTGCCAAATTTAAACAGATCAAGTGACGGACCAGTCAGATTGCCAATCGTAGACAAATACAAGGTAAGAATCTGGGATTTTACTCATGTTCAGATGGATTCAAGAATTATGAGTCCATGTTAGATAAATTTTTAAATTGGACTTTTTTAGATTTATAGACAGAAGCATTGAGGGGTTCATCCTTTCATCAAATGTAACAGATTCTTATAGTAAAACTGTTTTTCTCTTGTCTGGTCTGTAATCTTGATTTGATTCGTCTCTTCAGGACATGGGCACTGTCATTTTGGGCAAGCTGGAGTCTGGCTCCATCAGTAAAGCACAGCAGCTAGTCATGATGCCAAACAGGGTAAGGCTGGTCCTTTAACTCGAACCAATGAAGTTAAATTAGGATCCAAGTTACAAACCATCTGTTAATCATTCAAGGATGTGGCGTGGGCCTAATCCTGTCTTTGCTATCCCCTGTCCGTTTGTCATTTCCCATGTCTTTCTCTCTTCCGTCCCTCTTCATGTAGCATACTGTGGAGGTGTTGAGTCTCTTATCGGACGACGTGGAAACCGATGATGCCGGGCCAGGTGAAAACCTCAAACTGCGGCTGAAGGGCATCGAGGAGGAGGAGATCCTGCCCGGCTTTATCCTGTGTAACGCTGAGAACCTCTGCCACTCAGGGCGCACCTTCGACGCCCAGGTTAGGATTACACTGTGCTTCTTTATTTCAGTTCAAGAGCAACGGCCCATTGCATAGAATGTTTTATAATTGAACTACATTTCCCTGCGGCCTTAACCAGCTACCGTTTTTGCACTGCGGCTTGTATTCAGAGTGGAGGTGCAGCAGTTTGAACAACATTAACCCACTACATTTAATTCAGCAGGAGGATGTAATGTGTATATATACCTCAACTTAAGCTATCAGGAGGAGTTAACAGTATTAAGAAAACCATTTTAATAAGTTTGAGTAATATGACACCAGATCTGTGTGTTGACTTGCATATACAGCAATCACTAGATGCTCAAATTTGGCGTCATTTACCTACATGTACTGTTATTAGAGCTGAGATTTTTTTAAACTCTATCACACTCATCAAAGAAGTTCACTTTAAGTCTAATTTAAGTCAAATCCACATATCTCCTGCAATGTTGAACAACAAGATCCACTCTGGAAAGTCCTGGAAGGAGTTAAAAAAGTTTGATATTTAATTTGAAACCATTTTTTTGTTGTTGATAAAAATAATTTTCATTTTTGAGGTTTTGTAATCTTTTAGGAAAAAAAAGACCTTTGAGACATTTCGTAACCACCTTATATCAAGATTAACAAACAGTGAAAATGATTGTATCCACTTCCTCTAGGTCCAGAGAGCATGTTGGTTCACCACTCTCTACTGGTTTACAGTTTTTTGCTGTATTTGAACAAACTGACCTGGTTGCACTCGTCCTCAGCCAAAGCAGTAATCAGAGAAACTTCCTTGTGCTTTTTTCTCTGCAGATCGTCATCATTGAACATAAATCCATCATTTGTCCAGGTTACAACGCAGTCCTCCATATTCACACTTGCATTGAAGAAGTGCAAATTACGGTACAGCTTAAACTTAGTTCATACTTTCATCATTGAATATTTTGCACGATTGGTTTATGTTTATATTTCTTGTGTATGTTGAAATTCTTTTTCCGCTTTGTCCGCAGGCCTTAATCTGTCTTGTAGACAAGAAGTCAGGAGAGAAGAGTAAGACACGACCACGATTCGTCAAACAGGACCAGGTCTGCATTGCACGTTTGCGCACAGCAGGGACCATTTGCCTTGAAACCTTTAAAGACTTTCCCCAAATGGGACGGTTTACCTTGCGAGACGAAGGTAGGATTTCTCTACACATTTATGACTTCTTGTCTAATTATGTGCAGAGAGATAATGTTGTGTTTTGTGTCTCAGGTAAGACGATTGCCATTGGTAAGGTGCTAAAGCTGGTTGCTGAGCGGGACTGAAGAGGACTAAGCGAAGAGTCTTGGTGTGAAGAAACGGGCGATGACCTATCATGACCTGACCAGGGACGGTCAGCAGGAAGGGTGCATCCTGAAAAACACCTCTATTCTGCTCGCCGAAGATCAGCTCCAGAAAAAGAAAAAAAACTCATGTGACACAGAACCTGTTTTTAAGCAAATAACAAAGAGTCCACACGAGTCAGCTTTCTCATATTGAGAGCTCTGCTATGCCATTTTTTGGGGTTATCCCTAATCCCCACTTCCCTCCTCTTATCTACTCGTCATGACATGAAAATTTTGTCTCCTGCATTTTTTTATTCCATTCCTAAATGACAATGACTAATTGCAGAAGTTGTATCTGTTGATGGATGTGGAGCAGAGTTTGCTTTAAACATAGAAAATGATTTTCTAAGGTAAATTCTAATAGAAGTTGTATGAAAGGACCGAAGCAGTTGGAACCAAATTTTTACTCGGGTGTACATGTCTCCCTTTGCTCTGGTTTCTCGTTTGGCGTTCTGGCAGTGAGCTTGAGCATTTTCAATTGTTATATAAGTAAACAACTATGACAATAAAAGCTTAATTGGGAAAGCAAGGTTCGATCATTTTGAGGAAGGCATTCGAGTGATTTCATATTTTTAAATTAGGGTCTATTACAGGCTGGACATTTTTGTGTTAGAGTTTACTATTCACAATCTGTTCAGGTGAAACTCCCGACAAGTCATTGTCAGGTTTTTTGTTTTTTTTCAATTTCAGCATTCCAGGAAATGTTGTTGAACAATTTTACTCTAAGATTACTGTTCCAAAAATAAAAATATTTTACTTCTGAAAGTTTATTCCAAAGTGAGTTTCTGTCACGTGGTCATTTGAACGAAAGATTAGGCAATGTTCAAGAGGGATGGGATCGCTCCTACACTGCTCAGAGAAATAAGGGGAACACTTAAATCACACCCTGGATCTGGATGAATGAAATATTTTTTGAGAACGATCATTAGAAACAGAAATCATCAACCCGATTCCAGGACCAGCATCAACTCCAACATGAGACTGGGCTTTATATGCCAGAAGAAATCCAGAGCCCACTGCACCAGCATGTGATCCTGTAATTGGTCCGAGGATCTCATCCCAGTACCTACCAGAGTCAGGATACCCCTGGTTAGCACGTTGAGGAAATGCCTCTCCAGACCATCACTGAGCCACCAACAAACAGTTCATGTTGGAGGATTTTGCGGACAGTTCTCCAGACTCTCGTTCATCCGTGTGAACCTGCTCTATATGAAGAAAACAGGGTGCCAATGTCCAATCTGCAGATTCTGGTGTGCTCTGGCAAATGCAAACCTCTCTTGTGGACTTCTATCCTCATGCCACCCTCATAGAGTCTGTTTCAGACAGTCAAAAACATGCACATGAGTTGCCTGCTAGAGGCCTGGCAGTGCTCCTCCTGTTCCTCCTTGCACAAAGGAGCAGATAGCAGTCCAGCTGCAGGGATTGTCGCTCTAGTGAAGATTTTTTAAACACTTTCTTATGTTGAACTTTTTAATCTGTGTCCCAATCCTGAGGCTGCAGCCTTTAAAATTGCATTTAAAGACCAAATACATCAGCGGGAAATCCCACTTTTTATTTTCATTTTCCGTAAATACTCCAACAATATCATCATGTTTTATACTCATGTTAATTGTGAGTTAAAAATCTTATGTGTTTTAAAGGATTTTCCTCATTTATCTTATGATTAATAATGTAATGATCAAACCTTAAATATCTTTATATTCAAAGTTTTCAGAATTGGCCTGCCAATATTTAATAGATAGATTAGATAGATATTGTGATAAAGTAATTTTGTTTTTATAGAATAACCCACTTGGATGCATTATATTCACGTGTTGTATTACGTTTACTTGACCTCTAAACTCTGCATGCAGTTTTGAAAGCTCCTGTGAGGAACTTTTTACAGTTTTGGTGCCCCCTTGTGGACAAACTAGTCTTCGCTTCTCTTGTCCTTGACATACTTCAGGAGTGTCTTATGACATTTGTCTCTTAAGTTTACCCTTTATTGTGAACATTAATGAAGAAAACACAAGTACGGTTGTTTCTTCAGCTGCTCAACCGACACCCACAACCATGCACCAGGTTCAGGCATTAAAAATAACAGTAAAAATATCAGTCATCCCTGTCATTAGTGGTCTTGATGGGTCTTGTATATCATAGAAAGGCATTTATATGAACTTCTTTCTGTTTTTATGTCAACAAACTCCTCACATGAGTTTTGAAATAATACGGTTTAGGCACTCTTATATAGTAGGCCTAATTTAATAAACATATAAGGTTTATATAAATGTTCACATTAGTTTTACTCACTCAAACCCTGAACTCCCTTTATTTACACTGACTCAACAGAGAAGAACAAACCTTTCCTTCAAACTTTGAACTTAAAGAAAAACAATCACATGTTTAATTAATAGCTAATTTGATAAACCTTCTATGAGGGCCCCTTTAGTTTATTTTTTATTTGGTATCTGTTAGAAAAGTGAGTTAATGGTTAAAATCAAGGACAGGGACATGAGGTAATTATTCCTTTAAAAGGAAGTGCAACTCAATTTCTCATCTCTGCATATGAGCAGTAGGAGGAAACAACCTTCCAGGCCAGGTAAGCTCGAGTTTCAGCCCCTCCTTCAGTGGGCACCACGCCCCACCTCTGAGAGTCAGGGGCAGGAGACCTGTGCGCCTGAGCGCCTCACCTTACAGCCATTCAGATGATCCACACAGCAGCAGCAGCAGCAGGAAGAAGACACCTGTGGCAAGGCTGTTGATGGTTCTTTGAGGACACTCAGTCTAGGCTTTCTAATGTTGATATGGACCCACCCTACAGGGGTTTGGGTCGCTGTGTGTACTGTTTCTGGCTCGCAGTATCTTTTGACATTGTAGGACTCGCCATCCTGCTGATAGGAGTGTTTGCGGATGTGTTTTTTTATGATTTGCTCATCTATGCGGGGGCCATCGTCATCTTCCTCAGCCTCATCTGGTGGGTTTTCTGGTACTCGGGTAACATCGAGGTGCCTCCGGCAGAGTTGGAGGATGATGTCGGGTTGTTGAAGAAGAACAAGGGTGGTGGTGTGAGCGCCATCAGCGGCGCGGTGAGACGCTTCTCCAGCCGCGTGTCCAACAGCATTAGGAGCTCGTTCCGTGGAAACGGAGGGCCGCCCGCGTCCCGCACGGCCCGGGCGCAGAGGTCAGCAGGCAGGCAGACAGTGGCCTCCCAGGCGGAGCAGACGGTGGTTACCATGACAACGATGACACTGCAAGAGGATACCCCTCACACCATCTCAGGACCTGGCTGTGCTGTGGGAATGCAGCATGCCACGACAGAGACTTTACCCACATAGTGTGACCCGTCCACAGGTGAGACCCCACTCATAGAATAAAATGCAGCCATTTTGAGGCTCATATCAGTCCTTAGAGGAAAATTAAGAGTGTTTGTGTGTCACTGAAACAATACTGTTAACATTCCCATACACTTTTAAAAAAACAATTCAGTTTAATATTTCCTCACCAAGCCAATACAATGGCTGAACATATGACATTATAGCTTAATTTAACTAAATACTAACAGAGTTTCTCCAATCATAGTTTTGTTTACTTTGAAATTAAATAATTTCCTTTTTTATTTTGGGAGATTAACACCAAGAAATCAAAGTCCTGTTTGAAGTTTTTTAGTTTAAAAGCAATAAATATGATTCTGTTACATTGATCATTTATATTTAAAATCAAATTCAAGAATCTGAAATATGAGGATTGAAGGGATATTCTGGTGTAAATTTAATTTAGGGTCAAACACACCTTAACACCGAGTTAGACACCCCCTCGAAAGACGAATGTTGCAGACCATTTGCTTCTCTAGTTATACCAACTTTAGTAACGACCGCACAATAGCAATACACAGCAGTCTGAGGAGTCTTAAACAAACCTCAACCAAAATGCCACTCTATAGCCACAAATAATGCTCAGAACAGCACCTAACTTCATCAACAGTACATATAGGGTCCCAGCCATAGCACTAGCCACCAAACATCTTTTTAACTTTGCCTGATTTCTTTAGCAAAGAGACTAAACACAACTCACCTACTCTCTTCCAGCAGCCGCTTGTTTGTATGGAGACCTCGGGCTAGTCCATTATGTACTACAGTGGGGTGACACAGCTCAAGGAAGAACATTTATGATCATTTCTTTATCATCTCCTTGAAGTAATAATCACCATATTAATCATTTTGTACTGCAGACGCGGTAGTTCTGCCTTAGTGTCTCGGTCTGATTGTATTTCCATGAAGAATTGATCATAAATGTTCTTCCTTGAGCTGCGTCACCCCACAGCAGTCGATGAATTTGCCCAGAGGTCTCCGTACAAACAAGTGGCTGCTGGAAGAGAGTAGGTGAGTTGTGTTTAGTCTCTTTCCTAAAGAAATCAGGCAAAGTTAAAAAGATGTTTGGTGGCTAGTGCTATGGCTGGGACCCTTTATGTACTGTTGATGAAGTTAGGTGCTGTTCTGAGCATTATTTGTGGCTATAGAGTGGCTTTTTGGTTGAGGTTTGTTTATGGATCCTCAGACTGTTCTGTATTGCTATCGTGCGGTCGTTACTAAAGTTGGTGTAACTAGAGAAGCAAGCGGTTGGCCAAATTCATCTCTCAAGGGGGTGTCTAACTCGGTGTTACTGTGTGTTTGACCCTAAATTAATTTTACGCCGGAATATCCCTTTAAGCTTCACTGAGGATGTCCCCCCCTGTATTTGTACACCACGTTTCAGAGCTTGATTGTGTTTCATGCTTAACTCAGAGAGCTATCTGTGGCAATGGTGGTAAAAATTCTTATCAGTGGGTAAATGATTCACCACAGACAGCGCCCACTACAAAACAAGCTCTCTGTTTAAACAATACCAGTCTCACATGCAACTTCCTTCAAACCTCATTATCCCCAAACTGAAAATATCAGAAAAAAAAACATGCCTCTTGAATTTCTCTTCATGTTCTTTGTTTGTCACCGGTCCTCCCTTCAAATTATTTGGTGAAGCAAACCTCCAGAAACTGATAACACCTGATATCACCAAACAGTGGGGACAACCAGATCATGTACTTTTATTGCTACGGTGCATTTTAACAGCAACTGCTGCAGTTCAACAGCCAATGAGAATGTCCAGGTTACTGAGATGGGTCAGAGGTGCAAGTTGTATGAAACACAGAAGTAAAATACAGTCTGTGTTCTCAGACTAAACTTATAATCCAGTACAACGCCCTGAGCTGAATCACTGGCTCTAAGAAGCAGCTGCTTTTAAAGTCCTCATTTATTATAATTCTGTGGTTTTGGCTTGTAGCTCATGGAAATTCAGTGTCTCACATGAGTAGAGTCATTCCTGAAATCAATCAAACTAAAGGTTTAAATATACAGGCACATCCCAGTCTGTAAGAGTATTGTGTAAAACAGCATAGTCCGTCAGATATATATATATATATATATATATATATATATATATATATATATATATATATATATATATATATATATATATATATATATATATATATATATATATATTTATATATATATTTATATATGTATTTTTAATGAACAGTTTACATATTGAAAAATAACATTTCTGTCCCTAATTATCATTAAAATTAAGGTATTTATGCTCCCAAAATCTGGTCTCCTTGAACAGCCCAGGTTAAACTCAGCTATCTGATATGTCAACACAATATAATCCATTAATCTTCAAACATCAAAATCAGTCATTTCAGAGATTTATTATGTGTATGGTGGTTCAAAGTCCACTTTAAGACTGCCTGCAGTGGTTTGAAGGGAAAAGAAAGAGTGAGGCCAACAGGGTGGAGTCTTATAGACTTGGTGGGTGTGGTCCAGGCAGGTTGAGATGCATGTAACAGACCTGTGATTTAACACATATTCTAGACTCCTCGTGTGCAATTTACACTATTTCAACCATTTTCTATCATGGCCCATGGTCCCAAAATTTAGAGATTACACGAGGATAAGCCACAGAGAGGACTGGCTGTTCACTGAGTGCTGGACCGAATCAAATTCATGGAAAGTTCACTGGAAGGGGAGAGTTTGGGAGGAAAAAGTGCACAAGCAACAGAGATGACTAAAGCCTTGAAGAGATTGTCAAAAAAAGCAGATTCAAAGACTTTGGTGAGCTCCGCAGGAGTGGACTGAGGCTGGTGTTAGTGTATCAAAAGCTAAGAATCTGAAGTGAGGGAGGCACAGAATCCGATAAGTGGGATATTTGTCAAGAGGGAGATGAGAAACACCTGACCAAAAAATCCAGACCAGCTGAAGGCCGCTATCAAAGCAGCCTGGGCTTCAATAATGTCTCAGCGGAGTAGAGATGCAGGAATTCACGGTAAAGGAGCCAACTGACGACTGAGGTGTAAAAAACAGAGTGAACTTTCCTGTCTCTAATCCTTTCAAGAAATATATATTCATGTTTGGATAATCTTGAATGGTTCTCTGATTTTTATGAGCTATAGGCAAAGTGATGAAATTTAGGTATTTCATTTTGCATGCCACAAATGAAAAAAAAAATCCACCTTTTTAATTTAATATCCTAATTAAAATTAAATGAAACTCTAAAATAAAAATCCTGAAGCCTTGGTTCAACTGTAGTAAAGCAGTAATTTTTCCTTTCATGCTCCTGCCCCTGTAAACCTCAAACAGTCTGATTGATTTCAGGCACAGCTTGTAATTTTTTACTGATTCTAAATGAATTCCCAACAAATTTAGACTGATGTCTGATCACAGCCCAGTTTTACCACTGTAAAAACTTTACATACTGAAATATAACTATTGTTGGCACTCCTCCTCGCTTTTTCACTCATTGACCAAGCCATGAAAGAGTCCATGAACAGTCCATGCCTCAGTGAATTCCTGGAAACTAGTTATACAGGGGGAACATTGGATTTCACACATGATGGGAAATTCCAAGATAGTTCTTAGAAGACACATTGAAAGTAAAGGTAAAAAATCGGATAAAAGTGAACTTGCCTAACTTTTTCAATGTAAGCCAAAGAAAAACATTTCATAATTCTGTAAAATGCAAGTACAGTTTGGAAGAAGTAAATCTGTTTGTCTTTAATAAACATCATAAGACTATGTGAATGGTTGAATTAATCATGATCATTCTTTCTTTCTGATCAGATCCTGTAAGACTCTACGTTCTATGTCCAGCCTCATCTGCAAGATCTCCACAGTCTACCTACTGAAGACCAGCTTTGCCAGAACTCTCTCAGACCTCAGTTTCTGCCTAAACCTGCCAGTTTCCAATAAACCTCATTGTACAAATATCTCAGTTGTCCTGTCTGCTTTTGAGTACTTCAAAATTACAAATCTTAAGAGATAATTAAAAAAATTATAAAATATATTTTCAATCAATTTTCTGTTTTGATTTGTAAGAGTTGATGAGAAAAACTAGGCAGTAATTGTAAAAGTCATGGGGTCACTTCCCTTATGAGGTTAGGGGGATTGCGCAAGCTGAGAGAGAGATTGAGTAAGTCTCAAAGTAAGTACAGCAAAACCTGAATTTAGTCTCAGTGCCATTCATCCCAGCTTTGAAATCATCTTTCGATTGATGCTGAACTTCAACATGTATAATAAAATAAGTTACTGAGATAGGAAGCAACTGCCATAAATTACAGTGTTGACAGTGTCCATTTTGTTGAGCAGCATGAAGCCATGGAGCGATCAATACCAGCAGTATGCTTCCTTTGTGTAACTAAAGTTGACAGCCAGTCCTAGTGACCTTTGGAATCATTTGGCTTTATTTCAGTGTTATTTCCCGTACCTGTGGCTGTACCTGTGGCTGCGCTCCACTTTCACTCTAACTGCCTTTAGTTTTGTGTGTATAAGGAGGTCCAATACAAAGTCCAGGTAACACAATGTTGGATGGAGAAAAACAATTTAATAACAACAATTTAAAATACATATGATAAAAGTTAGAAATTTGGTTCAGGCGGAGGGATAAAAAGTATTTGATATTCAGAGAGGATTTGATAATTAGTTAATTAGTTAACGCTCATGTCATGATGTATAAAACAAATTTAAAATGATCTTTTTGGTCTGAACACAATTCTAATAAAATTTATGACAGACTAAATTCACTTTCAAGAGTGAAAAATGTTTTTTTTTTATTTTTTATAAATGTCTAACCCCTTCTTAACAGACTCCATGAATTGATGCCCATCTTCTAAAAATTTGGTCACATCTTCAATTTCTTTTGCCACTTTCAAGCAACAGGGGGTGGCTCAACTTACCCTTTGACTCAACTTACCCCACTCTCCCCTACCAAAACTTCCTCACAGGAGCTTTAAACAATGAAACCAATTTGTACTTCCTGTATCAAACTTTACATTCCAGAAAGATAAAAACCTTTTTATTACTATTTAGTTCAATTTATCAACCAAATATTACAAAAAGAAACTACTGTTCACTTCCCCTTGACAACAAGGTGCCACATATTCCGCGTGTAGACTGGAGGCCAACCGGAACTCTCTACATTTGTAAACGGAACGTAGGAAGGTTTTAAGTGTGGCACTCGCACATCATCTTACTTCCGTAAAAACACCGACCCTCTTCCGTCATCAAAATGGATCGCACATGTTCATCATGGTGTGGTTTCAATTTTATTTTCACAACATTGTGATCAAGTCACAAAATCCTAAACTAACTTTGAGCGGTATTTTGTATTTTCCGGTGCCCTGACTTCAGCGCTTACATTAACAACATCGTACCTTTCTGCTTCTTGGATTGTATATCTGAACGCGAGGACTTTAATATCGTTTCAAAACAAAAAACTAGAGTTACTTCCTCTGTTTGTGGAGTCAAGTATGGAGACGGATAGTCGAGACTTTTTGAACAGCCCCCCCGTGAAGACTGTCAGGTTTGGAGGCAGTGTGGCAGAAACTCTGCTGAAATACAAACAGGTGAGAGTCAGTCACAGTTAAACCTATTTTATTTGTTATCACACGGTCACACTAAAGTTTAAAACACTGATATTGTTAGCTGTTAAAATTAAAACGTCCCTGGTACTTGTATTTTACACGTAAACATGAAATTGCTCACAGCATTTCGACCTAATCCTGTTTTTGTTATTGTTTTTAGGGAGACTCGAGTGACTATGAACTGTTAAAACACCAGCTGGCTGATCCTGAAATAAAGGTAAAGTCATATATACGTGTTTAGGTGATCTCAGATATGTTTCAAAGTGGCATAATCAAGTTGTGTTTACTGAGTTTCCTCCTCTGACAGGATGCCCAGATCATCAACTGGCTACAGGAGTTTCGCAGCTGTATAACCCAACTAAACAAAGATCATGAGCAGCTCATCTACACAGTCTTGGTAAGGTTAAAACGTGTATTCGCCAACTCTCCAGAGTCAATCGATCAGTTAACAATAATAGAGACATGTACTGTGATTGATAAGCATGGTTGTGAACTGAGTCGATGAATCAAAGATTGTGGGGCAACATGTCACATGTTCACACTCGCTATTTGATTGCTTATAACTCTGCACTGACACAAGTTATGAAAATGACATGAATACGAAATATATACCTGAGATTTTGGTCTTTTATCTGGTACACAATTTGTTTATATAACATGTATTGATTGCAAGAAATATGTAAAAGTGTAAAAAGTGTGACAACAAGCCCTAGTCTTCCATAATGTAGTGGTTCAGAAATGCAGTTGCTTCATCTTTTGTTTCAGGTGTTTAGAAAAATAATTCCAAAACATGATTTTAATCAGTAGTTCAGCCTCGTCCTGAAATATCTGTAAACTCAAAATATGCATTTATGTTAAAACTACTCTCTCTTTTTCAGCGGCTTCCTTGGGTTGGTCGGAGTCAGGCTGTTGTGGAGGAGTACATGGTCTTTCTAAGTAACCTTGTGTCTGCACAGACCGTCTATCTGTGTGCTTGTCTCAAAATGGTTGTCTCCCACTTCACTCCAAGTAGGTTCTCTTGATTGTTGGTGAAAACCATAAAAAGTCATACCAGGTTTTTAAGCCAGATGCTGGCTATCTCAGCAGAAGTTGCCAGTTTTTACTTGTTGATGTTAAATATCTGTTGGGATTTTATCCAAAGAGATAAATTGTTAAATGGCCTTGTAATGTTTTTATCTTATTTCAACATCAGTGACTCATGGAGAAATATCATATGTGTTTTCAGAGAGAGTGAAAATCTGTGAAGGAGACATCGATATCTCGGATTCAGATGACGAAGATGAAAGTAGGTGTCATTGATCAAATTCCTGGTTTTTGTTTGCAAGTCCACGTTCACTGACATATTCTTTGTGAACTGATAAACCTGACTGTGCCTCTGATTTTTTAAGACCTCCCAAGAAACTTCCTTCAGTGTCACCAGGCTCTGCAGCTTATCGCCAGATATGTTCCATCGTAAGTCCCTGACTTTTTTTTTCTTCTTTTATTTTTAGGTCTGAAATGAACTATCCTCACGCCAGACCTATTTGTAAAGTTAAATACTGTCACAGCATGTCTTTTAAGAGCGTTTTACAGAGTAACTCTGAATTCTGAATATGGATTTCTGTGTTTGTCGTTTTTAGCACAAGTCGCTTTCTAATGCCCATTTTACAAGACAAATTCCCCTTTGTACAGAAATCCTCAAGAACACTGGTAAGAAACACTGGATTTTCCTACAATCACTGATTTTTACTTCTCACAAATCAGGCACATTATAGTGTACATCATTTGCACAATAGTACTCTGTTTTTAAATGTTTTTTTTTTTCACTCTTTACAGGAGTGTTATGTGCACAACCTCTTGAGGGTGACTGTTTACATACCATCAATTCGACGAGACGTACTGGAGTTGATCATCAGCAAGATGCTGAAGCTGGATGTAAGTGTTTAGACTCGAGTTATTCTACTGAGATCCAAATGATTTATGTGGTAAGATGTGAAAAAGCTGAGGTTCTGTTTAGCAAATGTTCAGGAGCCCTGTACAGATCATAATGTTAGAGGTATGGTGAATGTTAATAAGGATATTATCATGACGATGATAGGCTGATCATGTAGTTATATCAGTAGAAGTCCACTGGTACATTATTTGAAAGAACAACTCTGTCATCCAAACCTGAGTAAACCTGTACGTTACACTTTTTTAGAAAGGAAACTTCTTATCAGCAGTTTGGCTTTAAAGTAGATGAAAAAATACAACAGGACTAAAAGGTAAATGGATAAATGGAATAGAAAGAAACATCGTCAGAAAGAAAGACAGAGGAAAGAAACTTTTGCACTTACCAGAGAGAAGAAGAGATCCAAAGTTACCTGCTGGTGCAGACCCAGGTAGCTACTGCTGCCACGAGCGGGAATGTAACAACTGTACTTCAAACTTCAGGACCTGTTTCATCCTTAAAGGGTCACATCATGTCTCTTAATTACGTTATTAAACATTCGTTACCTTCTTCACTGGAATAGTATAGTCTGTGTTTGCCTTTCTGTCTCTGACGGTGTGGAATATTTCAGGTCGGTGCGTCCCGCTCTGACATTGAGGAAGCAGAAGAAAACGCCGTGCAGCAGCAAGACAAACTGGATGAAGAGGGACTGTTTGACATGGTAGTTTGGTTGTTCATGCACACTCATGTTTTCTTTGCTTCTCTGCTTTATGTGAGGGATGTTGTATATTGAGTGGGTTGTTAGAGAAAACTCGGTGATCAGGCCTCCCTCATAAAGCAGAAGGGTCCTGTTTTCACCCTGTAAATGTTTGTTTTGATCACAGTTCAAGCTACATCAATAGTGAAGTGACCTTTGTAGATGTCTTCTTGTGTGTCTTCATCCAGTCCACTCTCTCTCTCTCTCTCTCTCTCTCTCTCTCTCTCTCTCTCTCTCTCTCTCTCTCTCTCTCTTTCTCTCTGTTTTTCAGGATGAGGATATGTCAGAAGATCCCCCCATCAGGACAGCCACCACGGCCCATCCAGTGGCTGAGAGGCTGGACAGTCTCATGTTGGTTCTGTTAGCTTACGTCAAAGACATCTGCACTGCCAATGGTAGCTGAATAACTGCCTAAACATAATACTTTGTTTACTTTAGAGCTTTTGTACTCTTGTATACACTGTTGGTTCACTGTATTATCCTTACTTTTGTTTGTTATTTTCAGGCTGTCCTTCAGTGGAAAGCATCAGAGAGCTGTACAAAGATCTCTTAAATGTGTTCGACAAAGTCATTCTGCCGACACACTCCTCCTGCCACGTCCAGTACATTCTGTTTTACCTCTGCAGTTTCAGATTGGTCAGTACTTTTTTCATCTTTTTTTTATTGTCATGAAAATAGCACCAATCATTTAGCTACGACCTTTCCAAAATCAGTTCAGCTGAGTTAGGTCGGATGTCAGACATAAGCATCTGTCCAGAGACTTTGTTAGAGACTAAAGTTGAGCTAAAAGAGAGTAAATATCTGAATAAAGTTCAGACCTTTAAAATGAATCTAACAACACGTCGGTAACTCTCTGCACTGTCTGTCATCTAGACCTTGGCTGAGGCCTTCCTGGATCACCTTTGGAAAATCCTGCGTAGCCCATCTCAGGCTGCGGTTCTCCGCCAGGCTGCTGCTGGATACATGGGGAGTTTTCTGGGCCGAGCAAAGTTTGTCCCAGTGCTGTGAGTTCTGTGTTTTAATTGATCAAGAATTATTCTCTCCGAATGAACAGAGATACAGAAAACCAGCGTACCCCCTGTATTTGCCTCCACCTTCCACCTTTGTGCTGTGACAATCCAGAGATAAAATAAGCTTATATAGTGATTTTTTTTTTACCTTTTAAGTTTATTCTTCTGTGACTGTGTTTATCCTGCTGCAGCACCGTGCGAGCGTGTTTGGATCTGCTTCTTTCCTTGATCCATCGCTACATCGACAGCCAGGATAACAGTGGCAAACAAGCCTGCTGTGACATCGGTCTGCACGGACCCTTCTACACCGCATGTCAGGCGGTCTTCTACACGATCATTTTCAGGCACAGAGCCATTCTGGAGGGAAACATGAAGGAAGGTACAAACTCTAAACACTCTCATCTTACCACCTAGAACGGTCCGCATCAGAAAGCCTGTGTCTGATGCAAGTTTGACTTCTACAAATTAAACAAACTAAAAATCAAATTCACTCTTTTTCTTCTTTTGCTAGGTCTGGGGTACCTCCAAAGTCTGAACCTGGAGCGGGTGGTGATGTGTCAGCTGAACCCTCTTAAAGTTTGCCTGCCTGCAGTCACACGCATGTTTGCTGCCATCACGAGGTAACACACTATCTGATCTGAAACATAGAATAGAAACATAATTGTTCATTCGTGGTTCATTTCTTTATTTGTTGCACATCTACAACATCATGTATGCCTGGAAGAATTGAAAAAATATGGGTTAAATGAGGTTAGTGCTGTCACTGTGGATTCATGGCAGTTGTGTGTCTGTTGCAGGAAGTATCAGATTGTGTTCTGCTACACCATCATAGAGAGGAACAACCGGCATATGCTTCCAGTGGTGCGCAGCTCTGCAGGGGGAGACAGTGTCACCACTAACACCAACCCTTTAGACAGCTTCTTCCCCTTTGACCCATACTTGCTCCGGAGGTAAACCTGCTCTCATCGTTTTTTTTGGGAAATACATGTTTTTTTTGCTCTTTCCCCCCACCAACTGCACAGCTGTAAATGTAATAAAACTACATGCAACCACAATCTGTGATTTAAAGAAAAATGAATATAGCCACTGCTGAAAATCGTGTGTTGTAAACTGCATGAACGCAGCTCAACAAACAGTATCTCAACTCTCTGTGGATTTTCTCGTGTTTGTGGGTGTAAAAAGATCCGGTCAGCTGATCGAGCCGTTGTACCAGGTCTGGGAGGAGTTGGCAGACACAGACCTGCCTCCCAAAGGTACAAGCATTCAGGTAAGATGGATGCTCCACCCAAAGAATATGTAAATTCTGTACAGATGTAAATATGACTCATGTACCTATCTTTTTTTTTTAACTCAAAGTTTCTTTATCTTTTAATTTTTCTCTTTTTGTATCGACACTATGCTGCTGTAAATTTGGAATTTCCCCCAGTGGGACTATTAAAGGAACATCTTATCTTATCTCTTATCTTATAAGCATTTACAGTGTTAAATCCAGTGAAGTACAGACCCTTTCATAGCTGTTAAAAGTTAACCATTCAGTCCAGATATCCATTGAAGCTCGGGCTTTTGTATCGTCTCTGCTACATCTTTATAAAAGTCCCTTTGCCAGGTTTGCAGAGGTTTTAAGGCTGCAGAGGGTTCAGCTGCTTGTGTTTTGACTAAGTCATGAAAATATGATCACATTACTCCAGTCGCGGCTGAAGCAGACTCTAAAATAATAGATCAGACAGAAGACTGTCAGCGAGCGGGCATACTGGTTCTGTGTAGTGATGTGATGACTTGGTAAAGAACAGACATGTTTGGTCAAAGCAAAACTCAAGACCAACATGCTTGTTGTTGTGTATTTGTAATAACACATGTATCATTACTCTTAACTATTTTAGAGTTGCTACATGATCATTAGTCTGAGCTTGTGCTGATTTTGTTTCTCAGGGCTCAAAGGAAGACGATGACGACTTCCTCAGTGAGGGCACTCCCAATACAGATGGTTTGGTAGGAATGACACCGAGCTCCTACGACTCCAACCTCTGCAGCCCGAGCGGCATAGGTTCACCTCCAATCACTTTTCACTGACTTTACTCCTCTATCACATTAATCCTGGTGGATCACAGACCATCTTCTCTGTCAGATAAACTGATGTCCTGGCACGCACAGCCAGGGTGGGATGCTATCCCTGCAAAAGAAGCCACATGCGGACGGGAAGGGGTGGACTGAAAAGTGCAAAGACTTTGTAGGAAGTGGAATAAGAGCAGCAGTAACTTTGAGAGAGCAGTGAACTCCTGTGGATCAAAGACAATCAGAGCACATGTAAAAACATGGAAGTTTCTGAGACATAATGGAGAATCAGAAAAGCTGACTCAACCTGACTTAAGGCCAATCAAGCAACAGGCAGAGAGGTACAATCGATGTATGCATACAGCCCACCTGTCAGTCAAACCAGCCGCTCCTTTAATTATGTATAACTATATGTAGATAACTGTCAGTCTTTATTATGAAGCATTTTTTTTGCACTTTACCAAGTTGAGTTTTTCAGCCCCAAAAGTTGCTGCTTGAAGACAACACGCAGTAAGAACTTGTTTCCTCTTGAACCCGACTCCAAAAACTGATTTTAAGTCATATTGAAATACAAACTTACACCCAAAACAGAGAGTGTGTACATTTTGTCTACTATCTGGAACAAAAATCTCTCTCCCTTCTGTAATCGAAGCCTTAAACTTCACTTTTGGTCATGCTTATGTTTATGATTTTAATGGAAATATGGGGCATAATGTTGTTTGGTTTATTGTTAGTTAAAAATAAGTCCCTGTTGTTTGTGTTTGAAGCTACCTGGGATGTTAACTTGTTACTCCACATTAGTTTATCTGTCAACTCCGGCACATGAGGGAGGATTCTTGGTTTTTTGTCCCTCTTCTACACACAGTACCGCCTCCTTCTTCAGCTCTCTCGGCCTTTTAGTCTCATAAATAAACCTTTTTTTTGAGCATCTGCACTTACAAAGACAAACTCCTATCGTATAAAACTGTTTTATCAGCTTTCTTCAGCTCATCAGGGGCCTTAATTATTTAACATTTGCCAGTTTGTAGCTTCTCCCCTAGTGCCATCCTCCTATCCACATGTGATTACCTCTGGCTCTGTGATTTTAAGCTGATATGCAGAACTTCAAAGCAGCAGTCCACAAACCAGTGCATGCTCACGTTGGCTGTAGCATATTATCTAAGACTGTGGAAGTCTTAGATTCCAGCAAGAGATCCTCAATTTAAACTATTTTTGGTTAATAGTTTAAGATTTGCGCTCATGTTTTTGTTCAAGGATAAAGTTTATCTTTAGGTTTATTATGGATGTAATTAAGTACAGAGAAGCTATATCTGTGTTTGATTTCGATTTTTGCACATCATCATCATCATCTTACAATGATTTTTTGTAACAAGAAGTTATAATTTGGATTTATTACAACACAAATGAGTCCTTCCTCTGACTGTTCAATAATTTATATTTGCCGCTGAGAGTCACATGATGCTATGTTAGACTTCAGTCGGTTACTTCATTGTGCATTAAGGCATCTGAGTGTTGATGTTAGACAAATTTAAAAATGTAAACGTGCTGAGAATATTTTATTTTATTATATTTTCAAATGATGTTATCTGTGTCGTTCCGAGCTTGTGTTGTCTGCTCTCTTTGTGTTCAATGTCACTTAATTTCTGGTTAAAATACATTATTTTTTCTCCACTTTTCAACAAGATGACAGTTTACAACCTTTAACTACTTTGTAGATGTTTCAATATTGAAGAAAACCTTGTTTAAGACGAGTGGTAATTCGGTAATTCATAGTTTTGGTTTATTTAGGTCATTTACCTGCTTTGTTACCCCGCAGAAAACGCAGTGTTGGTGTTTGAAGTGAAATATCAAACAGCTGGAACAGTTCGCTCATCAATTATTCCTTTAATACAAAAATGAAACAAGACAGATATGAGGCAACATTTTAGATAAATCTTAAAGAACAGGACAGGTCGGCATTTTCAAAAGCAATTGCAGCTGTCGATATAAATAAAATGTATGCTTCACGTGTCGTCTGGAGTTACCGATTTCTTCTTAGACTCTGTGACTACCAAACACAAGATAAAACAGCTGGGGCCACAGCGACACATAACCCCATGGAAGTAGGACGAATATCAACATGAACCATGCAGTGAAACAAAGCGAGAGATGAGAGACACTGCTGCTCAGGCCCATCTGCTCCTAACACTCTCTGCCTGTAATCAATAATATGGGCACAGGATGAGTTGGCAAACCGGGCCAAAGGGACACTTGCTTATTTTTTTTTTCCTTCTGTTATTTTTCACTCAATCGTTTACCTCTGTGGCGACGCAAATAAGTAAGTCATGTGATGGAGAGAGATGGTAGTGAGTTGTTAAACTGGCCGTCTCTGGATGATCGATTTCAAGGAATCAAGTTGGAGAACTCGATTGATTGTTTTCTTTGTGTCAAAACTTCTTCCAGAGGGAAGAAGTACAACGTCAAAGTCAAGGTCTTGTACTGCTGTCCTCAGTTTACTCTCTAGGATTCAGAGACATGCAGGTGAATTAAATAAAGATCCTGAACTGCCTGAAGGTGTCCCTTTGACCATGAATGGGTGTCTGTTTGTGTGTGTATATGTGAGCCTCGGGACTGATTGATGACCCGTCTAGATTGTATCTTGCTTCTCGCTGGAATCAACTCCACCCCTTTACAATCCTGCAAGGGATAAGAAGTTGTAGCTGTAAGATGTCAGGACAGATTGATGGGTTTTTATAGCGACCTCTGTACAAACAGTATGTTATCATCATGGCTGAGAATCCTCAGGTCATGACTGCGTCTGAAACTTTCCCCCGCCTCCCTCTCGAGAGGTTGTTTGGAGCTACCTTTGGCATAAAAACACTGGCTGTGTTGTTGTTTACAATTTGTTGAAGGGTAATCGATTCATCATCCACATGTAGAGAAAGTATAATGTATGGGGTCTTTTATGATGACTTTAGAGAAGTCCGTTATGGGTTTGATTGTTTGACTTTGAGCTTGTCCAGGAGCTCTGCTCATCCATGGTGAGGACTCACACCTGGAGCTGCTGCTGCCTCCGTCGCCGTCACTGTTGCTGCAGGTGAACAGTAAGACAGAAACAGGATTTAGTATGAAGCAACCATCATTATTATTATTTAATATCACATGAAATTAAAAAATTATGAAGTAAACTAAAAAGGTCAGGAACTGTTGCAGTTTGAACAGATTGGGTAGTAGAAACGCCAACCTTGAAAGAAAAAGGACTCTTACACTCCAAATGTGTTTAAACCCTATAAACTACATGAATTTTAAAGCCTTAAGGACCCATAAGTTTTTAAAATTTTTTTTTACAAATTTGCCAATTTTTTGGGGGGCATTTCCTTCCAAATAGTATATGACATGTTATTTGTGGGTGTGATTATGTTCTAGCTCATTTTGCAAAAGCTCTATTTGTTTTTAAAGTTCCTTTTTGCTGTTTATGAGACTGACTGAAATTATTCCATATGAGCCACAAGGATCAGTCAGACAATCAGTGAGAAGAAATACAATCTCACCATAAAGGAACAAGACCACTCCACCCCATATTTGGTGCTTGGCTCACCCTGTCAGGATTCTAGTTTGCATTATTTATAATTTATGAACAAAACTAAAGACAACAGAACTATGAGATGCAGTGAAAGTGGATAATAATATCACTATTTAGCCATTTTAGGACACTTGTCTGATGTCTCCACTTTAGATTTTAGACCTTTTTGACCCAAGTGTTCAAATGTTAAGCTAAGACATGCTGGTTATGGTAAAACTGGTGGACGGAATTGCACCAAACTCCAGGCAAAGTCTGACTTTTATTTAGAAGCTTTTACCAGCTGGGCTTTATTAGGTCAAAGCTTTAATCCAAGCTAACATAATGAGCTTTAGATAAAATCTGCTGTATTTCTAAGCAACCCACAAACATCAATAATGTTAACATTACCAGCGGTGTGGGAACCAGTTCCAACCATCAGCTCTTTGGCCTCCACAGCCAGCTGTAAGGCTCGATCAGGAAGTGGTGACGAGGTGTCAGGACTGTCGGTGCCTGGGGACGACCTGTTGCTCCTGATACAAAGAACATGTTGTGTAAAGAAGAAGAAGCAGCAACAACAGAGTCAATGTCTAAAGATGGGATGTTGACTTCTAGATACTCTGAATCTCTTACCCGTCTTCTCCAAACAGGCTGGGCGTTGTCAGCACTTTGTGGACGTTCTAGAAACACAAAGATTAAATGATATTTAACTCCAGTTTTTACCTGGTTATGAAACAGACTGAAATGAACCGTGATGCATCTTTATGACCTACAAATGCAAACAAGACTATCAACGAAGTTTGAGAATTTCAACTATGATTTTTAATGTTTGTAACCCTGCAAGACAGCATGTGTCAGACTAGAAAATAAATGACTGACAGAGTCCTTCTGACAAAATACACAAATACTTAAACCAATACGACCTACTATGAATTTAAATTCTCCTCTGCATATGAAATACTTCTTTAAATGGAAAATGTTAATATTTCTCGGGTAGGGGAGAGAAGACAAGCTACCTGGCCTATTATGAAAAATGTAGAGGGACTCCCTTGGCCACAAGAGGGCAGACCAGCTCTATAATCCAGCTAAAGAGACCAGTGACATATGAGGATATTTGGAAGTGTGTTTGTTTATTGGTTCATGTTGTATGTTAGTGTGGTATCAGATCAAATGTAGATGATCTAACAGGCCTTATTGGTAAATATTTACTCTTATTTGACATAACATTTAACGCAGGCATCCAGGATTCAGTAAACTATGACTCAATACTTGATACCTGCCTTAAAGATGCTGCTCTGCATTTGATTATAAAAAAGCTAATCCACAGAAATGAAGTTTTTCTCATCCCTGTTTTTTCTGAATGAATGCATTGATTAAGTAAGTGGGTAGACAAACATCTTCTGAGCGGTACCTGAGCAAAGCCCAGCAGCTTCTTGTTGGAGATCTCTAAGTGCTTCCTGCTCAGCTCTGACTTCCTCAGTTGGCAGTCGATGTTTGTCAGCCTCCTGTTCAGCTCCATCACCTCCTCCTAAAAAGATGGAATAACACAACCAATCAACAATTAATGTAGGTATGTGCACAATGGTTGGTTGATTGATTGATTGATTGATTGATTGATTGATTGACATGGAGAGATATAAAGGAGGGGGAAGTAAACATGAATGAAGAAAGGAGATCATCTAAACTGTTCACATTTGTGTTTTTTTAAGGATGTCATGGCTTATAATCGTAGGGTGGTGTACCAGTGAACTGTGAGTTCAGAGGAGTTATTACTTGAGATCAAATACTACAAGAGTCTGAGTAAAACAAAGTCCTCTATCCTGCTGTTGAAAACAGAGGCTGAACTCTGTGGCTGAGTCTGCAGGGGCTGCTGGAAGAGCGGCTTGATGTGTTCCACACTGATCAGGCAGGAGAAGCAGGCGGTACGCTGGCAGGGCTGCAGGGTTTCCAGCTCATGACAGAGGATGGCAAGAGCACAGAGGAGAGAAACTGGGCCTGCTGCTTTTTTTCTTTCACAGGAAGTCAAACGCATGCTCTAACCCCAAAAGAGAGGACGACAGCCTCTATACCTCTAAGGATGGATAGTTTAAACACAAGGCCAGACAGGCACCTCTCCTCTTTTAATTGAAAACATCTGATTGAATCTAACCTTTGTGGCCTCCACTCCTTGTCCTTGCCTCTTGCCAGCCAGCTGGTTCTTCAGGTCTCTGATCTCAGCCTCTAGCAGCTGAATGACCTCCTCGTAGTCCTGCTCCGCACTGCTGGCCTGGCGCTGCCCTGTCTCCGCCTCCGCTGCCTGGAGACGGACCTTTAGACGGTTGTTCTCCTCGACAGTCAAACATGCTTTCTAAAAAAATGCAAGAATACAAATCTTAGTTCAACACCTCAGCACCTGGTCGCACTTTGGGCCCTCTAAACAAAAGGTTTAGAGGACAGTGGATCTGTTATCATCTATCTGTATGTTTCTTCACACTGTTTGGATCGGCCGCTCACCTCAGACGTTTTCTGCAGCTCGTCCTCCAGGGTTTTCTTACTGTGTTCCATGTCCTTCAGCATCACCTGCCAAGAGAGGCAGCAGATGAAGACTAGCAGGACTTCACAAGCACTAAAGTCACCAAACCGTGGTACAGTACATAATAGACAATAAGCTTGTTTAAGTAGATTTTGGCAGTCTCAACCAGGAGCCAGAGAAAGCTTTTCATAGACATGTTTACATGGGCAAAATTTCCTGATCTGATTAAAAATTTGAGGAATTGGAAAACCTGAATCCGCCGTTTGTTTGGGTGCAAAATCAAATGATCCGATCACGATGTGCGTATACATGCACCAAGCTTTATTCAGATTAGAGGCATTTGGACATGCGTAGAGTTGTATTCATGTCTGTGCTGTCAACAAACCAACAAACGCAATTGTGGCTCACACCATCAAATTCAGGAGTTTTCCCCCTGTTAAACGTTGTCACTAGATGGCGCCCTTGCTCACTTATTTTACTGTTCTGTCAAAGGTTGCACTGTGCGTTTAGATGTGACATCATTACGCTGTATGTACGCCTTGTCCTGTTACCGGAGTGTTTTATGCCGGAGTGTGAATAATGAAACCTCCTGAAAAGGCTTCAATAAATAAACCAAAGGCTAAAGAGTGAAGATCGAGTCAGGAAAGAGAGTCACGATCGGAATAAGTGTTTACATGGACGCGTTTCGGAATAACGATCGGCATAAACCACCCCTCTTGTTCTAAGTACAATTTCTTTCCGATTGAGCCGAATTTGATCAGAATCTTTTATTCGACATGTTTACATTTTTATTCTGATCGGGCATTTATTCCGATTATTTGTGCCGATGTAAACGCAGCTAATTATTAAGTTTTCTTTAATTAAGTTCATAAATTTTCATATCAGCCTCTCCTGCTGGTTAACAATTTTCTGGCTATGTATGAGGGTCAGGTTGAACTCAGTATTAAATGATTATACGATGGAGGAAAATTCATGTGCGTGTGAGTGTTTATGTTCACCTTGAGCTGCTTCATCTGGGTGTGCAGCTGCTTCATCTCTGATTGAAACTGCTCCATCTCCTCACTGCTGTAGCTGCACTCTGATTCATACGTCTACACACACACACACACACACACACACACACACACACACACACACACACAGTTATGACTTTTTATATGTTTCTATTGTTCCAGCAGAGAAATTAAGGGAGTCTTAACTAAACATGTTTAAAGATGAGACTGCTTACAGGAGAGTGGAAAGCCGACGTGTCCATCAAACTGGCAGCTTCATGATACGAAAACATGAAGGGACCCTCCCCTAAACCGAGCTCCTCAAGGTCTTCCTGCAAGATGTTCCGGGTGGCATCCATGAAGTCTTAACAAAAGGCAAGAAAAGTCGAAAAAATTTGGAGTGTTACCATGGCGACATAAAGAGCAGTTTGATGGTAGAGATATATTTGAAGAATAAACTTATGAAACTTCATCTAAAAACTATAAAATCATCATTTCTTAACCAGGTTCAGCTGTGAATGCTGGTTAAAGAAACAGAGTCATGTTGCTCGGACTGTCTACATAGATATACACAGACATAGATCTTCCCTGCTGTAATGCAATGTGACACAACAACACAGGTGACACAACCAGTTACTTATATCCAGCTGTCACCAGTAGCCTCTGAAGTGACACGATTTAGAGACACAAATTTCACCTCGCTGTTAACGCAAGTGGAAGTGTGTGTCTTTTTTTTTGTGTGTGTGTTTCTGTACTAGTGCCTCACCTCCATACGCCACAGTGCCCTGTGGGTCTGTGTTCAGACTTTGTTTTAACTTCTTCTTCTTCTCTTCTGTGACATCCAACCCCAGGAAGGACAGAGCCTGTCAGGTAGAGACCAAAAGAAGGATAAAAATAACTGCAACTCAGGATTTATTTTAGCATATCGCTCTTGCAGCATGATGATAAACCACACCCTGTCAGCAAACTGCGATTTTAAGAGAAGTTTCGGTAACACTTTATTCGACGCCTATCTCTAAACGCATTATAAATATATTTAAAACGTGCTATAATCATGTTATAGCACTGTATAACTGTAATTACAAACACTCATAAATGATTAGAATGCTTTATGGCAATATTAATAACACAGTGAAAAGTATTTTATCATGATTTACAAGGTCAGGTATTATAATGTGTTATAACTGTTAACAACAGTTGTATTGCATTATCTATGTGGGCATTGTCAGTGAGTTGTTAACAGTTATAATACATTATAATACCTGACCTTGTAATTCATGATAAAATGCTTTATAATGTGTTATGATAATTGCTATAAAGCATTATGATCATTTATGAGTGTTTATAACTATATTATACAGTGTTATAACATGATTATAACACATTATACATATATTAATAATGCGTTATAGAGGTAGGTGTCATAAAAAGTGTTACAATTATTTCTCTCTTTGTCCTCAATTACAAAAAAGTTAGGAAACTTTATCAATTGTAAACAAAAACATGAAGTGGTTTGCAAATCATTTGAACTCTATATTAATTGAAAAAAACAAACAGCCCCCACTCCCTGTTTTTTCTGTGTTTTGGCTCCTAACCCACTATGAGAAGTTATGTTTGGCCTCAATCGTCTGTTTCAGTGTCCTGGTTTATGACTAACTGAAAAGGCTGTCTGTGCGTTGCCTGCGACAGGATGCTGATTGGCATGACGTGACGTAGGTGCTCCTGATAGTCTGTGAAAATTTTTAACGTGATTGTGAAAGGCTCAGAGTGAGCTTTTCAGACAGTTTATTGGCTTTAGACAGCGTACTAACGGCTAATTGGCTTATTCAATGTGTCTGCCCCTGATTGGCTTACAAACAAACCGTCCACTCTCCTTACACCCACACCAAATACATACGCTGCTGATCGAATCAGACAAGTACTCTAAATTTCTCAGTCAATGTTCGTCATCGGTTACTCATTAAGCTGCGGCTCCCAATAACATCCTCACTTGTGATTAACTCAGCTCTCATACATTATCTCATAACTCATGGTTCTTTGTTTTTTTTTGTGCTAAATCTATTAATACAAGTAAAACAATAAACAGGAATCAAAAATACTGATAAAAATCCTGGAAAGATTTTTTTTTATAAGTTTCTGGAGTACGAACACATTGATTATAGTCTGTTGATAATAGTCTGTTTTATAACTGATAATTGAAACGTGTCTTCATATGTTTAAGCACACCAATAACATTTTTTAAAACGCTTGGAAGCAAAATAAACCTAAAGACATTTTATTTTGAAAGTTTAATCATAAACTTGCTTTGAATGAACCTGAAAAGAATCAAATCAAATTGGACCCAGCTGTTCTTAATTTTGATGATTTTTTCCTGAGTTTGATCACAGCCAGCAAATTAAATCAGATTGTGTTGGAAAGGAGACATTAACACCTCTAGTCATGTATGAATTCAAAAGACTGTTGAGCATGACGTACCAGGTGACGGAAGGAGAGAGAGACATGGAAGAAGGTGAAGTATCCATGTCTACAAAACTAACTTGCTTGTTAGTTGAATAGTTAGTTTTGAAACAGAAACATTTTAAAATCTAAAGCACATTTTGTGTTGAAATAAATCAGAAATTTCCCTCAAATTAAAACACATTATTGGAAACATTTTAATGCACTTTTATACACTCTGAAATACTTTAACCTGAAACACGTGTTCATCGGGTCAGAAGTCTACATCAAGTCCTGACCTTGTGTCCTGACTTCTCAGAAAAAGATTTTCTTTTGTCTAAGAGGAAAGCGTCTGATTGGCTCAAAGACGTCCTTGCCTCTTGATGTGTAATGGACTATAATTGGTTCAGACCGAGAGGCCAGACTTCTGAGCTCAGTGACTCCTGATATGGTCAGATAGACTTATAAGCACTTTGTCAAAACAGTCAGGAGACATCATTAGCTGCCTATATTGAATCAAGCTTTCAGACTCTAAAAACTCGGACATTAGACAACATGAACGGAGACTTCAACAAAATATTGATGCAAAAACTTACTAAGAGTAAAATCTTACTAATTCTTGATAAAAGATAAAAATACGATTTGCAAAATTTTGAGCTGAAATGTGCAGAAAACTAAATATCTCACCTCTAAACCCTGTAGGATTACAGTAACAGTTTTAAACAAGAGGTTCATCAATTTATGACTTAGACAGATTTAAGTCTCCAGACTAAATACCTTTGAGAGTTTACATGATTCTGGAGGAAGACTTGATTTACAGAATCGAAATCTAATGTTGGGGGGTTGAGAGTTTAAACCATTGTTTTTTATAGATTAGTACACTTTCATTGTACTTTTAATTTTCAACTTTACTCATTGCTTTTATGATAATCAACCATCATATTGTTGTATTCTTGTGCTGTTAACATTCAAACCACATCAGAAACTTCAGTGAACAGTTATCAGTCTACTTCTCGAATAAGCGACACCAAAGTTCAGACATTTATTTTGCATGTATTTGGAATCATGACTCGACTATAAATAGTCTGACCTGAAAAGCGACTCACCAAGTCTAATTTGTCCGATTTGAGCCGTATGTAGGGATCCAGAGTTATTTTAGGTTTGACCTCTGTTGGGGACCTCTGGCTGGTTGAACCTTGAGAGAAAGAAAAAAAGGGAAGTTATGAAATTACTCCTTTGAAAAAAAGATATCAAAATGTCAAAACATAGAGTTTGTAAGCCATATCAAATCTGGAGCTATTGACCTCTGCACTGAGAAACAAATTCAAGGCCACAGTGCACACGGTAACAACTCGGGAAAAATTGGATAATCTGTAATACGAGTGCTGTAAAAGAGTGATTGTCTGTGGATTTGGTGGATGTGAGTTTTGTGATAATAGAGACATGTAAAAGTGTGTGTCAGAGTGTTTGGGGGGAGACAGTAAAGCAGATGATCAAAAAATAGCCTAGTAGAGGAAAGGTGGATGATTATAAGGATGAGTGAGGGGTGGTGGTGGTGGTGAGGGTAGAGCTCAAAGTCAAAGTCTGATATTAATTTGATGAGTTTTACTGTCCCAGATTAGTGTATGCGAGCTTTGGCAACAGGGACATTTGTGTGTCTGCACATCGGCTAATATCACACTGATCTCTGACCACCTTCCCCTCCTATACCAGCCAAAAGGTTTGTATCGTGTTGTGACAGCAGCTTAGGTGATAAACCTTTCTTCTTGTGAGGCGTGTTTCTACTTTACGGGCAGAGGAGGGGTATAATAGCACCTCCCTTTTTCCCCTTAGCCCCACCAGTGACCTTGCAGCCAAACCAAATGGCCCGTCTAGCTTTTGCAAAAGTCCTCTGCATGTAGTTTCAACCCTAAAGGTCAGAAACTTCATGGGAGCTAGTGTGAAGAAGGTCAAGTTGGCAGAAGATGAACATACATATCAAAACCTGAGTCTGACTTTTCCCTCAAAGTGCAAAAATCTCCTAAGTTATGAGGAAAGACCATCTTTGAGCCAATCAGATGTCAGGACGGGACATTGTCAGGTCCTATCTGAAGCCAATCAGGAGCCCAGAAATCTTTTTCTAATAAATCAGGACACATTGATGCAGGCTCAGTCTTGATTTGATGTTTATATGGAGCATTTTTATTCCCTTTGTGCTTTTTCACTGTTTATATTTAGAGCATTACGCTCCATTTTTGACACGATCAGTGACAGAAAGTTGAAGTTCTGGCTACTTTTGATAATATCATCCACTGAATTGAAAGAGGCACCAAAAAGCCAAACACACTAAAAATGCAGATACAACCTTACTGAGGCAAATAGGTGTCTCTATGATGGAGCTTAAGCCTCTGGAAAAAACCTGAAAGCATCAACCTCTTCATGCTCCTATTATGAAAGTTACAGCCCTCATATCATCAAAACTGATCAGAGTATTTCTTGAATGGTTGTCACTTCCGTTGAGTTCTGAAATATTCAGAGCCAGTGTTCGTCTGTGGTCTCTGTACCACAGACTGCTGACATCTGCCCTGGTTAGCAACTCCTCTACAGGAGCCTATAGAGCCGAGCGGTCACAGCAGACGCAGGTAATCCAGGTAAATAGGATATGGACGGGCTGGACGACCCTGAAGATTAAAGCTGCTGCTCTGTCTGACTTTTGAATTTTTTTTATCAGGAAACTTCTTTTAAAAACCCTTTAAAAGGTTCTTTTACGTACAGAATTTCATGTATTTCTATACCTTTGTCCGCTTGATTTCAGTGTTTACTTGTTTACACATTTTGTTCATACCTTTTTTCTCATGCTTTCATTTCAGAAACTATTGCTTAATACTTTTTATCACAACCTTTACCTCCAGTCTATTAAAGAAAACACTTTTCACTTTTTAGGTCTCAGCAGCAGAAACAGAGAGACAAGTTTGATCATAAATAACAGAAACATTGGTATGGCGAGGTTTTCACCTGTAATGTGGATATCTGGTGGGCAGATGTCAGAAGAAGGTGAAGACACTGTGGCTGGTTCCTCGGTACAAATCTGAGAAATATGAGAAAAATTGATAAAAAAAAAAAACACTACATCAAGAATGTCAGCTCGTTAGTTTTTCAGTTTGAGGCCACAAAGAATGAAGTTAATAAGACCTGATATTTCTGTGGGAGTTATAAAATCACTTTATTGGACAGTGCAGAGAGGCTGGAGTAATGATGCCTGCCTAAAAACATCTACATCAGTCCAGGATGTCATCACTACTCTGTCCTCTGATTGGATCACTGATCTTGCAGCGACTTGATTTGTTTTTGGTGTTTGCACTTCAAATATAAATGCAAATACAGAAGCAGTGGAGGTCGGTAACTGAGGCGGAGAAGTTTGATCCTTTTTTACCGGGGAAGCAAATTCAAGATGAGTCACGCTTATATGGCCTGGAGAGTTTTTCTGTTCTTCCGTGTCTTGTCTTTACAGCGTAATGTCTCCATGAACCACATACACACACACACTCACACACACATATTCATAAACTGACGGCAGAGGACAGTCGCTCTCTGTATGTGAGCAAAGAACTGTCTTGTTTTGTAAAGTTTTAGCCTATAGTTTTTAACACGAGTATTTCCTAAAACACCAGGGAATAAATCGAAGGTAAATACTAATAACTGGTGTTCTGGACTCAAAGAAAAGACCTGGTCTAGTCTTTGTTGAATGTTTTGATGGTGGAAACAAAGCACGCTCACCTCGGGTGATCTGATGTGGACTTTTAAGCGCCCAGAGTTGTGCCCTCCAGCACGGTGGACCCCATTGTGGAGAGACGCGCTGCTGGGAAAAAGTCCTTTTCCCGGAATGAAGGCTATTTCCACGGTACTGTCTTGGCTGTAGATGAGAATGAAAATGGTGAGGACTGACCTCTAATTCATTTTGAGAATGCTTTATGATTTAGAGACTTTACATTTCTTCAGTTTCAGTTTCTCTCATCCTGATGAAACTCAATCCTTTATCCATACATGAGAAGCTGGAGAAGGAAAGCCCTTACCAGTTTATATTAACTGTGCCCGGCTGTTAGTGCTCGTGTTGGTGATTTAGGAGTATTTTGCAGTGAGGCGTATTTGAGCTGAAAAGGGCATCTTTATCTCTGAGTAAACTGAAAACTGCTCATTTGAATGTGTGCAAACAGGAGAGGGCGAGGAGAGTGCACAGAGACACTATTTGCTCTGAAGTGCAGATTGTGGAGCGTTTAATCCTTCAGGCTTGCACTGTTTAGCCGACAAAGTCTCTTTGGCTTATTAGCATAGGTTTAGCAGGTGCAAAAGCTGTGCAGTCCTTTTGTTAATCAGGCCCTTCGGTTTTTTAATCTGCAGACACAACCTTACCTGGATTTAGCTTTGTTGAGCATGCTTTTGGCCTCCTCATGGGTAACACCTATTAAAGACTCCTTGTTAATGGCAATCAGCTGATCTCCAGGCCTCAGACGTCCATCCTTCAAAAGAAGTGAATAAAGACTTGCATTATGTTGAGCTTAAAGGGATATTCTGGCGTAAAATTAAGTTAGAGTCAAACACACAGAGTTAGACACCCCCTCAAGAGATGAATGTTGCCAACCGCTTACATCTCTAGTTATACCAACTTTAGTATCGACCGCACGATAGCAATACACAGCAGTCTCAGGAGCCATGCGCACACTTCAACCGAAACGCCACTCTATAGCCACAAATAATGCTCAGAACAGCACCTAACTTCATCAACAGTACATATAGGGTCTTAGCCACAGCACTAGCCACCAAACATCTTTTTAACTTTGCCTAATTTCTTTAGCAAAGAGACTAAACACAACTCACCTACTCTCTTCCAGCAGCTGCTTGTTTGTAGCGAGACTTCAGACCAGTCCATTATGGACTGCAGCGGGGTGACGCAGCTCAAGGAAGAATATTTATGATCATTTCTTCATCATTTCCTTGAAGTAATAATCACCATATTAATCATTTTGCACTGCAGACGCGGTAGTTCTTCTGTCTTAGTGTCGCGGTCTGATTGCATTTTCATGAAAAATGATCATAAATGTTCTTCCTTGAGCTGTGTCACCCTGCTGTAGTCCAAAATGGACTGGTCTGAAGTCTCGCTACAAACAAGCGGCTGCTGGAAGAGAGTAGGTGAGTTGTGTTTAGTCTCTTTGCTAAAGAAATCAGGCAAAGCTAAAAAGATGTTTGGTGGTTAGTACTATGGCTGGGCCCCTATATGTACTGTTACAGTTATTTGTGGCTATAGAGTGGTGTTTTGGTTGAGGTTTGTACAGACTGCTGTGTATTGCTATTGTGCGGTTGTTACTAAAGTTGGTATAACTAGAGAAGCAAGCTGTCAACATTCATCTCTCGAGGGAGTGTCTAACTCAGTGTTACGGTGAATTGACCCTAAATTAATTTTAGGCCAGAATATCCCTTTAAGACCATGGACCAGATTTTATTGCATATTTAACTACAAACTCAAAGAAAGCTGCTGGAGTTACTAAATTGTTTTTTTTTTTTCCAACAACAGCAGGTTTTGATTTAACCTTAAGTTTGTTCATACCCTGTGACAGTCTCCCCCGGACAACACCTCCTGGATGAAGATCGCAGGACCATCAGGCCTGTTGGAGCCTCCGCCTATGGTGATGCCAAAACTGCTTGATCGTGCCACTGAGATAAGCTGAATCACTCCTTCACCGGGATGACTATGAACATCACACGCAGATCAAACAGAGCAAAAAAAGGGTTTTAGAGCCATCTATTCATGAGAGTCGTATTTATTTTTGTGTGCTTCTGTTTTTGATCTGATTATGCCAGGCTGCAGTCAACCTCGGCTGCTGATTCGCCAAAGGGCACAGAGCGCTGACAGTGTATGCTGTTTTTTTTGGGTTCTGTGGAGCTACAGCAGCAAGCTGGTCTGGACTATAACTGTGCTTCAGCTTACATGTTCAGTATTTTAGTAAAAAGTCGTCAGTAAGCCATCAGCACAATTTATCCAGACAGGAGTTATAAGATGGAGTCATACTTAATCAAAGACCGTAACACGTTAAAAATGCAGAGAATGTGGACAGATTAAAAGACCGTGGAGTAAAAAAAACTGAAGATACTTTAAAGCAGAGAAATAGAGAGCCAGCTCAGCGCACCAGGAAAAGAAAAAGAAAGGGAAATCCTAAAGGAAGATGAAGCCAGTGCTGTAGAAGAAGTAGCATTATTTATCTGAGAGAGGTTTTCTGCAGAGTTTGCAGACCTCACTGCAGAAAAAAAAACATCTTATCTTAAAGATGAAGATTGGAAAGAGGGTCAGCATAACTGGTATGTTCTGAAACGTGGAAGACTTCATTAAAGAAACTAAGGACTGGATTGAAAAAGTAAAAAAGAGTCCAGAAGGAGAGGAGACTGAAAACAATGATAATGTTGATGATATAAAGCCAAACTCAGAAGCCATGAGTGGTATATCCAAAAAGAAGAGAGCCAGCTCATCACAAGCGTCAAGTGTCCCACACGTCTGAAGCTGGATGCAGATATTTCATAAAGTCTGCATCTATTAAAAGAAAACTGGACACTGAGATGGAGAAAGTACGCTTGAAGATTCTCAAAGATTAGCTAGAACTGGAGGCCAAGATTTCTGCATCAAATGCCAAAATAAAGCTTTCTACAAGTCATGAAAGTGATCAAGATGACATGAATGAATATGAAGTCAAAGGGCCAGAAAGCGGCAGGTTTATAGTCAAGATGAAGAAGATAAAGCAGGACGAGTGAGACTTTTTGCGCCTGTTAGTGTGCAGGATCCAGTTCAAGCTGCTGTTGATCAGAGATTCGCCTCAGACAGAGAGCATCTGAATCAGCAGCATCTAAATCCCAGTTAGAAGAAAGTTCACACTGAGGCCAGAACTGCAAATCCCGATAATGAAGAAAAAAAAAGACCTATCAATTTAAAGTCTAGCTTATTATATCCTTCTGAGGATCTTAAATCCTTTTGTTCAGCTTTCCAAACTCCTACTATGTGACCTTTGAGAAGAGTGGGATAAAAAAATGTCTGAAGAACAGGAAAAAAGAGAGAAACGGTGGTTGATTTTCTGACAAAAGCCGTCATCTTTGACTTTCAGCAGGTCATCCAGAGTGCAGGATTTGGTATCACCAAGATTAAACATTTCTCTGATGCCATCAAGAAAAAAATAAACTATTCTTGTGAAAGCAACACGTCTTGAGCTGAAACCTTACTGCAGTAAATGATGTTCAAACATTGAAGGAAAACCCTGTGTTAGAAAAGATATAACTGTGTACTTTGGTGATGAAGAGTTGAGAGTAGGAGGTCGGTTAAGCTGGTCGGTCACACCACTAGAAGACAAGCATGCAGCTATTCTGCAGAAGTTTAACTCTTTCACATCCTTCGCTTAATCATCAATACAAAGACTGATCTCAGAGTCACCTGCAGAAGAGGACACACCCAGGCAGGTCAAGAAGAAATGGCAAATCTACCCGAGGATCAATAATGGTAAAACAAGACACCCTTTACAAATCCAGATGTCCATTTGAGGTCAACAGAGTCCATCTTTGAACATCAGTTGTCGCATCTATCAATGCACTACGCTGTATTTAAGTTGCTCAGACATCTGCATGAATTTGATCAGTACCAAGAGAGGGCCAGAGAAGCATTAATGATCTGGATCAGTCAAAGATTTCAGAATCCATGCTGAAAAAAGGACTTAAGTGGATATTTAGAGTTTTACCTCAGGGAACGCAGCAGGGGTCCACTGTTGTTGAACATGTTCTGGGAGCCTGCAGGGCTTAACAACAGAGGACTCTGGGAGCGAGACGAGGAACCGGATGATGTACTTTCCAAGCAGCGACCACCTTTAGAATAATAATACGAAGAAAAATACAGAAAGGCAAATGTTAATTCATCCAACAGAGTAATGAGCAACCAGGAGAATCCTGGGATAAATATGTACTTCCAGATTCAGAGTTCATTTCAATGTTGAAGTGCAGAAGTAAAGTCGGTAAACATGCTGCATAAAGTAAGAGGTGAGGAAATAATCTTGGTGAAGAGAAACAGAAGCTTTAAAGTAATTGCTGCAGCCAAAACTCAGATACTTAAACTTTCCTCTAAAAAATGCTGTATTTTCTTGTTTATAGCCATATTCAACTACGACACAGGCTAGAGTAATGCCCTTCAAACTGTCACTGTCGTCACAGTTTTTGTCCGTTTGTGGTGCAAATACGAATGTCATGACGTCACAGCGTTACTCACTTTGGGTGAGTCAAACTTGTCAGGGTGTCTGCTCTTATTTCCATCAAGAGCCATGTGCACAGGCAGACAGGCGTGTTATTTACAGAGTAGATTATTACCTTTCTACTCCTAATATTTTACCTTTATTTTCCCACTGCACCTCCGCACAGTTCACCCTCAAGTCATTAAAAAGTCCCTCTAAATAGCAGAAATGATCAGGGATTTTTCCAAATAACAGACATGTGGAGTAACTTCATTTATCATGATCAGTGCACTGCAGGTGGAGGAACATGTATGTTTTGTATTCAGGAATTTAGTTCAAAAATAAATAGGCTTCCTGAACCCAAAGTAAAGTGCTGACAAATTTCCAAATAGAGCATGCACTCATGCTTCGGTTGGAGCTCATTAAAATCAGCTAAATTAGTCAAGCTGACCCGTGTGTTGCCTCTGAAAGCCCAGCTTCTGCTCTAAATTTCCAAGCCAGCATCTCTTCCCTTCACCTCAGACAATCCCACTTCAAAAAAATCACTAAACCCCTCTGACAGAGTTGGAAAAATATTGGACAAGTTCACCTTCTAAAATCGATTGTGATAAGCTCTGGACTCCCAATATTTCTTATTACTGTCAGAGCCCTGGTTCTGGGGTTAAGTTAGGGTTATGAAACTATGAAACTGAATGTTAAATTTGAATTTTTTTTGCTGTATCAAACCTGTATGAACTTGCTACCTTCCCCCCAACTACAACAGATGTTTGCAATTATGTAAGAGACGAGCACACTTGTCATGAGCCATTTTTGTAGACAGACTCACCCCATCTAGTCCTCAGGCTCGGTACATCCAATAACGAAAGGGTCTACTGGTTTTTGCAAAATAGGACTGTGATGACTGTCGTTCACAAGCTTTTCTCTGACCACTTCTGTCTATATCATCCCCGTGAAACTGCCTTATGTGTGACGGCTGATTCGTGACACTCAAAACTACACTGTGCCGCTTAAAAATGCGATGGGACATGCTTTGATTCACTCCACACCATACCCTTCAGGCCCTCTGTTTTAGATCTTTGAATGTCAAATTCACTACATAAAGTAAAAGCAGGATTTTCCTACCTTGCTGGATCGGAGAGTTGCGTGTAGATCCTGTGCTCCCGCTCGATCCATATTTCTCCAGCAGCTCAGAAAACTCTCTCCTGTCGTGGCAAAACAAAAGAAATTCAGCCTGAATCCATTTAACAAAACTTGTAACAACTCAGACTCTCTTAAAAAGGTCAAAATGATTTAATATCACCAACGTTTAAAGTATGTGATACTCAATTTTTGCATAACAGATGCAGTGAACCGAGTGAATAAATCTGCATGTGCACATTGAAGCCAGAAAAGTAATAATATCTTTGCTCATTGACTCTCATTCATTTACAATCATACAAATCATGTGTGCTGTGTTTAAATTAGTGCTTCTATGCTCTGCGTCTGTGATTTTTAAGCCCCGTCAGCATATCAAGCTGTCTCATAAGCCGTCAAATAAATATGAGTGGTGCATGAGAATGATTTTTCTATAATACCTTTTTGACACAGATTTGTATGAGGGAATAATAATAGAAATGTTATATTCATCTCTATACCGTCGTATACATCGCACACTTGCATGCACTAATGAAAAATTACTGAGCCACGGTCAAGTCACTTAATTTTCCTATGAGTAAAAACATTATATATTATTCCTGTGAGGAATATTTACTGAAAATGCATGAATTTAGATATACTATTCATGCAGGTCCACCAAACATCCTCAACTACAGTTAACAGTTACTAAAAAATCATGCTAATTTAATGTCCTATTGATTAACAAAGACGTCATAGCAGTACATCTCAGAGTTTACACAGATTTAGACTTTGATTATAGTTTTTCACTCTAAGAGTCATATTTTCTAGAGCTGGGACGATATGCTTTTCTCCCGATTTGATTTTTCTACGATTTTTTGGATGCCGATTCGAAGTGCCATTCTTTGATATTGTTGATTTTCTCAGTTTTTAGTTTGCATTTTTACCCCAGTGAAACAGTTGAATGATCATGAGTGTCAACTGACTATTCCAGTAACCATATTTCCCCCAAAAAATACACATCACATGTAAGTCAGTTTTTAAGATTTATTCTTAAACTTGAAGAAAAAAAAAAAGACTTGAACATAAAAACCCATCTAAAAATTGTAAAACAAAAAATCGCAATACTTATATGAATAGATTCTTTTCTCCCACCCCTAATATTTTCTGAACAGTTAAAACACACATCTGTATATGTTCTAAATTAGGATATATCACCAGAGTTTTGTTATAACAAGTTAATCTGTGAAATCTGCCTTTAAAAGCACAGCGTAACCCCAATAACTGCCCTCATCTTTGTGAAAACCACCTCCAACCTTTCCATTCATCTGGAGAACTCTGCGGAGTCAAAAACCTGCTGCTGGAGGCCAGGTGTTTGAACCGAAGACCAGGCTGGTGCAGAATGAACATCTTAACCCTGCTCAGGGACTGCGCCGCATAAATTAGTGACAAACGACTTCAAGGTTTTATGAAACGATTTACTCCGCAGAGTTCTGTGAGCTCTCACAGTTGGTAAGCATGTCCCTCATGCTTAGCACATTTTGACTTGGGTTTTTAAAAAGAAGGAAATCTGTTTGATGTGAGACACAAAAAGACAGGCATAATCCCCCCTCCTCTGCCCGCCATCCCTTCTACTCTCCTCCATCTCCTCTGATCTTGGCTGCACAGCTAAAGCAGAGAGCACAGATTAACACAACTCATCTCGTCAGGGGCCCTGCCCTGGGTTAAGCTATCTCCCCTCAGTCAGCTCTCATTTCAGTACGGGGGGGATGGGCCTTTATGCATTCATACAACTGACACCATATTGTGAGAATCTATGTCTACTTACTGTATGCATTTGTTTATGAATAAACTGGGTCTGTAGTCGCCCCTAGTGCTAAATAATTCTTTCATTTCTGCTGAGGACAAAGCGTACTAATATATCCTGTTATGCTTCAAAATCAGATCTGCCAGTCCTCCGCTGCAAACTTTATCAATTAAGCTCACATTATCAGGAATGGATACGGCCTGTGATGCTGCTAATAATGATCACTTTCTCTTCACCGACCTGTTTTCAGCTGTCATGATACCCTGGTCATGTCTTAGGGGGGCGTGTCTAACATGTTGATGGCTAATCTGCACACTCACTAATCAGAGTAACTCAGCATGCCTGAGCCCAGTGTGCTGAAGTTACTAAAGTTCATATAAAGTGGAGTGGTTTGAGGTTGTGTTATTAACCATCCTGCCACAAGTAAATGATTTAAAAACCATTTGACTTCTATATTTAGATAATTTGTATATAAAATAGAATTTTATACTGCTGCTTACTTTGCTTCCTCATCTCTCGCAATGAGAAGGCGCATGTGATTGGTTGCTGACGCCGCTCTCAAGATGTCCACAGCTCTGAAATCCAAACACAGATATGCATCATTGTTATAGTACAAGCCTAGTCATCTAGTTGGTCAAAAAAGACAAAAGAAAGACTGGACTACCTTTCACTCGTGACTCCAACCAAACTGTCCCCGTTCACCTCCAAGATCTGGTCCCCTGCCATGAGATTTCCTGTCAGAGGTGAAAGAAAGGATGTAAGTTAACCAAATCAGCAACAAGAGGAACTTGTAATACTGTTGATGACCATCCGGACTCTGATTAACAGTCTTGGTGCTGTGTTTAAGTGCCATGAGGTGCCAAAGCCAGGTTCACTACTTTTGGAAACAAGACTCCAAGTGCTTTACAGCAGAAATATCAAACTCACTGACTAAAGTTTCTGGACCTAAAGGGTGTTTCTGTGAAAAGTTCAGCCATTGATTGAAGACCTAAGCTCACCATCTGGATAATAATCCAACCATTAACATCTAACTAAGTCCAAACTTGACACGTTTGAACCTGCTTGGCTTCAATGCTGATCTGATCTCATACATCTAGATGCTTTGAGTTAAAAGCCTTAGACTATTAGAAAGAAGAAACCGATGGAAGAGGGGAGTCAGCTGCCAATCTGAAACCGGACAAAAGACATGTCCCCCCATATTTGAAGGAGGTATGTGATGCTAAGGTGACCACTGTTTGTCAGATTTGTGATGTTAGAAGATCGGTGTAGATTCTTGGCTCGTGCTCAGCATAATCCAAAATGTTTATCAGCTATCAGGTGGTCAAGAAGTTTTGCCCTTGCTAAAACTTGAGACAGTATTTTGTATTGTGTGATGAGGGACCCCATAACAAAGCAAAAGAAAGTCTTGTTCAAGTATGGTATCTACGGAGTTAAAACAGTCCCCTCTTTCTAGCTAGACAACAATTTTGCACAAACATATGTCAAATGCAATCAGAGATGCATGTTTGGGAAGACACCAGCACCCTCAGCTAATGCACCTCAGAAGAGCACCAGGAACTCATCCCTTCTGAAGTTCGAGTGCATGAATGTGGAGAACAGACCAACAGACATCAAAACAGGTTGCCAAGAAATGCTAGAAAAATATATTCTGTGCCTACAGCTTCCTGATAGAAAATATCCTGATTAAGGGACAATTTCAAGAACAACATGACTGCCAAGCTTCCCTGTCTAGTTAGTGTTAAGAAATCCCACAATACATCCCACCATCCCATGGGCGGTGTGTTGTAGCAGAGTGATTTTATTCCACCTGAGGGATAACACTCGCCACTTTGACCACAACATACTCAGACCCCCAACAACAGCGTATGCACCCTTTAGGCTACCAGTAGACGTGACTCATGTTAAGCATGTTTTGAATGACCCCTGCTGAGTGACTATGACTCATACACCGAGTCTTGGCTCACTTGCTTGAAAGCTGCACAGAAACAGTCCTCCTTGTTTTGAGAGGGTCTGAGAGCGAAGCTGTGTCAAACATGCTGAGTAGAGACACGTTACAAAGAGTTGCAGGGTTTCCTGTGTGTTTTTCTGCTAAAAACCTGCATGCATGTTTTTGTTTTCTTTGTTTTCTAATTTTTATGGCGATACAGCCACTACAGTTTATATAAAAGAGTAACCAGGTGCAGTTTGAGGTCTTTGTCCTTTTCTTGAATGGTGCACCTGCAGAATAAAATCCAGAGAATATAAGAACAGATGTGTGTCCAGTCCGTTTGAGAACCACACCAAGATGAGCACCTGTTACACTTGTTTGTTAGATCTTGGGGTTGCATTCAATACCACTGCCCCTCCCATCCCTCTAAAGAGATTGGAACATCTAATTGGCATTAAAGGTAATGCATTAAGCTGTCTTAACTCCTGTGTGTTAAATCGATCTGAGTTTGTACATGACAGTAATTAATCCTTCAAATACTGCCAATGTAATTCAAGGATTGATTAATACACCACCATTTTTCCCAATAACATTTGTTTTTATGTTGGATAAGAGTCACGTTGTGTTCATCTTAAGTGGTTATCAATGGTGTCATTTGATCGTTAATTTTCAGTACCACTCGAGGTTTGGTTCTTCGCCTTATAAGCAACAATCTGACAGTGCTTTAAGACGTGAATTGCTTGCAAAAAATGGGGAAAAAAATGGCAATGAAGTACGCAAAATGTACTTGCAATGTTTCTGTAAGATGTTCTTGTTTTAAGAAATGAAATCTCATGAAATCTCAAATACACAAACTGTGATCGTTGAGTAGGAGTGGATGTATTTTGACCGAGGATGGCTGATCAGGTAGAAGTTTGTCAGATGAGCGCCAACAAAGGACTCTGCAGCCCCTGCAAAAACTTTTAATGTACAGTTTATTTAATATACAGTCCTTTCAGCCATGATTTTACTTCACTGTTTTTGACTAACTTTGTGCACGTGTTGCAACTCAAATTTTTTAAGTCCTAGTTGCATTTTAGAGAATAGAAAGTTTCTTACCATCATTTGAAGCAAGGCCACCAGGTAAAATCCTTTTGACATAGACTCCAAACTCCTCTCCAGTCAGCTCCTTCACTCCACCGATCACTTTAATTCCTGTTGGCATAAGAAAGCAAGTGGAGATAAGTAGCTGTGATTAAATGCATCCTTGAAAAAAAAAAAGATCAACTTTCACACAACAAAAATATAGGAGAATCTGGTTTTCCTCTGGAGATTAAAATCAGAGCAGAAATGTAAAATAAACATCTGTCTCTCTCCAAAGGGCAAAATCTCTTTAACACACATTTACATGATTGTGATACTCTCTGTCACGGCTTAGCTAGGCTTGAAAATCAGTACGTTTCCCTTAAAATAGTCCCCTACAAGGCAAAAAATTAAAAAAACACTTTTTCAACATTTCACTCATTTATCACCGCGGTAACAGATGTAACTGGTGGCTAAGGTATATCTATTCAATACATTAGTCAGCACCACTTTAATAATAGCTATGGAAAAGTTAGCATGTAAACAAACCATGACAGTGGTGATTACATCTATAATCCTTAATAATCACCATCTACCACTTTCGCTTTTGGGGGCCTTATCAGAATAAATCCAAGGCCGCCTGATTTAATAATAATAATAATAATAATAATAATAATAATAATAATAATAATAATAATAATAATAATACATTTTATTTGTTAGGGCGCCTTTCAAGGCACTCAAGGTCGCCTTATAAAATAAATAGAATACAGAACAAAAATAAAAGATTTAAATGGAAATTAAAAACTTTATTAACATGTGAGATATAAATGATGAAAATCTTATTAGAAGCCGAAAGGAGTAATTTTCCTGTACTATCAAAATGATCCAGTATCATAGGTGGAAGCTAAACATAAACAACAGAGAATAGCATCGAGAAGGACCAGATTATTAGTAATCCAGTTTTATTAAGTTTAAATAAGCGGCCCAGATTAATTTCCAACTACAGACCATTCAAAAACAAATAAACATCAAAACCAACAGCCTGAGTTTGGTCTCTATAAAACAAATATAATTATTTCAACAAGGATTCAAAAGTTAAAAGTGGCAGAAAAACAAAGTCCAGAGTCCAGCACTCCTCTGATCTTCTCATGAGGGAGAAGTAACAAGAAAATAACTCTCCTCCACGCTGAAAGGATAGTTATTTCTAAGTGGAACACACACTCATTAAAATGCATCAATGAATACTGATGGCGTGTTACAGATGGGAATTTGAATATTGTGATCCAAGTGTGGGGTAAGGTCATCCGAAGGAAGTTGCCATTTTAGTCGTTTCTGGAGACTGAGCGAAAAAAGGGATCGGGTAATTTAAAAGTTTAATCAGTCTGTGACTTCAAAATGCAAAATAATCCACAGACTATTATAAGTTTATAGATGTATTCAGATATTCTGACATTTAAATATATACAGGTGACTATAACGTATCAGATTAGAAGAAATAACATATGCACATTTACTAAAAGAGCATTTAAACCTATCTAAAAGGTGATGTAAAACAGCCTCGATCCAGCACACCTGATATTTATTTGATGTTACAAACTGGAGTCTTAAATGTTCGGATGAGAAGCAGCAGCAGCAACATTACACTTGGCAGCCTAAAAAAGGACTCGAGCCAGCTACACTTGTTTGAAAACAGGGAAACCGTGTCTGCCTCAAACTCAGGGAACCCTCACCCTCTGATGCACAACGAGTCAGGAGGAAAAACAGCTTCACATCTTACTTTACAAAAATATTGTTTCTTCTATTTATGCATCAAGGACTCATTTCTTTCCAAGGATTGACTCCATAATATAAAATCTATAGTTGCATTATTTACACGTCAAATAAAGCTAAAATGAGTCGACTCTGCAGGCAAATCTGACCATGACACAGATGATGCTCAGTGTGAACAGTTTCCCCTTCCACATGGTGAAGTGTTACAGCGCTGAGCTGCATTAACACAGAGAATAGTATCTGCTGTCTTCAGCACAGGGTTGAGAGAGTGTTTGCTACACAGTGTAAACAAGGCGCAGCCCCCTACGCTGCTGGAGACCTTAGATGTACAGTACATACACAAAGAGCCCAAGTCTTGAGACATACTGCACTGGAACAGGGTGTTCTCAGCACATAATTAAATTGATTGACAAGCAGCTTTGCTTGTCACCTGTATTGCTGATTTAAGTACTGTGGATACACACAACAAACAAACACACACACACGTGCGCACACAAACGCAATACACTTGTAACTGTAAAATGTTAACATTGGGGAATTTCTCACTCATCCTTTGCTACTTTGACAGAGTTTGAAACCAATCCCTCTGACTCCTCAGTGTTGTGGCCTGACTACTGTACCGATGTTTGTTTAATCATTAGAATTGATTTGAGCTTATACTTTGATCAGTTCACTATCAGGACTTCATTCATCTATGTCCCAAACTGGAAATATCTCCAAACCCTTTTTCTTGTTATGGAGTCAGCTGTCTCCATCAAGTCCTGCATTAAGTGCAATACAGAATTTCTCTGTCTCCATATTCGGTTTAAAATGAAATCAGCGCTGCAAGCTTCAGTTCATCCTCAAAACGTTGTTACATTAAAAATTCATCATCTACAGCTCTAGTTAGTGATAAGAATAAAATATATATGTCCAGTTAAAAACTTGCCATTAAAACAAATTAACTCCAACATGCATTTATTCTAGGGCTGTTCAATAGTTAATTATTTAAATCCAAATTAATTGCTGATTGTTGATCATTAAAGCTCCTCTGAGGAGTCTTTTGTTGTTGATGAAACAGACTGAAATTCATACTGATGCCCTTCTAAGACACACAAAAGCAAACAAGACCACTTGTGACAAAACTGACCATTTTATCACGTCATTTTAAAGTCAGAGGGGGTAGGTGCCAACCAAGCAGCTGCAGAAAAAGCTCTACTTTTATCATTTAGTGATACATCTGACGGTCAAAAATCAGTAGGATGACCTTTTCTGCCAGATGTCACTACTCAAACATATGAAAGACAGAATAAGTGAAGATTGCTTTGTCCACAGGGGCGCCAAAGTTGACACGAACCAAACTTTAATCGAGGCTATTTTTAAAGATCACATTGTTACACATGGAGAAATTAGCAGGAGTCCATGTACAAAATGTGGATCAGATTTTCAGTCCAGTTTCATCCACAGGTCTGTGACAATCTGCCAACAACATGGTAGTAGTGCTCTCTCAGCTTCTGTGGTGCAGCTGCACCTGTATGCATGCATAGTGATACTTTCATTCTGTTTCAAACAAAGAGCATATTACTGTTGACTTGACTGGGATGCAGTTTTATTTTAAGGAAGAAGTGACATTCAAAAGCTCAGTTTGTGCAAAAACTGCTTTAGTGCAAATGACTATTGCGTCATTTGGAAATTACTTAACCTTTTATGAAACAAAATATATAACAGACTAAAAAAAAACTAGGAAATGCAATCAGGTCTTTAATCCTTTCAGCAATGCCATTATAAAAAGTTAATTCAAAAGATTAATTACAGTTCTTGACATTAATGAACGTACTTCGCTAAAAGGCCTTCACTCCAGCAGAGTAGTTATTAACACTGTACTTGTATTATTGTATACGAGATGTTTGTCTGGCACGAGCCCCACCAGTGTGTAAATTGAAGTTCAGATGATAACAACAGTTCCCTGTGTTCTTAGCCCAGCCGAGTTAAGTGGGTTAGGGCTTTGCAACATGACCTACTTCCATACTCAGGCAAACAGACAAGGATAAACACCGCAGAGAAAAGCCTGTTAGAGTAAAGATTTAAATCATTTCAGCCATACAAAAACAGGCTCTAATGGCCAGAATGAGAGGGGTGGAAAATCTTTAATATTTGACCAACTATTAAAATGAAAATAGTTCAAAAGAAATGTAAAAACACACGTTATAACAATAATCATAATAATAAAAAAATACTCACCCAGGCCATTTTCACAGTCCGTAAACTCCATGGAATAAACAGCTCTGTCGACTCCATATGGGCCCATTAGTGTCCTAAAAAAGTGATAGAGGGAGAGACAGAATAGAGAGGAATATTTTTACATAAGAAACTATATTTAGAGTTTTTAAACTTTCTATCCCTTTTCTCAACATACGGAGCTCTTCTCCTGCAAAGCCTCCTGTCAAAACTCTGTATATTTGCATGATAACGTGAGAGAAGACTAAGTTTGTCTGAGTTTGAGTCTCCTCCACCACTGCACTCTTTACATGTTGTTCTTTTGAGTTTTGAATCTGCGACTACTTGACCCTACACACTGCTTCAAAACGTTTGATTTTAAATGCTGGACACTATCCAACAAAAATTCAATGTGCAAAGGTGATGGATGGACTTCCCGCAGATCTGATCCATTCAAAGTGAATACGTTAGCGGGGAGAGTCTAACATGTCAAAACCACGAATTCAAAGCACATCATCCAAGCCTTGGTGCCTCAAACTTATGAAACAGTTGCAGCTGTGTTGTGTTAATGGAATACTCCCTGTTAAGAGTCTTATGCTTGCACAGTTAATTAATGGAAGTGATCAGACACATACTGAGTTAATTAGTGTGAGAAACAGAGACTTGTGTGTGTATTCGTGTTTAGGAGGAGAATAAATATCACAAAGCAACAACTCTGAAACTCACACAGCCAATTGGAGACAAAAAGAGATATTTCAGGAGAAACACAAGTGTAATTAAGTCTCACAATAGACCTGTGTGTTGTATTTGTGTTTCATTTATATGCGTTACGATAGTGGCTGAGGCTGATGGAAAATCCTCAAACTAAAGCAACAGTTTTATCAATAAAACAGACTAAAGTGTAAACATGTCTTTTTGAGGCCCTTGGACACTCACCCTTTACACATATGCCAAGTACCGCCAGTGATTCAAACAAAATTAAAGTTTTAAACATTCAGCAGCACTTCTCCACTGCAGCAGGTTCACCCTGCATGCAAAGCCGTATGTTTTCTGTTTGCTCTGGTGGAGCGGTGCACTCATTAAGTATAAACAGACCAACGTCTTCTTCTTATTTTACTGTGGGAAATGTCAACCTTTGACCTTTTCTGTTTGTATCATGCTGCAATAAATAAATGAATAAGAAAAAGACGCATATATTTTACAAAGTTTTCAGTCACACAAACGATTTGGAATAGTTTGGGCCAAAGGGAAAAAAACACCACCTCACAAATTCTCGCCTAATCTCACAGAGGGAGATGTAAACACAACAGAATCTGACATTGTGAGATATTATGTTACTGAGTTTTGTGGGACCAAATCTCACCCAGAAATGCACAACTATTCTTTAAAACTGGGAATGATGTTAAAAATCTGCATCACCCCTGAGAAGTCACTGATTTATGAGACAAGCATGCAGTTCAACATGAGTGAGAGTTCCAAGATGATAGAAACCAATCATAGTTAGAGATGGTTGACAAAACAGCAGACAGATTTAAGTTGTTGGGTGATCATTTCCTTACAATCAAAATAACCATCACCTAATACTACCTTTATTCCTGTGTGTCTGCTGGTTATTGTGTTTTCTATGGTAGCAGCATAATTACTATTTGAGTTGCAGTTAAACCACTCATTATTTCAAAACCAGTTAACCAATTCTGTCAGTCAATTAAGGGGCAAAACTGCTATTCAAACACTAAGATTCAGATAAAGCCATTATTAACACTTTACAATAACCATAACTTATAAATGGTAAATAGTAAGCAGAAAGATCATGTTTATTCATCATTTAATTAATCAATTAATCATCATTTATAAATAGCATATAGACCCTTGATAAATTGTACATTTTACATTTTTAAAAACCTAACCCTAACTTTACAATAACCATCTCAGTAATGTTTATAGATGGTTAAAAAACCAAATATTAACCATTTACAAAGTGCTACTGACACACATTTTAATCTAGATGTTTTACAAACAATATTTAAACCCTATTTAATAAATAGTCCATTAACAATTAATGAAAACTATTTATCATAATTTCATTGCTTGATAATGGTAAAGTAACTATTCACTTACATTAATAAACTATCAATTTACTATTTATAAATTATGGTTATTGTAAAGTGTTACCAAGCCTTTTAACATCAAATATTTACCTGTTCAATTATTAACTGAGAAAAAGACTTTCATTTAAAACATTTTCTTTAGGTGTTGCTGAGGATTTCAACAACCAGAGGGAGACAACAGCTGACATGAGAGTCAAAGAAACTTAGATTCAACATCACACTGAACCATGAACGCTTCAAGATGACTGACACCGCAGAAATAAATAAAACCATGCTTTACTCCTTCATGGCTGCATTTTGCAAACAGACCTCCGAGCATTAGGACATGACGAGTAAGCTTACTGTTGCCCTGATTTCTGATTTGATTACATACGGTGAATATCCTCGATTATTTATTCGACCAAACGACCTTCAAAGTAAACTGTTCGACCAAAACGTTAAAAGAGAAGAGAGAAGAGCGAACACGGGCGCAATCTGAAGACATTTACTGCTTCAAACCTTTGTCGCTCCAAATCTCAAACTATCGCCATTCGGTACGCACGACGCACAAGCGGCATGGACAGATGGTGACAGCTCTATCCCATCCTGTCGATCCAAAATAACACCAGTCAGATCACGCTCACGCGCTTCACTCTATTGTTATCAATTTTTTTTGTTCGTGTGTTTCTGAAAAACCCCCGCATGAGATATATTTGCGGCACCACATGTAGGCTTTGCTGGTTTCACTGAATGTTACAGTTAACCGCATGGCGCGCCAGCATTGCGCGGACCACGCACCACGCATTAATAAAACAACATGCTTTGCTTTATCCAGTATCCTCCAGCACGCACTTATTCTAGAAACAGTAGACGAATCCATCTATTAAGTCAAGACTTGGCTAAAGTAAACACACAGAAGCGTCAATCAGCGTTTCGACAGCAGTCAACCTCATATACCCACAACCACACTCGCTCCGTTTGTTCTTTCTTTCCTTTTGTTTACCTGCTAATGATGACAGCGCCTTTGTACATCACGGAAAAGGTTGGCATTTTGACATGGAGCCCGCTCCTCTGGATTGACAGACGGTGGATGAGTCGGAGATATCCCCAGCTTCCAGCTCTCAACCTCAAGGTGGTCTGTCTACAGAGCCAGCCTCTAATTCCAGTTAACCAGACTGTCAGCGCCAAACATTCCACCTTAACCCACAGAATTAATCTCTTACATAACTAAAGTCGCCGAAATTAAAAAAGGGCATAGACAGCAGTGACACTGGAAATTATTTTGGCAGGGCTTAGCTGTCACACATATTCAGGGATATTCCAGCAGCAGCTTCCTCCGCCTGTTGGACAGGAGCAGGTATTTGTTGCTGGCATGTGCAGTGAAGAAGAGAAATCCCCAACAAAGCCCGTCCATTTTAAAGGAGTGATACATTTGAGCACCAGTGTTGTCTGCCACACAAACTACTTCACCATCTGTAACAGGAATATTCAAATAGGTAGATGATGCACACTAACACATAAAATGATGTGCATCAAACTGCTCAGACAACTGTTGACCCAAAATTCAAACCGAGCAGGAGGGGCTCAAAAGCACTTAACACATTAATAGTCAAGTACCAAACTCTCCATTTAGAAACAGGAGTCTAATCCTCTGATGGCATTCATTTCTTGAATTGTCCACCTGCATTAAAATCACACAACATCTGTGTGGTATCGCAAACAGCAAAGGCTACTAGTTATTTTTGACTTCTGAAAAAAGTTATTTATTTATAAAAATGGATTGAGATGTTTTGTGATTGGCGGTAATGATTACATCTTATATGCTAAATTTGGCTCTGTTTTCAAAGCCCATTTAGCCAATTCAGTTCAATACAAATAATAAAAATAATAATACAGTTGTTATTTGTATTGTACTGCGTTACTGTGATCTTGTTGTATGGAGTAGGAGTAGGTCTGATAAGCCTGATCTCGCTGATCTTGGAAAGATCAAGCTGATCTAGGCTTTCTTTTATTGGTACCATAGACTGTATATACTATGGACAACTTGGTTCCGCCTCCCGTCTATATACGGATTTGAAGCCAAAGCGCTCTCGGTATTTCTGCGATTTTTCTTCATTTCCTGAAACCAGTGCTGCGCTTGGCAGGAGAGTCGCTGTGATGGCGCTCAGCTCAAACAGCGTATCCCCCCAGTGAGCTACGCAATCCCTGAACGCCCATAGGCTGTATCAGGTGTCAATCATAGAAAATATGAACCCCCTAATCACTTTTAAAAACGGAGCTGCACAGAAAAAAGAGGGCTTAACTACAAACCAGTCTTACAGTAACTACATGTCAACATCACAAGCAGGGGGGAGAAAAATTTATATTCTGTGTAATAAATTTCTAAAGTTTGTCCACAGCTCCATAAGCCTTGCTGGAGGAGCCGGGATTTATGACCTATACTGCAGCCCATCACCAGAGGGTGCTGTTCTCGGAGTGGCTTTACCCAGCGAGGAGGCAGATGGTGTCCATTCTATATACAGTCTATGATTGGTCACAAACCGCACATTGCACTTTGTTTCTGCACTCTGCTCATGCAAAAATACTGGTATGACTGACATATGCTTTTTTTAACCTTTAAATCGTCTTTAATGCTTTTTACCTCCTGAATTGTTTTTTATGAAACAGAGCAGGTCTAGACAACGCTCATTGTTTGATGAATTAGCAAGACCCAACCTAAGATGGGATTTAGCATGAGTGACAGTGGCAAGGAAAAACTTCCTTTTAACAGGCAGAAACCTCGGGGAGGACCAGACTTATGTTAGACAACCACCAAGCCGCTGCTGGTTTGGGGAGGAATGTAGAGAGATGGAGGGAGAGAGAGGAGTGGAGAGAGGGCAGGGGGAGAGAAAGAGAACAAGATAGAGGGAAGGAGAGAGAGAATAGGTAGGGGAGAGGGAGGGAGAAAATAGAGAGAGACAGGGGACAGTAGCAACCTTAAAACAACAGCAACAACAACAACAACAGCTCATGTAACGGTGAAACAAAACTAATTCAGTTTACAGGATTAGGATACAAGTAATTATGGACTATGTTAAATGAATTTAATGTGATTACAGTCAGCAGGCCTAACAGTAGTTAACTCTGGCTTTATGTTATTAATACTGCTCTATCAATCATGAGAAAGTTAAAGAAACAATAATCCAGCTATGATTCATCCGACTATATCAGCTTCAATCTTCAAACAAAACACATACACACACAACCACCAAATTCACAATGTGAACGTTCAACAAGCCTAACTGTTAAATCATTTAAACATACCTTGCCAAGCTTAGATGAACTTTCAACCTGCGTAACATATTTTCTGTAACAGTGGAGACGCCTGATTCTTGTTATCAACAGCTCTGATTATTGTCTGTCATGATTCACTCCGGCTGCACAGGCAGGTATACTGATACTGCAGATACTGTATGACAGTGACAAACAATGAGGAGGGAATAAGCTTATGGCAAAAGGATAATCCATAAGGTGTAATGTGCAATACCAACAGGTCTTTATAAGACAGCTGTGATGTCCATTGTAGTGACCATTTTAATGGCAACCACATACGCAGAGTAAATCCGTTTTATCTTGATTAAAGATGGTCTATCATCTTACAAGTTTAGGCCCTCAACATGAGAAATAACTGTCATGATAATCAGCTGATATATCAGATGTGATATTATCTTAATTATGTGTTAAACTTGATTGTAATAAAGAGTTATCTGAATGGAAGAAGATTACAGTGAAGTATTACTCAGCCAATAAACAACATATCTACGCCCACAACCACACACATCAGAGCGCACGTTCTCATCATAGAGATTTATTCTCTTCCTTCTCTCCATTGCAGCCATGGCAACAACCATTTGCCTCAGAACTTTAATCACTAAATCTGCACAGTGGGTCATTATCAGATTATGGGATTAACCAATCCACACTGAAAACTCAAACAGGCCCAAACCCAATCACAGAGAGACATGCTTGCACACAACCTCTTGTGTGATCAAGATGTCCTGTGTGTATGTGCGAGTGTGTGTCTGTGTATATTGTAGTAAAGAGCAACACAAGAACTACAGCAATCCCTGTCAGGAGGTTCCAGTTGCATGACTGCCCCCTACAGTCAAGAGGAGAAGCTGCAGGTTGAGGGAAAAGTCTGCAGGAGAGTCCAGGGAGCTGGGACACGAGGAGTTATCTACTAAAAAGGAACATGTTAACATTGTGAATGATTTTTAAAGCTTTTTCAAAATGATTCAAAGTATTAAAAAGAGGTTTAGTTATGCTGGTTTGCATGTAATCCAACAGCTCATTATCTATCTCTGATCATACATTTACTCTGTAATTTACAGAACTGAAACAAAGACCAGTTTGCTGTCAAGGAACATCAAACCAAGTCTATTATAATGTAAACCACAGACATGCTGCCATGGTGACACATCAGTTTATTTTGTGATCATGTAAACTGAAAGATTGCATGAATTCTACTTATAAAACAAACAAAACACATAATAGCTGCGAAGTCTGTTATAAAAAAACTATGTTATAACCAGAAATTCATCAACAACTTTCTTTCCTTTAAGATACCAGTTTAAAAAATCCTGATTTATTGTTACTTTGCCTATTTTAACGATAAAAAGTGCTGTTGCTCTGGTTTGTTTTGGTCAGAGTTGTGAACATGCTTGCCTTTGAGTGAAGACCTATAAAACAAAGTCAGGTGGAAAAAGACAAAATATGTAGTTTTCAGTTTTAAGAAGTAGTTGCTGAGGTGCATTTTATTTCCTGTAATATGTTTAGTATTTGTATTTCCATGCAGATTCAGTAAACAGCAGAATCTGTGTATTGCTGACATGGAAAAGAAGAGCCGCTCATGTCAGGTTCTGTCAGTAGCTTGAGTGCGTTTCTGCTTCTTCATGGCACTAGAAACACCTTTTTTTCAAACATGTTTTGAAAACTGAAAAGTAGTTTTTATTCAAATCATGCTAAGTATGAGGAGTTTAATAATGAAAATGTCCAAACAATCCTGTGTACAGATGAGGAGAGATAACATGCATTACAGATTATGTTTTTCCACTGAATGTCCTGTAAGTACCCCTGATTTTCTTTTTTTGAAATTGCAGCGTAAGCGGATCAAAGGAAGGGAAAAGGAGGGACCGAAAATGAGACAAGGCTCTGAAGGGTACCACTGAGGTTTCTTTGGATAGAGATAAACACAGATTCTTCACATCGAGCTGGATAAGATTTAATTTGATCCAGTCTCAATGTCTTTTATCCCAGAGAGCAGCTGTTTTCACTGACATGTCAGCATTAAGAAAGGTACTTTTTAGGGGTTAAACGGATGTAATTCTATGGTGCTGTGCTGCTTAAAGAAAGTATCATGTGAGATCTAAAATGGCCCATTAACGTGTGCAAAACAGGAATTTGGAGCAATTGTGGAAGTTTTGCTGCATTAGTTTATCAGTTTTTGGAAGTTTGCTGGCTTTTTTAATACAGAGGTGATCAAATTACAGAGCTGACTAAATTTGGCAATCAATAATCATTAGATTTTTGGTAGAAAGACAGCAGAAGCTTTCCTCATACACGCAGTTTTGTTTTAATTTTGCAAATCAGAAACAACTGCGGTTTCATTTTGACTCTGCAGGACTTCTGCTTTTTTTTAAATAATTTTTTTTCAGGCAGCTGATTTATCCATAAATAACTAATCTTCACAAACTGGTTCAATAACAAAACCAGAAAATCACCCGAAAGGCAGCTTCGTAATAAAAATTAGGGTTTCTCCAACATTTTCAAAAGTGACGTCACATAGTAACGCTGCGTTTGAGTTACCTCGGAAGTCACATGTCGGAGTTGAAAATGATTTTAAGTTGTAATTTTAAGTTATCCCCCTTTTGTAGAAGTTAGCCATCTTGTTTCCGCCTCCGATTTTGCTTTTTTCCGATTTGGTAACTCAGACGCTGCTAACCTGGGTGTGACATCATTTTCAGCTCGGACATCTGACTTCCGAGGTAACTTGAACGCAGCATAATTCTCCATACAGAACTGTAATAAGAAAAAAGTTCATTGTCACAGCAATCAGACTACATCCTGACAGGGATACAGGGGAAAACTTTCACTGCCTTTAACAAGTGAGTGGTCATGCAGTGATTTTTACTGCAAACATGCCTTTATTAACAAAGAGGGAACATCCATTAATCTATGTTAGACACTGACATTCAAACACAGGCATGTAAACTGCAAAGCGTGTCTCAGGTTTACACATTTCCTGTACAGAAGTAGCTCCACTGTCAGTATTGTACTGTATCAGAGCTTCACTTGAAATGCACTGCAAGGACTTTCTACACCGTTTCTTAGTCTTTGGTCAAAGTAAAGGTTTGTCACAGCCGACCATTTTGACATACACCAGCAGCATTTGTACAGCCGCTCAATTCAAATCAAGCAAAGACGTGGACAAGTCCCTGACATTGTCGACAAGCCAATATAGACACAACGGACCACTCAGCAAAGTGAGGAAACGTCAATTGGAAGAGTGGCAGAGAAAAAACATCAGTAACAAGCAAACTTCCCCGAAGACGTATCCAGTCAGCACTCTGCTTCAGGATCAACAGACTCTGTAGAGAGAAAATCAAACTCAGAGTATTCATTCACAGCAGATCTTTCATCACCAGAGGAAATTTGGTGAAGGTCAATAAGGGCTCATTTGAACCCCATTACTGCATATTGATTAGAAGTGGCCAGGAGGAATGAAGCCGTTTCTTACAGCCTGTTAAAACCACATGAAATGTAACATACATCCACAGAAGAAGAAACTGGGCTGCAAGAGAGCAACATGGACTACTCAATACAGCCTTTAGGACAGGAACTGTGTTTGATTCTTTCTTCTTCAGGTAAAAGCAGCTCTTAAGAAATGAGGACAGTGAAGGATTAGATGCGTTTCATGTTCACTCAGGGTAATATTTCCAGCTGCACCTACATGTCTTGGATTTCTTTGGTCTCGTGTGTTTTTGACTTCAACACGGCTGAAAAAACTTAATAGTGTGGCAAGTTTTTTTTGTTCATGCTCATAATCTAGTCTAGTATTTTGCTGATTTGCACGTCACATGTCTATAATGACTTAAAGTTTAGTCTGCAACACTGATCTGATTGCTCCTCTTCATGGATTTCTTTTTAAAAAGGACAGAGGTCGTCATAATAATGTCTGTTTATTTTAAAGGTTCTCTGGGTAAATTATTTTAAGGTAATTAGAATGACTGAAATTCATATTTATGCCTTTTATGATATATAAAAACAAACAAGATATAAAACTTTTATAGTGTATTTTTTAACGCCTGAAATTGGAGTGAGACGGTTGGTTTGAGTGGCTAAGGAGACAGCCCCATTTTTAACTTTTATAATAATTCACAATAAATTACACACCTGACTGTAAAAAGTCAGCAGAGGGAGATTTTGGTCGGACGACATTGTTAAAATGTGTGCAGATGACAAAATAAGCGAAGACTACTTTGTCCACCGGGGGGCACCAAGATGGACACAAACCAAAAGTTCCTCACAGGAGCTTTAAGGAGATAAATATGAAATACAATGAATGAAACATAAACAAAACATTTTTCCTAACTACACTGGGATCAAGGCTGCTGGCTACACCTCCTCTCTGGTACGGAAAGTAATAAAAGACACCTGTATATTGAGACAGTTTATCCAGTATGAGAAGGTAAATAAAACATGGTGAGCTAAAGTGAGATGATTCACTAGGAGCATGAACCAAAGCAAGGTTTTCTGTCACCAGAAGCTTGAACTCCTAAGGACAGGAGAAGAGTAAATAACTTGTCAAATTGAATCCAGTCACACCTGTCACAGCCTTTGGCCAGCATCACAACAAATGTAAAGTCAGGGACACAAAGGCAAAAAAAAGAAGAAAAAGACCTTCAGTTCTGACCTCTGATAAAACAGATAAGTAGAAGAAGAGTTAACAACAGTAGATGAAAAAAAATGTTAAAAAGTTATGAATCAATGAATATAATGGAGTATTTGGATTAGGATTCATTCTCTACCATATTTAAACAGAGCAAGACCGGCAACCCAAAACCTGAAATTAATCACAAGGTTTACTGCAGCCAGAGAGGACGTGAAATTAAGGTGGAAGAGATGGAGAAAGAAAAAGAAAGCACAAGACATTTGCACCATCTGTGGCTCTACCTTCACATCCTGTTTAATCTATGTCAGCTACGGCATTGTGTTACTCATGCTTCGTGGATCCATGTTCACCCTAACTCAGAGAGAAGCAGGTACCTGCTTGAACTAAAAAACAGCCCTGGGCTCTGACACAGCTCAGTGCATAGAAACGAGGTCTTAACCTCAGTTTATATTATTCAGGGTATCACAACACCTCAGGTGATGACTGAAAGTTGTGTTCAAGACACATAGAAGCACGAAGAGATTCTTGTGAGTATTTAATACTTAGGCACTTGGATATAATTTTCTATATATCTACAAAAATTACTAAGAAACATGAGTTTTTAACCACAATAATGTTTTTCAATGAAACTTGAATTCTTAAATCATTACTTGGACTGCATCTATGGGCAAATTTACAACTACTATACCTCTGGTTGCTTATAAAGATCTTAAACTGGGGCCACAACACAGTCTTCATTTAGCAATAACCAAATACACCATTATGACTTTTATTTCATGCAGATTTTCACAAGTTCAAGGCCGATGTTGGACATTTTATTCATACTCATTAAAAAATAATCCATATATTCCTGCTTTAACTCTCTTCCTCTAATGATTAAATCAATTTAAAAGGATTTATGCAAGTAAACAAGAACTACGAGAAAAAGTTTAACCAGTTTATTTTCAGATGCATCCACTTAAGTATTTTAAAAGCAACTCGACTGATAAATTAATGGTTAATCAAGCAAATTAAAAAATAAATGATCTTTGTTTTCTGTATTTAAATCTTTTTTTAATAATCTAATAAGCTTTACATTTTCATACATTGAACCTACAAGAAAAAACTGACCTGCCACAGTCACACTGTCTGTCTTTCCTTAAAGTAAAAGTCTTCCCGTAAGATAATGAAGACAAAGCTCTACTCCTTCCCCTGCCAAAGCCATACCTACCTTGTTTTAATTGTGGGATTCATCCTGAGAGGAAAAAGTCCCAGGTCTACGTCATGGCAGTCAGGATTAAATTCTAGGGCTCCTGAGACATAAATTAGAAAATAGTCCCAGAGTTCAGGTAACTTCTTTGAAGAGAGAATCATGGGGAAACTTGAGATGTAGGTCTGTTTGCAGGAGAGGTGTCCAGGTTAAAGTAAGGTGCCATGGAGATGTGGGGTACCCTGCAGCATTATATCACCTCCCTTCAGCTCTGGCTCTCCAGCCAGGGCCGGCCCTAACAGTCAACTCAGCACCTACATTTAGCTGACTGACTTCTCCCCTCAGGACAGCGCACAAGAACAACATGACCTCTACAAAATGCCTTTACCAGGGGATCACGCACACTCCATCTTTATTTGACTTTCTGACTTTTTATTTTTTATTTGTGAAAGGCTCGTGTTGTTCTCCTGGCACAAGTGATTGACGTGGCTGTTGCAATGATCAATCCTAAATTCAATTTTAATTATATGGCACAGGCACATATGTCATTACATATTACTTTCACATCCTGCTCTGGAAATACATTACTCTTACTGTAGGCTATACATTATGGGAGTCTGTTGTTACTACTCATTGAATTTGTAATAGGTCTACTTAATCTGCAGTAGTAGATTCATACTGTGAGGCTGCAGAAACAAGGAAAATGTGCTGTAACCACAAACATATTTCACTCTCTTGAATGCAGCTGTTGTAAAAATTAGAGTAAAACTGTCAAGAAATCTGTGGACAAATTAGTCTTCACTTATTTCATCATCTACATGATTAAACAGTATCTTCCAACAAAAAAATCTCCCCCTGTCTTCTCAACCACTCAGCTGACACCTACCCCCTCACTCTCGTTTCATTGCAGTATCAGTCTTGTCCCTGATGGTCTTGTTTGCTTTAAAATATTGTAAAAAGGCTTCAATATGAATTTCAGTCAATTTCAATACCACAAAAACTCCTCACAGGAGCTTTAAGTTCATAACTTGGTCCTCAAAACTGTAGTTAAGTGCTGTTTAAATATCTTAAACTATCTTTCATTTCTAAGATTTGCTTCCCTTTTAAGTAACCATTCCAGGCCTGTGAGGGAAGGAGAAATAGTGATGTTTGTCAGGCAGTCAACGATACTGAGGAGGAAGGGAAACATGGACAGCACAATGATGATCGTAATAAAAAGATTTGAATTACGATATAAGATAATAATGGAACAGAAAAAATCCACGTGATACCTAAAATGAAAAAAAAAAGAAAGCTTATGCATGATAATCTTAAGAAATTAATCCTTTATTTTATACTGAAATAAATAAATGTATATTGTCATATTTAAAGCTCCTGTGAGGAACTTAAGAGTTAGGTCAATCTTGACGGTTACGGACTGTGTGAACAGCGAAGTCTTTGCTGACCTCGTCCACTTCATCCCTAAGTGGTGATTTATTACAATAAATCTCAATCTGTTGACTTTTGACAGTCAAGTATATCAGTCGTTGTGAATGTTTTATGAGAAAATTGTAAAGACATCGCTGTTTCTTCAGCTGCAAGGCTTGGACCTACCCCCTTGGACCACTTTCAGACATTAAAATAAGGATATAAAAAGTTTGGTGTTTTTGCTGATGGTCTTGCTTGACATTAGTGTGAATTTCATTCATGTAACAAAAAATCCTCATAGTAGCTTTAAGTTTCAAAATTGCATCATTCCTTATTCCTGGAAAGAAGGACCCCTCCCTTGCTGCGTCCCCCCTTGGAATTTTGGCTCACATGATGCCCCTGATAGAGTTATTGATTGTGCCAGATCTATCAGGGGACCATATTGATTTTCAATGTTGTGAAAAGGTTGAACAAAAAGATTCTCAGAGAAGTTCTCTGCGCTATTTCCCCCCCATCATACACTAGATTTGAAACATCTTTACATACCAGTAGATGAGTGACAGTCCGTCAAAACGCTCAAGCTCTCTCCCCCGTTCTTTCAGCAGAGACATGTTATCCAAATGTGTCGTTTGGTATCAGACCTCCACACCTGCTCCTGCGTTTCAGAGTAGAAAAACTCTAACTCCGTCCCAGTCACGCATCACTTTGCCCGCCGCTGTCCAGCTGGCCTCGCGCGGTGAGTTTGAGCGGCGTGCCCTCGCTGACTGCGTGGATGTGTCAGCATTCATTCCCCTTCAAATCAATGAGACGGACAGCTTGCCGGGTAACGGGACTCTGTGTCGGTTCGACTCTAATCTGACCGACACGTGAGCCTTTTCCTGCTGACTGACCTCAACCCATCTGCTTGACAAAATTTCACCGTCTCCTCAGCCGCACCACGGTTCAAGGAGGAGGGCTGTCCGTGGATCTACAGACCCCCAGATGTGTGTGACGGACACTCACTGTCTGCTGGACTCTAGTGAATCATTGCTGTGCATTATAGTAGGGGAGACCGGGGCTTGTTGTCACACTTTCTTGGAATCAATACATCATATACAAACAAAATGTGAACCAGATGAAAGACCAAAGTCTCTTTCATCTCTTTCATCAAAATATTATACAACATGTACTGGAGTTTGGAGAGCTGTCTGACTCTGTATTTCGGCTGGGGTGAATGTTTTGCAGTACAGAGCCAAGGTATGGTAGTTGACATTAAAGTCCTTTATTATCCTCCAGATTGATTTATTAGCTAGGGTCACCTGCCTGACTGCCCTCAGCGTCATGTCAGGTACTGCACTGCCATGTTCTGTTTTATTCTTGTAATTCCTGATCTTAGGTGTGTCCCAAATCACATACTTCCATACTAAATACTTAACATTTTGAGTATACTTAACTCATAATGGAAAAAATTCGATAGTATGCGAAAATTGAGTATGCAAAAGTACCCAGATGACGAACTCAAATCGGTCAAGATTTTGAGTATGCGACTGTGGACACTCGCCCGCACTGATTTCATCGGTAAGAATGGCTGTGGACGGCTGTGGTGCCGGTGAGTCAGCGACAGTCGACCTGGGGGCTTTGTACAGATGTACTGTAAGTAATAAGTTATATTTTATATATTATATAAAATATATTTAAAAAGTTTTTTTGTGTAAATAGTTTCTGTCTAGTTTTAAATGCTTAATTTGTAAATAGTTTATCTTCAGTTACCAAGTTCCAAATGTTTAATATGTAAATAGGGAATCTTAAGTTTTCTTGTTCTAAAGTATTTTTATATGTAAATAGTTTGTTATTTTTCTGTTATGGACAATAAATTTTCAGACATGAGGCAAATCGTGTCGTCATCTCCAGTGAGTGAGCCGCGCAACACTATGCAATATGGGACAGCACTGCACCCTCGAAACTCGCGCACTGCTCCATTGAGTACATAGTATGCTTAGTATACTCAATTTGAAAAATCTAAGTATTTAGTATGGAAGTATGCGATTGTCTTCACGCTTTCTCTTCTCCTTAAAACCACTCTTTTCTCTGTAAAAATAAAGTCAAAATTTCATTACAACAACTGCTGATAAGCAGACTCTCTAAAAATGACGGAGACATGTTGCCCAAAACTACCATGTTTGCTAATTCAAGCTCTAATTTAAAGTTAGCTTAAAACAGAACATTGACTGAGGTGTGACAAGACACCTTAATCTCTCCTCTTACAAGTCCACATGTATCACTGCTAGGATTTTTATCTGCAAGACGCTTATTTTAAAATATATAGTTGTTTTTTTTACTTTGGGTTGTGTGAAATGGTTAATCGGCGCTCATCTCAGCTCACAATGTGCTCTTCTCGTCTCAGACAGGACACGACCCCTGACCATGTAAAGGAAGAAAACTAGTATTCTACTTTTTAGTTGCGCCTTCAGGTGACAAAGATAATTGCAATGTGACAACAAGTCCCGGTCTCCCCTACCAAACAAAGCCAGTAGCTACTCATTCAGTCATTAATATGAGCATGAGTCATATTTCAATACTTGTAAGTGTTCTTAAATAATGCTTCATAAAATTAGTAAAAGCTCTCACTAGTCATCAGTTTACATAACTCATCCAGAGGTGAAGTGAGGACGCCTGTCTGACCTCATCCAAAGGTTCACAAAACAACCACAAGTAATTTTCCGCTACAACACCAGATTATGTTACGAGTATAACCAAGACCTGGTTTCACCTGCTGATCCCCAACACTGCTGCATAGCTGGCAGGCTGCACACTCCACTGCTGGGACAGACACAGACACTCTGATAAGAGCAGAGGCGGGGGTGTCTAAGCATTAATGTGAATAAGCAGTCCGGTCTAGCATCAGTACAATCACAGAGATGTTAATGAGAGTCAAACACAGCACATTTTTCTCACCTCAGCGTACAAATCGACAGTGTAAAAAAATTATCTGATGCAATTCATTGAGTTAATTGTTCATGAATCAAATGGAGCTTAGACTTTTCACAAGCTGGCCTTATGTCACAAGCCTTGTATGATTTATCTGTATCCGAACCAAGTTCTCTGTTCACTGTTAACGCACCTCTCTCACAGAATTAAGGATTAAGGATCAAAGAACAGCTTCCTATTTTTGTTATTTTGTACTAAGGTAGGAGAGATGTTCAAAGCCTGTGTTCCCTGTGACCCCATGAGGTTGAATATGTTGATGGGTATGCACATTTAAAGACAACTGTTGCATCAGGTATTTCTCTTTTTGAACGAGGGGAGTTATCAGCCAGTACGGCTCAGAAAAAACATCCAACATTTGCTCAACATACTTGGGGCTAGTAGCTGTAGGTGGATCTAAACCATGGGTAGGAGACATTGCACTGCAGCAGCATAAGTCCTATGCTATTTGCTAATATAGTAGTATAAGAAATGAAGGCTTTCAAATGGTGCGGTGAAAATTTACTGCAACCAAGTCAGAGCCATCATATAATCACAGAATTACTAAAACAAGGGTTATATTTACTGACTATATAAATATCGATGTAACTCCCACAATTCCTATCAATAAAACAGATTATTAAGAAATTATAAGGTACTACTGAGACCTTTACTGTTACCAACTACACATGATCCAAAAATAGAGATATATTTCTCGCTTTTTAGCACTCTCTACTGGAGGCACTGCAAACTGCACAGCTCAAGATGCACTACAACTCACAAGTGATGTCAGGAGTGAAAATCTTTCAGCTGTAGGGTAAAACACGCTCCTTGATAACAATAGTAATAATAATAATAATAATAATAATAATAATAATAATAATAATAAAGTGACTTAAGTATGTTAAACTAGACAGATTTACAGCACAATTAGAAACAAAAACAACGTTTGAAAATATCTGTAGATACATGATTGTGTATTTACTGCAGTTAAACCAAGCATTTCACAAAATGTCCAGTAGGTGTCCCTCAAGCTCCAGCAGCTACAGAGAATCTGCTCCTCTCTAAAACCTAATAGGACTGTGTTTATATGACACTGTCTCACGTCCTCTATGTTTGTATAGCAAATGTTTTTCTCTTTTCCTTTTGTAATTACGTGGATAAGCATGATGTGCCCACATAAATTGAGACCTTCATTTTACAGCTTATTAAGTCCAGCTTGATTTAGATGTTGGAGCTAAGAAGTTCCTCCTGGGTAGAATCAGTCAGAACATTTATTGGATTTACGAAAACAAAGATTTTCATAAAACATTGGATTGTTTTACTTATTTTTTAACTGGTCAGTGTAAATTCTGTGAACTCCAGGACTCAGTAAAAGAGTAGAATATCTTTCAGACATTAGACTGGTCCTTGGCTTCAGGCTCAGTGAGCAAGGCACTGGACCCTTCAGACCTCCAGAGTCAAAGTAGAGTTTGAGAGTCATTGATAAAGTCAGTATTTACTGGCAGATTGGTACTTCACACAGTGGTCCCTGCCAACGCTCAGGTGATAAAGTTTGAACGTGCGTGAATTTTAAAAGCCGTTGAGTGGTTGGCGGTCTAGATCACGTGACGGAGCGGCGTCGTCGCTGACTGCGGGCAGCAAATACACGAACAGGTTAAAATTACCCGGTAAACGCCGCGAACATTCCTCCTCCCTGCACTGTTGTATATCTCAACTAAGGAAGAAGCTTGGACCTCCATTTTTATCGTAAAACAAACATTTACACTCGATCAGATCCACTCACCTGACGCAGGTACGTCATGTTCGCGCCCTTTCCTGCCCACTTGTGTCCAAACGAGGAAACGGAACGTACCATTTCCGCTCGGTTAAAAATGTGGGTATGGAGGGCAAAAGTGGTCACATGGTTGAAGAAATTCAACCTTTTTTTTTTTTGTAATTGATTATTAACAATAAACTAATTTTTTATTGGTGTAAATTCAAGTTTTAAAAAAATGTTTCAAAAGGTTAAAATGATTTAAAGATGTGTTACTAACAACACCCAATGAGAGGGGCCATTGGTTTAACATAAATCAGCCCAGGTCTTCCAGTCAGTCTGGATTTGTTTGCGCTAGAGGGAACTGCCAACCTTTTTTTGTGTTGCTTTTTCCCCCTTGAGTACTGCAAAACTCTTTCCTTGTTCGTACTTTTTTGTAAATTATTAAAATAGTATGTAGTTTTAATAATAGTAATAGTTTTGGTAATTTTTGCCCTTTTTGCAAGTATTTTTTGAGTGCACCTCAAGGCTGTGAATTTATTTCAATATCACTGCATTTCTCAACTACACCTGTTTTTTTTTTTTTGTGACTTTAGTGAGGGAACCCTGTGACAACCAATTACCATACTGAGATTTTTACAGTTCAAACTGACCTGCAGATGGTGCTATAGTGTCGATCGTAACCTAAGCTACTTCAGTAACACCGTAGCAAATATGATTGCAATGGCAAGCAACCACCCCCATTACAAAACTGTAGACCACCTCTAAAAAATAACCTGACTTTAAGAGCACTTAGAGTCATAAATAAATACAGTTGCGTTGCTGTTTCCATTTTCTTAAAAAATCAATATAATTTCTAACTTCTAGGAGAATCGACTATTATCCTCTTTGAAATTCCCTTTTTCCTCCACAGTGAAGTGAGGATAAATGATTAACAGTATTAACCAGGCTTAAATGTCTCTATCATGTGGTAAAGGGCTGCCGGTGAATGGGAGAGGCTGTTAGAGGTTGTGTTTACGTCTCTCTGCACTGAGCAACTGTATGAAACAGGGATTCAAATTTTTACCCAAAAGAAGTTTGTATCAGAAGATGCAAGAGCACTGAAGTGACTAAAAGTATGCACATAAACACACCCAAACAGAAGAATACTGCTCTCATGACATACCAGGAGAAGGTGTGGTTTTCTAACGTGAGACACTGATGGTTTCAGGTGTACAGAGGCGGCAGTAGATGTTGTCACTGATGAGCTTGTTTGCTTTTATATACCTTAAAAAGGCTTTTATATACATTTCTGTCTCTTTTATAAACTTCAAATAACTCCTCAAGGAGCTTTAAGGGATATAAAT